TCTGTATTCGTTGTCGTGTCAACTTGTATTCCGTCAGGCTCAATCACTTTCTAATCGCATCCCACATCCTGTCAGAAAGGGCAACATGGCCACTGCCACACGACCTGACCTGCAGTGCAAGCGGACGGGCCAAAACTGACACACGCTTATGGCGTGAGAAGATCGCACGCTCCGACATGGGCTGCACACACACACGGTGCTGAGCAACTCGAAGAGCTCCGCCATCTCTGTGACACGTCATGTCTATGTGCTGATGCGCTCTGCGCTATTCTCCATTCAACTGCCAGCGTAAGAAACTATGCTCGAAGCTCTACTTGAGACCCAAATCCTTCACAAAGTCCCTCCTGAGTCTCCCCGGATGATCCGGCTGATCCTCAGGCACCATGATTTCTCCCCACACTTGTCGCAGCTGGAGAAGATCCGTGATCGTAGCATCTCCGACCTTGGGCTGCCCATCTGCATCGGCACCGTTCGTGAGCCCCGAGACCGTGTCGGTTCTGAGCGTCTCGGGTCCGTATTCAGAGCCGACAAAGTGGATGCGATAGATGAGACCATCCGCACACCCAACGACGACGCTTTCGTGGTCCAGCTCCATCGCCATCGGGTTGCGTGCTGGTGTAGCAAGGTCGGCAGACTGCGCTTCCCACGCCCCTCTGATCGGAACAGTGATGGTCGAGGTTGCGTCCGGTGATGTTGCGTCGGCGGTAGCAGGAATCGCATTGTCATCGCCAGTCGCAGGTGGTTCGGCTTCGACGGCCGTCGCTTCGCTCGTAAGCTGAGTCGAAGTTCGACCGTGATCGAAGGGTAGACTGCTGGCATAGAGCATCCGTTCGGCTCCAGCACGACTGCTGAAGCGTGTCGAGGCGACGATCCTTCGTTTGGTCGGATCAACGCAGCCAACAGCGACATCCGGGGTTTCCAAGATCGAGACGACTTTGGGGGCTGTGGACAAGTCCGGAGCGATACGGGTCGCATTGGGTGAAAAAGTTGAGTCCGAAGCGTCTTTGCCATTCGTGTCACCAACCGATGCATGAACCGTATCAGTATCGGCCCCGGCGTCGGTGGCAGGCGTGCTGGGGAATGTTAGGGAAGCAGCCGACGTCGAGGTGCTCATTCGTGTCGGCGTTGATGTGCCCGACGCGAGCCCTTCAGCAGCACCGAGATCGCTTGTAGCCAGAGGCCAGGGTGGAGGACCACATACGCGCCTGGTGGACGTGCGCGGACTGGGTCGAGACGGTGTGGAAAGCGGAGACGCTGAGGAAGTCTCGAACTTCGACGTATTACCTAGCGATGCTCGACCACCGCGAGCTGGAGTCGTGTTTGACACCGACGAGGCGGTCGCCATCGGACGACGCGGCGACCTTGCCTGTCCGATACCGCTAGCAGACGAGGTGGTGCTGGTGCTCGAGTTGCGTCGAGACCTCGCAGCCGTGCTAGCAGATAGAGCAGCAGCCGTGGTGCTGGCGTTGCTCAAGGTCGAGTCCCGACGAGCATGAAGCGGGCTCAGCGTCGAACCAGCATTACCACCGCCACCGCTGAGACGAGACGAAGCGCTTCGACGGAGACCTTCAGCTGTGAGCGGAGTCGATACCTCCTGCACGGGCACCACGTGTTCGTGCCACTCGAGATGCACCACCAGATTCTTGGACGCCACCGTCAACGTGTTGCCATGGGCAGCAAACCACTCGAGCATCGAATTTCCGCTGGCATGGTCTCCGAGTCTTGCACCCAATCCAAGCTCCGAGCCGCCAAGCTTGGCGAGCTGGAACTGACCGATCATCTCCCTGCGTAGAATGCTGAAGCATCGGATCATACCGTCCACGGTAACAGCCACCAGCTTGTCCTTGTCGACCAGCGACACACCCAAAGAGACGTTGCTCTGTTGACCGAAGCGAACGACTTTTGCACCCGTCCTCCAGTCCCAAACCACGATGGCTTTATCCTGACCGACGCTGACGAGGTAGTGCTGGTTGATGGCCACATTGCGAATGCCGCGATTGTGACCAGAAAGCGTCTGGATGAGTTCCCAGCTCTTCATGTCCCACACCAGCACACGACCGGTGTCGTAGAGGCCAGCGCACAGAACGCCTTCGTCGAGCAAAAAGTCGAGACAGGCGATGGCCTTGGCACGCAGCACTTTACGGCAGTGGCCAGTCGAGATGTCCCAGACTCGGATAGTCTCGTCGTAACTCCCCGAGACGAGCGTCTTGCGTCCCTTTAGCTTCATCGCCGTCACGAAGCCGGTATGGCCCTCGAGCTTCTGGATAGTCTGGGCGAGACCCTTGGCCCAATTGCGCTCGCGGAAAAAGAGCCCTTTGACCAGTGGTTCCCAGCCTTGCGGATCTGCAGGAGCCAGCAACTTGACAGGATCGGCTTCGGTGAGGGCCAAGGCGTGCGATCTCCACAGATGAGGCGTGGCTGCGAGGGAATGCCATTTCTTGGAGACGTGGCGACAGCGGAGCAGATCTTGAACGGGCAGCTTTTCGAATATTTTGAGCGCAACGGTGTCCGGTAGACCACTGACGACATCGCGTGTCATTCTCAAGTGCTTTTCGAGTGTTCTAGACATGGTAGCAATGTCTCCCGGGAGGCACGCGTCCAAGATGATACCGAGAAGCTGGATACGTAGATGCGATGGCAGCTTCTGAAATTCGCGACGAATCGTATCTTCATCAAATCCGCTACGTGTGAATTGGTGAGGCTTGACTGCCGCTGCCGAAGGCTTCAAGGTGGTCATGTCGAAGGAAGCTGCGGTTTTCTGGTCTGCATCGGTTGATGATGATGATGGTGGTGGCGGCGGAGGCACAGCATCATCCTCCTCTCGAAAGTAAATACACGAATGCCAGCCCAACTCTTTTGCGGCCACAACGTTGAGCGAGCTGTCGTCGACAAAGTAGTTACGAGTCTCGGGTTTCGCCTGAACCTTCAAGAGCGCTGCACGGTAGTAGTCTAGCTCGGGCTTGCATGCAAAGTCGGGGACGGCATAGTCGCAATAGACAATGCCCTCGACTTGATCTGCCAGGTCGAGAAGACGCAGCACTCTGTCGGCGTGATACTTATAGGCGTTTGTGAGGGCGAATACGCGTACACGGGTGCGGTCGAGGTCTGATAGCAATCGCTTGATCTGATGGTCTGGCCGCAGGATGTCTTCGAGGGGCAAGCTGGCGTCGCATTTGCGGTCATAGTCTAGCGGATCGATCTGGTGGTGCTTGACGAGACCGCGGATGGCGAGGCCGTACGTCTTGTAGTAGGAAGTGTGGAGTGTCTTTGCCTCATCTTCGCTGAGGCCCATGCCGTGAAAATAGGCACGGATACGCTCTGCCATGAGGTCTGCGATTCGAGTGCTTCTCTTGTACAGCGTGTTGTCGATATCGAGCCAGACGATGGCCTCATTGGTGCGAAGGGAGGCGCCTGGCAAGCCGGAGATGGTGCGTGGCTCAAAACCAATGCGGCTAGTGAGAGCTGCCTCGTCGTCGCTGATGGGCACCTTGCCTGCAGCTGTGTGTATGGAGCCATTCGCGGCTGCCTGATCCGAAGATTTTCCACTGATTGCCGCAGTGAGCTTGTGTACAGACTCAGACCGTTGAGTCGTTGGTCTCGTCCTATTTCCGCCGCTGACAGAGGAAGGCGTGTGTTTCACAGTAGAGCTCGCTGGTGCCGGCGGTGCGGAGGAGCCCGCAGACGGCTGCCTTCGAGCAGGAGACCTGGAAGCCGTGGCTGCATCTTTGTTGAAGCTTGATGATGGGGTCTTGGAGGACGACGTTGAATTGCGGGGTTTTGCGAGTGCTGATGTTGTGGCTCTTGAAGCTTTGCTGGGCGTGGAGGAGGAGGCTGCCTCGGTGGAGCTGACTGCGTCGACCATGCTTGAGCCGATCTGTAAGCGCTTAGGGGGACAGCGTCGAGAGGCTTGAGCCTTGGTGTCGAGGTCTCTAGGAGTCAGGGAACAAGCGTTTTGAACCAACACAAGAAGAACAACAGAAACGTGTGCGGCGTGGCCACAAGGCCTGTGCGCCACGTCGGAAAATCAAACCCTGAAATGTTACATTCAGTCATGTGGAGGTGTCACACCAGAAAAAGAAGCACGGCATGTTGCGAGTCAGTTGCGTGCGTATTAACGCCCTTCCACTATATCCTCATGGACAGAGGCGGCTGGCTGTCAGGTTGCGCTTCGACCATCACCTCTATCGACCCGCTTCAGCATCATCAGCTGTATAGATAGGATTGCTTTCCACCATGTCGTCTGCACCACTCTCCATCTTCGTCGTCGGAGGTCATGGCAAAGTCGCGCTTCACTTTACCCGCCTTGCCGCGGCTCGCGGACACAAGGTCTTCAGCTTGATCCGTCAACCCGAGCACGCTTCAGACCTCCCTACTGGCAAGTCGGCCGACTCTGTTCAGCCCGTCATTGCATCCCTCGAGCAGTCTTCCGTCTCTGATCTCGCCTCCCTCTTCACGAAATACTCGCCCAACGTCGTTCTCTTCAGCGCGGGTGCAGGAGGCAAAGGTGGACCCGAGCGGACGAAAGCAGTCGACGAGCAAGGTGCCATCAAAGTGTTCGATGCGATCCAGCAGAGCGGTATCGCCAAATCGCAGGACTTTCGTCGCTTCTTGCTCGTATCTGCCGTCGACGTTCGCGACAAGACCAAGCCTCCTCCGGCGTGGTATCAGCAGCCTGACAAGGAGCGTTCGGAAAAGACGAGAAGTGCCATCGGAGCTTATATGGATGCAAAGTATGCTGCTGACAAGAACCTCTCGGCGCGGACGTCTTTTCCGTGGTTCGTGCTTCGTCCAGGTGGACTGCTTGACGATCCAGCAAGCGGCAAGGTAGCCCTTGGTGTCCATCAGAGCCTCGTACATTCGATCCCCCGCGAAGATGTGGCGGCCACGCTGCTCGAGGTAGCTGAGCTTCCAAAGGGTCAAGCTGACGGTCTCATGCTCGACTTGCTCGCTGGAGACAAGGATATTGCCACCTCTGTCAAGGAGGCTGTTGAGCGGGGACGCACAGATTTCGATGGCTGAACTCCGAGGAAGGACGAAGTTTCAACGTCGCTGTACCTCGGCTTCTGTTTCGCCCGTCAGTGATCTTCGACTGGCGTTCAATGACAACATGTTGGTTTCAAGATCTTCCTTGGGACACTGCACGTTTCATGCGGCTTCGATTGGTCAACGAAAGATTGTGGAGTAAGATTGTGCGGGAGCCGAGGTGGGTGTGACTGAACCTAGTACACCCACTTGGTACCACTTGGAGCCAATACTGAAGCTGTGTGAGCTTTCCAGAAGCCTACCCCAAAGTTCGCCGTTGCATGCAGATCCTTGGGCCTCGAAGTCTCATTTCGGATGCTTGACACGGAATTGAAGCAACGCACGGAGCCTTGTCGGCGTGATGCGCTAGCAGACTATTGTGCTGCACAATCCTCGCTCTGTCTCCCATCTTTGACTCTGCTACAGCCTGAAAGCTTGTGCTCGTAGGATCCCGCAACTCCGCTTACAGTGCGCCGCCCAGAAACAGTACATAAATGCTTATAGCCAGTACGGACAAAGGTCTCCCACCCTCATTCTTCAGACACCTCTTCGTCCAGCGTCTGTCGTTCTCGATCGATGCGTCTTCTCTTCCGTACACTTCTTTTGCTAGTCTCCGTCAGCTTCCTCACCGGTCACGGTCGAGCATTGCCTCGAGTCCACTCAAGTCAGCCAGGTCATTCGATCCAGCTTAACGAAACATGCCAGGCGCCAAAGACTTCGAGTCAAGACCCACTCGAAGGCTGTCCCAAAGGCACCGTGTTTGTCAGTCAAACACATCCGGAGACTGAATTCAGGACCATCAACTCGGCTCTGAGTTCTCTGTAAGTGTCTTTCCGCTCCGCAGCTCCTTTCGAACGCCACTGCCGATGCGTCGCTCTGCGCCCTGATCGTGGCCAGCGGCATCAGGTGGCACTGTAGCGACAGTTATGTTACCGGCAAACTTAACTGACATGACGTCCTTCTCATCACCGAGCAGACCAGACGACAACACCACGAGAACAATCCTGATCGACGCCGGGGAATACCACGAAAAGATCATCGTCACACGTCGATCCCCCACGATCTTTGCCGGCATCACAGCCTCTCCCTCCTCTCCCCTCTCCAACCGTGTTCGAATCTGGCAATCCACATACGTCAATCAAAGCGATCCCACCTCTACGCTGCACAACTGCGACGCTGTCGTTCTCTCCCTCGTCCCCCCAACCTCTTCTCAGCATACCGATTTCAAAGCGTACAATATCGACTTTACCCAACGCCAAATCCTCCACGGAACTCCGATAACGCAGTATCAACTCGGACCATCTGCAGCGCTCTGCGTTCAATCCTCGACCAACGCCAGCTTCTACAGTTGCAGTTTCGAAAGCTACCAGGATACGATCTACATTGGTTCCGGGAGCAACGCGTTTTTCTACGGTTCGATCGTCAGAGGTATGACGGATTTCATCTATGGAGAGGGAAAGGCTTGGTTTGAAAAGGCGAGCTTGTTGGTGAGAGCTTGTGGTGGTGGAATCACCGCATGGCGTGGCGATCCGAATAACGCGGAAGATGAAAAAGTCGGCGTTTACATCAGCAACTCGTTGATCGATAGATCGTCCGATGCTAGTCGAGAGAAAAACTTGACCGGACAGTGTCATTTGGGTAGACCGTGGAATGCGGATGCTCATGCGGTGTATCTGAACACGTGGATGGGCGATGTTGTCAGTCAAGATGGTTTCAAGGTGTGGACGAGGAGGCAGAGTAATTTCGTGGAAGGAAGGACGAGGTTTGTCGAGTACAACTCGAGTGGTCCAGGTGGTGATATGAAGAAGAGGAATTTGACGTTGGAGAGAGTGTTGACGGATCACGAGGCGAAACAAATCATTTGGAGAAACGTGTTTGGCGGTGCTCCTCGTTGGATCGATGCCAAGCGGCTAGAGCAGCAGTAGCAGCAATTGATACCACTTCCAGCACCTCATCCTTGGACGTTATCACTCTCTCACACTACCATCACATCATCGACACTTCATCCTCACTCTCTTCAGTTCGTTCTAAGCGTAAGATTACTACCATCACGAATACACTTTTCTTCCTCCTACACCGTTACACACTTTCACCTCCTCTTACCCAACACCTTGACCGCACTAGCCTTGATCACATTACCCGCCTTCTCCATCTCCTTCTTGGTAAACGCCGTGCTCACCGCCACCCTGATGTTCGGCCTGGACTCCGGCGCCACCTCCAACACCTTGGGATTGATGCTCGGCAACCTCTTCATCCTGGTGACAAAGATGCCGTGTTCCAACGCGTCATCCACAATCGCCTGCAGCAACCTCATCTGTTCGTCCACCGAAAGATCATGCTCCTGGGGACCTGCAGCGGCGATCCTCTTGCCATCGTTGCTGTTGGCCAGCGTCAAACTGACGTCTCCGACGGCGAGACTGTTCTTGCCCTTGTCGAACTTGTCAGCGGGTGTATCCGGGTGACGGTCGGTCTTGCTTCGGATCTGGATGTGGACGAGAGGACTGCGTGGATCGCTAGAGATGCGGAGCGATTCGACGTGGTCGAGGATGGATCGAAGCGTCTTGACGTTGTCCTGAAGAGTGGTGAGGATGGAGGGCTGTGCGACCATGTACGAGATGGCGGTGCTAGCTGCTACTGCGAGCAGAGCGGGGAGTGCAGCGGAGAAGACAAAGGAGGTGCCGTTGATGCGTTGGTGGAAAACGACTTCGTCGGAACCAGCGCAGAAACCTCCTGCAGCACCGAGCGTGTTGGCCATGGATCCAACGAGGATCTCGATGTCCGAAGCGGGGATGTTGAAGAGCTCGGTCAATCCGCGACCTGTAGCGCCAACCGTACCAAAGCTGATACTCTCGTCGAGAATGAGACGGAACTTGTATCGTTTCTTCAGCTCTTGGATCTTGGGCAAGTCGCTCAAAGCACCATCTGCCTCGAACACACCCTCGGTGACGATGAAGCGACGCGTCAAGGGACCGTTCCTTCGCTTGGTGTCGCGCTTGACCTGCTCGAGCACGGTCTGAAGCGACTGCATGTCGTTGTGGTCGTACCAGTAGACGGTGGATCGCGAAATCTGGATACCCTTCTGGATGGCATAGTTGACGCCACGGTCTGCGACGATGATGTCGCCGCGCTTGGAAAAGGCGGGGATGACGGAGGAGATGGTGCTGAAGCCTTGACTGTATATGATGCAGTTCTGGGTGCCGAGGAAGCGAGCAATGTCGGATTCAAGCTGCATGTGTACGTCGATGGTACCGTAAAAGCCGGGAGGCGAACAGCTGCCTACGCCGTAGTTCCTCAACGTCTCGATGGCCTTCTCCTTGACTGCTTCGTGACCAGCGAGGTTGGTGAAGTTGTAGCTGGCGAGGTTCATGACCTGTGTCGGTTTTCCGGCATTGTGAGAGGCCAAGCTGATCTGAGGCTTGCTGCTGGCGCCTCCGACGATGGTGGGGATGGAAGCAAGCTCTCTCGACTCGGCGGGGGTCAAGGGAGCGCAGAGGGGTTCTGGCTTGAACTCGGCAACGAGGTCATCGATCTCCTTTCCTGAGAGATTGACAAAGTTCTTGCCACTAGCACCGCCTCGTGTCCTGCTCTGCAATACGGTTCGCAGGGCGAAGAGGACGAGAAAGAGTTCGAGGAGGGACCTTACGGGATCGTTCTGGTAGCTGCTGGCGACGTAGCGGGCGATGATGGCGCTGCCGGGAACCTTTTTGAAGTTTTCAGTGGCGAAATCGACGGCGGCTTGGAAGGATTCTGTGAGCGCCGATGCTGCCGCCGAGGCATGTTCGGAAGGTATCGCTTTTGCGGCCATGATGAATATTGCCGATGCGGTGGACTGCAGCGATGGATGTGAAAAGGATCGAGGCAGCAGGGAGAGGAGGAGGGGCGATGTGCTAAGCCTTTATACTGCCGTCGATGCGTGAACCTGTCCAGGAGGACTAGCGTGAAATGGTTGCGGAGAGAAGGACGATCGAAGGTCGAGAAAGGGTAGAAAGAAACAAAGCTCGGAGCTCGGCTCGTCTCGAAAAGATGCTGACCGATGTCACATCGAGTGTGTTGGCACGCGTGTCTGTGTGTCTGTGTGTCTGTGTCTGTGTCTGTTTCCTGCGTGTTGGTCCGCGGCGTTGCGCGTAATCAAAATTCGATTCCGAGTCAAGCAAGTTGCTTCGGTCTTACACACTTGGGCGCGTCGGAAAAAGAGCAAAGGATGGAAGAAAGAAAATGAGAAGGCGAGATTGGTCCTGCTTGGTCACGCCCGTCTCACTCGGCCGGTGATCGATGCATCGCCAAGGTCAAATGATATAAATCTTCTTTCGCGCGACTCGTCGATACTCCATCTTTTACATCTTCTCCACTCTGGTAACGAGCTGCACCCTGCACCCCAACCAACATTCGACCTACATACAAACAACACTCCTTCCTCGTCCGAGTCGCCCGATCGACCGCGTCGAGTCCCCCTCCCTCTCTCTCTCCCCATCGCGCTAACTCGTCCACGCGTCGATCCATCCACCCATCCATCCATTCCATCCGTCGTTCACCGGACACCAAGTCATCCGCTATCGGCCGTGGTGGCATACGCTCGAGTCGCGTGTGACCGCCGGCAGTTGCACACGCGCACTCGTCCCACGTCTTGTCTGTTGTCACCACATCTAGCTGGTACTCGGTCTTGAACGCACACAAACACACCATGTCGGACCACCAAAACCCGGATCAGCCGCTCCAGGAGCTGGCGACAGCAGCTCAACTCGACGAGGAGCTCGAACAGCAGCAGCAAAAGGAGCTCGAACAGCGACAACAGCTGCTTCAGCAGCAGCAAGCAGCAGAACTCGACGCTCGTCGTCAAGCAGAGGCCCTCGTAGCAGACACTTCCTCCTCAGCTCCTCCCACCTCCGCCAGCCTCACGCAGTCCAGCCGGCTCCCACTCTTGTCTGCATCAGACCCACACGACCCCGAGCAGCTCGCAGCCAACTCTCTTGGCGATGTGGACGCCGTCATTGCTGCCGCCGTCAACGCATCCAAGCAGCACGCGGAGCAGGAACGTCTCCAAGAAGAGCAGAGAGCTGCTCAGCAGCACAACCACGATGCCAGCACTCCTCCTTCTATGGACGTCGATCCTGCCCACCAATCCAACATCGATCCTCCAGCCGCCGCTGCCGATTCCTCCGCAGCCGACGAATCGATGCAGGCACAAGACGACCCGGACGCTTCCATCATGTCCGTATCCGGTTCGCCTGCCAAGCAAGATCCCACCGACAACTCCTCTGCCAACCTCACTTCCACACCCAAGCCCAAAAAGGAACGCGCCAAACCCAAACCGCGCTCCAAGTCCGCCACAAAGATCACGCGTTTTCGAAAGATCACCAGCTGCCTTCAATGTCGAGAGAAGAAGCAAAAGTGCGACCGTGTCAAACCCGTCTGCGGGAACTGCCGCGAGAACCCTTCCGACGACCCTTGCCACTATGTCGACGATCGCAAACGTCCCAATTCGGACGAGGAAGACGCCGGCGCCGATACCTCAATAGGCTCGCCCATCGTACGCAAGCGCAAGGAACCCGAGGACGCCATCATCAGCAGCGGCAACAGTCGCGTTTTCAAACGCGCCGACTTCCCGCGTGTCAACGACCGGCGTCAGGCCGTCATGCTCCAAACGCGTCGAGAGATGGTCGAGAAGCTCGAAGGCGTCGGTCGAGACCGTTCGCGCGATTTCAACACTCGCGTCAATGCAGCCCGTGCTGCTGCTATCGCAGACGTTCTCTTCGAGAGCGCCATCACTTTGCCCACAGCCGACGAGATCTCGGCGTTGCTCTACACCTACAAGACCCAGGTCGAGCCTTTTGTCAATGTGGTCGTCATCGACATCAACATCGCCCGCATACAGAGCTTCCTTCGATGGTGGCATTCCAAGCCCACCACGATGCCCGCCGACCCTCCTCTGGTTCCGCTTCTGCTCGTCATCCTCGCGCTCACCCTCCAAGTCAAGCGCAATTCGCCCGAGTTTGAGCGACACAACCTCAAAAACTTTGCACCCATCCCCGGCGTCGATTGCTCCGACGAGCGTACACTGCTCAGCGTCGCCGGTCACTGCATCGACGCTCTCCAGATCGCCTGTCCCTCGGCTTGGTCCAGCGCCTTCCAGGCTCCCATCGATCTCGCAAAGGCTTCGTTGCTCCGTGGCATCTGGCACCTCAACGAGCTCAATCTCCAATTTGCGGGGACGTGCTTTGCGCTCACCACGCGTCTCGCTCATGCCGCCGGTCTGCACCGCGACCCCGAGCATTGGTCCGGCATGCGCATCGAAGAGGCGCAGGCTCGTAGGAACTTGTGGTGGAACATCGTCTTCTTCGAAGTAGCCCACGCCCACCGTATCGGCCAGCCCCCGTGCTTGACCCATGAAGGCTTCGATACCCAGTATCCCGATGACTACGGTGCCCTCTATGCTATGTACGAGCGTGCCGGCCTCGCCGACCCAGACCCTAGCCGCATCATCCTCCCGCCCGGCGCCACCGCCCTCGTACCGCGCACGCCCAGCCAGACCAACTTCGACTACCACTGGGCTCGCTTCCGAATCTACCACATCTTCTTGCGACAAAGCCAGCAGCTCTTCCGCTTCGGCATCTCGTCGCCGCCGGATCCGAATCTGAATGACGAGTACGCCAAGTGGCGCGACAATCTGCCCGACAAGCTCAAGCTGCACTTTGAGCGTCGATCCAAGGGCTCCGTGCGACCGAGTACCGAATTGATAGCGCAGGTGGCAGCCCAGACGTTTGCGACCCGCGTCTACGACCCCAAGCTCACCGAAGAGCTTCAGGACTACCAGCAGGGCTACAGCCTCGAGTTCATGTACCATCAGTGCATGATCACCTTGCATAGGCCCTACATTGACGAGCAGGGTGCTTGGAAGCCGCCCGAGTCGGTGCAAAAATCGCTCGAGGTGTGTCTGCACTCGGCCGAGGCGCTCATCAACACTGTCGAGGATGTGCTGGCTGTGCTGCCTGCCAACAGCATGTACAACCAGTGCGCGTACTTTGCCTTCAATGCCGGCCTCATCCTGGCGATCCATTGCAAGCTCGACCCAACCTCGCAGGTGCATCGCCCTCACATCCAAAAGGCGCTCGACTTGCTGGACACGCTTTCCGGGATGGCGAGACTCACCAATGTTGCCGAGCAGGCGGGTCGCTACAGCTCGACGCTCAAGCAGATGCTGCACGGCATCGGCGGCGACCTTGCCAGCCTAGCGTCGGGCAAGTCGGGAGCTGCCCCCTCCTCTGCCGCTGCGACTGGTGCGGGTGCCACTGCGACGACGAGCGAGAGCCAGCACGGCGAGAGCAATGGCGACGTTGCCGGCACCGAGCAGGGCAAGGGCGAGGCAGCCGACGTGCGCCAAGGCGGTATTCTTGGTGCGCTCGACCCTTCGTTGGGGGACAGCAGCGATGCTGGCGCGCGCACGGACGTCGATGGAGGGCCGGACCGCATCCCTGCCTTTTTGCTTCCTTTTGTGGGGCTGCCGACCGACCCGAACAACCTCGGCCCGCAGACGGGCAACTCGTTCTGGAGCGAATCGCTGCTCGACCGTCCACTGGTGGGCGTGCCCGTCGCCTATCCTGTGGGCTTCGGACAGGGCGTGTTGTCGAACACGGAACAGCAGAATGGCAGCGGTTGGCCGACCGACGCCAGCGCGGGGACAGCGGCGCACGCAGAGCCTCAAGCGCAGCAGTCGCACGATGGCGGTCTCGCGACCGAACCCACCGGCGCCGCTGCCGACGGTGGCGATGCCGGGACAGCCGAAGCATCCGCCGACGCATACAACCTCTACGAGCTCCTCGGCGGCCGCGAACTAGGCTCCGACATGCCCGATCGACCCATGTCCTTCTCCCAACACTACAACCACCAAAACCCGGGTCGAGATCAAGCTTCGTCCGCCTCCTACCGCACTTACGTCCAGAACTCCCTTGCACGCACCTACGATCAACAGCAGCAGAACGCTCAGAACAAAGACGGCGAAGGCGCAGATAAGGCGGGCGGTGAGAATGGGCTGGATGCCGCCGACCAGCTGCCGAGCGAGAGCGCGCTCAATGCGGTAGCTGCAGCGGCGGCCGCGGCGGCAGAGGCCGAGGGCAAGGAGGGCTTGGATCCGAGTGCTCAGGGCAACAATCTGGCGGGCATGTGGTATGCTTGGGAAAACTTTTCCCAGATGCTCAACAATCGACAGTGAAGGAAAGAAAGCGAACAGACGGAAAGAGCAGATGGGGTGGAACCTGTACCATTATATCCTTTAAGATGTGTTTTTATCCAAGTATCAAGGGACTTTCCTGCTGCGAAGTGTGTGTGCGAACCTGTAGGCTTGGGTCGAAGTGTCAGGCCCTGACCAACCTTCCAATAGCATGCGGGATCAGATCCGCATCCGTCTCGATCACCGGTCTTTGCAGCTCGACCTCTTTCCAACCCCCCAACTTTTCCAACCACTCTCCGGAGTCTCTGTTCAACTCACAACCTCCGAAGTTGAACCTCCAAACGGGAGTCCAGAGGTTCTGAATGGATCTTGCCAGAGTATGTTTGCTGGCGACGTGTTCGAAGAGCAAGATCTGACCACCTGGTTTGAGGAGCGACTGGAGGTAGGATAGGTGTTTTTTTGGAGAGGGGATGGAGCAGAGGACTTGGAAGAGGACGATTGTGTCGATGGAGTTGGGTTGGATGCCGGCGCTGAGGAGGGCGGAAGGTTCGTCGAGGCCTGCGGGGATGATGGTGGTTTTGCTGGCGAGGCCGAGTTTCTGTGCCTTGGTAGCGAGTTGCACGCGCAGTGGTTCGTACGGTTCCAGTGCGAACAGTCTTTCGATCTTTGAAGCGTCGTAGTAGGCAAGATTGTCTCCTGCACCAGCACCGATCTCCAGAACTCTGCCGGAAGCCTTTCGAAGCAAAGGCTGCTTCATATTCGCATACAGAATATCGGACACTTTGAGAACAACCGGAAACCCATTGGCGAAGATCAGCGCTTTCCAGTGAAACGGATTGATGAAATTGACGAGCGAAAAGTGTCGAAGTTGTTGAGATATGGCGGGTGGGAGGCCGGAGAGGTAGAGTTTGAAGGTGATGAAGAAGGGCATGATGTTGCAGGTGATGAACTGGCTGAGGGTAGCGGGACGGGCTGGTTTGGAGTGCAGGTCTCCGGGCAAGGGTTGTGGTTGGGGCATGGCGAGGATGCTGCGATTGGAGGCGTATGAAGAGCTTTCTGGACGAGGTTGACGCGTGTCGGCGGTGGTGCTCGATAGAGGTAACAGGACGAAGGGACTCTTATATATGCAATTGCATGGCACAACGCGGAGGCTGAATCTTGTGTCAGGGTCCCGTATTTTATCTTTTGCCCACATGGACCGTGCTCGTATGTGACAGCTGCGGTCCAGACGCTCACTGAAGGCGCCGCCACTATAATAAATTGGGGTGCCTGATCTTGAATGTGTGCCTGAGAACGGATATGTGACATGTGACCTGAACGATGATCCCGTGCTGCATACTGCAGGCCATCCCGGAACTTGCCATCACCAGGCTTGGGCCATCGTAGCGGCTGATATCGAGAGAAGTCGGCACACGACACCCGCCTTCAGCCTTTGATATGAATACGAGCTGGCGTCGGCCTTTTTTGACAGTGCTGTCAAACCTAGAAATTACCACCAAGAAAAGAGGGTCACGAAAAAGGTGACCTCAGATCTCGTCCTATCGGCTCACCGCAATCGGGCTGCGATCCACGTGACTCGTTCATGAGCCAAAAATGGCTGCGAAATCAATGCAGTGCGCTGCGTAGCGGCGGAAAATTTGCACGAGTCAGAAGAAAGCGCCGCACCGAAAATGTCACATCGCCGTGCGCTGCCGCGAAAGAGGTGCGTGCACACATTCCGGTGACAAGAGAGAGCCATGCGACATATTGCTCTCGTCCTCCGTCCAAGTCACTCCCGAGTCATTGTCGACACACACTTATCACCACCATCTAACGGATCCACAGCAAGCGCTACTCGGTTCTGTCGAATACACTCCCTATTTCATACAAGGCAAAAAGACTGGTCTGCAGTTCGTTTTGCATGCTGTCACGGCCTCGGTATCTAGCATCTCTCGTCCCAGCTCGTCGTCAGCTTCCTGTGCTTGTACCTCGCATCACTCTTCAAAGCAGCAGCAGCGTACTGTCGAGCTCCCTTTCCGCACAGAGAGCTTGCGTTCGCGCCTCCCCTTTCACTCACCGACTCGTTTTTCGCAACATGTCCTCGTCCACACCAGCACCGGCGCCTGCTGCGCCCGAGCAGCAACAGCCATCAAGCTCGACTCAGAATGACGGCGCTAGCCCCGCTGCATCCGCAGACGCTCCTCTCGGTCCCGACGGCCAGCCACTCACAAAAAGTGCCATGAAGAAGCTCGCCAAGCTCAAGGAGAAGGAGGCAAAGCAGGCAGCCAAGGACGCGCTCAAGAGCGACAAGCCCGCGCAGAACGCGGCTGGTTCGGGCGCAGCCAAGAAGGAAAAGCCCAAGAAGGAGGTCAAGCAGGAGCCCGAGTGGGTCAACAACACCGTCGATGGCGAAAAGAAGGACCTCTCCGCTCCCATGGAGAGCGGATACAACCCGCTCCACGTCGAACAGAGCTGGTACCAGTGGTGGGAAAAGTCCAACCACTTCAAGCCTGCAGAGCCCACCGAGTCGGACCCTTATGACCCGGAAAAGACCTTCATCATTCCCGCGCCACCTCCCAACGTCACAGGCTCGCTCCATATCGGTCACGCCTTGACCATCTCGATTCAGGACACTTTGATCCGATGGTACCGCATGAACGGCTACAGGACGCTCTTCAACCCCGGATACGACCACGCCGGTATCGCTACGCAGAGCGTCGTCGAGAAGCGTATCGCAAAGACCGAGGGCAAGTCACGCCACGACTATGGTCGCGAAAAGTTCCTGGAGAAGGTGTTCGCATGGAAGGACGACTACCAGTCGCGCATCTCGAACCAGATGCGTCGTCTCGGTGCCTCGTACGACTTCTCAAGGGAAGCTTTCACCATGGATCCCGTTCGCTCCAAAGCCGTCACCGAAGCTTTCTGCAAGCTCCACGAGGACGGCATCATCTACCGAGCTAACCGACTCGTCAACTGGTGCTGCAAGCTCAGCACCGCCCTTTCCAACATCGAGGTCGACCAGAAGCAGCTCAACGGCCGCACCTTGCTCAACATCCCTGGCTACCCTGCCAACGAGCGCATCGAGTTTGGTGTCATCGTCAGCTTCTCGTACCAGATCGAAGGCAGCGATGAGAAGATCATTGTCGCCACCACTCGTCCCGAGACTATGCTCGGTGATACCGCCGTTGCTGTCCACCCTGACGACCCGAGGTACAAGCACCTCCACGGCAAAAACGTCGTCCATCCTTTCGTCCCCGGTCGCAAGATCCCCATCATCGCCGATTCCATCATTGTCGATATGGAGTTCGGTACCGGTGCAGTCAAGATCACCCCCGCCCACGACCCCAACGATTACGAAGTCGGTAAACGACACGATCTCGAGTTCATCAACATCCTCAACGAGGAGGACGGTACGCTCAATGAGAACTGCGGCGACTTCCAAGGCATGAAGCGATTCTCCGCTCGTCGCGCCGTCATCGACGAGCTTAAGGAGATCGGCAGCTACGTCGAGACCAAGGACAACCCGATGACGGTCCCTATCTGCTCTCGATCCGGCGACGTGATCGAGCCCATCATGAAGCCTCAGTGGTGGGTCAACTGCAAGCCGCTTGCGGACAAGGTGATCGAACGCGTACGTGCCGGTGACATGACCATCACCCCCGTCGTCTCCGAGAAGGAGTTCTTCCGATGGATGGAGAACATCCAGGATTGGTGCATCTCCCGTCAGTTGTGGTGGGGCCATCGTTGCCCCGTCTACTTTGTCAACATCGAAGGCGAATCTCAAGACCGCACCGATGACAAGTTCTGGATCTCCGGTAGGACTCTCGAGGAGGCTCAGGAACGAGCGGCCAAGCTCGCTGGCGGCAAGAACTTCACGCTCGAACAGGACGACGACGTTCTCGACACGTGGTTCTCCTCCGGACTCTGGCCCTTCTCGATCATGGGCTGGCCGGAGAAGACGGACGATTTGAAGCACTTTTACCCGTCGTCGATGTTGGAGACGGGTTGGGACATTCTGTTCTTCTGGGTGGCAAAGATGTGCATGCTGGGAGTGTACCTGACTGGTCAGCTGCCGTTCAAGGAGGTGTTCTGTCACGCGATGGTGAGGGATGCGCATGGAAGGAAGATGTCCAAGTCGTTGGGTAATGTCATCGATCCGTTGGATGTGATCGAAGGTATCACTCTGGACGGGCTGCACGACAGGTTGAAGGAGGGCAATCTGGACGACAAGGAAATTGCCAAGGCTGCTCAGGGGCAGAAGAAGGACTTCCCCAAGGGCATCCCTCAATGCGGTACGGATGCGCTGCGATTCGCACTGTGTGCCTACACGAGCGCCGGCAGAGACATCAACCTCGACATCCTGCGCGTCGAAGGCTACCGCAAGTTCTGCAACAAACTCTGGAACGCTACCAAGTTTGCCCTGCTCAAACTCGAACCCATCGAGACCTTCCAGCCCGCCTCCACGGACGAGCCCTCCGGATCTGAATCCCTCGTCGAAAAGTGGATCCTGCACAAGCTCAACTCTGCCTCCAAGACCGTCAACGACAACCTCAAGGAACGCAACTTTATGGCTGCCACCTCTGCCGTCTACAACTTCTGGCTGTACGAGCTCTGCGACGTGTACATCGAAGCCATCAAGCCCATCACCGACGCCGGTGCTGCCGATGAGAAGGCCAAGAGCAGTGCGCAGCAGACGCTGTACACGTGTTTGGATGCCGGGTTGAAGCTGCTGCATCCCTTCATGCCGTTTGTCACGGAGGAGCTGTGGCAGAGGTTGCCGCGACGCAGCGGTGAGCAGGCGGAGAGCATCGCTCTCGCCCGATACCCGGTTTGGATGGAGAGCAGGGAAGATGGGAAAGCCGAAGTGGAGTTCGAAGAAGTTTTCTCCGCCGTCCGAGCGATCCGAGGCATGTGTGTCGACTACAACCTGTCGAAAGACGTCCAGGTCTACCTCGAAACCTCCGACTCCGGTTTCTCGACCACGCTCAAGAACAACTCGGAGATCGTCACCACGCTCGTCAAGGGCTGCACGCGCGTCACCGTCGTCTCCGGCGCAAGTGATGTGCCGAAAGGCTGCGCCGTCGCCTCCATCTCCTCCCGCCTCAACGCACACCTCCTCATCCGCGGCCAGGTCAACATCGACCAGGAACTCGCCAAACTCGACAAGAAGCTCCAACTCAACCAGGTCGGTCTCGACAAGGTCGGGGCGGTGATGAACAAGCCGCAGGAGTGGGAGAGGATGCCGGAGGAGGTCAAGCTCAGCACCAAGGAGAAGCTCAAGAATCTCGAGGCAGAGAGGAGCGCTATGGAGGAAGCTAGGAAGCAGTTTGAGAGTATTCGCGATGATTGAGTAGAGAGAGAGAGAGGGGATGTAGGGTGGTGAAAAAGTAACTTGTTTTTCTGCCGTGTAATGTTGTGTGCATTCTGACGAGAGAACGTGTGTGTAGGTGGTGGGGGGATGCTTGTGATGTGATTGTCCGAGTTTGGGAGGTGACTCCGAGTATCGGGTCCATCTGCGGGTGGGCGTGCGAACACTCGATCCCTCCATTCGGCATGCATGACAGCTGCACAATCCCACCCCCCTAACGCCCGACACAAACAACTGCACTTACAGTATCTCGTTCACATCTGCCAACCTGGTTTCCCCCCAAACCACGCGCATCAGACTGCCTGCACCTCACGTTTCCTCACACGACAGATAAAGCGAATTTCATGGATGTGCTTTGCATTGAAGCCTGAGAGAGATTTTTGGGTGTGTGTGTGTGCGTGCTCTACGACACTAAGATGCCGGTGTCCATGATCGACAGCCAGGCTATGCTGACGGAGGTGTACCAAAAGCATTTTGTCCGATCGGATTCGGGACTAAAGGGTGTATGAGGGGGAACAGTATACAAAGAGAGAAGAAATGGGAGATGATGTTGGTGATGCTAGGATGAGGGGGGGACCTGAGAGAGCAACTTGTTTACTGCTTGCTGCCCTTGGAAGCCCTGAGACGACGAACGTAGAACTCGAGCTCCTTGCCCTCAAGGATGTATCCGTCGCAGCGACCCGACTGACCGGGACGCGACGAGACGGCGGCGTAGAGACGACCGGCACCGAACTGCTGCTCAACGAGCGAGTCGAGCTTGCCCTCCTTGCGGCGGTTCTCAAGCTTGCGGGTGACGTTGTTGGAAAGCTTGGCCTCGTCAACGTTGGCCTCGGCGGCACCCTGACCAGCGGCACGGCGCTTGGTGGTCACGGGCTGGCCGTAGTGCTTCTCGTAAGCCTGACGGAAGGGGGTGGCATCGACCTGAACGATGCAGCCCTTGACGAGGGTGTTGGTGCGGACAAGCTCGTTGTTCGAGGCGTTGTAGACGACACCGAGAACACGGGTCTTGGCAGTGATGTGCTCGGAGCCCCAAGCGAAGTTGCCGGACTCGAGACGGAGAGCACGGTGCTTGAGGTTACCGCCACGAACACGGACAGTGTGGATACGCTTGGCACCGATACGGGTGTTGGCAGCCTGACGACCGAGCTCGAAAGCGCGCTTCTTGCGGTAGTAGGCGCGGCGGGCACCGGAGGCCGATCGCTTGTGTCGCGAGTCACGAGTGATACCCATGTTGAATCTGAAAGTGGATCGGTGGGAAGAAGGAAGGAAGTGAGACAAGGGTCAGCAATCCGATTGCAGAAGGGGTTGAGTGTTGGGAGCATGCGGCAGACGAGCCAACTTGGACGAGACGGGACGAGGGAAAAGTGCTGAGCGCGCTACGGACGCGAGATGGCAAGGCGAAAACGATGCTTTACAGCCCTTAGAATGGAGGTTGTTGCTGATAGCAGCGTTTGTCGGATGGCGAGGTTTGCAGGTCGTGACTTTGCTGCAAGAGTATGGATCTTGGCGAATGTCGATGTATGCTGGCTGCATCGTGTCGTAAGCTACCAAAGCGAAGTAGGCATGATTCCACGAACGCCCTCTCCCCATGTCTGCCTACTGCGGGACTATCATCCTATCCTCCCGCCACCTGTTCAAAAAGCTCCACGCCGTTGCATCTTGATATATATCGCGACGACAACATGGCAGACTCAAACGGATGGGCACGATCTTTGCGTCCTCCTCCACTGTCCCGAATGCCATCACATATCAACTCCTATCCGAGTATCTGATTTCTCGACGCAACCATGTTCCTGCGAGTGTTGTCCACGTCCCATGCCTCGAGCCAGCGAATGCGGCTAGCTCGATGGCGTTGTATGTGCGTGCGTGTGTGTATGCCGCACAGGTCGTGTAAGGGGGCTGCATGCGTATGCTTTCGAGATGATTCGATCTGAGTCTGCTTCGTTCGATCTGTAGACATGATGGTGCGGTGTGTGTCTACGAGGTGTCTGTCGGCGGACGTGTGCTACCGTTGGCTAATGTTTATCGCATAATGATGCTTTTGTCGATGTATCTGCCGTATTCACTGTTGTTGCCGCGTCTTCCATGTCGGAATGCCATCACCTGGACAATTGCTGCTGTTGTCACGATCGAATGTTGCCTCTTGTCGTCGTCCACGTTGTCGCTGCTGTTGTGTCTGCCATGCATGCGGTTTGGCATAGCTTACCTTTGTTGTGTGTCTTGAGGATATGAGAAGGAACCTGGGGGAAAGGGAAGGAGGAGGAAGCGATGTCAATCTCGAACTCGACCTGGCACGCAACCGTCGACACACTCCAAGACCGCACACACACGGCCAAGTGTGCCTCGCTCTCTCGCTCGCTCACCGGCTTGCCTTGTGCTGTCTCTCTTCCAGCCGCTCACTGCCCGCCTGGCTATCGCGAAGACCTGGCCTTCCAGTTCGAAGATTGCGAATCCTGCAGTGCGATTTGACCCATTGCAGCTCAGCTCACCCGACTGCTCTCTCGCCGAGATTTTGGCCAAAGTATGAATTTGGGTGTAAAGATTGTATTGGTTGCTAATCGAAACTTCATGTTGAATTCTTCGAAGTTCGAATATGCTCACGTGATGTTGGTAAGACAACGGCCGATGCCAATGTTTTTTTTCGATGATGCGAAAATTTCGTTTGGTTCGACGTAACAAATTGGTCGACTGAAAATCGACTCGGATGATGCACACCACATTCCAAACAATTGGTGGCAACGGACTCACTCTCCTCGCTGCTCTCGGGACGGCTCTGCCCACATAACTTGCGCAATCATTCCGGCGGCTGGAAGCGACATTATTAGCAGACCAACTCTCCCGCGCAGAGAAGCTTGCTCCAGAACACGTGTGAGACGGCATAGAAGATTGATTGTGTGAGAGAAGCATCTACAGAACCTGCTTATGACCGTAGGGGTTGTGTGGGTGCTCATACGAGGTCGTTGCAGCATCTCGTCTCTGCCGTGTTACTGTATCTCAACGATGGAGATTTCATCTCATCTCGCTCCCACACGACTCTTGCTTGGACCGGTTTCCGTGCTTCAGCCACTGTCTCTTGGCGTATCGCCATCTGATCCGCCGTCAGCTTTGGCAGAAATGCGCAACGATCGCCATCTCGCATATGACAGAGATAGGAGGTTCCGGTCCAAGTGGGTCCGAGCCCGATATAGTGTAGCCTCCGTCCGGTCCTACTGTAAGTCCAGATTCGTCGTCGGCTCGAGCTCCGAAGGCGACATTGCGAAGGGTGGGACCCCTCTCGAAATTCATGCTCAAGCGAGGCTCGGGTAGGGTGAGAGCCAAAGTCAGGAGCGACAATTCACTGCTCTTGCAGCGCTACTTTTTTTCCGACAGCCCAGTCTGAGCTGCAGGACTCTTTGCAACAACCCGAGGCGCAGCTGTCGAGGTCGATCGCAACGAGTGATGTGATCACAGAGAAAGACACAAGCCTACACACGGTATGTGTTTGTGCAGCCTGGTCTGCATGATCACCTGGAGACGGAACCTCGATAGGCCATGGCGGTGGTGCGTCTTGGTTGTGCTTGAATTAGAACGTGGATGGGGGCGAAGCTGCACTATGGACCCTGACTTTTGGTCCAAAGCCGCCCCTTCGTCTAAGTGGACCCCTTGCCAGCCACAGTGTCTCCTCGCGTTTTGGCTGCATCTTGTGTGTTCGCAGCCGCTCGCTCGTCCAGCGACTGACTGATCAGTCGATGCATCTACCTCCGGCAAGCGAGCGCCTCCTATTTCCGCACTCGTCTGAACTGGCGAGCGGGACTGTCGACAGCCCAAATCAAACACCAAGCTTCGCATGAGCCAGCGATTTGTATGTGACGCGCAATCGAGCATCACTAGCGCCTGCACATCGCTGTTCCTAGCGCCTTTTGCAATCTATTCCAAGTTCACGCCGAGCCACAGCACGGATACAGCGCATCGCATAGCATAGCATAGCATCGCAGCGCCGCGCCGCGCAGAGCATGACGTCGGGGTCCAACCGGAACGCAGCCTCGCTGTCAGCATGGACCGCGATCAAACGCCAACGCGAGCGAATCTCTCACTCTGTTTCTGTCACGGATAGCAAAGGACACATGTCAGCGAAGCGACAGCACTTGACAACGGCTATGACCAAGATGGAAGCGCCGACAAATGAGCACGGAAGCGGCTAGGCGCGTCAGTGTCAAGAATGTCAGGATCGTGCATGAGCTGTCGACGCAGTTCGGCTGTTCCTCCGCCCAGAAATGTCACGAACAGGAAGGACAATGAGAAAGCTAATTCAGAGGAAGCAAATAATCACGCAGCGCATTCCGATACAGCACAATCAGTAGATTGTGTTGTGCGACACAAAGAGCACAAAGAGGCGAGGAACGCGCACCCACCGCGTCACACCCTCGAGCCGCCGCTTCGCCTCGATAGTGCTCTTAACTTATCGGAGCAGCCGGTGATGTTCTGAAAGGTGCACTTCGGCTGCAATTCTTGCTCCGCTTCCCCTCTGCGGTGTGTGATCCCGAAAAATGGACGGATTTTGAGATGGCGGCGGTCTCTGTATCAGCCATGCAGTATTGTACTTTTGGGAGCCTTCCCGCCCAGCGTGCCCATCTCGTCTTTGTGATCAGCGTCGCTATCCTCCCTCTTCGCCATTGACCTTCTCGCACACGTACCCGGCGGAGAGTCACAAAAGTGCGGCGCAAGACGTCGTATCTCCTGTCCCACCTTTTCGCCATCTTTACTCCAGACGTGCACAACCTCCCGTTTCGCCGTCTTCGCCGTTTCTCAGCCGCGCTGTTGAACCCGCTCTCGCTCGCATTTCTTCCAGACAGGAACATCGTCGCCCATCTGGCATTCCTGGAAACCGCTTCAGCAGGCTGAAGCCGTTCGACGCACGACTACGCCGCGCCGCGCCACGACACTCCACATCTGCTCACTAAGCCAGGAACGCAGCCTTGGCATCCACATCTCTTTCTTCAACGCCACCATCGGCCGCACGTCTGCGTCGGTCTTCACTTCAGCCTGACTCCAGCCTCGTCTTCTCGCACACTTACGACCATTTTCGAGGCTCGCTGGTCCACCTTGTCGCGAAAGGTAGGACCGCACTCTGCCAACTTGCTCCTTGGACGGCAACAGATCGTGGGTCGATCTCACGTCTCTACACAAAGTCTCCGCTGAGAAACTCGTACGGTGATACAGAGGTGATGATGCATCGCAGCTTCGCAAGCGCCATCGTTCACGATACAGATATCGACACCTCTCACCTGGGTTCTTCTTACAACTCACCCTTCATATACACCCTATCCACCGGACAGCCCAACATGATCAAGCAAGCTGCTCCGCAGCATCCGCACGGACTCACCAAATTACAGCATCGCCTTCTCTACGAGTCCGACTCGGAATCTTCCTTCGACTTGTCCTTCAGCTCACCCTCCAGCGTCGGATCTGGTTCTGTTTACAGCGATGTCGGTTCACGTACCGGCAGCTCCAGCTTCTCGCGCCGCGCCGGCCGTCATGGCTCCAATGCGTCCCGCTCCGAGTCCATCTCTTCCGTGCTCGGCTCTTCCATGGCCATACAAAGGGTCATGATGGGCGGCAGCGACACCGCGCCGAGTCGTTCAAGGCAGTCACAGCGCCAGTCGGTGCGAGCCATCGCTAGCGCTTTCGAAGAAGCTAGCAAGTCAAGCACCGTACGTGCGCCTCCCATCAAGTTGCCAAGTCAGCTCGGACGCGTCGATGAGCAGAGTGAACCACGCAGATTCGTTGCTCAGGGACATAACGGGTCAACGCTGCCCGTTTGTCGTCCCGCCGGCTCCTTCTCTGCTGAACGCAGCAACACCTCGCGTACCGTGGTCAATCGGTCTACGGAGGCTCCCATTTCGGCTCCTGCCACGACCGCTACCTCACAAACCTCGCAAGCTTTTGCTCCGCGTGCAGGCTCAAACAATACGACCCTGCAGCACCCTCACTTCGTGTTCCCATCCCGAACTCCAACCCAACAACAAGAACAGTGGTCGCACGACCAAGATTCACAGCGTCAGTCTCGCAGCTTTGTCGGCTCAAAAACCCAATACGATGACGAGGAACCCATCTTCGATATTGTCCCTTCACCATCCCGCAAACGGAATGTTGGCCTACCTTCTGTCATGGTGGCCTCTCGCACCTCTCTTGTTCAGCAAGAGCCTGACGCTCCTCGTGCATCTCTGTCTAGAAGTGCGTCCACCATCGCCTCTTCGCCTCGACTGCCATCCTCGCTCACCACAACATCACGCGACTCGCTTGACTCGAGCTACTCATTGGACTCGCTCAGCGGCCATCCCTTTTCGTTGCAATTCGCCGGCGACGAAGACGATGGTGACATGCGAGTCAGTACGACTGCATCTATGCAGGATCCAGATGAGGTTGACATTTTCAGCAGCCCATTCATCAACCACGGCGCGAAAGGCTTCGTCATCCCACCATCTCCGCATTCGGAGAGCAAATCCCTTTCCCGTCAGCAGAGTGAGCCTTCATCTGCAGCTCCGCCCGACGCGCTCCTTGCTTCGTCGGGGCGCACGCTTCAGCCCCTGCTTCTTTGCTCGTCACGTCCGTCCTCCTCTTCGTCGGCCTCGACGGCGACGCAGACACTGTCAGCAACGTCAACAGCGCAAGCGCAGCCGATTGCCTCGATGAGGATCAACCAAGATACTTCGTTCCCGCTTCCGCCCGGCACTCATGGGTCGACGCTTCGCTCCGCGTCCGTAGAGAGACAGGCTCTCCCGTCTATTCGCGAAGCTGCCCCCACCACCGCAGTCGACCTCGGCAGCGAATCTGGAGCAGACCAAACACTCGCGATCTCTGAACTCAAACAACAAGCAGCAGCGCTGCTCGAGTCGATTCGTTCCCTCAGCGATGAGATCGACGAGTCCATCCCATCGACGCATCGCTTGCCCGGTACCTCGTACAAATCTGCCGCTGGTGTCCACGGCAATCGTAGCAATCACAGTAGCAGCGGTAGCGACGTCGAAGGCACAAAAGCATCCTTCGTGGCGGTCGACGAAACATACACCGACGTATGGAGGCTCATGGACTCTTGGTACTGGTCGAGCTTTGAAGTCGGATCACAGTAGACCCACCTCCCTTTCGTCGTTCCACACGCATCGCTCCTACACTCCCTATACCTCCTTATCACAGGTCGCGCATTCAACCAAACCCGTTCCTTCACGCCAGACACGTTCCCTTCTCGTGCATCCCTCAGCACCTTCATTCCGTTAGCTCACACTGTATTTCTAGTATTCTTAGCATTCGCCAAACATCAACCACTCATTTTTCTGTTCTCCCCATCGTCTCATCAGCACTATCCCGAAACGAATGACATTCTGATGAGCACAGACACACATAGAGGCACCAACAAAGAAGATGAGGGTTTGAAAACGAGCGCAGGCAGCGGAGCAATTAGAATTTCGCGAGTCAGGACCACAAACACAACGCGAGTCGAGTGAGCCTTGACCTGATCGAGCCGCCTTGTCCCACCAGATGGCGACATAGGAGCGGTCAATCACACCAAGGGGAGTACTAATATACAAGACGAAAACACACCAAATCTACAAGGTCGCGATACCAGACCGTGACACCTTTAAGCAACAAGCGAAGCCATGAGACCCGACCAGTCCATACCGGCAACGTCGGCCCTTTCATGACTCGCGGGCAGGAATCCACTACCAACGGCATCCTCGTCGCCGAGACCAATGTTGAGCTGCAGAGGCTCCTCGATCTCAATGTCCAGATCGACAAGGTCGAAGGGCGACGAGCCGGCGCTGACATCCATCTCAGATGACGAGACGTCCGCGTCGGTGTTGACGTTGGCGGCGGTGTCTTGAGAGGTGCTGTAGATATCTTGCAGCATCGCGTCGGTGGCGAGCTCCCACATGTTCCTCTCTGTGGGAAGAAGAGGAGAGTTCAGGAGTCGGAAGCGTTCTTGAAGGCTTTGCTCCTCGTTCTGCGCGAGAGACAAGCTGATGGTGTTGAAGATGGCGGACTCGCCAGTCTCGCTGATGGTCTTGTTCTGATTGCTGCTGCTGTTGTCACTCGCACCCTCGCTCAAGCCCGTCGAGACGGTGCTCAGGCTTGCGAGACCATCGGCAGAGGCGTCTGCTGGTCGCAAGGCGCCGCCTGCTGCTGCTGTTGCTGCATGGTTCTCGCCCACAGATACAGGTTGAGACGGGGCGGTAGGCGTCGAGGAACCTTGATCTTGAGCCGCAATCGTCGCGTCACTGTGGGCAGGTTTGGCGTCGAGGTCAATAAAGTTGGAGAGGAGAGCCTCAGCTTCACGGGCGACACCGGCTGCCTTTGCTTCGACGACATGCTGAGTGAGAGGGACTTGGGCGCTGGCCGCGATCGACGACGGCTGCTCGAGAGCAGGAACGCTGATCTGGCTGGCGAGGGGGTAACCTTGATTGACGATGCTGCTGCCGTTGACATCGACGTTGCTTCCGACCTTTCGGACGACACCTTGTTGACCGGCGACACTCTCAAACTGTGTGAAGGCATCCGCTGCTGGGACTGCTCGAGCTCAGCATCTTGACAAGAAGATGGTGCATCAGAGCAGGTCGCCTCCGCTGCAGGGAGGCGAACGCCTTCATTCGAGGTTTGCTGGGACAAAGTGGCAAAGGAAAGGGGAGAGGAAGCAGTCGATGCCGGCGCTGCAATCGCCAGGGGCAAGGTGACCTCCTTGCTAGCCGAACCGTTGTTCTGCACAAGCGCAGACGTGAGGTTCGCGGACAAGCCCGCATCCAACTGCGAAGCAAGTGTGGAAGCGGAGGAAGCGGCGAGAGCCGATGGATTGGAGGAGGATGGAAGAGACAATGAAGACGACGACGAACCAAGGAGCGGGATGAGGGAAGGAGCGACGGTGCGGAGAATGGTCTCGAGCGTAGTAACACGCAGCTGAGCCTCGTTAAGCTTAGCGTCGAGGGCTTGACGGACAGACTGATCCTGTTCGCGCTGTTGACGAAGCAGCGTGTTTTCGGCCTTGAGGTCGTTGAGAGAGCCTTCAAGCGTCTCAACGTACGCCTTTTTGCGTTCTCGCGAGTATTGGGCCGAGAGACGGTTGCGGGCTTGACGAGCTTCGAGACGAGCCTTGCGCTCCTCGTCGCTGGCTTTGCGGCGTCCTCCGATGTGGCTGGACTTGGAGGGCGAAGCCGAAGAGGAGGCGGAGTCGTCGAGATCGTGTTCGTCGTCTTGCTCGTCGTCGTCGTCCTGGTCGTGGATGACCTTTCGCTTTTTGCTGTTCGGAGAAGATTCAGCAGAGTTGAAGCCAAAAGTCTCCTGCTTGACTGATGTCTCTGAGTGACGCGACGATGATGCGAGCGCGGAAGGCATTGACGCTGTGGATGGCGGGGCGAGAACAGACATGGGAGACGGCGAAGTGGTGGTGGCGATGGTGGTCGTCATGATGGGCGACTCGACGAGCCATTGATGATGTGGAAGATGGAATGATTGAGGCAAGGTCGAGTCAGGGGCTTGAGATGGGTAGGAATGGTCTCCAGCACTCAGTGAAGAGGAAGAGATGGCGAAACTATAGAATCACGCTGGGAGATGCAGAGCAGATGCAATGGCTGGTGGGTGCGTGGTTGCGTGGATGACGTGGAGATAGAATGACCTGATGCGTTGAAGCAGAAGGCAGGTGCGAGGAGGGAGGAGGAGAAGAGAGGTGAAGTTGGGAGATAGGGTGTTGTAGACGTGGAAGGCGAAAGGGATGATGTGGACGTGAAGTAGGATCAGGATGAAATCAGAGTCGAAGCAGTGCGGGGCTTTAAACTGTCTACGTGGCAGTTGTTGCCTTCTGATTCGTTCGTTGAAAGACTGGAGCGCAGCCTCACCGGTCAGCCGCTGACCCTGCTCTTGCGGGTAAGTTAGCTGCAGGCGCGGGCTGTGCTTTGCGTTCCCGACGCGGGCTGAGCAATTTTGAAAGGATCGACGTGGAAGGTCAGGGTCCGGTTTTGAGTTTTATCGTGCGAAAAGATATGACACACCATGCATCGTTGATCCAGGTGGGGAGCATCTCCCGATCAGGACTGCACGATGATGTTGCTTCGCTTATGCACATCAGCATGCCGCGCCAAAATTGGCTGCGGAAGACCCTTGCCGGTTTGATTCTGTGCCTGTTGACAATGTGTCTGTGACCCACAAGGTCTTCCGCACCCTCTCTGATCATCGACATGATGTCGACGGACTGATACCCGGCTCTCTGTTCAGTGCTCTCAGTGTTCAGCACCACCTGCTCAGCTCGGGCTCATACCCTCGACATGATCATGGCGCAAAGACCGGGTGTACCACGGCTGTACAGCGGGGCTGTCAATGCCATGTTTGACGATGTCGACGATCTCATTCGAGGCGATCCTCCCGCAATCAATGACCCGCTGCCGCCACCCTTCGTTATCGCCGGATCTGCTGCAGTTGCAACCGCAGCAGCCACGCTGTCTCTCGAATGTGACACATATGCTAGAAACACAGCATCATCGGATCGCTCGGTCCCAGCGTATCAGCCTCCACTGCGCCAACGTGTCGTAGGCTACTACGAGCGACATACGCAGCTCACCAACACTCTCCAGCATCTCGGTGACGTTCCAACCAAGCTTGATGCCCTTCAACACGACATCTTCTCCGTCACCGGCAAAGTCAAGAGTCAGGAGACTCGACTCAAGACGCTCCAAACCGTCTCTCAGGAGACTCGAGAATCCCACGCCAAAAGGAGTAGCTCCGTCGCCAAGCGGCTATTGAACAAGCACGGCAAGCGAGCTCGTCTGCTTGTCCAAGCTCACAATCAAGCCGAGAAAGCAGCAGCCCAGCAGGCTGCACATGAAGCCGACCTAGCCAACAACCGATCTACATTGTCTTCCATGCAGCTGCACAAAATTGAGCTCGAGCGCGACCTAGTCGAGTACCAGGCTGCGTCCAGCCAACTCGACAAGATTGACGAGACTCTCTTCGATGGCGCCACGCCCGAATTTGTCCAAGATGACTTTGCAGAGTGGGAGCTCAAAGTATGGCTGCAAGTCCAAGTCTTCATGGCTGCAGAGACGAATCGCGAGAAGCGCGCACGGCAGCTGCTCAAAGATGCATCGCCCATCCTCGCCTCCATCATCAAGGACATCCAGAGCGCACTCCAGTACTGCATCGACTCAGGTGTAGCCCGCAACCAGAAGTATACCAAGAACCTGATCTCCAACACCACCGCCAAATCCACCGTCAGCGGTACCCAGCCTTTGGTGCTCAGAGCCAAGACGAGCTCCGGCAAGTTCTTCACCACCGTCGCAAAAGCGCGCGGTAGTCAGATGCTCGTCGCGCGTCCACCCGAGTTTCGACTGATCGAGCTCCATCTCATGCCCGGAAGCAAGAATCCGAAAGCGGTCGACGAGCGGGGGCTCCACAAATCGCTCGAGACTTCGTATGCGCAAGCAAAGGCGCTCGATTCCTTCCTCAAGCGCGAGATCGCAGCAAGCCTCGAGCGTCAGAAGAAGCTCTCTGTCGAGACAGCAAAGTTGCAGAACACCCTCAAGGATGCGCATCGAAATTTACGGAATGTTCGTCGAGAAATCGTTCTTGCCGTGGTGCGAGAAGATGGTAGCCGAGAGGACGGCACGCAAGCGCCGGCTACTGGTCAAAGCTTGAACGAAGAGCAACGTGACTACGCGCTACCGCTGCAAGACCAAGCCAATCCGATGATCTCCACCCACTTCCAAGAGAACCTGCGCAAAGAGTCGCATTCTCGCTTGCGCAAGCTCGTAGCCCTGCCCGACCCGGAATCCGAGGACGACAATCTCTACCCCGTCATCGCCTGATACATCGCCCGTTCTGTTCGTTCAGATTGCATCTTCTCGGAACCCACTTTGGATTCTGATTCGTCGAAAGCAGCACAATGCTTTCTTGTACTTGTACCTCTATCTTTGCAATCAGTCACATTCATTCATCAGCGAGACTGTATTTCCAGGAACTGAGCTTGGTGCAAGGTGATCGGTAAGACTCGAGAACATTCTTGGACTGCTTACTCCGCCAAAGGCAAGCAGAGTTCAGGGCTAAGAGGTGAATTGCAAGAGAGCATAAGGAGAGAGAGCTGATCGTCGCGGGCAACTTGCGTCATGCTACCTAAAAACGCTCCTTCCCGTTCCTCGAGTCTAGCCCGTTTGGACGTGTTTGCTCACCAGAGCGACACCACACCGCGCTACCAATCCATGCGTCTTGCGACTACGGAGTCCGACGGGGGTTGACGAGTTGATCCCTCCACGAGTACGGGGCAAATCAAAGCTAAGTCCCGTCGTTCCCCGTCAAAGTGGAGGACGACCGAAAGCATGAGTCGGGGCCCCGCATTCGCCTTGATGCAAAGACTGCAGGACAATGTGATCTAATGTACTGATCTCGACACTGCATTGCATGACACGAGATCTGTGGGGAAAGTCGGCGTTCCTGAATCAGACGGAACGCATAATCAGACGATCTGCAAGTCGTTACGCTGAACGGATCTTGCCGAAGGGTGGAAAGTCGGAGACAGTGCGGCCAAACTCATAGCCTTTGGTACGGTCTCTGTGGATCACCGCGAAGAAGTGGTCGGGAGCGATTTCTAGCGGGACAAGCTCGTGTGATGACTGTGTTCAAGAAGGGCGCAGGATGTTCCAGTCTTCGGGGATATGCGTTCGCCGAGCGTGACGAGCAAAGTTCGAACCACGTCGCCATGACTACGCATTTGTCGACTCGGTGTGGAGCGGAGGGCACATGCGCACCGAGATACCCGCATCATCCGCGGGATGAAGCTCGATTCGTGATGTCTTGCTGACTCTACAACTTTTGCTGAGAACGCCAAGGCAACTGCCGTCTCGACCGTCACAGCAAGGGTGGATAGGACTCTAAAAAGAAGGAAGAGCAAGAGGACAGCAGAAGAAGTGTATTGCACCCTTCACTCCGGACAAGTGAGCAAAGTGAACGCGTTCGTTGGTCGAGCGAAAAGGAAACGCCAAGAACTCCGCTCTGCGTGGGTCGCAGCAACATCGGTGAGCGAGATGTCTGACGATGTCGGCACTTTTCGACAGCTTTCCTGTACGAGACCACGTTCAGCGAAGAAACACACTGCCCGAGAGCCCGCCTTGAAAAAATCCATCGAGAAGTCTCGACCCTGCATTCGTCTTTCCCCGCACTCCTCTGCCGTTTTGCCCTGCAGAGAGACTTCCGACTTCGTTGTCGTTTCCCCACGGTCGCACAAAACCTCCAGGCAACGTGGCATCTGCAGCCAGACTTCCATCTCGCCAGGAGACATTAGTGGCGGGCCACAAACAGGGCCAAACCTATTTCCAGCAACGGCTTTGCACCAGTGATGTTGCTACTGACGGATGTCTCCGTTCCTCGTTCCATCGATCCAGATTTCAGCATCCATGATCCAGAATCAGAGCACAACATCACAAGCCACCACTGTTCCTCAGCCTCCGCCCTTCTTTCTCTTGGCTACAGAACAAAGATACGGCCTGCAGAGCTACCTCTCTCCGAAATACTCGTTCTGACTCATGAAATTGCGACCGCAGACCAAGCTGGCCTGCTCCTTGTTCAATCGAAGAATCGTCGCCGTCTTTCGGAAAATCTCGCCCCCGTGTCCTGTCATCCCGTCATTGCCGGTGACTGTCTTGGCCTCCCCCACGACGAGCGTGCCAAGTCTGCAGTCTCGATGCGAATGTGTGAAGCAAGCGGCGCCTTGCAGAAGTCGGGATGTCCCTTCATTGCGGGACGAAAACTGACGTTCCTCAGATCGTGAGTCTGGAGACAAGATTCGCGATCCGAAAGGCTTACCATTCATGGGACGAGAGTCCAGATCTACAGAAGAACGGGGAGATTTTTTCAGAAGCGTCGATACGGCGAATCCTTGTTCTTGTAACAAAAAGCACTTGAGGAGCCTGTTCAGAGGAACAATGGGACGGAGGAGGGGCGAGCGGAAAGGCGGCACAGCGGTGCTCGGGGTTGCTGAGTTTGTATCTCGGTGTCAAATTGCAACTCCACGTTTTCGCTCTTTCGTCGTGACCGTGCGACTATCCACAACGGGCTCGACGGCATTGCGCCTCTTCTTTCCTTCGACTCTCCGTCCTATCCCCTTTCTATCCCCTGCAATCCCCGCTTCGTAGAACCTCCCCTCCGGTCTTCCCGCTGCTCCAACGACAATTGTTCTCTACGTTTGAAGGGACTTGTTGAGATCTCGACTTTGATGCTTTATTGCCCTGGCAAGGAAAGGTCGAGGCAAGCATATCCCTCTTGCTCGGCACCCAGCGATGATGTGCTCTCGCCAATGCTCGTCTTCAAGCGCACCGGACTCAAGTGAGAAAGCGGTTGTTTCTCGCTACCGCTGCAACGGTGAATGCATCGAACTCCGACTCCAGACTCGTTCGTTGGCTGATCTCGGTCGACGTCTGCGACAAGATCTGTGTGAGGACGGGAATGGACGAAGAGGGGGAGCTGCAGCTTTGCAGGGTTGACTGACAGGAAATAGCAGCTTGCTTTAGCCGAGCGTACAATGGCAGTGTCCCTTGGTTCGCTTCTAGAGTGCCAAGCCTTGGCCACGCATATTGCTTTCATGCGTACTGGTGCTTTTTCTTGATAGACTGGCGTCAAGCGTCGTAAAACGACACTGTCCTAACCTGGTGGAATCCGGCAGCGGCCTCGTGGCATCGATCAGTGTCTGGCACCGGCGACCGTATCAGTTTCGCGCGTTCCTGGATCGCCGTGTCTTCCATCTGTGGCCCCAAACAGATCGCATCTTCTCGTCATAACGTTGTGCCATTCTGCCTTGCATCTAAAAGCCGCACCGGCCGCAGAGAAGATTCAGTCTGTGGCCGCGCCTGGAACCCAGAATCGAGAACCAGACCAGGTTCAGACTCTCGTAGAGCTCTACCAACGCCTGCCTATCGATCCAAGGCTCAGCTCGATGGCCGGAACTTCCTCAGTCGATGTCCCATCGAAACCCTGATCATGTTGTAGACACCTCGCTATCCTAAGCATATGCTCTACGTTTCGTTAGCCCTGTTCTAATTGGTCGACCCCGGATCCACTCAAACCATGCATGTCTAGGTCGCTTAGCCCGTGAGGATTCGGGGCATCTCAACGGTCTTCCCAACGAGTCTCATCTGAAGCGGACCTCACTGCACTCATGCAGATCGTGCCACAACGTTTCGCCATGTACAAGGTGGCCTGAATGAGCGTTGACCATGTCAGCGCCAAGTCGCGTCGTTGCTGCACCCCAGACTCGTGAACGTCTTGGCCCGCATGCTGCCCCGCATTCGTTGTACCTGTCTCGCCAGTCTCGTCTGCCTCTACACCACGGCCTCGTGGTACCCCCGCAAAGGTCGTTGACACATTCCCCTTCCTATCTTGGAAGGTATAAAGTCCTGCCTCTGGCCGTTCTTATCTCTTCCAACCTACCCTCGTCTTTCCTCCCTTATCCCTTCCTCTCCCCATCCTTCAAGGGCTCTTCAGCACCTCCCTCAAGCAGCCACGGCCCTGCTAACAAGCACCCTCATCGCCTCAATCCATTCCGCACAAAGCTTTTACGACCACACCCTGTAATCACCAACAGCCATGTCGTACCGCAACTCTGACTCGGCTTCGATCGAGAAGAAGGATGACTCCCGCCTCGAGGATGGTGTCATGATGGCACCCGTCCTCACCGCCGGCACCACCCACGCCGACGCCGTCGCCTCCACCGTCGAGGACCCCAAGGAGACCGCTCGTCTCATCCGCAAGCTCGACTGGCACGTGCTCCCCATCTGCTCCGTCCTCTACCTCTTCTCCTTCCTGGACAGGACGGCCATCGGCAACGCAAGGGTCCTTGGTATGGAGACCGGCTTGAAGTTGGTTGGCAACCAGTACGCTGCCGCGCTTTCCGTCTTCTTTGGTCTTTACTGCTTGCTCGAGGTCCCGTCGAACCTGATCCTCAAGAAGATAGGCGCCAAGAAGTGGATCCCCATCATCGTCATTGCATGGGGTATTGTCATGCTCCTTACCGGTACCTCCAACAACTTCGCTGCTCTCTTCTCGTGGCGTCTCCTTCTCGGTGCTGCCGAGGCAGGTCTCTTCCCAGGCATCACGTACTATCTCACCGTCCTCTACCCACGCAAGTCGATCCAGCTGCGAGTTGGTCTCTTCTTCTCTGCTGCCACCATCGCCGGTGCCTTCGGTGGTCTGCTCGCTTTCGGTCTCGCCAAGGTTCGCGTTGGCGCTACCGAGGGCTGGCAGTGGATCTTCTTCGTTGAGGGTGCTTTGACCATCATTGTCGGTGTTGTTGCTTACTTTGTCCTCTTCGACGGTATCGAGAAGGCTCCCTTCCTTACCGAGAGCGAGAAGGTCTACATGAGCGACCGTGTCCACTTCGACGGTAACGACATCCCCATGAACGACGAGTTCGCCTGGAAGTTCGTCTGGGCCGGTCTCAAGGACTGGAAGACTCTCTTCACTCTGATCTGCTACGTCACCACCATCACCCCGCTCTACTCCACTGCCCTTACCCTGCCTACCATTCTCAAGACCTCGCTCAAGTACAACTCGGTCGACGCCAACCTGTACACTGTCCCCGTATACACTGTTGCCGCTGTCACCGTCGTTATCTTTGCTTACTTTGCCGACCGCACCGGTATCCGATTCCCCTTCATCTGCCTTGGCACCCTCATCTCTGGCATCGGCTGGGGTCTCTCGCTCGCCTACGGCAAGTCCCACCCCAAGGTCGCTTACGGTGCTCAATTCATCTCGGCTGCCGGTTCGTACGCCGCCTTCCCTGGTGTGGTTGCATCGCTGACCCAGACCATCGGTGGTAAGACCAAGCGATCGGTGTGCATCGCCATCATTGTCGGCTTCGGTGGTCTGGCCGGTACCATCTCGAGCAACATCTTCCCCAAGAAGCAGGCTCCTTACTTCCACCGTGCCCACTACATCAACATCGGCATGAACGCCACCGCCTTCATCTCGGCTCTGTCGTTCGCCGGCCTTCTCAAGCTCGCCAACATCCGCAAGCAGAAGAAGATCGACTCGGGTGAGGCCGCCCGTCTCTCGAAGGAGGAGATCGCCGACATGGGTGACGAGTCTCCTTACTTCAAGTACCGCTACTAAGCGAGGTTCGGTCCCTGCTCAGAGATTCATACTTGGGTTGAGAGCACAATTGGCATCAGTCTCCGCTTCACGTTCCTCATTGTTTTTACGCCAGGGTATCATTGTCATGTATGAATAGATTCATTCTCCCGCATTTCATGGAGAATAAATAGTCACAAGCATCCGCTACATCTTCACTGCCTGTGTTGATCGAGTCATGAGGAAATTTGAAGCTGGGTTGGTCTCCGAAACGAGCTCCCTTCCTTCGCCATTGATAGTGTCGAAGCTTCCGATCGTCCATGACTTGAAGTAGCTCGCCCACCGCAACAGGAACAGAGTTACCGAGTCCGAAAGCATACACATGCTTGGCTTACAGTGTGAAGGTCAAGGACGACCAAACTTCGTTCGACGCTCGACCTTCAACGACCATCAAGTTCAGTAAGCTCGAACCTTTCCAAAGCCTCGCTTGTTACGAGCATCAGCACCTGATGAAGCTGATCATAGAGCCTTCTGTTGCCGTAAAAGAGTTGCCAAACGATGAACAACGAACCGCCCTGCTTGAGCTGTTCTCAGAGTTTGACAGCTGCGAAATTCATCGGAATTCGGCGTGTTAGAACACACAGTCGATCGCGTGGGAGCGCGGACCTCCTCGAATCAGCATTGTCCAGCTCCACATCGACCTTCGCACGCTCGCATCTACGCTTTCTGACGACTCGTCACACGCTCTGCCGGCACTGACGCCTCTCAGGCTTCCCGTCGCGAAGAGCATCACCGTTCTATACCTTACAGTACTGTACAGAAAGGATGCGATAGAATCTTTGAACGATTTGCACGGCGTATCGTCGCACTTCGATCTAGGCCTCGGCACAAGCTTGTAAGGCCCGACCATGCAGCCGAATGGAGGCCAAGGAAGCTTCGGCTTCGGGGGAACATCAGGGTCAAATGCCTTTGGTGCATTTGGTCGGCCGCAACAGGCAGCATCGTCTACGTCAAGCAGCAGCGCTCCACCAAATACGTTCTTTCGTCCACCATCTCAAGCAGCACAGCCATCCGCCTTCTCTTCCAGCTTCGGCAATGCTCAGCCACAATCGCAGCAGCAGCAGCCGGCGTTCGGCGCTCCTCGACCGGTCGGCAGTGTCGCGACTCGACCACAGTCTCAACAGTCCACCTTTGGCGCACCTCGCCCCTTCAATGGCGGACAGCAACCGAGACCACAGCAATCGAGCTTCAACACTTCACGCCCTTTCACAAATGGTCCACCATCCCAATCACATTCGCAACCGCAGCAGTCATCGACGTTTGGCAGCAGACCGAGACCGTTCACCTCGCGACCGACGGGGCCCAGCTTTGCGCAGGAGGGTAGACCTCCGCATTCAGGCTCGTTCCGAGGAGCAAGAGGCGGAGGTACCATTCGTCCCGTCAGACCTTTCGCGTCGCATGCGAATGCCGGAAAGCAGTCGTCATCTTCGTTCGGCGGTCAATCAGGCGTAGAAGCAGGACCCGCCAATCAGAACGCATCTCGGCCAAGACCAAGACCCTTCGCGAACAAGTCCACTACGTTCAACACACAGTCGCAAGAGACTGCACCGATGGAGCCCTCCGCAGCCCGCTCGGATGGTCCGCCTTCAGCATCAGTGTCGACCTCGACATCGCAGAATGTGAATCAGGGTAACGCATCCCTGACGGGTCCGTCTGCATTCGGCCAGTCCAGCTCGTCATTCTCAACGACGCAGACGCCGAGTAGCAGCTTGATTCAGGGCACGTCTGCTTTAGGCTCGACGCCTGTAGCCAACCAAGCCTCTTCGTCAACCTCGGCTTTCGGAGGATTCTCGAATCCAAGCAACACTCCCGCCTTTGGCTCTGCCTCCACACCTTCGGCATTCGGATCCACCATGGGCACTTCCGCTTCCGCTTCTGCTTTCGGGGCCAGTCAAGGCACCTCTCCATTCGGTGCCTCTTCGTTCACAGCGTCTCAGTCGCAACCACAATCGAGCTCTGTTCCTCCTAGTGCGCCCTCTATCAGTGCTCCTCAGACGACGAGCAATGCCCTTGCAGCACCTTCCGCAGCGCCGACCAGCTCCTTCTCCAACTTCCTACGCAAGGATCGTAGCGGGGCTTCCACGCCAGGCACCGGCGCGGCGACACCATTCGCATCGAGCGGGACCGGTATGAATGGTACAGAAGACGAGGACGAGCTCCGCAAGAAGCGCTTCGAAGATGCTCCCAAGGTGGGCAACCGCTTCCTTGAGATGAAAGGTGGCAGAGAAGCACTTCGAAATGCGTACATCAAGTCAGGAGTGCTTCCAGACCCAGACAAGCCGACCGATCTGGCTTTGGCGGTCAAGCTGGTTGGAACATGTCAGGACATGTGCCCCGAGTTTGAACGCGAGGAACGCGAGTTTCAGAAGGAGCTCGATCCTCTCGAAATGTATCCGGGCACAGACCGAGTCGATCCACGCATCGCTGTCAAGATCTACCGACGTCCCGCAGCAGGGCGAGAGCTACCTCTTCCAGAAGACGTTCGCCCACCGCCCGTCCTCAAGCGCACGCTCGACTACCTCTTCCACGACCTTCTGCCTTCCGACCCGAACGATGCAAGATTCGCCCAGGTTCAGGGTTTCCTTTGGAACCGCACAAGGGCGGTGCGTCAAGATTTTATCGTTCAGAGCGAAGGCGGTGCGATCGCTATCGAATGCCACGAGCGCATCGCGAGGTATCACATCCTGTGCCTCCACTGGAGAGGCGGGCCCGGCGCGGAAGGCTGGAGCGAACAGCAAGAGCTCGAGCAGCTAAGAAAGACGATGCGCAGTCTCATGGAGTTCTACGACGATGCTCGCAGAAAGTCGGTCGCCGGCAATCCCGGAGGCAGCGCTCAGCTCGCTTCTCCCAACGAGGCCGAGTTCCGCGCCTACAACTTGTTGCTTCACTTGCGCGATCCCGAGACGCTACGGGAAGCTGAGCTGCTCCCCGGTGACATTTTCCGCTCCCCCCTGGTACAAACGGCCATCCATCTGCGCCAGCTCTCACAGCGATCCAACAATCTCGAAAAGCGTGGCCAACCACGTAATACAGAGGCCACTTTGAACTTCTTCTCCAAATTCTTCGCTGAGCTGCGAAAGCCCGACGTCAACTATCTCATGGCATGTCTCGCCGAGAACTCGTTCAGCTCGGTTCGCATCGGAGCTGTCAAGGCAATGTCCAAGGCATACATGGCGCAGCATCGGGGTCTTCCGATAGATAGGGTTCAGCATGTGCTCGGAATGGACTCACCCGAGCAGGTGGTGAGCATGGCTACGCATCTGGGACTCGAGCTCGAATACGAAGCTGACGTAGCTGTCGGTGTCAAAATTCACCGAAGTGCCACGATCAAAGAGGATAAACCGCTTCCGACACCATTCAGCACGAGCATAGTGGAAGCCAAGCGCGGATCAAGCACGAGCGCTGATGTGGTGGACGGTCGCGCGTCAGGCGCCCGTGCTGACCCCCACGCGCAGATCTCGACGCTCTCGACGCCGTCGGCTCAGCCCTCCGCAGCGACTGCTCAAGCCAGCACGATCCCGTCATTCGGCGTGAAACAAGTGCAGGATTCTGTTGAGCCGCCTTTTGCAGGGTCCCAGTCGCAGCAATCTACCGCCTTTGGCTCGACATCACCATCAAAGCTCTCACCTGCAGCCAAGTCCTTCACACCAACAGCTTTCGGCACTTCGGACTCCAGCAAAACGAGCACAGGAACCGCGTCGAGCACATTCGGTGCCTTTTCCGGTCTCGGGAACAATGACTCAAAGAAGGACGTCAGCTCCAGCGCATTGCCGAGCTTTGGAGGTTTTGGCAAAAGTCTGGCTCAGAGCGACGGAGAGACCAGCTCTGCATCCATGCTTTTCGGCGACAAAGCACCAGCATCCAGCAATGCTTTTTCAAGCTCAGAAAAATCGAAGCCTTCACCAGGCTTTTCATTCGGACAGCCGCCTGGCACTTCTTCACCTGCGAAGGAGTCTTCAAAGGGAGCCAGTGCCAGCCTGCCATCCTTTTCCTTCGGTGGTGCTGCCACACCGAAAACGGAATCCAGCAAGTCTGCGATGCCATCCTTCTTCGGCTCTTCCTTGTCCAACCGGTCTGCCGGCAACAAAGCTACTGAAGCGCCTACCAGCCATGCGGATGCGAAGCCCGAGAACTCGACACCAGCGCCAAGCTCACAAAAGAGACGTGCTTCGGACTCCAGGGAGAATGCTGCAGCTCAAGCAGCCGCTGCTGCTAAAGCCGAAGCTGACAAGAAAGCAGAAGCGAAGCGCAAGGAAGCAGCCAAGAGCTCCGCGATCGACCGCGCCTTCAAGAAGCTTTCCGAAGAGGTAGTTCGATCCGCTGCTCAGACAATCGCTGCTCGAGCGATCCAGGAGGAAGACGCCCGGCGTCGAGCTGCATCGAGGAACGACCTGTTGGCTCGTATCACGGACAAGCTGTGGACACGATTGGCAGAAGAGCATGCAGCTCAAGTCGCCGAAGAGGCCAGCCGAAAAGCGGCTGCCGAAGTGTTCCAGTCGCGAAGCTGCGCTATGCGTGCGTGGTCGCGCTGGACAGAGGTGTTGGAGGAGAGGCGAGATCGCGAGCAGCAGCGAAGGCGTCTCGAGGACATCCGTGGCGAAATTCGAAGAAGGAACATTCTTGGCCGCGTTCAGCAGGATGCCAGTGGACTTGCAACTAGCCCAACCGGGCTCGGTGTCACAAGCAAGATACCAGATCGAGAAGATGCGAGCCCTATCCGAAAGGCTTTCTCGATTCGACAATCGCTCTTGACGGGCGAAAGGATCGCAAATTCGGTCCCACGAACGAAGCGCAAGCTCGACGACGACCTCGACAAGGGACGTGCAACACTTCGAGGTGACGCCGAGTTGACCGAGAGGTGGACGCGAGTGCGCCGACAGCGCAGTCAGCTTTGGGCTGAGGGATCCCTGCTCGAACGGCTTGCGGAGCATATCGAGGAGCTGCTTCTTCACTTCCGGCCAGCTGATCTCGATCGCCTCGCCATCCTGTACTCTGGAGCTCCAGGTCAGCACGTAGCTTCAAGCTGGCTCCGAGTCAAGTTCGGGTTTTCGCCTGCGGCTCCATCCGAAGGCAAGGAGGAAGAGGGCGGGCGCGATTTGCTCGAGATCGATCTGGCAGATGGCTCGCAGGTCGACCTGGTAGATGTCACGCCGTCTTCCGTCGGAAGCCACATCAATCTGGAGCAAGTGCTCCCTGACCGGGACGAGCACAGTCAGCCAGGCTTGGTCATCTTCGAAACAAGCCCCGGTATCGCCCACGCTCAGACTGCAGCCGAGCGAAGAGAATTCCTCGTCGAGGATCGGAAAAGGCTTGAGGATGTCGCAAAGTCAAAGCTTGTTAGGGGCAGTCAACTTGCTTGCCGCTTGCTGGTTGTCAGTTGGGGAGGTGCAGGGTCGGATAAGTCGGATGCAATTTCGACAGGTGATGATGGCGATGTGGAGATGACCGATCTGCACATGGTATCTGCGAGTGATGCAGGGCGTAGGGAGAGCTTGCTCGGCGCTCTTGGGATCGATGCGAGTAGGGCCGTGCCAAGTCAAGCGAGCAGGACTCGTTCTTCGCCCGCCTCGCAGCTCAAGCCTTCTCCCATCCTCCAACGCGCGTTCGAACGAGTCGGTGTACTCGAACTCGACGATGCCTCGGTGTCTGTCGAAGACACGTTGGGTGCATTGCTTCGGCAAGCCGTGCCGGATCTGACTCCGAACCCGGCTCTGTACCTGGACGGAAGTCGTCGATCGACCCTAGAGGACGTCGCGCTGCTGTTCTACGACCAATGGACTCGAACCTCTGCGCTGCTGTTCGAGCTGCTCTCAGGTTTGCCACCTGCACTGCTATCCGGTCGCTCCACTGTACGCTCTGCCAAGGTCGAGCAGGTGGCTTGCAAGACTCTGCAAATCTTGTCCGCTCTCGCGAACCATGTCCTGCGCACGATCGTCAGCCTGTCCGAGACGATTCTGGAAGACGAAGGCACGGACGACCAAGTCTTGCTCGAGCTTCCCCTGCCCTCGGCTACTCCGAAGAGCACCACTGGTCAGCTGGTCAATATGGCAGTGTCGCAACTCGACTCGCTGCCAGACGACGGCTCGGAGCAAAACTTGCACCTTCGATCCCGACTCTTGTCCTCTCTCCAACAGGCTCCGGATCTCAAGCAAGAACTCGCGGTCGTCAACAAGCAACACGTCGATGGACTCTTCAGACACTGCCTGGACACGTTGCAGCAAGTGTGGCTCGGATTGCAGGAAGGGATGGAAATCGAGGTGGAGAAGGCAAGGGATGTGTTTGCGAGGTTGTGCGAGGCAGCTGCGGATGAGGTGGCGGGGGAGACGAGGGGTATTTGGAAGGAGTACAGGGCTGGAGTGAAGGCGGAAGAGGTGGAAGAGGATGTGGAGGAGGAGAGAGGAGAGGATCAGGTGATGGTGTCCCCTTCGAACAAGCGTTTCCGCAGGGATGATTCGTCGTCGGTCGTGGTGGAGGAGGTTTCACCCGTGAAGGGTAAGACGAGCAAAGTGAACGAGCTACGAGATCTGATCGCTCGAACAAGGAGGTTCCTCGATACCGAGTCAGTTTGAAAAATCACCGGGACCACTCTCAGGAATGTCATCATACAAACAATCTTCGTGCCATAGATGAATACAGGTTGACATACACGCCATCCACCGTCCCATGAGCGTGCATGTCACTGATCACCATGACATCCCTTTCACCAATGGTACGCCCAACCACCGCGTCCCCTCTTCGCATCCCTCTCCAGATCCCAATCTGTCCTGATGCCCGCGCTTGCAAACGGAACCTTCTTGACCTGCTCCTTTGCCTGTTCCACCTTCCTGTCCACCTGGTACTTTTCCTTGAGCTGATCCGTCTTGTTCTTCGCCCCGACCCGGTTGTAGATCCAGTTGATGAATCTTCTGGACATCCACCTCGGGAGGATCTTGTCGACGATGGCGGCGACGGGGAAGAGACCGTACATGATAGTGGTGAGGGCGATGGATACGGAGCGGAGGAGGAGTTCGGGTGCGATGACGGGGATGGGGAGGAGAGCGGCACCGCGCGGGGAAGCAGAGGTGAGGGAGAAGGAGAAGAGTCGGAAGGTAGGGCTGCCGATTCCGATCGAGGAGCGGGTGACGGGCGAAGGGAAGGTGATCCAGAGTCGGAAGTATCCATCGCCGGTTTCGACGGGGATGCGACACTTGTAGGTTCCGAGAACGCGGGTGGAGGAGTCGGAGGAGGTGTCGACGGTGTCGATGGTGGACGATTGGGAGCGGATCTGCTTGTCGATCTTTTCCTTGCGCTTGAGCGCGATGTGTCGGGTTTCTCTGAGAGGCTCATCGGGAGTCTTGTTGAGAGTCTGCATCTCGTATTCCTCTTGACCGTTCGTGACGGTTTGGTGCGACGATCGGTGTTGAGGCTTCTCACCCCAATCCTCATCCTCCTGCTGCTTGATCGACAGCCCACTCGCCTCCGCTTGCGTGTCCTTCCAACTCGCCCTGCCCGCCGGCGTCACATCCCACCCCTTCTTCGTCGCCACACCCAGCGCCCCAGCCGCATTCCATCCGACGACACCAGCGATCCATCCCTTTTGGACAAGTTGAACGTTCGTCGCCTTGACAACGTCGCTGAGCTGGCTCGAGGAGAGCGATTCGAGCTGCTTACGGGCATCGGCAGAGTAGGCCTGCGCGTAGATGGAGAAGGTGACGTAGGTTTCGGGACCGCGGTAGAGCAGGACGCGCGGGTTGTGGAGCGTGATCGAGTAGGCGATGTTGTTCTGCCAGACCGTGGTGGTGGATGGACTGAAGACGGAGAATACGCTGCGGAAGAACATCTTGACGTACGAGACGGGGTCGACCATCGTTGCGAGGATCTTAGGGCGCCGCCGAAGTGGTGTCCGAGTGAAGATAGATCGACAAATTGGATGGTTGCCGTGAAAGAAGGAGGAGCATTCTTGGGTACGAAGCTTTCAGTAAATCCGTCACTCATCACCGCGGCGTCTGCGAATGCGGAGAACTCAGAAAAGAGAGTCTCGAACGTGCCTGTTGCGCATATTCATCATCATGCAGCACCACTCAGCGGCCTAAAAATAGCGTGTGGAGCACCCGATTCCATCGCAACGCGCTTTTCTCGATTATCTCGATACTGTGCTTGTCGGACGGCCAACTCCGCAACGTCGGATCTTCGGAAGGCTCTGTTATCCGCGTTGAAGGTGGTCCTGCTTTATCTGCGTTCGGGCCGCCCAAGAGCAAGGCACTCTATTCCCCCGGACTCGACCGCCGACATCCCCACACCTCCTTTCACCCACGCCTTCATCTACGTATCCGCCCACAAGAAGTCCCACCTCACGGAGGTCAACGTTAGAGCAGATTGCGCTCCGAGTCAAATCGGTTCAAGATGAAGGACGTTCTCAGCAACGCCAACTTTCCCGTAAGTTCATTTGCGCCCGTTTCTTCCTTAGACTGAGACAATATCCCCATTCTGACTTTGGTGATCGTCTTCTCTCTCGAATAGCAAGATGCTCAAGGACGAACCTATCACGTAGCAACGAAAGCCGGTCAAGTCGCCAACCGTATCATCACCGTCGGCGATCAAGTCCGAGCCCACCGCATCGCCGCCTCCTTCGACGGTGGAGCTCCGCTGTTCTCCTTCAACTCGCAGCGAAACTTTCTCACCCTCACAGGCACCTACAATGGAGTTCCCGTGTCTGTCGTTGCCATCGGCATGGGCTTCTCTGTTGTCGATTTTTTCGTTCGAGAGTGTCGAGCTGTAGTGGAAGGAGAGATGATCATTGTCCGGCTGGGATCGTGTGGAAGCATGCAACCCGAATACGGAATTGGAACCGTGGTCGTTCCGAAAGCCAGCTTCGGCATCTCCCGCAACTACGACTACTTCCACCACTCCACCACAGCGGAAGAGCGCAGCTCAGGGGCGCTGGAGCCCTACCTCATCACCAAACCGCTCGATGCGGATTCCGAGGTCCACGATGCACTGCTCGCAGCGCTCGATTCATCAAAACCTTCTCCTTCATCCAATCTGTTCGACGGGTCATCCGTCCAAGCAGTCGGAGACACAGTCAACGCATCCGCCGACAGCTTCTACGGCAGCCAAGGACGTATCGACCCCGCCTTCATCGATGCCAACTCCAACCTCATCGACGTCATCCGTCAACGTCGTCCCGGCGTAGCAACCCTCGAGATGGAAACCTTCGTCCTCAACCACCTCGCCGCCGCTGCAAACGACGCCATCGATCTAGCTGAAGCCAACGCTCAACCACCACCCCACAAGGGCAAAATCAGAACAGGTGCCGTCCAGATGATCTTTGCCAACAGAAACACCTCGGCCTTCATCACCCCGCAGGAGTGCGAGACACTGGAACGATGGACGGGAAAAAGCGTCCTCGCTGCCCTGGCAGGCATCACGATCCCGGAAGAGAGACTCCACGGCGATGGCGTTTGGAACGCTGCGCCTACCGCTTAGAGGGCCTCTTGCATTTGTAGATTCCATCGTATTCTCAAGGACACTGGCGGAACCAGAGATTGAACTGGACAGTCGACGAGAAAGTGTGCGTGAGATGTGGTGTTGTGATTGACTCATGACGAGGGAAAGGCAAAAGCTCTTCACAATAAATAGAACTACAAGTATAGAAAAGGTGAAAGACGCAACACTGCTGAGCAGAGACCGAAGTTTACGTCTGCATGTTGAGAAGCATGCCCTGGCCGCGTGGAAGGTAAGTGACGTTCTTGGCGTTGCTCAGCGTCGAAGCGATATCCTTGGACGCCTCGATCCTTCGAATGGTCAACAGACCGTCACCGGCCCTCTCCAACGCCTTCGAGATGGTCTGTGCCGCCTCGGCTTCACCCTCCGCACGGATGACGGAAGCCTGTCGCTCCTGCTCGGCCTTTTCGACGATGAACTTGGCACGCTCTGCATCCTGCTGTGCGATCTGCTTCTGCTCGACCGCCTTTGTGAAATCCTGACCGAACGTCATGTGGGTGATGGACACATCCTCGAGAACAATGTTGAACTCCCTGGCGCGCTTCAACAGGTCCTCGCGGATACGGGCCGAGACGACTTCTCGCTGGGTGATGAGCTCGGCAGCGTCAAATTGCGCAACCGTAGCCTTGAGCACTTCGTTTCCGATGGAAGGCAGAACTCGCTCGTCGTAGTCGATACCGAGGTTCTGGTAGATCTTGGAGAGGTGCTGGATGTCGGGTCGGCTGAGCACTCGCAGCGTCAACGAGACCATCTGCAGATCCTTGGAGCCGGTGGTGGTCGAGATGTTGCGTGGCTTGATGCGGACGTCGTAGAGGATGGCTTTCTGCAGCCATGGCACGAGAACGTGTGTGCCTTCGCCGGTAGCAAGGTCCTTGACACCTTGGAATCGGTCGAACATGACGGCACGGTAGCCTCCTGGAACGTCGTAGAGGGAAGCCTGGAGAGCCATGAGGCCGAGGCCAAATGGGACGGCAAATCGAGCCGCCAAGTTCGACATGTCGTGAGCGTTGTCGGATGAGAATGTGGAATAGGTATGAGAACTAAGGTAGAAAGCGACTGAGAAGAGCAAGGCGATGGATGAATGGTCCTGCGACAGCCATTGGCTTGTGCTGAGCTGAGCTGAAGCCTCACAGCTTCGCGCACAGAACGTAAGCCGAAGACGATTTGCCGCACGAGTGGAATTTCCCTTTGTCTGTCAAAATGTCCACAAAAAAGTTGGAAGAAAAGCTCAAGCGCAAGCTCGAGCTGGAAGCCTCCACAAAGTGGCACATGGTGGAATGGCTCGTTTTGCCATGCACCCTGGATCGCATCTAGCATTTGCAACTTAGCTGCCTACGCCCTCAACTTCATATCAGCGAGCAGCGGATCCTCGGACACAGAGATGCCTATGCAGGGTCGTGTGCGCCCAGCATGGCGAGCTTTGACGCGATCTGGCCTCTGTCAGGGTCACCTTCGCTTTGCCGTCGAAGGCCAGCAGGGAAGCTTTCGACATGCTTCCACATCAAGAGTCACGCTCGCTGTCAACCAGAGCGCTCCTAGGTCTCGTCCAGCTCCATCTCAGCGCACAGAATCTCGATCCAGAGGAGAGACGCCCTCGGGCTCTTTCACGTCACAGAAGCCGCGAAAGCTCGCGCCGGCGGTTCCAGGGAGAGGTGTCAGCAACGCGTTCATCGACGAGGCGAAGCGCGACATGCAACTGCGAAGGATGCCTTACGATGAAGCCGACCTCAAATGGCTGAGGGAGGCGCGCTCGAACGTGTACACGCTCAATGGAAAGCAGACCGAGCTGCAAAAGGAGCAAAAGGAGCTGACGGCGGAACTGGATAAGCACTTCAAGGCTGCGAGCAAAGGAAAGGCAAAGGACTCGGATGCAGAAGTGGACAAGACCTCGAACGCCACTTCGTCGACGGAAGAGGTGACGAGCAAGGACGCTGAACTCAAACCGCAAGAAGAAAAGGAGGACAAGGTTGCAGAGCTCAAAAAGCGATCTAAAGCCATCAAGCAGGAACTCGAAAAAGTGCTCAAGCAGCAAGAAGAGATCCGCACCAGAAGCCAGAATATCCGTCTGTCGTGGCCCAACGGCTGTCATCCAGACGTTCCAGTCGGGTCGGAAGAGAATGCAGTGCTGGTGTCCGTCCAAGATCCGCTCGACATTCTTCCAGCCGAGTTCGACGTGATGAAGGAGCCTTGGAACAAGTCTGTCATGCAGGCAAAGCACTTTCCCGAAGGTCCGAAGCCGGATCCGAAGCGCGAGCACCTCTCGCTAGCAGCCACAGCCGCCAGTGCCGAGGTGGACATTGTATCGGGCCTGCTCGCAACAGGCAGCTCGTGGCCATACCTCCTTGGGAGCATCAGCCTGCTCGAACACGCCTTGTCGCAATACGCAATGTCGATCGTGGTCCGCAAGGGGTTCCTCGCCGTTTCACCCCCGGACGTGGTTCGCGCCGACCTGGCCGATCGATGCGGGTTCCGACCTAGGGACGAAAAAGCAAAGCAGACCTACTTTCTTGAGGCAGCCAAGGGCAAGAGCAACGGCAAGGCGCAAATGCCCAGCGACGCTGACCTCTGCTTGGCAGCCACGGCAGAAATTCCCCTTGCCGGACTGCTGGCAGCTCGGACGATAGATGGTACCAGAAAGCAAGGCAAACGTGGCTCCTTGGCGGACGAGGACGTATCATTGATACAGAGAGCGGAGCTGCCCATCAAGTTGGCTGCGTTGGGACATGCATTCCGTGCCGAGGCCGGTGCTCGTGGCGCCGATACACGTGGACTGTACCGCGTCCACCAGTTCAGCAAAATCGAGATGTTCGTCGCCACGGATGGCCAGCTTGAAGCGAGCAACGCCATGCTCGAAGAGCTGCGCGGTATCCAAGAGGAGATTATCGGAGGGCTTGGTCTGCCATATCGTGTGCTGGATATGCCCACGGAGGAGCTCGGCGCCAGCGCGTATCGCAAGTACGACATCGAGGTGTGGATGCCCGGGCGAGGGTCATGGGGCGAGGTCTCGTCGGCCTCCAACTGCACGTCGTACCAAGCATTGCGGCTCGGGATCAAGCTCAAGTCAGCTACGCCGCCATCACCGGAGAGCGGCGATATGCGTCATCCGACAGTGCACACGCTCAATGCTACTGCAGCTGCGATACCACGGCTGATCGTGGCCATCCTCGAGAATCACGGTGTGGAGAAGGGTAAGCTTGTGCTGCCTGACACGCTCAAACCCTTTTGGCTTGCGGGAGACAAGGACCCGAATGTGACGTGGCTATACACGGGCAAGCTGGACTCTAGCTCGCAGCCACGACTCAAGAGAGCGCTGGCGCGGGTTCGCTCGATCGCTAAGAAGAACGGCACGGATGCGCCGACAATGGTGGCGTCGTTCCTTGTCTTGCACGAGCTCACTGCGATTGTGCCGCTGGCGATCATGTTTTACATCTTTGGAGCACTCGGCGTTGGCACAGCGGTCTTGAACTGGCTTCTCGGAGACGCCGAAGATGCGAGCAAAGAATCGCATGCGGCTCGGTTCAGGACATGGGCACGCATCAAAGAGGAGCGATTCGAGCGATACTGCCGCAAGAAAGGGTATCTTGGATTCGAAAAGCAGGACGTCAAGACGATCGATGCCGCTGGTGATCTGGGCAAACAGAGCCATTTGGCAGGCTCGTTCGCCAACATGGTAGCTGCGTACATCATTGTCAAGGCGTTGCTTCCTCTACGCATCGGCGCCTCGATCGCGCTGGCAGGGCCGTTCTCGAGGACCGTACTGGAACCGCTCAAGGGCATGTTCCGTCGCACACCTCTGCTTCGCCCTCGCACGCCGCCCAGCAAGTCGGCTACTGCTCCATGAAACGATGACGGGAACGGCAGACATACATTGCGCTGCTCCCCAGTCTATGTCCCGAAGCATAAATTTCGGTATGAGATTAGAGGGAATGTAACATATTCACAGAAATCACGTGCAGACGCGTTTGGCCACCTGCGAAATCGCTGTTGCTTGGCTTCCGTACATCACCTTGGGCGTCAATCGTCAATCTGCGTTCAGAAGCTCACCTTCTCACACACCTGTGACGGACAGAATAAGCTTTGGCTGAGCTGTGGCCCTTCCGTTACAGTCCTGCAGTTCCGTTGCCTCCTTCTCAGCTCTGTGGGACGACATGTGACCGCCAAACCCAGCCATAGGTGATTAGATCAGTGACACACGCTGAGCAGTGTCTCTTACCGAGGGCGTTCGAAAAATGTAGCTCGAACAGACGATGTTCGCTCACACAGCTTGACCGCAGACTTCAGACTGCTCCGAGTGCGATGTCACACAAGGGATACAGTGTAGCGGAAGTCGCTAAGTTAGCTGGGCGGCAGACGCGTCTCTCTGTTTTGCGCTCAGTATGCAGCTCGAGCTTGCCTGCAGAAGAGGGTGCTCTCTGACCAAAAAAAAAAAAGTGTTGCTCTCCCGCTCCTGCTCAGCTGCCTGTGTTTCTTTCCGTCCGCGCGTCTCACTCCGAATCCAACACAGACCCGCACTCGAAGGATTTTTGGCTGGCGGCGCCCACATCCTTGACCGTCAACTCTGCCAGTTGCATCTCGCGTCCCGTCTTCCATCGTCTATCGACATCATCCTCAAGAACCCCTACTCCTCCTCTTTGTGTCCTCCTTTTGCAGGCTGCTTGTTCATCACAGACAGCGGTCAACGATCCTCGACGGTGGCCCCAACCACCACCATTCCTCCCCACACCTGGCTGCCTGGTGCCGCCTCGCTGCTTCGTCAGGCTCAGCCGATATCGCGAAATTTTGATCTTGCATCCAGCCTCATAAGGCCACTCTTCCGACAACCTTGGCTCCAGTCGCACTCTTTATACCCGTTCGCCGTCTCCGGTCCAAGTGTAACACCACCGATCTCTCGCTTTTCGCCAAGCCATCTCTCAAACCGCTCATTCTCAACGTCCGCTGCCAACATGTCCGAGTCAGACTACATGTCCGATGGGTCCGAGGGCTTCACTCTCCCCGCAAACAAGGCTGCTGCTTCCAAAGCAAAAGCAGCGGCTAAGCCAAAAGCTGCGGCGGGTGCCAAGGCAGGTGCCTCCAAAGCCAACGGCGCTGCCGCCAAGCCAAAGAAGCAGCCCCTCGCCAAACGCAACAGCAACGGCGCTGACAGCGATCACGACGTCAGCATGATGGACAGCGAGGCCGACGTCTCGTTCCAGCCTCCTGCTCCCGCCAAATCTGGAAACAGCAAAAGCGCTTCCGAGACCTACCAGAAGCTGTCGCAGCTCGAACATATTCTGAAACGTCCCGACACCTACATCGGCAGTGTCGAAAAGCATACAGAAAAACTCTGGGTGTTTGACAAGACCAAAAAGCAAATGGTGTACCGCGAGACCACATTCGTGCCCGGTTTCTACAAGATCTTCGACGAGATCCTCGTTAACGCCGCCGACAACAAGGCGCGCGACCCGAACATGACCCATCTCAAGGTCGAGATCAACCGCGAAGAGGGCTCCATCATGGTGTGGAACAACGGTCACGGTATCCCTGTCGAGATGCACGAAAAGGAAAAGGTCTACATCCCCGAGCTCATTTTTGGCCACCTCCTCACCTCGTCCAACTACGACGATAACGAGGCCAAGGTCACCGGTGGTCGTAACGGTTACGGTGCCAAGCTCGCTAATATCTACTCCACCGAGTTCACAGTCGAGACCGCTGACTCCAAAAACCAGTGCAAGTACAAGCAGACCTTCACCAAGAACATGCACGACAAGGGCAAGCCCAAGATCACCAAGCACAGCAAGGCCGACGAGTACACCTCGATCACCTTCAAACCCGACCTGGCCCTCTTTGGCATGGAGGCCATCGACGACCACATGGAAGCTCTCATGCTTAAGCGCGTCTACGACATGGCCGGCACCGTCAAGGGCATCAAGGTCACGCTCAACGGCGAGCTTCTCAAGATCAAGAACTTCAAGCAGTATGTCGAGATGTACGTATCGGCCATCAACGAGCTTGGCGGCAAGACCGACAACGCCGAAGAGGGCGAGGGGGCCTCTGGCGATTTGCCCGCAGGCGCTGCTCCCAAGCCTGCCATCATCTACGAGTCGACCGTCGACAAAGGTCGCAACTGGGAGGTCGCCTTTGCCGTCTCGGATGGCGAGTTCCGTCAGGTGTCGTTCGTCAACAACATCGCGACCATCAAGGGTGGTAAGCATGTCGACCACGTCGCCGATCAGGTCATCACGCGCCTCATTGAGCATGTCAAGAAGGACAAAAAGACGGGCAAGGTGATGCCAAACCAGGTTCGACAGCAGCTCTGGGTGTTCGTCAACTGCCAGATCGTCAACCCCACCTTTGACGGTCAGACCAAGGAAACGCTGACGCTCAAGCAGAGCGCTTTTGGCAGCAAGTGGACGCTCACTGACGAGTTCGCCAGGAAGGTCATCAAGTCGGGCGTCGTCGACAATATTGTTAGCTTTGCTCGCTTCAAGCAGGACCAGGCGCTCAAGAAGACCGACGGTCACAAACGCACCAGGATCACCAACATCCCCAAGCTTGAAGATGCCAACAACGCCGGTGGCAGGAAGGCCAAAGACTGTACGCTCATTCTCACCGAAGGTGATTCGGCCAAGTCGCTCGCTGTGGCTGGTATCGTCGAGGTCGGACGAGACAACTACGGTGTTTTCCCGCTCCGTGGTAAGCTCCTCAACGTACGAGAAGCCTCGCACGATCAGATCATGAAGAACGCCGAAATCAAGGCCATCAAGGAGATCCTCGGTCTTCAGCACGGCAAGCAGTATCTCGACGTCAACAGCTTGCGCTACGGCAGTATCATGATCATGACCGATCAGGATCACGATGGCTCGCACATCAAGGGTCTCATCATCAACTTCCTCGACCATTTCTACCCGTCGCTGCTCAAGATTCCCGGCTTCCTCGTCGAGTTCATCACGCCCATTGTCAGGTGCAGAAAGGGCAAGCAGGATCTGTCGTTCTTCACCATTCCCGAATACGAGACCTGGAGAGATGCGCACAATGGCGGCAAGGGCTGGCATATCAAGTACTACAAGGGTCTCGGTACATCCGAGTCGCAGGACGCCAAGAGGTACTTCCGAGCCCTCGAGAAGCACAAGCTGGCGTTCGATGTCACTCGAGATGGCGATCGCGAGCTCATCGACCTCGCCTTCAACAAGAAGAAGGCCGACGATCGAAAGGAGTGGCTCCGTCAGTTCCGTCCCGGCACCTACCTTGACCACAACACGGACAAGATCCCGTATGCCGACTTTATCAACAAGGAGCTCATCCTCTTCTCGATGGCGGACAACCTCCGATCCATCCCTTCGGTTGTCGACGGTCTCAAGCCTGGTCAGCGAAAAGTCATGTACGTCATGTTCGACCGCAAGAGCAACTCCGAGTTGAAGGTAAACACGCTCGTTGGTAATGTCTTGGGTCAGGCAGCTTACCACCACGGTGAAGCAGCGCTCAGCATGACCATTGTCGGTCTCGCCCAGAACTTTGTCGGTAGCAACAACGTCAACTTGCTCGAGCCAAGGGGCCAATTCGGTACGCGATTGCTCGGAGGTAAAGATGCCGCCTCAGGACGTTACATTTTCACAGCCCTGCCCAAGATCGCACGCGCCCTGTTCCCTCAAGCCGACGATGCGCTCCTCGAGTACCTCGAGGACGACGGTCAAAAGGTGGAGCCTCACTGGTACATCCCTGTGGTACCGCAGGTGCTCATGAACGGTGCCGAAGGTATCGGTACGGGATGGTCCACTTCGGTGCCCAACTACAACCCGCACGAGATCGTCGCCAACTTGCGCAGACGCATGGCCGGTGAAGACGTCGTCCCCATGAAGCCCTGGTTCCGCGGCTTCACCGGCGATGTGGAAGAATTCGGTCCTGGTCGTTTCAAGATCAGCGGTCGGGTCACGCAAATCGACGAAAAGACCTACGAGATCACCGAGCTGCCTATCCGCAGCTGGACTTCCAATTACAAGGAGTCGCTCGAGGAGCGCATCGTGTCCTCGGACAAAGTTCCAGCCACGATCAAGGATTACAAAGAGTACCACACCGAGTCGACGGTCAACTTCATCGTCGAGCTGACAGCCAAGGGCCAAGCCGAGATCGCCGAGAAGGGTGTCGATACCTTCTTCAAACTTTCGTGCCAAATTTCTACCACCAACATGGTCCTCTTCGACCAGGACGGCAAGATCAAGAAGTACACGTCTGCGGAAGAGATCCTGGAAGAGTTTTATCTCTTGCGTCTCTCGTACTACCAGAAGCGAAAGGAGCACCTGGTGGACCAGCTCAAGCTGATGTACGATAAGCTCTCGAACCAGGCCCGATTCGTGCAGATGATCATCACGCGTCAGCTCGTCGTCTCGAACCGCAAGCGTGCCGACATTGTGGCCGAGTTGCGCCAGAAGGACTTCCGCCCGTTCCCCAAGCAGGGCAAAGCATCGATTGCTGCCGAGCCCGAGGACGACGAGGCGATCGACGAGGAAGACATCTCGGCCGACTCGGACTTTGACTACTTGCTCAACATGGCCATCTACAACTTGACCAAGGAGAAGGTGGACAAGCTGTTGAAGGAGCGGGATTTCAAGGAGGAAGAGCTCAAGATCCTCATCGGCCGTTCGCCTCAGAACCTGTGGGACGAGGACCTGGGCAAGTTCCTGGAGCTGTGGGAGGAGATGCTGGCTGAGGACGATCGCCGACTCAAGGATGTCGTCACCAAGGTCAAGAAGGGCAAGCAGCCCGCCAAGAAGTCGTCTGCCAAGAGCGGCGCTGCAGCTCGACGTGTGCTCAAGAAGCCCATCAACTCGGACGGCGAAGAGGAAGATGATGGTATGGACGATGTCGACGGGGACGATTCCGAGGACGACTTTAAGCCGTCGACCGCCGCTGCCAAGAAGAAAGCGGCTGTCCCTGCTGCACGGGTTAGTCCGGCCAAGAAGCGCGCTGCTGCTGATGCGATGGACGACGACGATCTGGCACGACTGATCGGAACCACCACCGCTACCAAGAAATCCAAGGCCAACGGCGCTGGTTCGAGGTCGGCTACCGCTTCGCGAGCTGCTACTCCGCAGACTGTCGAGATCGATGACGACGAGAATGATGATGACGACGACGACAAGAAGAAGTTGGCTCCTCTTTTCACAAAGAAGAGCGCGAGCGCTAAGCCTGCTGCCGCCAAAAAGGCCGCTGCTCCCAAGAAAGCAGCAGCAGCATCGTCGACCAAGTCGGAGGAGGTGCGCAAGTCGTTCAGCTTGTCCGACTCGGAGGACGAGACGATCGCGGCGCCCAAGAGCAAGAAGGCAGCGCCCGCCGCCAAACCTGCTGCTGGCAAGAAGGTTGCTGCCGGTCTGGGACGCAAGAAGGCACCTGCCGCCCTCGCCTCAGACACCGAAGACTCGTTCAGCATCGATAGCCCTGGTGCAGCTTCTGCGCCTGCTCGAGCTTCGGGTCGCTCACGAAGCGCGTCTGGCAAGATGAGCTACAAGATGGACGACTCGGAGGACGAAGATTTCGAGTAGGTGGTTCATGTATTGCTACGCCTCTAATATGTATCTTGTTGTCGTTCTCGTTTTCGTTTTGTTCTGTTGTTTGAGGTGAATTGTTACTGGTTTTGGTTTCGCATCGCATCTGCTTTGTGTGTCACGGTTTGAGGAAAGTGGTGTTGCTTTCCATACTGTCTGAGATCGAGTGTGGCGCGAACCAGTCACTGCGTGAGGTTAGGTGCGGCTCAGTCTCGTTTGCTCAGCTCAACCTCTCACACAGTCTCGAAAGGTTGGTCAGGTTGAAGAAGTGTTGATTGCTTCCGTTGATCTTGCACTAGATACCGGTGCCGCTGCTACCGCTGTCTCTGGACCTCTCTTCGACCTGTCTCTGCCTCTGTAGAGCGATACCTTTTGCGCTACTCCTATTGTTCCCACTCTCCTGATCCGCAGCTAGCACGGCTTCGGCGTACATCATCTTGTATTTGACCAGTTCCTCGGCCATTTCTTCCTTTGCGATTTTTGCCATGACGACGTCTTTGACCATATCGACGTGTTCTGCGTTGAGGCTTGTGAGCTGGGATTCTAGTGCTTTGACTCGGGCGGAGAGGTTGCGGTTGACGAGACGGAGGGCTTCGACTTCTCTACGGTGGGCGTTGGCTGCTCGGACTTGGGTGTCGAATTCCCCCGCATAGGTGTCGAGTTGAAACGGTGTGATGCGCACTTCGAATGCATCCCTAACAAACGCATTCGTATGATACCCACGTTCACCACCATCCACCGTCGTATCTCCATCCACTTCCCGTCGATAACATTCAAACAACTCCCCCTTGAGATACTTCACCACCTCATCAAATCCCATCCCCAACATCACCTCCTCATTCCTCTTCATCAAACTCACCGCAAACCTGAACAACGCCTCCACCCCTTCCGCAAATACACTATCCAATACCCTATACACGAACTCCAACGGAAACCTATAGCTGAACAGCGTCATGAACCACTGGCTCGCGTACATGCTCGATTTCACCCCCTGTCTTACCAAATGTCGATGCAACAACGGCAAAAAGTCCTCGAGCAACCGATCGAACTGGAACAAGCGCAGCTGCAATGCCGGCATATTCGGCGTAAAATGACCCCTCAAATCGTACGACTTCATCAAGCGGACAAAGGTGCTGAACGCCTCCTCGTCCGGCATGTTGAGCAACAACGGTCCAACGACAAACTGCATCCCCTGGCAATACCCTACTTCCGGATCGTACAGCGAGTAGGCCTTGATGACGTTGAACAGGTTCTCCTGTCCAATTCCCTTTCCGTCCTGGAAATAGTCTTGCTCGGGGAAGGTTCGGTTGAGATCGCGTCGAATCGCCTTCTCGTGCGGCGAAGTCTGCTTGAGGTAGTAGGCATAGATGATCTCCATCTCTTCGTCCTTGCTGCTGCTCATGAGCTGCCACATCATGCCACGCAGAGCGGGCGGGATACCCGCCTGGATGGCTCGAGAAAGCTGACGTGGGTGGTTGCGAGCAACAGACTGGTAGTTGGACATGACTTCGCCCCAAAACTCCCAGTCGATATCGGATTCGGCGAGGTCGTCGGCTGGTGGTCCCGTGTAGGCTGTATCGGCGCTGGTGGAGAGGAGCGATTCGCGCGCAGCTGCAGACGCACTGCTTTCGCCGCCGTTGTTGGCAGGTGCAGACGAGTGGACAGAGGGCGACATGAGCGACGATCCCGACTCCTTCGAGTCGTGGCTGGAAGAATTCTGTTCGGCCACCGACCTGTTCTGCGAGTCTGTGCGCGAGTGTCGCTGACCCTGATCGCGCAGCTTTTCGAAGTTCTCGCGCAGCTTGACGGCTCCGTCGATGCTGGCGCGCATCTGCTGGGGATCGCCGCTGAGCCTCTTGTTCTGCGTGTTGAGTCGGGCGAGCAAAAAGTCGTAGTTGGAACGGGAGTCGTCGCTGCTGCCGTTGGAACGTGCTGCTTCGGCGGCAAGGCTGCTGCGGGCGCCGTTGGTGGTGATGGTGTCTCGCCGTGAATCGCGTCGTTCAGTTGCCGCCCACACGGCGTCATCCTCCACGGCACTGGAACCAGAAGCCAAGGTGCTGCCGAGACTGATGGTGGAAAAGTGATTCGAGTTCATGCTTGGTGTGTCGGGTGGTGGATTCGCAGATGTCGAGGACGCATCGCCTGTAGCTGATTGCGAATATCGAATGGGTTGAGAAGCAGAATCGTCTGCGGAGGCGAAAGGATTCGAGATGGTCTCGTCCGGTTCGAGCAGTGATGTAGCGCCAACCGAGGGCGGTACCTTTTCGACGTGGTCGGGCAACGTAGCCTTTGCGCTCTCTTCATCGAGGATGAGCGAGTCGGATGCGGATCGGCTTTCCCTGATCTCGGCTGAGCTGAGCGGAGTATCTTGATGGTCCTCAGCTGTCGGTTCCGGTGCGACAAACGTGGCGGTAGAAGAGCTCGCGGCGATGCTCGTGCGGGCACCACCATCGGCAACGATACTCTCTGAAGACGTAGGTAGGTCAGAAAAGACAGTATCGGTGGGTTTCGGTGTATGCACGAGTGCTTCGGATTCGTGGGCAAGTAGAGAAGGTCTTCTTGCCGGGGACTGATCTGCTGTGTGCTCATTTGACGCGTCCTGGTTTGCCTTAGGATCAGACTGCTGCTGGAGAGATGCATCGATGGTAGTTGCAATGCTGGACGAAGGCGTCATTTCGTCAGCATGGGAGCCGTCGGCGGCGTCTTCAAAGTCGTCGTTGTCCGTATGAGTGCTCGATTCGTAGCCATCGTGTGTAGTAGCGTCGTTGGCGGCAGCGGCGAGCTCATCGGCGAGCGAAGATTGTGCGGGAATAGGAGCAGGCTCTGGCTCTGGCTTGGCTGTTTTTGATGTCCTTTTGGAAGCAGCAGTTACGGCGGCCGCTTTGCCGCCTTTCTTGGCCATGGTTGATGTTCTGCTCGCCAAGGTTGGGAGATGTTTTGATGAGGATGGCGCGTGATTTGAGGACGAGGTCACCTAGTTGCTTTGAGAAGTGTCAAGTCGTGAAGGAGGCTGAGTCGTAGCAAGTGTGATCCGTCCAGCGGAGCAAGAAGGATTCGAGAGTAATCGACGAATGATCGGTCAGGCCGAGTGTGGCAATGTGGCGCTGGAAGGAATGTTGGTCGAGAGCTGCAAGGTGGTCGTGACAAGTGACAGGCAGAGGAAGAAACCGCGTGCACACAGCGGCCTGGGTCAAAACGGTCAAGGTGGCCTGCACGCCAAATGTCCAACCCTGAGCTTGCTGGAGCGGCGGCAAGAGATCGGCACACAGGCCAACGCGGACAGCGCTCAACTGCAGGCGCGGCAAAAGACCCTTAACTCTGCTTTCAGCGCGGCCCTGCCGAGATCAGCGTGGGATTGTCGGTGCAGCATTCTGTTCGCCGTCTTAACAGAACCTTCAAAAAAGGCCAGAATGCCGGCCATTTGAGCGTTTTAGCTGCCGAGCTGCTTTTTTTGGCGGATCAAGAAGAAAGCACTTCTACATGCATGCCGCTGCCTCTCACTCTAATCGCCGTGCACCCAGCATCAATGTGCGGTATCGGCGTCCTCATCTCGCCCGCAGTGGCAGTGGGTGAACGAGGTCAAGATGTAGCGACGCCATTGGAAGGATACTGGCCGTCGGTCCTCGACAACATTCGCGACAGAGGTCCTGACTGCTCGAGTTCAGTGCAGCACGAATTCCGGGCTCCTTCCTCCACCGCCGCTTCGAGTAGCGCAACCATCACAGCATGGACGCTGTCTCTCACCTCGAGCGTCCTCAGCCTACGTGGTGACGGCATCACCCAGCAGCCACTTACGAGCTCCGATGGGCAGCTGCTCTTGGCATGGAACGGTCAGATCTTCGACTGGGACAGCAACGCATCGAGTCACGCAACCTCCTCTCGCGTACGACTCGTCTCGGGAGAGAACGATGGCATCATCTCGCTCGATCGCATTCAACAGCTCCTCGACCAACAGAAAGATCACGATAAGAGTCCGAGCTCGACTGGATCAGCTCTCAACGCCGCTTTGTCGGAAATCGAAGGTCCCTACGCATTTGTCTTGCTCGACCGTCGTGAGTCCAAGCTGTATTTCGGACGTGATCCGCTGGGAAGGCGATCGTTACTGTTGCAGAGACTGCCTCAACACTCGACTCTCGCCATCGTTTCCGTCGCTGGAGGAGAATCGCCACACGGCCTCGACCCGGAAGACTCACGGTCCGGTGCAACCCTGACGGAGATCGACTGCTCCTCGCTGTGGCACATCGACCTCCTTCACACGCCCACCTCACCGCATCCTCTTCCCCGGCTCACTTCACGCTTCAATTCTCCTCTCTTGCTGCGAGAACTCCAACCAGCCGACCAGCAACAATACGACCCTCCCAGATCACCAGAGCAGATCCGACAAGACTTTCTCGCCGTGCTCTCCGAAAGCGTACGGAGGCGCGTCACCAACATCGACACGGACCAGCCGGCCGACGAAGCGCACGTGGCGATCTTGTTTTCAGGTGGACTCGATTGCACTACTCTGGCTCTGTTGGCGGATCGTCATGTGCCCAAGGATCAGCCGATCGATCTGCTCAACGTCGGGTTCGAGAATGTCAGGGCGATCGAAGCTGCCAAGTTGGAGAGCGAGAAGAGGATACGCTCGAAGCTGAAAGCTGCACAGAAGGGGAGGAAGCCTGCAGCGCAAACCCGGGACATCGACATCGACAGTGCTGAAGCCGATCAGAAGGGGCCCGCTACCGTTGTTGAAGATGATCAGACCGACGACGTCCACACCACCGACATCTACGCGGTTCCGGACCGTCTCACCGGCATCTCCTCCTACACCGAGCTCTTAACCCTCTCTCCCCACCGTCGCTGGAACTTCGTCTGCATCAACATCCCCTACTCCGAATATACCTCTCACAAACCGCGCATCTCATCGCTCATGTCCCCCGCTTCCTCGGTGATGGATTTGAGCATCGCATCCGCGCTCTTCTTCGCCTCTCGTTCCCGCGGACATCTCCTCTCCACCTCCGATACCGCGTACACTTCACCCGCCAAAGTACTGATTTCCGGTCTCGGAGCGGACGAACTCCTCGCCGGATACTCGCGTCATCGTCAAGCCTACAACTCTTCTCTGCAATCGTTGGTCAGAGAACTTCAGATGGACCTCGATCGTCTACCTACCCGCAACCTGGGACGGGATGATCGAATCCTTTCCTCCCACGGAAAAGAATGCAGATATCCATTCTTGGATCGAACCGTGATCGAGTTCCTGACCTCGATTCCCGTGGAGCACAAGGTGAACCTAGTAAAGCTCGGAACGGAAGGCGCAGGTGGAGATAAGCGGTTACTGCGGGACGTGGCGAAAGAGTTGGGGTTGGTAGGGGCGTGCGAGCTGAAGAAGAGAGCGATGCAGTTCGGAACGCGCAGCGCAAAGATCGATGGCGGAAGCGCGAGGGCAAAGGGTCATCATCGACTTGCTTGAAACCGCTGTAGGCGTAGGACGCCATGTTGCTCATTCAATCTATTTCAAGACAGTGTCGACCCAAACCAGCGATTGATTAGAAAACAGTGTCCATGATTGCAATGATCATCACCGAAACAAAAGACAAAAAGATAAAACAAAAGGAGGTGAAGGCCAACTACTCGCCCACTCACGCTCATCACCGAGTGTTACGATCGCAGCGACTTCCTCCGCCCCCGTCCTTCAGTGCGAGTAGTTCCCAACGGGCGGATACCCCATGCCGCTCTTGCCCACCTGCGGCGCACCCCCCTGGTGCATACCAAACCTGCTCGGGCTGCTGCCCCTCCCCCACTCGCCCTCTCCACCCTCCGAGCTGCCGCCTCCGCCAATCAACGGATCCTTGACCTCCCACACGCTCTGCTTGCTTCCTACACTGAACTCGAGATCCTCCTTGGTAATGCTATCCCAGTACTTGTACACCATCATGACCGCCAGCAACATGCACAGCGTACCGAAGAACGTTCCGTCGATGTAGTGCTTCACGGCACGGCAGACTTCCTCTCCGAAACCGTACATCAGGATGAGTCCCGCGGCGAAGAAGAAGAGGCCGAAAGTGATGTCACCCAGCGGCCATCTGTCGTCCAACGTCCTGAGGACCAGAAGCACCTGGGAAACTGTATAGATGATGACGCAGGCCAGGGGGAAGATCAACTCGACGATCCACAGCCCGGTCTGCTTGGTCGGCGACATTCCCGCGAAACCCTTAAACGTAGCGAGACTGACGAAAATCCCGACCGCGAACAACACCACCGAACTCAACCTCAAGAACCAGAGACTCTTTGGCGTTCCATCCTCCGCAAACTGGAATCCAACAAAGCCGTTGATCAACAGACACCAAAAGATGGCCGTCTTCAATCCGACGTACACGCCTGTCAAGTACAGGTACGCCGCCGAATACGTCGGAACGATGGCCGAATCCAAAAAGATGACCAGGATCTCCGAAAGCGCGTAGAGGTAGAAGAAGAGCACGATCTCCTTGCGACCTACGGCGGTGTACTTGGAGCGAATGTGGTAGACCATGATGGCGGTCATGACGAGAGCTGCGATGTGGATGAAGCACGTGGCGGGTTGAAAGATGATGGTCTTGTTGATCTCGACATTGCGCGAGTAGCAGATGGGTTCGAGACCGAGACCGGAGCTGCCCAGGAGCGGGCAGACTACCATGGAGATCTCATCGCAAATCGATGAGTAGGAGCCGAACGAGAAGCCCATCTTTGCGTGCTTAGCTTAGAACGTGCTTAGAGACGCTTTGTCGACCTCGGAAATGACTGTGTGGTGTTGCTGATCGAGTCGAATGAGGAGATGACTTTGTTTTCGTGAACGATGCTGCGTTGTTGCTGTTCCCAAAACAAATGCAGTGGCGATGCAACCAAGGAAAAAACACGCACCAGTCGTGTAAGTCCGAGCTTGTACGCTGCTGGAGCCGAGCGAAGAAATAGCCGTGTCGTGGTCGAGTTCTTCGTCGCGCTCGTAATCGTTTGTATCGATGCGAGTCGCAGAGAGCGAAAGAGTGTGAGGAGGAAGATGATGATGATGATGGAGATGATCGCAAAGCAGCAAGTCCACGAAATAACTGCACCCTGTGCACCGCTCTCTCTCTCTCTCTGCTGTGTGTATTTCTCGATCGTCAATGTTTCTCCATGGCCGTAGCTTCCGACAAATTCAACATCACACAGCACGGCGCGGTTTTCCAAAAATCGGGCGGTGTTTCGCTTGTTTCTCTCTCAGAGTCTCGTCCTGCTAGCCAACTCTGCAACGCCGAGCTGGCTGAAAGTATTTAATATTTTTTCTATTATAAAATTCAACCACTTCAGAGGAGCGCGTTTCTGCTGTCGCTCTCATCCTCACAACACGCGCTCGCATGCACGGAATCCGTCGAAACTCGTAACTAATTCACCGCTGCTGCAATTTCGCTTCGGGATGACAGATCGGTGCATCTTGCAAAAGGGGCGTTTCCAAATTCCCCTATGTTCGGCTTTTACTCGAAAATGTGAGATCGTGGTGAGCTCTTGTGGCTCTGCGGCTCTGCCTTGCTTCTAGGAGAAAGTTTCGACGTTTGGCAGTACAAAAGAAGTGCAGCATTGCAACCATGTTACGAGCTACGTGCCGTGGGATTGCAAGCGAAACCATGAGCATGATGAGAGGCAACACTCTTACAACGCCCAGATCTTGACAACGCTATCTTTTCCACCCGAAACGGCATATCTGTCCATGTACCTCAGCCTCTCCACCGGCGAAGTGTGTCCGTTGAGCGTCAACGATCCGTGCTGTAGCGTGGTACGGTTGAAGATCTTGACACCATTCTCGCCTGTCGCGGCGAGGATCTTTCGCGAGTCGAACTGCAACGCCGTGACGGGGTGATCGTACCTGACCGTGTCCGAGATGCTGCCCATGCGCAGATCCCAGATGCGCATCGACTTGTCCAAGCTGCCCGAGATGATGTGATGCTCGTCGAACTGCAGACACGTCACGGGTGCCGTGTGGCCGAGCAAGGTGCGGTGCGCTTGACCCGTTCGCATATCCCACATGCGCACACCGCCGTCTCCGGAACCACTGGCCAGCGCATAGCCCCAGAACTGCACTCCGCCCACAAAGTCTTGGTACATCTCCCAGCTGCCATCCGCGTAGGGTGGAGTTGGGTACGCAAAGGCGCCAGAGAGGTTGTTGAGCACCGAGAACGAATCGCGCGAAGTCAGGTCGGGTCGAGTTGGCCCCAGAATCGACGAGGACGATGCCTTGCGTGACGGTGACTCGGGGAAGCCGAACTCGGACTGCGAGATGGCCTGCGACGACGTCGGATTCGAGATGGCCCATAGAATGTCCATGGTGAGCACGCATTGGCCCGTGTTGAGATCCCACTGACGCAACGTCTTGTCCGAAGCACCGGTGACCAAACAATTGTCGTCAAAGTAGAGTGCCGTGACCGACTTGCTGTGGCCCTCGAGGTTCTTGACGCACGGATCAAACTCGTCGCGCACATCCTCATCGTCGTCCTCTCCAAGAGTCGTGTCGCCATCGCGGATCTTGATGCTATCCATGCTTTCGTCTCCGGTGAACTGGGGACTGCGGTTGAGGTCGGGCGACCTTCGGCGTGGTTGAAGCTCTCCCGAAGCCGTCATGGTGCGCCTCGCCTCGAAGTTCTCCACCTTGGTCAAGTCCCAGATGCGGATCGAGTGGTCAGAGCCACCGGTGATGCACACCTCGTCCTCGACCTGCAGGCACTTGACCGTGCCGGTGTGTCCGCGCAACCTGCCCACCTCATCACCCGAAGCCAGATCCCACACGCGCACCGTCTCGTCGAGCGATGCTGAAACCAAAGTTCCGTACGGCTCGGTGAAGTCCAGTGAAGTGATGGGAGCCGAGTGATCGGCGAGCGTCATGAAGGCGACACCAGATGGCAGCTCGTCGTGTTCGGATGGCATGAACAGAGGTCCCTTGCGTCGACGACTGCTGCTCTGGCTGGTCGTCGCTCCCGACGCCGCCGCGTTAGCCGCAGCAGCGGGTCCACCAGGCATAGCGCGCAGGTGCTTTTGGACGGCCAAGAGCTCTCCGACTCCCTCGTGCTCGTCGTTGAGCTCGAGCTCCTCCTCGCGTAGACCCAGAAGCTTCTTGTGAAGACCAGCCTTGATCTTTTCGAGCACCTTGATCTTTGCATCGACAGCAGCCATCTCTGAATCGATGAGCGAGCGCCGCACACCCACGTCGTCCTGCTCGCGCTCGATTTCCCGCAGCTGCCTTTCAAGCTCTTCGAGTTCGATGGCTTGAGTTCGATTGCCGTCCTTACCTCTGGAGATGATGCGGCTCGCCTGATTCCTGCGTGCATGACGCTGCTCGCGCGCCTGGAAGGCCGAGACAGGCTCGGTTTCGACACCTTCCACCATGAGACCGCGCGCCTTGTCGCCCATCGCCTTAAGGCCAAGCTTGGTAGGACCTTCAGGCCCATCCTCGAATCCGCTGGCGACAGCACGGACGCGTCTGCGGCGTGACCGCCCCTCGGTGGAGCTGGGTATTGTGGCTTGGAAGCCCCTTAGAAGCGAGACGGAGGGATCAGAGCCTTTCGACTTGGAAGCTTCGATGGCACCTCGGGAGCCGGACTGTGCATCTCCATTAGCAGTAATGTCGAGGTCCTGTGCTGCCGTTGCGAGGATGCGATCGCTCTCTTCGAGCACAAACAGCTCATTGGAGGTGATGCCATTCATCGGCCCTCGGCCGATACCAGATTGGATGAGCGAGCCGCCGATACGAACGAGAGATCTGGCGGGACTGGTGATGGAGAAGCCAGGAGTGAGCAGCAGCCGCGCTCGGCGTTGGCCATCGGGAGTGAGGCCGAGGGCGGTGTTGGAGTTGGTGACCGCCGCCATCATGCGGGTGGTCATGAGTTGAGGGGCGACATCGGAAAGCAGGCGACTCGGCTCGCTGTGACCGTTGATGGGGCTGGAGCCGAGGTAGGGAGAGCCGGGAGCGAATGGCTGGAGATAGGCTTTTGTGGAGTTGAGCGCGCCTGAGAGCGTGTCGCGGATCGAGGCCGAAGATGCGATGCCGGAGCTGGGCTCGCCAGCTCGCCGATCGGCGCCGAGGAGCGGACTGTAGCTCATCTTCGACCTGTCAGATGGCTGTTCTGAAGCACCGGCGGCTGTGTGTGTCGATGTACGTGCAGAAGTATGTCCAGCTCCTGTATCGGTGTGTGCAGATCGTTGAGGCTTCGACCGCCGAGGTTACGCGATGCCGTTCTACGCAGGAAAGACTGTGCGCTGCGAATGAAAGCGGATCGGCTTCTGCTGGCTTCGAAATGCGTGTCGAGTGCGCAGCGGGTGTGCAAGTGGTGAAGGGATGCTTGCTTCCGTGTGAGGACGGAAGGCAACCCGTATGTTGCGCAGCGAGGTGGTCAAAGGGACCTCCACTTGCGTGCGTTGGCGAAGCTTGTTAGGAGAAATGGGCGAGTCCGGCTGCGTGAACCTTGTGTGCTGCTCTTTGTACCGAGAACGAGCTCGCACGATGCACGGATCTGAGTATGCAGAGGCAAACACAGAAGAGCGAGACGATGCAGATGATGAAGGAAACCGATGTCGAGAACAAAGCCGATGACAGATTCCGGTGGGCACGGCCTCTTGTGCGATAAGTTCAAGGCCCCCGACGAATTCTCTATCGGAATTCCTTTTTTGCGCTCTGGTGCGGTGCTTGGCGGCCGAAAGAGCACAAGAGAGAAAGCGATTCCGGTGAGACACGCGCCTGATATTTTCGGAAAAGACCCTTTTTTGCTCTCCCCGAGGCATCCATCCACCACACAAAGGCGAGCAGACAGACAAACGAGCGTGATGGCCCAAATTTACTCTGGACAGGCTCGGGTACATTTCGAATCACAGCATCCGGTTCGAGGTCGAGGTCGAGGTCTTAGTTGCTTCGGAATGCAACTTCCCTCGAGGCTGAAGCCTGATTCGGTCCTTTGCGCCAAGTCGAGTTTCAGAGCCAAAGAAGGTCAATAAGCTCGCAAGGCATTGAAGTGGTCGCACAGAGCGGCGCTTTTCACCGTGTACACTAGGCTAACTTTGTTTGTCGGTCGATGAGGCCCTGCGAACGAAGGACAGAGCCAAGGAGGATGTGCCATTTGAGCCCAAAAGCCCCACTCAGAAGCATCAAATCATTGTCTTGTCCCTTTGAACTGTCCTTCGAGCCACAACTGTCCTCGTTCGAAACCGGTTCGAGATAGAGTCTGCTGCGCTCAAGTGGGCGGATCCTTCTACGCCGCGCGCTGCCAAATGAGCAAAGAGGTGACCGAGCCTCTGCGCCTCAGCTGGACGCCCACTCTCCCGAATGACAGGCGAATCTACTTTTCGTGCGGTTGACGCGTGAGCTGGGATGGCGTTGTCCATTTACGCGAAAAGCTCGAGCGCTCGCCACGAACCGCCCGCGACCGAAAGCGAGTCTGAGGCACACAGACGGCAGAGGAAAGTGGACGACAAGTTACCCACCAGGGGAGCTTTGGACCCTTGAGAGTGCGAGACAGCTTTTGCCTCTTGCTGTGCACGAGCGACGCAGCGCAATAATGTGTGTGAGAAGATTCCAGCGGCAAGGTCACTCGAGTATGGTCCCAGCTAGCTGACCCCTTGTCACACGCCTTCACATCATCTCACTTCAGCAGACCTTCACACACCTTCTTCTTTGACGTACACTTCCGCTCGACCGTCTCCTGCAGTCGGCTAGACGTCATTAAAGAGCGAGCCGTATAGTCTCATCGCCGTCCAAGCGTCTCGGGGGCAGCAGCTAGCCAAGGGCACGATCAGGATCTCAGCATCTCTCCGCAGCGATCGACGAGGCCTGACCTACTCAAGATGCCACTTACCAGAGCGCTTTCAGCACGCTTGCAGGTGGGTTCTCGCCGACAATCTGCGCCCAGTGCAAAGAAGGGTGCAGCCAGCGATGATATCGTGGCTCTCAAGTTGCAGGCCAAGGCCAGCTCGTCCCCCAGCGTACAAGCTGGCGGAGCAACCCGTGCTCTCGTAGCCGGTACTTTCGCCCAACTCAATGTCCAGCAATCCTCCTGCAAGGGCTCCTCCTCAAGCTCGACCACTTCAGCGCCCGCAGCATCGACATCATCAAGGTCGCGCTATGTACGAAGAGGAAGCAGCCATTTCTCGTCGCGCTCTTCCACCTCATCTCGACGCTCCATCCTCGGCAGTTCCGATTTCAGAGAGTCTTCCGACGACGAGAACGACGATCAGCGCCGCTCGGGCAGACTCGGAGGATGCTCTGCATTCCCTTTGACCGCCGATCGACCCGACGACAGCAATAAAGAAAACGTCGCTCCCTTTCGGTGCGCCTCGCAAGATGTGCTCGAGACCGAGGCTCGTGATGCACAGCACGAAGATGCGATTCGCCGTACCAGCAGCGCAACCCGCACGAACAGTCTCATGGAGCGACATACCTTCTCGTCACCTCGTCGCCTCAGCCGCAGCTCCACCACATCCGACCTTTCCACAACCTCCCCAGGTAAGTTCCTCTTTCGTTCCCGACTTGCAGAAGGGATCACGATCCATCAGACGTGTTGCGGCATGTTTTGTCGAGTGTTCCCGTCCCAGGAGCAAAGTCGACCATGCCTATGCCAAAGGACAAGCGTGGCGGCAGAAGCAGCATCAGCAGCTCTGTCATCTTCTACGATCGATCTGGTGCAGCAGTCGGTGTTCAACTCCACTCTCCACAGTCACGATTTTTCCGAAGATGTGGCTGCTCCTCTGCTGTTCTGCTGCCGCGCTTTTTTGGCTTGCAAAGTGTGACTTTGGCAAAGTGCAGAATTCAAGTGCTGCGAATTTCTGTCTCGCAGCCAGCCCAATTGGACTCTGTGGCTCTCCCTGCTGCTGCCCACGACGCGCCCATTTACGCGTTGGAAGCAATGCACGACTGCTGCGCGTCTACAGCTAGAATTTCGCACACCTGCATCTGACCAGCCAAGGAAATTCCAGGCGACACTCAGGCACACGTCAAGTTTCAGAAGAGATGTAGCAGACGGCTGATCATGATCCTATCTTCTCTCTTGCTTCTCACTCTCTCACCTCGACACTTCTGGCTTGTTCTCCATTGCATCGCTCGTTCTGCATCTGCTCGTTTCCGCTCTCGCTCGCTCCCTCTCGAATCGTCGCATACATCGTCTTTGCTATTCTCGGCTTCCATACCCTGCACCTCGTCCTGTCATCCTTATTCACCGATCCTCCTTTTTGCCGATTACATCGCCTTCTGTATACCCGACCGCAGCTCTCAACATGTCGAGGACGCCTTCAAGACGCATGGCACGTTCCACATCAGACCACGCGCTCCTCAGCTCTTCACCCAGCACGCCCAATCGTCGACCCTTGGCGCTATCCACCTCGGCGAGAAAGCGATCCCGCAACGACGTCGACTTTGACACCGACGACGCATGTCTCCCTGCCAGTCCGCTTTCTCGTTTGCGTCTAGAGACCCCTGTCAACAGGCGAAGCTCGTCGTTGCATCACTTCAACAGCCCGAACACTTCCCGCTCCATCCCAGACGAGGAATCCGGATCCTACTTTCCCCTCTCATCCCAAGAGTCGGCACAGAGCTCCCTCTTTGACACGCACAGCATCGCCGAGAGTTCCTCCGCACCCACCTCCTCCAGCTCTTCCGACTGCGACGTGCCTTCTCCTGTCAACCACGCGCTGCTCGAATCGGCAAACCAACAAAAGTACTCGAGCGTCTATGCACACGCGAGGGCACTACTTCGCTACGCTGCAGGTGTCGACCCAGCAGAGACTGAGGCAGGTCTCACCATCACCAACGCTGCTGTCTCGAAGCTCGGCGGACATCACGTCAAGGTCGTCGGTCGCGAGTCGGAGCGTACCGCCATCCAGCTCTTCTTGCAGCACAACTTTGGCCTCTTTGCCGACGCAGAGCAGCGGGCAGCGAGCCTCAATGTGGAGCTCGATGGCGATGCTGAAGCTGCCTGCCTCTACGTCTGCGGTCTGCCGGGTACCGGAAAGACGGCGCTCGTCCGTTCGGTGCTCAACAGTCTCTCCGAGTCGACACCTTGCACGTCATCCTCGCCGAGCCTCCCTCGCGTCGCTTTTGTCAACTGCATGACCTTGTCGCACCCGCGCCTCATCTTTGGCAAAGTGCTCCAGGCGCTCGGCTCCAACGCCGCCGAAGGTCAGTCTGACGCCTTCGCCGAACAGGCTCTCTCCACCCTGATCCGCGACGGAAACCAGCGCATCCTCATCGTCCTCGACGAGATGGACCACCTCCTTCAGAGCCGTGCCCATCAAAACATTCTCTACAAGATCTTCTCGTGGACCGCCAACTCGAACCAATCCCCCGGTGCAGGTGCACGCGGCGGCTCCGCGTGCAGCCTCATCGGCATCGCCAACTCGCTCGACCTCACCGAACGCTTCGTCCCGCTGCTGGCTAGCAAGGGCGCTTCTCCTGCGCTGCTGCATTTTCGACCGTTCGAGGCGAACGAGATCGTCTCTGTCATTCGCGATAGGTTGTCTGGGCTGTATGCTCGATACGACGATCAGGAAGAGGAGCCAGCCTCTTCCGGCGAGGGTGTTGGAGAGAAAGACTCGCTCGCGTTGTTTACGCCGACGGCTGTCGAGCTGCTTGCAAAGAAGATCGCGGGTGCCACGGGCGATCTGAGGAAGGCGTTGGATGCAGCACGTTTGGCGGTGGAATTGGTGGAGGGAGAGCAGAGGAGGAAGGCGATGGTGGAAGTGGAAGCTAAGCGCGTCAAGGATGAGGCTGCTGCTGCTGCAGCTGCTTCGGCATCAGCAGAGGGAGCTTCTGCCGAGTCGACCGACGTTGAGCAGCCGCAAACCGCAGCAGCGGTACGTGCCAAGCTGCTCACCCACCTCACCCCCACCACCGCCCCCAAAGTGGGTCCCACCCAAATCCTCAAAGTGCTCACCTCCGTGCTCGGCTCCCCGAACCTCTCCAAGATCCGCAACCTCGGCGTGCAGCCCAAACTGGTGCTGCTCTCCATCCTCATCGCGCAAGCACGATCCGAGCAAGGGCTGAGCATCCTCGGCAGCGCCACCAGCGCCTCCCCACCCACCTCCGCCAGCACCGGATCCGCACTGCGCATCGTCGACATCGAACACACCTACCACGCCATCCTCCGCTCCGAAAACACGCTCTTCACGCCGCTTGAAGCGTCGGAACTGCTCGGCGTGTTCGACATGCTCGAGGTCAACGGTGTCATCCGCATCTCGAGCGAGGTCGAGACGCTCCACACGAGCTCGCGGGACGGTGTGACGGCGAGCAGTGTGGTCAGTCCGAGCGGCAAGCGGGCTGCGAAGAAGCAGCTGTTGGCGGGAAGCAGACACGTGTACCTCGCGATGAGCGGTGATGATGTTCAGAGGGGGATCTGTACCAACAGTCCGGGGATGGGGAGTGGAGCGGTGGCGGATACGATCGGGAGGGTGTGGGAGAGGGAGAAGGAGCGGGCTGTCAAGGCCAAGGTGTACCACAGTATTGCGGTGGAGAACGCGAGGATTCGTCAGGACGAGTTGGGAGGGGGGAGGATGGGCGTTCCCATTGGAAGCTTTTAGAAGAGGCGTGCAGTCGAGCCCACAATGAGTGGGGTTCTTGTTTTGTTTTGTTCTTTGCATTTCTTCTCATCGCATTCGTTTTCGTAACACTTTCCTGGACGGTTTGTGAGTGGCGCTGTGACTTGGCACTGGTGATCAGACCATATGTGTGTGTGTGTCAAGGTGAGGAGCAGCTTTACGGCAGTCCTGAGTGGAAAAGTAGCAGTTGAAAGAAAAAGATGACATTACTGAACGGATCCAACCCCCTCCTCTACGCTCTCTGTCTCTGTCTAGCGCCGATCGTCTTCAAATTGGCATAAACCTTACCCGGCGGGCTACCTCTGATCAACGCGACCACGGCATCCCTAGCGATCTTGATATTGCCAAAGTTACCCAAGATATGAATCTTTGTATCCGCAATGACCAATCTCGTTCTACTAGCGTTTTCGATCGCGAATCTGGTTCTGCCGTCCTTTCCGGCAATTCTACCGATAGCTCTACTCAAATTGTCACCCTGCAAGGTCTTTACGTCTTTGATCTCGAAGGTATCGATGAAGAGGTCGTCCATACGGAGCAGGGCGATTGCGTCGTCGGCTTCGAAACCGAGGGCGAAGGCTTTGACGAAATCGGCGCCCTTTTGGAGCATGCCCTGTTCGGTGGTGTAGCGGGAGGATTTGAGTTCGACGGTCTTGCGTGCCACGTTCATGCGGACTTGGAGGGAAGCCATTTCGACTAGGGGTGTGTAGATCTTGTGCCAGTCGTTTTTGAGCGGGGTGAGTCGATGTGGTGGGATGGGGATCTTGCGAAGCTGACCTTTGGCTACAGCGGTTAGCGAGGAAGCTGCGGATGCGGAGAGCGGTGCGAATGATGGTTTGCTTCCCGAAGAGGATGCAGGGGTGGAAGAAGTGGCAGCAGGTGTGGGAGCGGTAGCGGAAACGGATGATTCACCGATCATGAGATCATCATCTTCCTCCATGGATGCGGCCGTTTGGAAAGTATCATCTGCGATATCGATATCTTCATCATCGTCAGACCCTTCCTGTCCAAATGGCTTGCTGTGTTTCAGCACCACGTCGTCATCCTGCTCGCCAGCAGTAGATCGCGCTGCTCCCCCTACGATGCCTGCTTTGGCGGAAGCAGCCTTCTTGGACTTCGAAGACGAAGCAGTAGCTGCTGCCGACTGCTTGGATGAAGAGCTGGCTACCATTGTGTACGAGACGATGCGATTCGTAGTTTTCGAATGAAGCAGGTTTTGATCAGGTCGAGAGATTCGTCCTAGTCGTCCGATGTGATGACTATCCGTCCTGAAAGGATGAAGATGGCAACGTTTCCGATCAAGTGGTGGTGATGACGGAGGTGCGGATGGTGGAGAAAGCTCTTGACACTCGCCTCTCTCTCTCTCTGCAATACCACACTTTTTTGGAAGAAGCGAGACAGAAAAAAATTCACCCAACCTGCATGTCCAACCTGAAACAACTCTAAAAAAAAGTTCAAACGCACCAAAACCCACGGGGTAAGCCTGTTAGATCCGTACCCCGAGCATTGCTCTCGCTTTCGCTTCTCTCATGCAAGACGTGGCATCGACCACACAGACACCCGTCCCGTCACGAACAGCACATCCCAGTCGATCTTCGCACGGCACCAAATGAGAAGCAAAGCCAGATAGAATTTCGTCATACTAGCCCTAGAAGTAGGAAATCCAGCCGATGTGGACCAAGGATCATACAAAACAATCAGAGGCGGGTGATCAATGCTGATGCTCGAAAGCATCCCGAGCGTCGTGCATAAGAGGTGCTGGCGATGGCTAAAGGAGGCGTGCTGCAAGAGGTGCTGGTGTGTGTGAGAGCGCAAGAGTGAGAGACCGTCTTGAGACCCGGTGAGAGCAAGACAGAGAGAAACAAATATCATATCAACAAGGAACAGAAGGAAAGAAAGGAGGGGGCCGAAGGAGAATATTATACAACGCATCGCGAACAAATTGCAGACAAACAAAGACGGTTCGTCCTCCGTGCGCTTCGATAGAAGAGAAAATGCACCTCGCTACCTCCTAGCAATTCGACAAGCAGCACGACGTTCCAAGACACTGACGTGCAGCGGAAGGATCTTTTGGGGTGGGGAGTTGGGTCAGGGCCGGGGTTGACCGTGTCGGATGGAAATGGATCACCCGGAAGAGGGATCTCCGGAGGGTATGGTGTGGTGACCGCGCGATTAAGCCTCGGTCTTGGGAGCCTCAGCCTCAGCCTCGGCCTCAGCAGCCTCGTCGTTCTGCTGGTATTCCTTGAGCACCTCGAGCGCCTCGTTGACCTTGGCGTCCAGTGCCTCGCTCTCCTCGAGAAGGTGGAGCAACTCGGTGACGGGAAGCTCGAGGATCATGCCGGTGAGCTTACCGGCAAGCTCGGGCTGGCTGGCAGCAACCTTGGGGTAGATGGCCTCGCCGAGCATCTGCTTCTGCTCCTCAGGGCTGGCCTTGGCGAGAGCAGCCGCGGTCAGCGTACCGGGCTGACCAGCGTCGGGGCGCGCAGCAGGGCGCGCGGCAGGGCCACGCGGCATAGGCTGACCAGGCACGGGCTGGCCGGCGGGGCGAGGAGCACCGTTGACGCCGGTAGGGGGGCGAGCACCGGCGGGGGGTGCAGGGCCGCCAGCGGCGTTAGGCGCACCGCGAGGGGGGCGGGCGGGGCGGTAACCCTGAGGCACCATACCCGCAGGGAACTGGCCAGGCTGGCCGTAAGGAGCCATGGGCATGCCCTGGGGCATCATGCCGGCAGGAGCGTAACGGGGGCGCGGAATCATACCGCCGGGCTGGCCGGGGAACGCACCGGGCTGCGGGTAGTACATGCCTGGGCCGGGGTAGCCCATACCCTGAGCGGCGGCCTGCTGCTGGAGGCGCAGCTGGTTGCGCTGCATGATCTGCGCCTCGAGCTGCTGGCGACGGTCGTCCTTGCGCTGGGCGAGAGCAACGTAGAGCGGTCGGTTGTCGAGCATCTTGCCGTTCATCTCAGAGACGGCCTTGTTGGCCTCCTCGGGAGCAGAGTAGCACACGAAACCGAATCCGCGCGAGACGCCAGAGGGAGCGCGCATGATCTTGCACGAGGTGATGGCACCAAAGGGAGCAAACTCTTCGCGCAGACGCTCGTCGTCGTACGACTCGGGGATGTTCTTGAGGTACAGGTTGACGCCCTGGAACTTGGCGAGCTTCTCGTTCTTGGCGGCTTCGTACGAGCGGCGGAGCTCCTCCTCGCGCTCGCTCTTCTTCTGGGCGCGGGCCACAAAGAGCTTCTGACCCTTGTACTCGGAGTCGTGCAGCTCGTCGACGGCGGTCTGGGCCTCGTTGTGATCCTCAAAGTTGACGAAACCGAAGCCCTTGGACTTGCCGTCCTCGTCGCGCTGGAGCACGCACGAGGTGATCTTGCCGTACTTGGTGAAGAGCTTCTCGAACTCTTCGTCGGTGACCTCGGGGTCGACGTTCTTGGCGTAGACGTTGGTGAAGTTAGCGCGCGTCTCCTCGATCTTGGCCTGACGCTCCTTGCGGGGGATGTGGTGGCCGACGTACACCTTCTTGTCGTTCAAGAGCATTCCGTTGACGTGCTTGATGGCAGCCTCGGCAGCCTCGGCGGTCTCGTAGTGGACGAAACCGTATCCGAGCGAGCCGGTCTCGTTGGTGGCGACCTTGCACGAGAGAATGTTGCCAAAGGCCGCAAAAGTGTCGTGGAGGGCCTTGTTGTCGATGCCGGCGTCAAGGTTCTTGATGAAGATGTTGCCCTGACCGGTGCGTCGGAGGGCGGGGTCACGCTGGGACCACATGATACGGCAAGGACGGTTGCGAATGAGCGAGTAGTTGAGCTGCTCCATGGCGCGCTCACCGTCGTTGGTGTTGAGGAAGTTGACGTAGGCGTAGCCGAGCGAGCGACGGGTGACGGCATCACGGCAGACACGGATGCTGGCGACGGGACCGATCATGTTGAAGATCTCGAAGAGCATAGCCTCAGTGACGGAGGGGTCGAGCTCACCAACGTAGAGCGAGGTGTTGTTGGCGCCATCGCCGGAGTTGTTGTTGTTGCGCTCGCCGTTGGCGGCAGCCTGCTGCTCGGCGGCGGGAGCGGGGTTGGAGGCAGGGACGGCCTCGGCGGGGGTAGGGGCGGGGGACTCGGTGGACGACATGGTTTCGAGCTAGAGGGGGAGGTGGTTCCGAAAAGACGAAAGGATGAAAGGTCGAAGAGGATGAAAAGTTGAAAGTAGAAAAAGGAATAAGAAAGGGTACAAAGAGACTCTTTCTGGAGGTGGTGAACAGATGGAAGGAGAAAAGATGCAGTGGTCAGCAAAAGGGTTCAGCGTATGGTGGAGTCGAGGAGATCGCAAGAAGCACACGGGAGCGAGAGATCGACTCGAATCCATGAGGACAGGAAGGGAAGCCAGGTGGCTCTCTCCCTCGTGTCGGGTTCACAGCACAAAGCTGACGGCGTCTACCGCCACGACAGGATACGATCGACGTAGAAGTATGCGCGGATGTCGACGTTTGGCGGAGCAAGGAGCGTGGATTTGCAGAAGAGGCGGATTTGACCGTTCCATCTGCGCCTTATGGGTGGTCGCGGTCGTGCTCGTGCTCGTTGCTCGTCGCGCCAAATGCGATTGGACGGTGTTCCATCGCATCGTCTGCCGCCATTGCCTCCGCGCCGATGAGATGCTCGTCATTTGTTCGTCGAATCGCTCTCGCGCCGCGAGTGGTGCCGTGAAGCTCCTTGTGATCATCGGAAGGAGAGCTTACCTTTTGATATATGGGTTTTTTGGGTTTTCTGATTTGGCTTTATACGAAGAGTGACGACCAACAGGAGAGTCGACGGCTACCTCGGGGTTTTCTGGTTATAGAAGAGATGGTGTTTTTTGGGTTTTTTGGAGGAAAAGGTAGCAAGGCAAGATGGTGACGCCGGCTTTGTGAGAGGCAGACTCGCCGCACGACGAGCGAGCGAACCAGTAGACTGAGTCTCAGCCACGTCCTCCTCTTGCTGCTCCGTCACGCTGCGAGGAGGAAAAGACTTTTTTTTTGGTTTCGTTCTTCTCCGCTTGGCGAGTCGCGAAACGAGAGCGTCAACAGGGCTCACTCACCTCTCGAGGTGCAAAAATTGACCGCGAGCAGGAAAAAAAATGTCAACTTGAGAAGGCGCAGCAAATTTTTCTCGACAACTTTGTTCCACACTGCGAACAAGAAGAAGAAAAAAGCTGGCGGTGAGTCCGCCACGCGTGACAGTGGGCCTGGAGAGTGGCATTTGCAGAATGTAATCTCAGGCATGCACGGTTTGTATTGGCACGCGTCTTGGTTCGTATTGCTCTGCTGCAGTAGTTTGTATCGATCTAGTCAAGCCTGCAGACTTGCTACGGTCAGTGTCAGAAGACTTTTAGTCCCCAAGCCACTTGCGACTCATCCTGTGACATTCATACAACTTGTTTAGCCCTGCCGAGTCTGTGGGACACTCGCAGACAGTGTGTTCACACACTACGTTCGCAAAGCTAGGCATGAGGCCTGTCCGCGATCACTGGATGACGATCATGCCCATCCGGGTTGTTGAGAAAGTTGCAAAAGTGGTGATTGACTAGGCATTTTGTATGATATAAAAAGTACAGATTTACAAGAGCGCTCGAGATGAGCTTGTGGTGTTCCTGAGAGCGAGGCGACGGATACGATAGGGGTGCGAGAGAAGCCTGACCGGCATAAGGAAAAGGCAGAGGCGAGCAAGATGCGATATTGCCAGTGCGTCCTCTCGTCGAACGTGGAAGAGAGCTACGAGCGGGTCAGCGACAACATGCATTTCGCAGCGTCGAAAGCCTCTAGGCTGCGGCGACGAATCACTCCCAACCTTGCGACCTTTGCGTCGCTTGAACGCCTCTGCACTAGTGGCTACGAGCTAGGAAAGGCGGCCATTCAGCAGATCCCTTACTCGGTCGACTGAACGACGCCGACCTCGGCAGCTCGCAATAGACGATCCTTGATCTTGTATCCGACCTTGCTGCATTCGAGCACGGTGCCGGGCTCTTTGCCGGGGACAGGCGCCTGGTACAGCGCCTCGTGCTCCTTGGGGTCGAACTTCTCGCCGGTGGGGTCAAACTGGACGATACCGTGGGTGCGCAGCATGTCGAGCAATGACTTGGAGGTGAGGTCGACACCCGAATACAAGTCGGCTACAACACGGCGTGGGTCCTTCATGTCGAGGTCCTTGGAGGCAACACGCAGCTCCTCGGGCACCGACCTGAGCGCAAGCCCGAGAATGTCGATCGAGCTGGTGAGGTCCTTGGCGAGCTTGGTGATGGCGATGTCGCCTGCCAGCAACTTCTCATCCTTGGATCGTCGCTGCAGGTTCTGGTAGTCCGCCTTGCCGTATAGGATGGCTTCTTGCAACTCCTTGATCTTGGCATCCTTCTCCTTGATCTGAGCCTGCAAAGCGTCGCTGCCGGCTCCGGCGGCATCCTTGTCGGTGGCGCCCATGGCCTCGCCGGATGCCTTGGTCTCCTCTTCCTTCTTCTTCTCGGCAGAGTTGAAGGCAGTTCGTGCCGTCGAAAAGGTCATAGCTCGTGGCGCCGAGGTGAGGGCGAAGCTTCGAGGTGCGATCGATGCGAGCGCTTGCCTGGACGAACCGGCGACAGCGGATCTTGATGCGGATCGCAGAGCAAAGCCGAGCTGGCGTGATACGGAGCTCGACATTGTGATGACTGTGGTTTTCCTGAGAAGAGGTACGTGTGCGGGGGATGTGGTGGTTGTGGATGAGGAGGCAAAGGTGGGGCGAGAGTGGCCTGGAGTGGAGGCTGGCTGATGTCAAAAGTTGCCGTCGTCGTGCGACAAAGCGTTTCTTCTTGTTCTTCTTCCAGCTTCGTCCGGCTCATCCTCAGCTTCTGCCGTGCAGAGTCGGACTGCTTACTGGCTGAGCCTGCTTAGGAAGTGCGGGAATTTCCGATCCTGAATACGCCGGATTGCTGAGCGAATATTGTTGTAGAGGTGCTCGTCGGCTTGCCACCAAAGGCAATGTTAAGGCTCGACAACACGTTGAAATAACCGTCGCGAAATTCAACTTTTGCCAACTTGGTGCCGATATCTTTTTCCAGGGGTTCAAGCTCGCCTACTTATCATGGGCGGATGGATGCATGCAGGTGGTCGAGGCAGGAGACCAGTGTTTCGACATATTTGGTTCTGACTCGCTCACGCTGGACCCTGAGCGGGCGCGCGTATCACGCCAACGCTGTACCACAGCACAGCAGTACAGCAGCACAGCGGCGGTGAGTTATCAGCAGCAGCAGCTCAAGCTGCGCATTGCTCCACACGACCTGAGCCTGAATTGCGAATCTGGCCCTGCAGCTCGTCAGTCAAAAAGCGGCATGACTGGACTTGGATCTGCGGCTCCTTGTCTCGATCGTACAACGTACCGTCGGCGTCATCATCACCATCATCATCAACCACAACACCATCGCAGTCAACATCGTCAGTGTCACCCACACGCAGCACATGACTCTGACCTCCCTACGCAGGCCTCTCCACACACGTGCCCACTCACCGGAGCTCATGACTTTGGCCGCCTAGCTTACAAACGTACGATAGTGGAAAGTCGTTCCCATTCCTACAAGGACACGACCAGCTGCACCTCCTCTTCCCGGGTCAGCATTGCCTAGCACACCAGCAAAGGCTGCTCACGATCTTGGCATATCTCGGCGAGCGTGCAGCAGCCCCCGTACTCTAACCAGCGCCTGCGTTTGACCCATCTCGTACGCATCGACTGGTCGCGCAATCGTCAACGACCATGACGTCGCTCTCGCAGTATGCTTCACGCTTCCTCTCATCCGGTCTCGCCACCTCTGTTCGTCCGGGTGTGGATGCCGACCACGACGCCAACGATCCAAGCGATCCGCTCTTCTACAGCCACGCTTCGGTCTCGGGTGCTCCCTTCTCGCATCCCAACGCCCGTCACAACCCTTACGGTCCAGAGTACAGTCTGTCCAGCTCCGATGGCCTTCCTACACCACCAGCACACGCCAGATCTGGCGCACACAGCGGCATACTTCACAGCCTCACCGGCGCCAGTCGCTTCGGTCCCGCCTCTTTCCTCGCTTCGGGTCGAGGTAGACCGGCCCATGGTGCCGCATACGGTATTCGCGACTCGCTCATCCGTGAGATCGACGACGAGGACGATGTCGATCTCTGGCGCGACGATCGACGCATGCCGCGTCTAGCTTCTCGTCTGGCAGAGAGCTCCCTTTCCGAAGACCTCGCAGACAGCTTGGACGCCTCTGCAAGTGCCCTCGCTGCGCAGCAAAGCTCAGCAGCGCCGCCCGCCGCCACACCCTCCTCATCCTCGGTCATGAATGCTGTGCCATCGACCTCAAGAACGACGAGCGCACCCCGTCGGAGCGCGGCGAATGACGCACAGGATCCTTTTCTTGCTGATGGTGATCTCGATGACGTTGCCAGCCAGCACAGCCTTGCCAGCACCAAGGATCACCGCTCCTCTGACGATCGTTCAGTCCAAGCGTCGGCAGACCCTCAACATCTCTACGCACCCACTGGAAGCTCAAACTCATCGACTGCAGAGCAAACCCAGCGACGACAAGCTGCGAGGGCACGAGGCTGGCTCGCCCACGGATCCACCATCGATACTGACCCAGCAGCCCCTGCACGCGACTTGGCGCATCAAAATCCTCGCTACGACCCTTCTTCCTCGAGCCTCTACTCTCAGCAAGCACGCACACAGGACAGGAGCCACTTGGAAGATTCTTCGATGTACTCAAACTCCCCGAGGGTCAACCAGGCTCGTGCCAAACCCTCCCGCTCTCGTCGCAGCCGCACCGAAGGTCTTTTCAGCATCTACGATGAGCGTGAAGAGGACGATGACGAGCAACGATCCGATATGTCCCGCTCCAGATCCGGATCCGTGTCAGCCTCCTCCGTAACAGAGTCTGAGTACGACACCGAGGGCGACGGACGTCACCCGCAACGCAGTCGTCGGGCATCGCGCAACCGAGCTCGTCAGATGACATCCACCTTGCGCGAGCCTCTGCTTCCCTCTGGCTCTGGCAGCGCACGCCCGTTGAGGATCGCGGTCAGGCACAGCTCCGAGTCGGACGCATCTGACCTCGATGCCCAGTCTCGCCGCACCTGCCGCCATTCCAAGCAGAATCGCTCGCTTCGTAGCGATTCCAGGCCCAACGCCAGCAAGCGCGAAGCCGACACCATCGATGAAATTCACCTTTATCCCGCCCCTCCTGCTCGAGCAGGATGGGGTCCGTGGGCCAATCGCCTTGCGTTTGGCAAGTACCGCGACAAGACGGCCATAGCCAGCTTTGCGGCTGCCATCGGTGCGACCATTCTCATTGGCGCCTATCTCAGCTGGGGCGCCGGCACCCCGTCGCAGCCCAAGACACCAAAGACACGACCATCATCGTACTACACCATCACTCGCTCCTTTCCTATCTTGATCCTGCTCACGCTGCTGTCCTTTGGCGCTGGTCTCGCCAATCTGCTCCTTCTCCGCAACCTCAGCCGCTACGGAGGCGCCAAGGTGCTCCGGACTGGTCTCATGGGCGTCCCCATCGTGCTCGGTCTCGGGTGGGCCTGGGCATTCGCCGGCAGTTTCATCTACGACGATGAAGCCTGGTCCGGAGGCAGCTGGAGCACAACTGGTCTGCGAATTATCTCGATCGTTCCGCTGGCGCTCGCCGTGCTCTTTGCTCGCATGGTGTGGCAGCGTCGCAAGGCGCTCTCTAGATCGATCGCGGTCCTTGAGCTATCGTGCAACGTGGTGCTGCAGCACCCGGCTCTGCTTGTTTTGGCGTTGGCGTCGCTCGGTGCCTTTGCGCTGATCACGATCCCTTTCCTTTTCCTCTTCACGCGGCTCTTCCTCGTGGGCCACTTTGGGCGACAGGTCGGTGACTCGATGGAGTGGCAGACCGATGCAAAGGCCGCTTGGCTCGCCTGGGCTACCCTGTGCGCCTGGCTCTGGACGTGGGCTGTCTTGCGCGGCGTGCAGCGCGTGACTGTGGCAGGGGTGGTCAGTCACTGGTACTTCCATCGCATCGGCGAGGGGGACACTGCAGGTACCGATACTGCAGCTGACGCGGGACCTTCAACTGGTGGTCTAGCCGGCCCAAGCGGCGTCAGTGATGGACGCGCGCAGTCCTTCGACAAGCGACGGGCGGACGAGCAGCTCGCAAACGATACCATCTTTGACGGCGACTCAATCTACGACGAAGTGCCGGGTGCCCCTGGTTCGTACCCGCAGCAAGGGCGTCCCACCACGATGCGTCGACACGCGGCGCCGGACCCGACCGAAGTGGTTCGAGTCTCCTTTGCAAGGGCGACGGGACCAGCGCTCGGCTCTATCTGCATGTCGGCTCTGGCCCTCGCCGTTGTCAAGGCCCTCACCGTGGTGGCAGAGGTGGCTCGTCGAATTTCGGACGCTACTACGCAGCGCAGGGTGCCCAAGCTGCTACAGCCTCTGACGCACGTCGTTGTGGCTCTGGCCGGTTTGGGTGCCGTGCTGCAGAGCTACAGCGAACTGGCGCTGGTCTATGTCGGAGTGACGGGGGACGGATTCTGGACAGCAGCCAAGAAGAGCGCTCAGCTAGTCAGTAGGAGGGGAGTACAAGGTGTTATGGAGGGGCTCGTGATTAACCTTGTGCTGGACCTGACCGCCATCGCTCTGTCGTTCCTCGCTGGTCTGGTGGGCTTCCTGTTCTCGGCGCATCAGCTGCACGTTCCTGCCGATGCGCCGCTGGTGGGACTGCTGTGCGGCTTGCTCCCGTACTGGACGTTGCGACTGTGCGCGGACGTGCTCAGCAACGCTTCGGACACGCTCTACCTCTGCTATGCTATCGATCACGCATCGAACGACGAACACTGTCCAAAGGCGGCGGAAGCGTTCACTGCCAAGCCGACGGATGTTTCTGATTCGATCCTTCCCTTTTGAAGAGGTTCCACCGACCATCTTGCTCATGATACAGAAGCATGTTTCACGGTCGTGTCTGTCTGGAATCCAGGTCGTATTGCCAAACCACGGGTGTTTTGCAAGAGAGTGTGAGGAGAAATGCATTGCGAGGCGTGGAGAGCTCTGTTCAACCTACTATTTGTGATGCATATGCAATGTGAAGGAGCCATGCTCAAGCACGAGATCGCTTGCTGCCCCGAACGCCGGCTGCCTGCTTCTTCCTGGCAGCGGCTCTGGAGCCATCGGACTCATCGACGTCCATTGCATTCGCCGCGCCTTTTCCCTTCTTCCCGTGCTGTTGCTGCTGTTGAGCTTCGAGTTGGCGTTGGGACTCGATGAGATTTTGGAGCAGTGCTTGGTGGTGTTGTTGATTCTGGTGTGCTGTTTCGGCTGCGCTTGATCGTGTGCCCTCCATACGTGACTGGAGGCTTTCCAGCACGGAAGTTGTGGTCGATTGCCAAGTTGAAAGCGATGCAAAGATGGAATCCATCTGCATAGCACCGGATGAGAGGGAAGGGAGGGAAGAAAGTGCAGGTTGGGAGGGGAGAGAGGGGTGTGGTACGTCACGACCTTGAACGTGGTGTACTTCGAACCGCGATTGAAGCTCGTTGAGCTTGCCGGAGATGAGACCGGCGTAGATGGTTTCGATGATGAGATCTTCCAACTCCCTACCGTCGGTGCCTGAGATGCCGAGTGATTCGGACAGCGTCGTGTACGGGAGCGCTTTGTTCTGACACGCTAGAGAGAGCAGTGTGAGCTGTCGAAGCTTTTGCACTTGATCTCTTGACACATTGGGGAAGGATGCGAACTGAAGTAGATGTGTGTAGTCGCCGTATGTGCCGTATGCGAATAGACAGAGGAGCTGATAGGCTGTACCGAGCTGTGCATCTGTGGAGGCTGAGAGCTCGGCAACACCAGGTACATCGAACAGCTCGCCGAAGAAAAACACACCAGGAGCAGAGATAGCTTGATGGATGAGGTTAGCAGCGGCTGCACCACGTGGTTTTGTTGATCGAGCTACGAGGAGCAGCGGCTCGAGGCGTGAGGTGGAGGATGAAGCTGCGGCTGAGGTTGATGCGACTGCCGCCATGATTGTCAAGCAACTGTGTTGTTTGAGCTGTAAAGTTGAAGGTGGAAGGTGGAAGACGGAAGGTGGAAGGCAGGTGGAAGGTGCAAGTGTCAAAGTGGAGTATCGGATGAGGAAAGCTGAGCAGTGCGCATTGCATGCATTGTGGTCCGGGCGACTGTTTCTGTGATGATGTGAGATCTGCACTGTAACTAGGAAGAGATTTTCCTGATGTTGGAGGCTGAGTCAAGTTGCTTCAGTTCGCCGGGAATGCAATCTACCCGACGCGTCAAGCGCGACACTGAATTATTATCTTTCGCCGCCACTCTCCGACGCAGAGAACAACACTGAACAGAAATTTGTGTAGACCGACCATGCTACACTGTAGCTTGTTGCACATCCACCACCTCATCCAAGAGTCCACCTTCCTCCCATAGACACATAGGCGGCAGCCACAGTCGCATCGGATCCCATAGTCGCTGCAGTAGGACGGAGGAATCACCATGCCAATCCCGACATCCTCAACGGGGCAGTCGTACCCACCCGTCCTCGACTACCGCATCGTCCAACTCATCGGCGGAGGCGGCTTCAGCAAAGTGTTTCGCGCTGTCAACCCATCGTCCAAAGCACACGGTGTAGCCGCCATCAAAGTCATCTCGTACGCTCCGAATCGATCCAACAAATACCCCATCGACCGTCGAGCGTTGCAAAAGGAAGTACAGGTGCACTCGATCCTCAAACACCCCAATGTCCTCGAGTTCCTTGGAGCCGTCGAGCGAGGAGTGGACAAGAATGGCAACGCAGGCAAGGAGAAGGGCATCCTGATGGGTGAAGCCGTCGCCACCACCCAGGAATCCATCAAAGCGCGAGACAAGGAACGCCAAAAGATGCTCAGCTCCCCCTCTCACGATGAAAACTATGTGCCAGGTCTCTACATGGTGCTCGAGTTGGGAGCAGGCGGCGATCTCTTCGACAAGATTGCACCGGATTATGGCGTGGAGGAGGACCTAGCACACTTTTACTTTCAGCAGCTGCTAGCAGGTCTAGAGTACATCCATTCCCAGGGTGTGACGCATCGCGATATCAAGCCCGAAAACATGTTGCTCGATGCAGAGGGCAACCTCAAGATCGCCGACTTTGGCTTGTGTTCAGTGTACAAGTACAAGGGCAAGGAGCGAGAGCTGACAGGCGCCTGCGGCTCGTTGCCCTACATTGCTCCGGAGATGAACGGCAGGCCGTACCGTGGCGAGCCTGTCGACGTGTGGAGCTCCGGCGTGGTACTGTTCGCCATGCTGGTGGGAAGTACGCCATGGGACGAGCCGACGACCAGATCACCCGAGTACAACGCTTACCGAACAGGTGAGCTCTTTGCGTACGATCCGTGGACCAAGATCCCCAGCGATGCATTGTCACTGCTCAAAAAGATGATGCACCCCAATCCGGAGAAGCGAATCACGTTCGAACAGATCCGACGACATCGCTGGTTCAAACGCGCCAACGCCCTCATGACGCAAAAGGGCAAATGCAACGACCCCGTCAATTTGGCCGAAAAGCTGCTGCAAGGTCTCGCAGTCTCGGGCGACATCAATCTGGAAGTCAACGGTGCTGCGGCGGCGGCTGCACGTCGTCTCGACCTTCACACCGATGGTCAGAGAGCGCAGGTCCCTGAAAACGTCTCTCTCACACAACCCGAGGCTATCCAGAACAGCTCGTTTGGCTTGGCAGCGGGCAGGTCGGTAGCTCGCGGCTGGGCGGACGATGCAGGTCACGGTGGTGGCCTGGCTCTTCCCTCGTCGACGGCGATGCCTGCAATCGCCGTTGGCAGCAATGACATGTCACGTCGCTTGGCCATGAGCCAGCACATCTCGACACGTCGAGTCGAATTCTCTTCCTCTGGAAATGGCTCGGGCACCGAGATGGCTCTGCCCGGTGCTTCTCAGTTCACACAAGCGCTCAACCACTTCACCCAATTCGAAGCTCTCACGCACATGGCTGGAGCCGGCAGCTCGCATCTCCGCTTTTCGCCTCACCTTACGCGGTTCTTCTCGTCGACGACCGCAGCAGCCATGGTCGGCCTGATCACCAGCGTACTCGACGGTCTCGCCATCCAGAACGCGGTCCAAGCGATCGGAGACCACGAGGAGCTTGAGGAGGCGTACAACTTCATGGTCGATGGCGAGCCTGAGACCACGACGACTTCGAGCGACGATGGGTCACGAACATCTGGAGGTGGTAAGAGGCTCGCTATTGGATCTAGAGGCGCACGCGTACGTTTGGCGACGATGGACAAGCGCAAGTGTCCTTTGCGAGGTGAAGTTCGCGTGGAGAATCTCGCGGCGTCGGACAGCACGACGGATTCGGGAAATGTATCGGACGATGGCACAGCCAAATGTCTGGTGGTGATGAAGAGGAGCAAAGGAGATCCGTTGGAATGGCGAAGGCTCTTCCGAGAGATTTGCCGTCGGCCCGAGATCCAGGCTACCGTCATCTCGACGTGATCCGTTTGCGCTAGCCTTGGGCCCCCATCTGTAAGCTCTGTTGTTTAGGACTCCATGTATCTTCTTATTTGTGTCTCGACATCGTTTTCGCAATCGCAATGCATTCATCGCTGTACTCGGACCACGATTCTCCGAACGTGAATGCATTGGCCGCCTGCAGTACAGCGATCGTGATCTTAGGGGGCATTGAGCATGGACCCGCGAGACGCGCGCTGCCTTCCGCTGCAAGACGTTTGGTGTCAATGTTACGCCATCTCTGAACCGTGAACTGATTTTCCGGACGAAGCAAAACGTGCTGCCGATCCTGCATCGAAAAAAGCCAGGGCACGAAAGCACAGGCCAGATGACAGGCGTGCATCGGTGACGAGATGTGTGTTTTACCTGTTTCTCTCCACACTGCGCCGGATCACCGCAACAGAGCCCACAAGCTGCCTCTTGCAAGCTCTTGAGTTGTGCCAATTTTGAATTCAGCCGATCGGCATACACTGTCACACTGTCACACTGTCCAACCCTGTTCCGCTCCACCACCAAAGCGCTGCTTCCGTCACAGACACCCGCCACCAACGACACACTCCTGCGCACGTCGACACTAGAGCTGCCGCAACACTCACACAACAGCGGCACGTTTCACATCAGGACCAGACCACACGCAGCTCCACATTCATAGACCGAAAGGCACGGCAAACATGGGCGAAGAAGAGGTCGGAGCAGCTGTCCCTAAGGAGCAGCGACAGGGATGGGGCCAGTTCCTCAAGCAGATCGCCACCTTCTCCGGCGATCTGTCGTCGATGACTGCACCCTCGTTCATCCTCTCACCCGTGTCTCTGGTCGAGTTCCCCGCCTACTGGGGCGAGCACCCGGACGAATTCGCCAAGATCTCTTCGGGCAAGGACGAGGTGGAGCGCATGAACCTCGTTCTTAGGTGGTTCATCGGCACGCTCAAGGGTCAGTTCACTGCTCGTAACACCTCGATGGGCTCCGAGAAGAAGCCGCTCAACCCCATCCTCGGTGAACTTTTCCTCGGCAAGTGGCCCGAAAAGAACGGCCGCGGCGACACTTCGCTCACTGCCGAGCAAGTCTCGCATCATCCTCCCGTCACCGCTTACCACATCGAGAACAAGAAGGCAGGCGTCACGCTCGAGGGTCACTGTGCTCAAAAGACGTCGTTCTCGGGACGCACCATTCAGGTCAAGCAGGTTGGACATGCCATCATGCGCGTCAAGGTGGCCGGTCGCGACAAGGAGGAGCTCTACCTCATCACGCTTCCCAACCTCCTCATCGAAGGTCTTTGGTACGGCTCGCCGTACGTCGAGCTTACGGGCAACTCGTACATCCAGTCCACCTCGGGTCTGCTCACCACACTGACGTACACGGGCAAGGGTTACTTTTCGGGCAAGGCACACTCGTTCAAAGCCACCATCGGCGCTGGAGGCAACACGCTCTACACGGTCGAGGGAGAGTGGGCAGGCGTCAGCAAGTACAAGGGCAAGTCCATCTCCGGTGGCAGCAACGAGGTGTTCTGGGATGCGTCAACGCAGCGCGAGGAAGTCACGGTGCAGGACGTCGAGCAGCAGGGTGACATGGAGAGCCGCAAGGTGTGGAAGACGGTAGCCAACGGCATCCGTACGGGAGACTACGATACCGCGTCCAAGGACAAGTCTAAGATCGAGAACGCTCAGAGGCAGAAGAGGAAGGACGAGGCTGCTGCAGGAACACCGCACCAGCTGGAACACTTTGTTCATGTTGAGGACGACCAGGAGTACTCGCAGCTCGCTGCTATGTTCAAGGGCCAGCCTGCCCATGAGGACGGCTATCGCAACAAGCCCCGCGTTCAGTAAGTCTCGGTAGCGGTTGCCGATTGTATGGTGCTTGCTGAGCTTGCGAGACGATTGCACAGATGTAGACATACATGATTTGACCGTGTCATGTTAGTTCACAGGTAGCATCCCGCAAGTGGCTGGATAGTCTTAGATCGGTTGTGGGCGTAGTCGCTCGTGCAAGTGAATGAGAGCGCTGCTCAGTGAGCCTGAAGGGACCAAGATTGTAAGCTACTTGGCATGTTTCGACTCTTGAAGTGATGGTATCCGAGGCTGAAGTGTAGTAACTTAGCGCTTGGACCGGTTTTTTCCTCCACATGGCTCAGCAGCCACGAATTCCGGCGTGTAAAGCTTCGCAGATTCAAGTGTTGTTCTTCCAAAATATCCGTGGATGTACTGTCACTACCATCAAGATCGTCAACAAGAGGGACAGCAGCAACCGGACGATGCCAACCACGAGGCGCTCATAGGCGGTAAGAGGCTGCTTCGAATCAACCCTCCATCAAGGCTCCGGTCTGCTTCGGTGCAAGGACGATTACTCGACTCGACGATTCACTTTCGAAGAGATCACCATGAGCGTCCTCCTCGAGACGTCTCTAGGCGACCTCGTCATCGATCTACACACAGAGCTTGCGCCGCGCTCCTGTACCAACTTTCTTAAGCTCTGTCAGAAGCACTACTACAAGCTCAATGCATTCTTCAGCGTGGAAAAGGACTTTCTCGCTCAGACTGGCGACCCAACCAACACGGGCAAAGGCGGAGCTAGCATCTGGTCGCAGCTGCCATCCACATCTCGAGACCGCTCTGCGAACACGTACTTCACTCCGGAAACTTTGGATGATCAGCTCAGACATACGCAAAAGGGGACCGTTTCGTTTGCGTGCTTTCGCAAGCAGGTCGGCGACGCGGAAGCCCGCGATGAGCTGGTCGCCGGATCGCAATTCTTCATCACTTTGAAGGACGAGATCGACTATCTGGACGGCAAGCACGCGCCCTTCGGAATGGTGGTCGAGGGACAAGAGCCCGGTGGAACGCTGGACAAGATCAACCAGGCCTTCACGGATGACGAGAAACGACCGTTGAAAGACATTCGAATCCGACACGTCGTTGTTCTTGAAGATCCCTTTCCCGATCCGTCCGGCTTCGACCCACCATCACGATCGCCCTCGCCCACTCCCTCTCAGATCCGCACACTGCGTCTCGCAGACGATGAAGACCTCACCCTCGCCGACGCGGACTCTGCAGCGGACGAAGAAGTGCGTCGCAAAAAGGACACGGATGCAGCCGCGCTCACACTGGAAATGGTCGGCGACCTGCCGTTCGCCGAGATCCGTCCGCCGGAGAACATCCTCTTCGTCTGCAAACTCAACCCTGTGACAAGAAGCGACGATCTGGAGCTCATCTTTTCGCGCTTTGGGAAGATCTTGTCGTGCGAAGTGGTGAAGGATAAGAAGACGGGTGACTCGCTGCAGTATGCGTTTGTCGAGTTCGATCGAAAGGAGGATGCGGAAAGGGCGTACTTCAAGATGCAGAATGTGTTGGTGGACGATAGGAGGATATGGGTGGATTTCTCGCAGAGTGTGAGGAAGCTGCATGGAGACTGGGTGAGGAAGAGGACGGGCGGGGGTGGGGAGAAGGAAGCGAGAGGTGTGGATTCGTACAGGCCGAAGGAGAAGGAGGGTGAGAGGAGAGGCTCTTCTCAGCCAGACGATGCGCGTCAGTGGGGCAACGGACGAGCATATAGATCAAGGGACGATGAGGGGAAAAGATTGCACAAGAGATCAAGACGCGACCACGACGACGATGACGAACCGCGGCACAGTCGTGGACCACATCTGCCGTCCTCACGATCCGACCGCCAAGGTTCACGGCGCGAACATGAGCGAGACGATCGCCGTCGAGACGATCGATCTTCGAGCAAGGCCGAGCGTCGCGACGACAGGCATGCGCATAGAAGACGGGATGAAGACGACAGGTACCATCGAAGCTCTACCTCTCGTAGAGACGATGAAGGCAGGTCTGAAAGATCTCATCGCGACCGAGACGATCGGAGGGACCGCGATCGTGAGCGCGATCATCGCCGCAGGGACGACGATCGATCACGATATCGCGACGATGCACGGCGGTGATGTGCGCGGCTTCAATGACTACATCAGTTCCTTGTGACTGTTGGCTGATTTCGTTGTAGTCCACTGAGCGAATGTGTATCGAATGAGCCTGAGTTAGATGAAGGAGTGCGCGTCGAGTTTGGAGGTTTTGGGGAAGGTCGCGCGGGATTGAACCCTGATTGTTCCTGCCTCACACACAGATAGGCTCGGGACGCAGCTCAGCTCGGACCAAATCTTAATTTACGCTTGGCGAACAAGTGTTGGTTTCCCGGTCAGAGAGACGCTTTCTTCTATCTTCCCAACTCGCTCCTCATTCGATCGACCTTCGCGGTTGTCCCACTTTGCTTCTCACACATCTCTACAATACCAGGAAGGGTGAATTGCACGCAATGCCATCGATATGACCGCTTCTCCTCACATCAAATCGAGTTCGACGCTGGCGAATCCACCCACCTTCGCCAGCACATCGCGTCGAGATAGCACTTACAACCCCACCAACGCCGCCGCTCCTGCTGGGACATTCGACGATGACGAAGCGCTCGACGAGATCCGTCGCTACGAATCCTTCTCCACCGTCGACTGGGTTGTCGACAGCACCAGAGAACGCAACCGTCTCGCTCGCGAACGCCAAGCTGCCTCCGCCCACTTCGTCTCCTCTTCCAGCACACACCTCGCCAACGGATCCAGTCGGTTGCACTCGGACGCAGCATGGGGACACTTCGGGTTCGGAAGAGCCGGCGTACCTCCGCGATGGTGGTCTCGCGGACCCTGGGGTAGGAGAGCCTGGTTGGTCTGGGGGGTGGTCAAGAGCGCGTTGTCGGCGTTTACAGATAGCGGGGTGATCGTGCTCGTGGGGATATTGATTGGGTTGAACATGGGCGTGATCAGTTTGGCGACCGAGTGGGCGTCGGATCTGAAGCAGGGGTATTGTCGGTCTGGGTGGTGGTTGAATCAGAAGTTCTGCTGTTGGGAGATGATGGATTCGGCGGGGCCGGGGGGTGCGCCGTTGCCGGCTGCGGCAAAGGCGTTGGCGACGGCGACGGTTACGGTTACCGCGATGGGTGGGGCTGCTGCGACAGAGAGCGTCCTGACACCTGGTGCAGCGACAGCGACGGCTGCAGCGATTCGAGCTGCCACGCAAGAAGCGTACAATCTCACAATACGAGCCATTCCAGATCACGAGCTCTGGTCCCGTCCCGCCCACGACATCCTTCAAGACGGCTTCGGCACCGGCCTCCGACTCTTATCACGCGCAGCCGAAAGCGCCGCACCCTCACCCGGCGATCTCAGCGAAACATGCACAGACTGGGTCCCTTGGTCGAAGTGGACCTTCCCAGCCTGGATCATCTACATGCTCTTCGCCGGCCTCCTTTCCTTCGTCTGCGCGCACCTCGTCAAATCCTTCGCACCCTACGCAGCCGGCAGCGGCATCTCCGAGATCAAGTGCATCCTCGCCGGCTTCGTCATCAACGGCTACCTCGGGTTCTGGACGCTCGCCATCAAGAGTCTCACGCTTCCGCTGGCCATCGCATCGGGGCTCAGCGTGGGCAAGGAAGGACCGGCGGTGCACGTGGCGTGCTGCATCGGCAATGTGGTAGCTAGCTTCTTCCGAGGGTTCAATCGCAGTCAGGCAAAGATGCGCGAGCTGCTCACGGCGAGTTCGGCAGCAGGCGTCGCCGTCGCTTTCGGTTCGCCCATCGGCGGCGTGCTCTTCTCGCTGGAGGAGATGGCGTACAACTTCCCGGCTAGCACCATGTGGAGGTCGTTCTTGTGCGCCTTGGCTGCAACGGTGACGTTGTCGTTCATGAATCCGTTCAGGACGGGCAAGTTGGTGTTGTTCCAGGTGTCGTACGATCGGGATTGGCATTACTTTGAGATTGTTTTCTACATCTTGCTGGGGGTGTTTGGGGGGTTGTACGGTGCTTTTGTGATCAAGTACAATCTGCAGGTCCAGTCGTTCAGGAGGAGCTATTTGGGGAAACACGGGGTGAGCGAGGTGGTGGTGCTTGCTACGTTGACGGCGTTCATCGGGTACGCGAACAAGTTCCTGCGTATCGACATGACCGAGTCGCTCGAGATCCTGTTCAGGGAGTGCGAGGGCGGAGGAGACTACGACAACCTCTGTCAGACGTGGGCGCAGTGGCGCATGGTCAATTCTCTGCTGCTCGCAACCGTACTGCGTACTGCGCTGGTCATCGTTTCGTACGGATGCAAGGTGCCCGCGGGGATCTTCGTCCCCTCGATGGCGATCGGCGCTACCTTCGGTCGGATGGTCGGCATCCTGGTCAAAGCGCTGTACAACACCTTCCCGCACTGGTCGATGTTCTCGGCGTGCCAACCGGACGTACCCTGCATCACGCCGGGCACGTATGCCTTCTTGGGCGCCGCAGCTGCCCTCGCCGGCGTAACGCGCATCACCGTCGCCGTCGTCGTCATCATGTTCGAACTGACAGGTGCACTCACCTACATCCTGCCGACGATGATCGTGGTGGGCATCACCAAGGGTGTCGCCGACTGGTTTTCGAGAGGAGGCATCGCGGAGCAGATGATCAAGTTTTCCGGATATCCCTTTTTGGACAAGGATGATCACAGCTTCGGCATTCCCGTGGCGGATGTTATGCGGCTGAATCCGGAGGTGGTGGTGGCGAGCGGGATGAAGCTGAGCGAATTGGAGGCAAAGTTGGCTGGTGGAACGTATAAGGGATTCCCGCTGGTTCAGAGTGAGGAGGATTCGACGTTGTTGGGGTATGTCGGCAAGGTGGAATTGAGGTATGCGATTGGGAAGGCGAAGAGGGCGCGAGCGTTGGGTGGTGAAACGGTGTGTGTGTTCAGCGTCGGACCCAATGCGGTGGCAAAGGGCGAGGAGGGTGGTCGAGGACACAATGCGCAGCCGCAGCAAGATCTGTTGAGCGTAGCTTCGCTCCCCACGACGGCGGCTGCAGACCGCGCCATCCGAGAAGATATGCTGAGCCGGCTCAGCGGTGCCACCGGCGCCGGCTCTGCCCTCGGACTCGGCGCAGCAAGCGGTATCGGATCGGGCAGCGCTCGACAGCACGAATCCGAATCGCTCTTCGGCCAACTCGACGGCGAAGAGGACGACCGTCACCACCACGCCCCGGATGCATCGTACCGCAGCAGACCCAACAACTCCGACGACGTCGACGACGACGACGACGCCGATCCCATCCTCGGAAGCGCCGGCGGTGGAGTCGACGGCGAAGCCGACCACGACACCCTCGAACTCGCCGGCTGGATCGACCCGACCCCGCTCATCGTTCAACCCGGCATGCCACTCGAAACCGTCATGGATATGTTCAAGAACCTCGGACCCCGAGTCATTCTCGTCGTCGAGTACGGACGTCTATCGGGACTGGTCACGGTCAAAGATGTGTTGAAACGCATTGCGATGGAGGAGAAGGCTGAAGCGGCGGCGAGAAGCGCAGCGACGGTGGGGTTGCCGGTGAGCGGTTCGGCTAGCAATCTGGCTGGAGAGATGGGAGGAGCAGGAGCAGGAGGGGAGTTGGAGATGCTGTTGAAGGAGACGTACGAGTGGGTGCAGGACAAGTGGGCGTTGGTTGCGCCGCATGTGGATGGGTTGATGGCGAGGGTTGGATTGGGCGGAAGAGGGAGACGAGGAGCAGCGACGAGAGCACAAGCTGGTGGTGAGGGGAGATACTCGCATTTGAGAGGGAGCACGGAGGACAGGTACGATGATACCGACCCCAGTGCCGAGGATGTGCCCATGCGTTCGACTCAGCAGCACCGCGGCAAGAAAAGGACCAGCTCGGAACGACAGCAGTTTGTTCTGGGTGCAGAAGACGAAGACGAGGAGTGAAATGGCCGCTGTTCGGACCATATGCGGGCTCAGATGGAACTTCAGACATTTCCTTGCACCTTGCTCGTCGGTGTGAGTGTGTGATTGATCGAGGAAAGATGCGAAAATGAGATTGCGATGTGGAATGATGGACAGACGACGTGTTTCCTCTTCGAGCGGAGCCGTGTGTGCGAGCGTACCTTTCAACGCAGCTTCTTGTCCTCGAAGAAACCTCTGAGATGCCTGAGCTGCCAAACGCAAGCTCCCAGCAGCGTGATGAGCTGCAGACTGCTCCACCACATTGCCCTGGAATTCGTCAACTCGGAAAGATCCCTGAACTGGGCCTCCCTCTCCCTCTGGTACTGCTGTTCCTTCCTGATGTCTCTCAACTTTGCGTTGAGATCTCTGACTCTCTGCGCTAGATCCTGGACGTGACTCTTGTCCTTGTGCGAGTTGTCCGGTTTGGCGTCTCCAATGACGATATCGAGGTGCATTCGGACTTGGACTGCTTGACGACTGTCAAATTTGGCCTGCATGCAGATCCTGTGATCGCCGGCTTCGTGTGATGTGAAGGCGAACTTGCCTTCGGGTGGGCCGCGGGAGGAGGTGACGACATGGTCGTCTTTGACTTCTCGAACGGTGACGTGGATTCCCATGTCATCCTTGACTACGAAGCGTTGGAGCGTGGTGTCCCACTCCTCGGTCATGTAGTGGCCGACCACGACGGTGTCGTTGGGAAGCTCTTCGAGGAAGCATTTGGGTACATCAGGGTCGAGGTAGAAGTACAGCGCGGTGGTGGACCGCGCGACGAGCAGGAGAGCGGTGAGGAGGAGGAGGATGGGCGTGCGGCCGAACATGGTGCGTTACCGGTGACAGCTCGCCGGGGAGCGACGCGAGCGACGTCTACAGATGGTGCTTGCCTCCAGCAGGACCTCGTGACAGCAATGTCGCGCGACCTCGAACCTGCACGGCTAACGGTTGTGCTTGACAGGATGCGGAAGTCTGTACTACAACAGCGCTTCTTCCTCGTCGTGGTGTCCGTCCTTGGGCGAGCGTCGGGTCGAGAGCCGCGACGATCCGTTGGCCGAGGGTGGATGTCGAAGGTGATCAGGTTGGGTGTCAGGTGGATCTTTTGGCGATGAGAAAGGTCGACGTGGAGCCGAACCGTGCTTCCATTCGGCGTTGGAAGAACACGCCTCGACTCTCGTTTGTGCCACTCTCACTGCACAGCTGAGACAATTGCTGGCGAGCGCATATCACGTGCGAGTGGGCATTTCTTTTGGGTATGGCTTTCGTGCGGTCTAACATCTTGTCTTGTTTTATGCCGCCCGCCGGTGTCACCGATCCAGATGGCGTCTTGAGCCTAGAGTTTGACGTTCCGCGACACGAAAAGCTCGTTGAGAAGAGATGGTCCCTCTTCGATCGGACGAGAAGAACAAAGCTCAGCATCCTGATGCGTATCAGGGTGCGTTTGGTTGAAGGTGTTGATGCAGATTTGTACAGGCTATTCGAAATCGCAAAAAGAAAAGGTGGCTCAAAAAAGACCCGAGCTGATCGGTCGATATCTCTACGGATCGTCGCCCGATGTTCGAAACAATGTGCCTGTCCGGATCGACACAGGCGACACGATTGATTTTTGACGATGACATCATCAGACCCTGTCCCCGTCCGCTCACGAGGACGCAGGCAGAGAAGCGCGTGCCAGGTCTTAGCGTACCGAACGGGACCACGCGCTCACGCCGATTGCAAGCGAGGAGGACGGTAGCACTCACGAGGATCGAGAACTGGACCCGAGACCCCTTTCGACATTTTGCGGAGAACGGTGTAGCTTTCCGAGGAGTCGTTCGGTTGCCTGTCCCGGCTTCGATACGGTATCACTTCGGAACCGGGAACGCTCAGCTCGAGGATGCTAAAGGCGAGGAGGACAACTCGCCGTGGTCGAGGCACCGGCGAACCCGGTGCAGGCGTGACGATGACATGCGCGCGTCAATTTGAAACGGACGTCACGAAGCGAAGGCGTTGCAGTTCCTTGCACATCCGGAACGAAGAAGCATGACAACAGGCTGCGGCCAAGAGGCTTGGCTCGAAACTAGCTGGATTCGAGATCGCCTTTAGGACGAGGTCTTTCGATCTCAAAAAAAAGGGGCGGTGTCGACGAAGCGATCTGACAGAGATCATTTTTCCTTGGACAAGGCAAATCAACTTGCACGCATCGAGGGCCTCTACGATGATCCTCGAGGAAGACTCTGTGGGACACGATAGCGATCATGAAAGGTGTGCCATGGCCCATCGAGTGCGATTCAATCGTGACAAAGTCAGCCAGACGCCTGCCATGTCCGGCGCAAGGTCCAGGCTGCGCAACCAACATCGGGCCACGGCGTGCTTAGCGAGGTCGATCATTCACTAGACAAAGGTGCTAAGTGGCTTAGAGGCCCACCCGTTGCCTTGCGTCGAAGTCAGGTACGATTTCATTGTCGACGGTCAAGGAAGGAACATGCTGGCAGAGTCTCTATCTGATACGACGGAGCAGATCACGGTCGCTGTGCTCCGACGTAAGGAACGGAGCGTCTTGCGCCGAGCAGGCCACGCGAGCCTCGCCCGACTATTCGGTCGTCTCGACATCTACAGAGCGTCCACTGCCACTACAAGCCTGGTGCCCTCATCCACGAGGATCCACGAGGCACGCTTGCTGCGGCCACTGTGATCCACGAGACTAATGTCATCTGAGGCGCGGGGTAAAGATAGCTCGCCGTACCTTATCTGCAATGTCGGCCGTGCGTGCAGCATGCAATCGCCGGAGCCGGACGTTCCGACGAAAGCGAGAGCGCGTAGAATGACAGACAACTGCAAAGACGGGAAGGGTCAATCTCTGCAACCAGGGACAATCAGCGAAGCTCAACTCCGGCGGCATGAGCAGGCGAAAAAAATAGAAAAAAGCGCCGGAGAAATAGGAACACGCGAAAACTTGCCGGCGGGATCGAATTTTCGCTGCAAATGATTTGGTCTCCGACAGATAGATAGCCTTTGTTCGAGCGTGGACCGATGACCAACGACTGCGTGACATCAGCGATGGAATGTCAGCCGGTCCTTCCTTTAGACTTGACAGCCATCGCGGAAGCGAATCAAGTTGCTGTCTCTGCTTCGATGCCCTACTGCCTGCAATAGGATCAAGACTACCTTGGATCCGTCGTTGTGAACAGCAGCAAACTCCAAGGTGCAAGCACTGTCAGCAACCTGCATTTGGCGCGCGGTTCACGAGGTCTGCGACGACCGCGGACGTCACATGGCGGCAGACTGCCAAACGAGCACAGGGGACAAGCTTTTCCAGGACGGGTGTCGGCTGGAGTAGCCGAGCCACCGCGCCTCGTGCACAGCCCTCGAGACCGAATTCTGTCGACCACACGATCACACGAGCAGAAACCACACGCTGCCGAAAGGGTCCTTGTGGCCCTTGGTCCCCTCTTTTTTTTGGTTGGTAATCGCGCAGAAGCGGAGGAACGGGTTCGATCTCCGCAAAATGGTGCGCGTGTCGATCGCGCACAGTTGCAATCAGTTGGCACGCGGTGCGGATGAAAAAGAAAAAAAAAGAAAACAGAGAGAAAGGGTTTCGTGGTCAGGCGCGGTTGATTGGCAGGCCATGTCGACAGCAGGCAAAGCCCCTATCCCGTCAGACACCCATCCGCTTGGACGGAACACAGTCCGCCTGAAGGCGGATGTGACGGATGGAATGACGAAACGTATTGCCGACATCGAAGCGCAGCAAAATGAGCGAGAAAATTTCGGTCTAGTGGTGCCAAGAGAAACTTCAACAGACTACTGGCGTTGCATCTCAAAGCAGAGTGAAGCGTCCAGGGGCGATTGCTCAACTCGAGGTTTGCTAGATTGACGTTCACAAAGGACCCACGTCACGGAAAGTAGCATCCGAACGACCGGCTGAAATCAGACAGAGCACCGAGCGTCACTGCGGTCCAGTCATGCCTCCCGTTGGAAAGGATAGCCGGGACGATGGTCGAGCATCTTGTGCGGGCAGTTCGGCTAGCACGGAGGTGCGGCTCGATGGGTCCGTCCAATGATCGCATGTGGGACGGTTGTTCCGAGCCGACTTTGTTTCTCTGCGTTTCCACACACGGCTTGGCTGCATCGAGACCGAAGGCATGTGCCAGACAAAATGACATGGGCTTCGGAACTCCATCTCGGATCGAAAGGTGGCATACCGACCATTCTCTGCTCGCGTCTTGCAGCTGTCACAACCGACATGACCTCGTCTGTGCTTTCTCCAATGCGCGCATGCAGTTGGCAGACCGGCGTCGATTGTTGTCGTTTTGCGATCGCAAAAGAGTTGAGCCGAATGGCCATCGTGAGCTGCAATGCGGTGAATGTTAGCGACCGACGTAGCGTGTCTCGACGCTGCAATATGATGCTGGAGGCTGATATATGTGCATCTCTGTCTTCTTCCTTGCGGTGCTTCTCAGATGCGCATGCTTGGACCGTTGACGGGATGCGGGCTCCGCGCAGTCACGTCGGCTGCAAATCGAAAAAAAGTTCGAACCGCTACGCCATCGATTTATTTATTCTTTTGAAATTTTTTCTTTTGATTTTTTTTCGGTAAAGCGCCAGGGCTACGCCGCGCTGGTTTATTTACTTAAGCCGCCCCTGATCGGGTCGGCGGCTCGTGTTGCGCTGCAGCACCAAGGACGGGCAATGATGCCGTCTGGGTTGAAATTGTTCGCAGGGTTTCCCTTTCTTTTTCTTGTCGATCGGAATCGAAACCTAGAAGCGACGTTCACTCTTGCCTGGCACTACCACTGCTCTTACACCGCCTTGCATTCGACGAGATGCCTCGTCTCTGTCTCACCTCGTCATTTCGCTTGTTGCGACGAGCCCCTCTCGTCTGGCTCTCTGCGCGTGAGCATGTGTGTGACTGACTGCATTTGGCTGTTGAAATTAGACGCCGTAGCTTTTGCTGCCCGGCCATGCCTATGATGTGAAGCTCTTCAGTCTGCTGTATGCCAGTCGCGTGAGTGTGCAAAGCAACAGCTGCTGCCCACAACCATCGAGGCAGCTAGCTGCATCTGTGAACTCATGTGGTGCAGAACAGAACGGTTCGGTTGCATTGTTTGCACCCTCTCGCTACTGACAGAGTGTGCTGCCCTCTTTCTGCTACCAATCCGCCATTTCGCCGTCGGCTGCTGCTTTTCCTTCGCTCTTCGTTCGTCGAGACTGGCATCCTTCTTCCAGCCTGTCTATCTTCTCCAACCCACCTCGCCTTGCCTTCCGTCCCTCAACATCATCGTCTGTCCATTCGCCCATCCGTCGAGTCCAACTTTCCTTCGTTCCTTGCTTCCGACCGTTCACATAGGCTCTGCGATACTCCGCGACACTTCGGTCTTAATCTTTCGTCTTTAGCAAAGCCTCATTGAGCTAAGCTCTACCACATGCTCTTGTCACAAGCTCCGATCTAGACGTCCTTTTCGCCATCTCGGTACCACCAGGACAACTGGACCTTGAGTTGCTCCGCAGTAGCTTGTCACCCAATTAGCACCACCATCGGCCCCTTCTCATCGATCCCACGCTGCAGCGATACTACCTCGCCTTGCTTCGCAGACACGGTCCCGTCCGAACGATTGCACCCACGCTGTTCCAGGTCGCCGATACAGGACCGTCCTCAGCAGCAACTCGCACTTCTAGCAAGCTTACTCGCACCCAACTCAACTCTATCTCTCGCAAGCCTAACTTGCTCACCTCTTCGCTCAAAGTGCTCGGTCCTTAGATCTCCACATCTGGATCAAGCCTCGACCCATTCGTGCAGCATCTTTTTCCCTCTCTCTCTCTGCCCCCTCAGGTTTCCCTTCGAACAGCGTTGCATCACCTGCTCTTCAAGATCTCACGTGCAAACACACTTCGAGATCGAGTCGATTCGGTTTCCTCAACCCACGCTGTCCTAGAAAGTCAAGCGCACACCAGCGCAGCTCCGCAACTTCTGGGACCTACCTGCACGCTGCGCAGAAACACTTCATTTCATCGCATTTGACCGCTCCTTTCCTTTCGAGCTAATCTCAATTGCAGCCCTTCCCGTCAACCTAAAAGCGGGCACCCCGCCTCATCACCGGTCAGTGCACACTGCGGGCTCGCATTCACGCCCCACACTCCGCACGGGTCCAATCTCAGCCACCAAAACAACCACCATCGATCCGACTTCCCTAAGCATCGCTGGTTAGATGACTGCTTCTGCGTAAGCAACTTCGCCCGACCCGTTTTCCTCAACCCGGCCACGACGATTGCCTCGCCACCAGGCTTCATCCTCCATTTCACATCCTTCCTTCAAGCAGCCGCCATGACTCGCTCCCACAAAGCCCGCCTGGGCTTGCTCATACTTGCCTGCGCCCTGAGTGCTTCCGCATTACCAGTTCGAGATGGGCCCTCAGTGTTCGCACCCAACGTTCCCCGGAATCTGCAGGCACGTGCCATCATGAAGGGCGACAACTATGTACCTCTCGGCGACACAACCGTACCGCTCTCGCCAATCCTCCTCATATTCGCTGGCTTGGGTGCCGCCGCCGCAGCACTTGCAATCGCCTTGTTGCGCATCTTCTGCCCGTCATTCATGTCGAGATCCGCTCGCATCGTGCTCGAGGAGCGAGAACGTGCGCGGCAGGATCTGCGGGTACGCGGTGCCATCAGTCCACGAGGCAGTCCTGGCGGAAGCCCGTCACCAGGAGGCAGCACACCCACATCTTTTCATCCGCGACGATTCCCGCCCAACAAGCCGCCACGTCCCGTTGGCCGCAACTCGCGCGGAAGCTTCACGCCCGTTGACTCTTCAACATCGTCGCTCACCAGCAAGCAATTTACCCACGGCTACCGCGGCACCTCCTTCTCCCTGGCCGAAGCACGCCACAACACGGACAAGTCGTATCGATCGAGTGTCAGCGGTATGCAGATGCCAGTGCTCAACTCGAGCGAATCCAGCAGCGGCTCCTCCACTCTGCACATGAACGCACGAGACTCCACCATGTCCGAGCGAGCCAAGTATCCCATCACTGCCACCAACGAGCCAAGCTCACATGGCAAGCGAGGCAAAGCGCTGCAGTTTGGAACCAAGTTCTTGCAACGCACCAGCTCGATCGGCAGAGGCGCCGATCTGCAGCGCACCCGCAGCGGCAATCGCAACCAAGAGATCGCATTGGCACCGCAACCCGTCGATCGTGTCCAGGCAGTCCAATGGCGTCGAAGAGACTCGAACAGCCACCATCCTCTTCAATCATCGGCGAGCCGACGCGATTCGACTCTGTCGATGCAGAGCAGCAGCGCAGAACAGAACTACTTCGACAGCAACGCCACGAGCCGCATAGGATCGTTCAGCAACATGTCTGGCAATCCGCTTCAGCCTCTCTCGATGGCAGGATTCGCTGCTGGCCCGCACGCGGCTCAGCCATGGGCCAGTCCGCGATCGACGAGCAGGTCGCCGTCGCCTGACTATGCCTCTCCGGATCCAGGGCGTCTGTCTGTAGCCCGTGGTGCCACCGGCAACAGTCGCAACTCGTCCGTCAGCGGTCTGCTCGATTCCGACGGCAGCGATCACGGCATCACACCGCAAACGGCCGTCATGGTCCCGACCCGTCACACCTCCACCAGGAGGTGAAGAGCAAGCACAGCGATCCTAGCAGCAGTCGTTAAGGAGCCCCTTTACGGACGTACAAGATCGGGTCGGGCTCTTTGTGACTGCACGCAGCTGGTCGCCCTTGTCGCGACTAGGCTTTCATCTCTGCATCTCTCGGTACGACGCTACTCACCAAAATGGGAGCCCGACGACCACTTCGTCGGCTTTCCCACAAGGACGATCATTCTTTTCTCGATCTCAATTCACTCGTCTCAAGCTTCTCCCTCGTCAATCGCTTACTCTGTCGCTTGCATTCAATCTTGTACCAGTATCATCCGATCCTACGGTCGCGCACATCCATTCATGCAAAAGTGTCAAACCGTTCCCTCTCTCTACGCACGTCTGCGCGCGCCCTTGTTCGATGTTTCGCGCTGCGCATGTGTTGAAAAGTGTGTTTCCGTGTCTGTCGATATCGCATCGCTGGGAAAAGTGGCAGGTGACGATCTACCCCTTGCTGTCCAAGAATTCGTGAGACTGCGAATGACACATCCACAGACGATCTCGAGCAACCCACACCAATTCAGCCAAAATCACACTTCCCTAACGCTGACATTGCATTCTACGACTCCGACGACGACAGCACTCCACTCGGCTGAGGATGCAACCTATGTTGGTGGGCCAGCGTCCTGATCTGATCGGTGATCTCTTGAAAGATGGGGAAAGTGAGACTGCTCTTGTACCTCTGGATCGTTGTTCTCGACAAGATTGTGCCTGCTGGAGTGGCTGACTTTTTATCCTCGGTCTCCTTGCTCTCGGCTGCTTGGCCTTCTTGCGGCAGAGGCTGATCGATGGTGACAGGCTCTGTTGTACTCAACCTCGTTCCGTCCAGCTGCTTCTCCAGCTCGTGCTGAGCATCCTCCTTGGCATCATCCAACACTCTCACCAGACCAGGATCGATGGGGATCCGACCCAAAAACCTCAATCCTTCCCTCTTGGCTAACGCTTCGCCTCCACCTTTGCCCCAGACGTTGGTGCAGTCCTTGCAATGAGGACAGATGTACCCGGACATGTTCTCTATCAACCCCAACACGGGCAAGTTTGTCTTTCTGCAGAAATCCAGACTTCTCAAGTTATCCGCCAAGGATACAGCCTGAGGTGTGGTCACCATGACCGCTGTAGGGTTGAACGTTCTGAGATACTCGAGGATGGAGATGTGTTCGTCCGAGGTGCCTGGAGGGGTGTCGATGATGAGGTAATCCAGTTCGCCCCACCGTACGTCGCCGAGGAACTGTTTGATCATGGCGTTCTTCTTGGGACCTCTCCAGACGACGGAATCGTTCTTGCTGCGAAGCAAAAACCCGACGGACATAACAGCAAGGTGTTGGGAAGCATCGGTGTAGACAGGTACCCATCCATCGGTGGACTGCTTGACAGAGGAACCGTCGAGCCCGAGCATGCGGGGGATCGACGGCCCGGTAAGATCGATATCGAGGATCCCGACGCGAGCATTCCGATCAGAGTCTGCAGGGGAGGGCGAGGAGGAGAGCGATAACGCCAGTTGCGCCGAGACGGAGGATTTTCCAACTCCACCTTTGCCGGAGAGCACGAGGATGATGTGCGATACGCTGGAGAGTCGACGTACGATCTTGGGGTCCGCGCCGAGGTGCGATGCCGAGGGCGAGATGGAGCTCGATGCGCTCATCCTTTTGCGTAGGTGTGAGATGTTTCGAATGGAATGGTGTGAGGAGGAGGAGGAAAGAGCTGAGCTGGAGGTGGAGATATCGGTTACTCAAAAAACCAACAGTCGACTTTCGGTTATCTTACTTTGACGAGCTGTTCTTCTCAAGTCGAGGATCCCAGAAAAGTCAGATCGGCAAAAATATCGGGCGATGCAATCTGCAAACTTAATCTCCGGAGCTACCAACAGCAGATACTTACACTCATCGGATCTGATCTTCTTTTGCGGGTCGCCGTTCGGACTACCATATCCGACCAACCATTGTCATTACGCTGACGCTGATGACCCATCATCATCATCATCATCGTCATCATCGAGCATTGTCAGAATTCGAAACCACTAGGGTTTGGCTCAAACCATGACATACCAAACTTTGTCTTTTCCTCTTCTTTATCGTACGTGACGCGTCCTTATACCCCCCACAAAGCCGAATCCACTCGTGCGTCTCAAGAAATTCGTGTGGAGAGATGTGCAGCATGACGCAACATGCCCTCTTTGATGTTTTGCAACATTAGCCGTTTGGCATGTCACTGTGTCGTTATCCGAAACCCAAGCATCTGGAACGCTTGGTCTAGCTCGCTTTCACATTCCACCAGAGCCCGCGGAGAGGGAGCGAAAGAGAGAATTCTCCGACGTCGAGAGTCCATGCCGAGGTATGCGTGTGTGTGTTTGTTTGCTTCTTCCGGCCAAGAGCAGCATGCTTTCCGCCGCCGGGTAATCCCTCGGTCGTGAGTGATGTGTGATTATGGTTGTGATGTACACGTTTCGGGACACTAGTCTGTAGCTCTAAGGTGTGGCTTGCGTTAGCCGTTGTATCCATGCCGTGGCTGTTGTGTGTATCCTTCCGGCAAAGTGGCTCTTGGCTGAAAGCATATAACCACCACCTCCCCCTTTCGTCATCTACGGACCTCCCATCGAACATCCTCACTCAATCACTCGCTCCCCTTTCCGCCTCATCTTCACCCATCGCTCATATCCACAATGCTCTGGCCTCGCGACGACTCCTCCGTGCGCACGGCCTTCTCCAACGACATCGAGAACCTCCACCTGATCTACGACTACGATGCCGAAAACCCCTCCACCGGTGCCCCCGAAAAGTGGCGCTACGAGATGTGGTTCCGCTCCGACAACCGCATCGTCTACGCCATCCACGGAGGACCCATGGCAGGCCGCTTGAACTACCAGACCGCCGACTACCAGTGCATCCGTCCCGGCGAACTCTGGCAGTGCAACTGGCTCGAAGAAACCGGCACCACCTGCTCGCTCGTATACGACATCAAGCTCGGCAAGATCACCACCATGCTCAACTTCTCCAAAGGCCACTGGGAATACCCGGAAAAGGCTCATGGCGATAAGAGGAAGCAGGAGGATTTCAACAGGTGGAAGGACCTCGCAAAGATCGGAATCCAGACGGATAGGAAGATCCTCAACGACCAGGCCAAGATCTTGGAAAGCTTCAGGGGAAAAGGCGATTTGGAGGACATCGATCTCGAGGCTCCGACGCTGTGAATGCAGGCTGCAAGTATATGATATAGGAATCGGATTGTAGTTTCACCTGGCCAAGTGCTGTGTCTCCCCCCTGGGTGTGTGTATGAGGCCAGATATGAGGGTAGACAGTTGACCACAGTCGTTGCACGAGATCGAGTCGAGAATGATGAGTTGGTATGATCTTTCGAACAGGTGCGACGCAAAACATGTGTGTCGTCGAGACCAGCAAGCCTCTTCTAAGCCGAAAACGGCGCCAACCTAGCCGAAGGCTTTTCGCTCTGCGTACGAAGATCGTACTCTCCATGCTGCGTGATGTATCGAACCCAAGGCAGAGCCTGGTAGCCCGACTTTTCGACAATCTTGAGGTATCGCACCTGGATGCCCGAGACGGTGAAGTAGGGGATCTCGAACTTGATGCTGATGGGGGTGCGTCGATCCACGGTCTCTTCGCTCTTGACGCTGGGCAGGCCAAAGTGCGCGCGCATCAGGAACTCTTTCCCTCCGCCGAGCTGTTTGATCTTCCACACCATGGCGGATTTTTCGGGTGCGTAGACGACCGATCCCGTTGCGGCCTAATGACAACGAAGAAAAAAGGAGGCGTTAGTCGAAGGGAAAAGCGAACGAGTTGAAGGGAGGCGGGTGAAGAGGAAACTTACTCTGAACTTGGGCGTATCGGCGTCGTCCGGGACAGGGATGTGAATCTCGACATTGTTGGCTGTGGACCTCCTCTTGAACTGCGCCTTGACCTTGACCATGAACTCTATCCTGCTTCCCTCGTGTCGCTCGACGATCGCCTCTGCCCAGATCAACGGCTTCACCTGCGTGCTGAGCCGATAGCTCATCAGCTCAAACTCTCCATCCGGCGGGATGAACGAGATGGTCCTATCGTTCTCGAACCTCGACAACCTGACGCACTGGTGAAACTTGACATCCTCCATCTCGATCGCCTTGCCCCTCGCAGCCCTGCCCGTGTTCTCGAACATCACCTTGTCGTTCAACCCCAATCGCAACTCAGGCATCCCCGACAGGTAGCACTTCATCTTGACCGCGCCCAAAATCTCGCTCCTCACCACATTCCCGTTCGCACTCACCAACAGGTTGACTGACTCGACCACATCCAAAAACACCTCGTTCTTCCTGTACCTGATCCCCTCGGACCTCCAGCTCACCGCGTTGGTCACCGCCATCGGAGGTCGTACCTGCACCTCGAGCTTGTGCGACTCCTGCGTGATGTACTCCTGCAAGATCTTGGACTCGGTCGTCTGCGGATAGCCGAAGTCCATCATCTCGTCGAGCAGTTCGTAGATGATGACAAAGTTGTCTCGGATGGACTCTTCTTCGAGCTCCTTGAAGTATTCTTCGAGGACGGAGGCTAGTTTGTGCAGGAAGATGAGCACTTCGGCGGCGTTGGAGTTGCGCCGTGAGAGCGCGAGGAGGTAGAGGTTGTTGTGTCGGATGAACATGTAGTTGACGCCTTCGGAGGAGAAGCACGGGCTGACGGAGCTTCCGCCAGCTTCCTCTTCGAGATCGAGCAGGAGCGGCAGGAACTTTTCGACGGCGGAGGGCGAGATGTCATCGCGGTAGGAGCGCTGGATGAGGGATTTCCCCTTGAGGTCGACGATGGCGATGAGCGACGTCATGATCGCGACCAATGCTGAGAACTTGTCGATACCAGATGCGAGACGGTGAAGGCAATGATGATGAAGTGTTCGCTGAGAGCTCAAGCTCGAGTCCAAATGCAGTGCGTGGTGACCGACGACGAGGTTTGAAGTGAAAGTGTTGAAGTTGCGACGCTGGACGATTTTTGATGATTGGTCTGTGTTGGACTCTCGTCTTTCGCGCTCGGCTTGGAGTCTTCTTGCGCACTGATCCCGTTTCGAACAGCAAAGCGTAAACGTGTTACACCCTAGTTGCGACAGCCCAATGATGTTGGTGCAGTATATATTGCGCTGCAGCATATGAATGTTCATCTGCGGCCACAGGAAGTTGAAAACACCGCATCCCGTCCGATCTGCGAAGTTAAGCAACTTACCGCCTAGTCAGTACTGCGGTGGGGGACCACGCGGGAATCCTAGGTGCTGCAGTTCTTTTTTTTTGCCAGCCAGTCCGACAAAGTGTTAAGACTTTGATGACCAACGTCTCACCTCCACCCCTCCTCACGGAACGCATCGTCGCACAACGTCTTTCAGCCAGATCCATTGGAGCTAGTCCTCTCGAATCGCCCGACTTGCTTGCCGTCATCATGGGAGAGCCAGGTCGAACGTGTGCATGTACTCCACGCTCACTGCTTGTACCAGCAGGCGGAGTGTCGACGCTGGATCCAAGTCAACGTGTGAGCGCAAAGGAGCTGCAAGCCAGAGATCGCCAATGGCAGCGACAACGCAACAAGAAGCCGACTCAGCAGACAGTCAAGCCAAGGACTTCACTCGGTAGCACCTTCAGCGAAGCAACGTTGCGTGATGATGAAGGCGCACCGCTTCCGTCTGGTACGAAGACAAAGAAGAAAGGTCTACTTTCGATGTTCGGGCGCAAGGACGACAAGGAGACCAACGCGAATGGTTGATGGATAGCATTTGTAGGAGACCAACGCGAATGGTTGATGGATAGCATTCGTAAACCTATCGCTTCCTGCAATTCACCTTCGAATGACCCGATGCAGGACTTACATCGAATCAAGATCGGTCAGTCCTTGACTCTTGGCGATCCACAAAGCCACTCGGAAAGTCTCATTCAAAATCGCCATTCAGCCAAAGAGACACATCGAGCTCGACCATGGCGACGCCGAGCAGAGAATCCTCCTATTCTGGCTTGACGAGAATCTGGATGCCGAGATGCCAAGCTGGATTCGCCAGGCGCTCAACGACGTTGCGGCTGGGAAACCTCGTTCGCGGCACGCAGACCAAGATCAAAATTGTCGGCGGCACGGAATTTCTTGTCTGCTCCCTCTCGACGCGCAATTTCGCGCTGCGCTGCCTTCGCTCACCCACGCCGCACGAGGTTTTCCGCTATGAAGGCGCGACTCGCTAGCTGTGTACTATCAAAGCTTTCATTTGGGGGATGACAACCTTTGCTGTTGCTACCGAGAATAGCACCTAGCTGCTAACAGCTAGACGAGCGTGTTCTGCGAAGATGTTGTGTGAGCGAAAGCAAGTGCGATGAGCCGGCCGTAGCGGCAGCGTGCTTGCAAAGGCACAATCGAGGTGCAGAATGCTACCATGCCAGAGGAAGCCTTGTTTTCGACGTCCGCATACGACCGCCTGAACGGACAGAGCTAACAAACGCACGCCTTTTTCTCAAGTCTCAAAGCTCCAAGCTCGATTTTGGAACCTGGGTGAGGGCATGGTCTTCAGGGACCTGTGGGACCAATTTCCATTTTGCCGAGGTCGAGATTAGACAGATTACCGTTGGACCATCGTACCGAAACCGCGCCAGAGCTTCATTTTTGCAGAGCCATTGCTCAATCACCTTTGCCTGCTACGTGCTGATTTTAACAGGAGATGAATCACGAGTAGCTGAAGTATTGCCTTATGTACTTGAAACGCGTTGTTCATCGGATCAAAGACTGCTAAAGGGAAGAGAGAAGTAGGAGAGACGATTTCGAGCAAAGACCAGCGCGATTTTGACAAGCTGCACGTATCTGCGCATAAACACGCCATCCAGGTTTTCTCGCGGCGAGAGCGCGAGCGACCCTGACGACCGAATCGGTGACGCGAAAGCAGCGATGCTTGGGACTCGACACGCGCGATCGACGACAGACGAACTCCATCACGTCGGGTTTTGCTGTGTCTAGCGCTGAGGAGTATGCTGTAGGATGTATGCATGCACAGCTTGGCGAGCATGGAGATGGATGAACTGCAGAGTCAGTGTGCACTTGGGAGACGCGCTGGGGTGTGCAGGCGAGCTGGCGGCTGGAGCGATCGACCAACATAGTCCAAGCCAGATGCAGATCCGGAAAGACCCCAGCTTCATGGATAAGAGGAGATTACAGGAAGCGATACTACAGACAAGAGAAAAAACCACGAGCGTCGTTGCATCTGATCTCGCAGGGACGGCATTCTATGCAAGGAATAGGGACGACGTCGACTTGGTCGAGGATTGAGCAGGCAGCACTGCGAGTCGGTCTTGCTCACTCTCTCGGTACCATTGCCACGAGTCTCATGGCTCTGCCAGAATGCTTACAGCAGATCAAGGAGGAGAGGCGCCACGCTTGGACGTCACCGTTTTGTGTGAGACATCATTTTGGGAAGCAAAGCTGTCGTGGATTGCAGGACCGCATCATTGTGATCAAATGTCAGAGCACAAACTCGTTGCGGCGACCTGACAATTGCAGCAGATAGCATGAGCTGAGTCTACCAGAGGGCTATGACAGCGTGAAGATGATGATGAAACGGCACTTGGGTCGACACAATGACCAGTGAGGATCGCGTCGGAACATATTGCATCGCGTCTCACTCACGGACCCTCGAGAACGCACGGTCAACACAGCATGGCAAAAGCCGCCATGCGAGCTTCCACAGCATATACTTGCTCTCCCGTCATCAATACTGTAATGTGCAGGGCATACGACAGATGAGCAAACAATACACAGCGACGCGATTAGGAGATAGACGATCACGCATACCCACAGGGAGGTGCAAGAGCAGCATCAGGACGAAGAGGTTGAGTACGGGACGGGAGAACGACGAAAATGGAGAGAGCGAGACCCAAGACCCAGATGTTGAGAATAGTGCAGTGTGCAAGCCGGGCCGCCATTTTGTGCTGTTTTTCCACGCCTTTTCTCGAAAGGCGGGTTCGCCTCTGACGCGGCTGCGTGTTGTGTGCCGCCTCTGGCTCGCTCGACTCGGCTTGGACAGTCTGTGTGTGTGTGTGAGGCATGGTAACCCTGCATTGCTGTGTGTGCCTTTGGTCGGCTGCAGCTCCCCCTCCTTCTTTCCGCTCGAGCCGGCCATCCATCTGGGGGTCCTTTCATTCAGATTCCGTGTTGCCGACCCTTGACAGAGCCAGAACTGAGGCCGACGCAAATTCTGGGATACTGGAGCAGCTCTCCCCTCTCGGCCATTGCGTCGCGCTGCCCCCCCCCAATAAGCCGCCCACCTCGCCCTCTTATCCCCCGTCCCCTTTCCCCTTCCCTCTCCTCTCTTTCCTCTTTCCTCCTCTCCACCACCATCTTTGTTCATCCAACACCATCGTCAAGACTCTCTTTGTCTTTCACTCTTCAACACCTTCTTCACCAACACTCTTCGACACCGTCGTCCACTACCACAACAACAATGTCTGCCGCCGCCAAGCCCGCCGCCAAGAAGGCCGCCACCAAGAAGGCCGCTACCTCCAGCGTCTCCTACGAGGTAAGTTTCTCTCATGAGGTGGATGAGTCTTGTCTGTCATATCAGGCGCGACTCACCAGAGAGGCAGTGTATGTCCACAGCGTCGTTTGTTCAGCCTTGCCCGTCGCGGTCCATGGTCCATCCCATTTTGAGTGGATGGGCGATCGACGCGCGCGTCTTAGATGGAGGATGCATCGCGAAAAATAATTTACACATGCTCGCACGCACACCTCGCTCGCCATCGATGGCTCAGTCACGGTTCAGCTCTCTGACATCAACATTCCCATTTCATTGTCGCTATCGCCCATGCTTTTGTCGCCGTCGCCGTCGCTGCGTATTTCCGTCGCGTCGCGTTTCTACAGGCCATGATCAAGGAGGCCATCCTTGCCCACCCCGCTGATGCCCGTGCTGGTATCGGCCGTGCCACCATCAAGAAGTACATCCAGTCTCACCACCCCGAGACCGCCAAGGGCTCCGAGGCCAGCTTCAACACCCGCGTCAACCAGGCCATCACCCGCGGTGCCGAGAAGAAGACCTTCGTCCTCCCCAAGGGCCCCTCGGGCAAGGTCAAGCTCGCTCCCAAGGCCAAGGTCGAGAAGAAGCCCGCCGCCGCCAAGAAGCCTGCTGCCAAGAAGGTCGCCGCCAAGAAGCCTGCTGCTAAGAAGCCCGCTGCCAAGAAGGTAAGTTGATCCTCGTCCTATTCATGATCGGATAGGAGGAGGGTTGAGTGGATGGATGTGAGGGACCCCGAAAATCATTTTTTGAATTTCGCTCGCCTGGTCCCGGCGCGTGCTGCGCCTCGCTCGACCTCCGATCGAGACTGCGCACGCCCACCCGCATAGTTCGATCGACCCTTGTCCTCTTCGACATCGTCGTCGTTATCGATATCCCCTTCGTTGACTTGATCTGATGCTTGGGACCCATGGCTGACCTTTTCTTCACCCCACCCTCAATCTCACTCGCTCAGACCGCTGCCAAGAAGCCCGCCGCCAAGAAGGTTGCTTCGTCAACGGCCACCAAGGCTAAGAAGCCTGCTGCCAAGAAGGTAAGTCTCACCACACCCTCTTTCAGCGTCGGAGCTGCGTGATGGTGGTTTCCTCTGCCGAGTCCGTCCGGAGACCGAGCCAGACAGACTGGTATGGTTCCACGTGACGAGGCGCGTCAAGGACAGCGCTCCACAGTGGAAGATGGGACAGACCCGGATAGACACGTCGACGCGCTGCTCAGCTTGCTATTGCGAATACCTTTTTCGCTGCAATGCTTTGGCGCGTCGGCATCACGCTTTCGACGCTGTCTCCATCGCGCCACCACTTCATCTGCACTCCGTCGCTGATCGCCTCCGCAAACCCCCCTGTCTCGTCCATCCCACGAACATCCAGGCTGACGCTCCTGCCCGCAAACCTCTTGCTCCCACCCAACCTAAGGCTTCGAAGCCAGCTGCCAAGAAGGCTGCCCCTGCCAAGAAGGCATAAACGTAGCGTCTCGATCGTAAATGCTGCTGTTTATGATACCTTTCTTGTCGCTGCGCGTTTGGCTGCCGGCTCCTCTTCTAGCACTGTACTCTTGATGCCCATCGCTGCATAGCCTCTAGATCATCCCCATCTCTCTTTTGTTGAGCTGATGGGGATGACCGGGAAGTGGCCGCGTGATGTGCCCCTTTTCTCGCTAGTCTGGTCTCCGGCGTTGGCTGCTGCTGTTTCCCCTTTGTACAACACTGGCTCGTTTCTCTGTCCCTCTGTCGTGTTTGCTGTTCGTGCCGTCTGCCAAGCTGTCGATCCGGCTGTCTTCAACTTGACTGGTGGAGTCAGCCGAGTGATCGGTGGCGATGGCTCTCACACGATCCAGCTCTGACGCGTGCGTCTCACGCTTGCCTCGTCCTCTTTTGTTTCTTTGTATTAATGGCTACCCTCCTTTTCTCGATTCAAATTGTCTGTCCTGTGTGTAGTGTCTTAGAGAGCGTGATGTTCTTGAACTTGTCTGAGTGTTTTGGAATGAATCTTTGGCAGACGCGTCCGTCTGAGATAATTCAGATACACACTGAGGAGGAGGACGAGGAGGAGGTGCTCGGCGCGTGTTGCGACTGTGACGCGGGTATTTCCATCCACGCAGGAGCGAGACTGGTTTTCGCCTGGCACGCCAATCCGTTTCTACCGCATGCTCAGTCAAGCATCGTTCTCACAACCACGTCTTGACATCTCCTCTTGTATATGCGAGTCGACGTTAGCTGATGAGATACGAACAATGAGAATCGGGGAGTGAGAGAGATCAAGCGGCTCACGATGGCAACAGAGCAGAAGCCGGGGGACACGTCCGGGCCTTCCACCACGACGATTTGGCGTGCACTAATTGACTGGCGACTGCACGTGACTCTGCATTCTGGACCCTTGCGTCCTTTTTTCCTCTTATAATATGTCAGATCGTAGCAAACCGGTAGGGGGCTAGATGGGGGAAAAAAAGCTGCGTTGGCTCAGTGAAGCGACTCTTTCTTCCACCTTCTCCTTGGGCCACGCTCCGCCGCCTTGGTTGGCTAAGTCTGCTGCTTCTTGACAAGGCTACCTCGCTCTCCCGAGGAAGGTGAAGCTCCACCTTTCAGCCGTTGATTCTGAGCTCGAGGGAATGGGAGCGTAGCCTAGTTGGCCGTACTTGTAAGGGCGCAGGTGGCACTGTGCCCAAAAATGTACGACAAGGTACTTGAGAGGAATAAAGGCTCGAGCCTCGCACGATGAGGACTTGCACGCTTCGATCCACGTTTGTACTCGAGGTTGTCAGGGCATCATACACATCCTGACGGACATATCGCAGCGACATTGAGCAGTGGCTTTGCATTGCATCGAACTTCTCGAAGCAACTTTGCTGGAAGTCATCGGAAGACAGCTGCAGGTCGAGCACGGGATGACATCTCGAAAGAGGAAACGATCAAGCAGGCCAAGCACCGCTTGTGACATCGAAGCCAAGGATGAACCATCCACACTGCTCAGAGCTCGCCCCGCCACAGCATCGCTCGCAGTCGAGTCGTATGGTCCTGCAGCCGCAGTCCCGGAGGGTATGGTCGAATGGAGACATCCCGTTAGTGGTCGAAGTTTTCACATCGATCAGCGGACGGGTCACAGTACCGCTGTGATTCCTCGGTCGTTGTCGAAGGATGACGATGGCGGTTCGGTATCAGAGAGAATTCGCGGACTGTATGGAGGCGTCGGTGTGGATCGTACAAAGCTGAAAAGAAGTCTCGGTCTTCTGATCCCAGATCGTGGGTTCCGAGCGGGTCGTGACGAAGTGGACAGCATGGATGAATTCGACGACCCGAGCTTCGATGCAGCGCTTGCTGCGATGCCCTCGCCGTCTCACACTGCAACATCAGATTTGGTGTGGCGGAGTAGGTTCTTTGACTCATGTCGATCTGCATCGCTCGTCAAAATAGCTGCCAGAGAGCCACTGCATCATGATGATTCGGACGTCGGCAGCATGACTAGGAGAAAGGATGTCGTCGAGCTCGCGATCACTCGGTTGGACCTGCAGACAGCTCACGTGCTGAATCAGGTGGATGGCAAACTCATCCTCTGCAGCACTTCTTCGACCTCTTCAAAGACCAATGGCGTCGTGTTCTGCATCGACCAGCACGCTGCTGATGAGCGATATCGATTGGAGCATCTGTTGGAGCAGTATCTTGCCGACTGTGCTGCTGAAACTGCATTGTATCAGTTGGAGTCGACGATCACCCTGCCGATCTCGATGCAGCAATACGATCTCATCAAAGGAACTCCAGCCGTCGAGTCACATATGAAGATGCTCGGCTGGTCAATCAAAGCCATCGTGATGATACACCCTACCCTCGGTCACGCTCAAGTCGATCTCGACGGCATACCTTACATACTCAAAGACAAGGCTCTCACCGATCGGGGCAAGGTGAAGGACCAGTCGCTGCTGCAGAAATGTTTCACGGACTGTCTCGACTCTTCTGACCGACTCTTTGAGGTGAAGATAGGAGAGGACTGGTTGGTGGCGTGGAGAAGGTTGCCGGGAGAGCTGTTGGAGGTGCTGAAGAGTACAGCTTGTAGAGGCGCGATCATGTTCAATGATGTGCTGGAGAGGGAGGCGTGCGAGAGGGTGGTGAGGAGGTTGGGGGGCTGCAGGTTTCCGTTTGGTTGCGCGCATGGGAGGGTTGCTTTGGTGCCGTTGTGCGAGGTGAGGGGGGAGATGGAGGGTGCGGTGAGTTAGGGTGAGAAGGGGTCGGAGCTGGTTTGGGAATGGGAACGGGCCGGTGGTGCTCCTTATCATGTATGTGGACGACGTCTCTAAGAGGCGCGGGCTGATTGAGAAATGGAGATTCTGCGTCTTACCTTAGAGATGACTGGGGTAGGGATGAGTGGGAAAGCGGGAATGGTAATGCACAGATTTGAGCTGCGTGGCTGAAGAGGATGTCCCATCTGCACTCCTTGCCCTGTATGTGGACGATGGCTCGAAAGATCAGGCAAAGGCTGATCCAGTTGTGGGGATGCTGCTTTACAATTCCAAAATAAGTGAGGATGGTATGAGTGGGAAAGCATGAATGGCGATGCACAGATTTGAGCTGCGTGGTTGAAGAGGACGTCTCCATTGGTACTGGTTTGCGTGGGTGTGGACGACGGCTCGAAAGATCAGGCGCGAGCTGGCTGAGTCAAGGGGATGCACCGTTCGAAATCAAGATGACTGGGGTGGGGATCGAGAGAAGGGTTGAAAATATGGCGTATCTCAGAACGCACAAGAGCTAGGTTGTTGACAAGCTCGACAAGAACAAGCCTGTTGAACCAGCAAGGCCGTTTCGTCTCCAACAGCGTCTATGAATTGTTCATCGCAAGCCTGGTGGGAGGTGGCAGCCACCTCGTCGTCGCAAACAGCGTCTTCCAGTCGATCAGCATCGATGCCCTTTATCGTGCACGCGAGATGATTTCCACTTTGTGTCTTCTTTTCGACCTGAGTCACGTCCTTCTTCGTGGGTATGATCGTTGTTTAAGTCAGCATTAAGCTCGCCTGCCATATCGTCAGCATCCTCGAAAACTCAACCAATCCCTGCAGGTCTGGCGGCATGTTGCTGATCGTGTCATGGGGATGCTGCGTTCCAGATTACGAAGACTGCGGGTGATCCAGTATTCTTCGATCTCGGTGTTCGAGTGCAACACGAGAAGGGGACGTCTCTCTCACACCAACTTCGCGCATGTGCTTCGGCTGAGTAGTAAAGTCCCGTGCGTTGCTTTGCGGTGTGGACATTGATAAGATGATGTTGTACAATTACATGGGGTTTTCCATTGATGGATGGAGTGTGCGTGGTGGATGGCGAGCAAGAGCGCGGGATGAGGGATGAGCCAGAATGAGCTTAATCATACGCTTCCCTCTTGAGATCGACTAACCCTCTCAACGACCTCGCGGCCGAATCGGCGAAATCGACCGCATTCTCTATCGTCGAAGGGGGATCCAGGCCTCCATCGGCCTGTGTCGCCGCGCCAACCTCGGCGGGCGAGCAATACCGGTTGAACAGACTCTGATCCAGCTCTCCTCCGACGGTAGCAGTCAACTCGACCACCACCGTTGCGCCTTCTGGGTCGAGCGGTGTCCACTCGTCCGTGTAACCGCTCGGGTCCGGCGTAAATATGCGATACACGTTGAGCGTGTGCTTTGTACCGTGCGAGGGGTTCAACAGCGTGGGTCTTGCGGTGGAGGAACTTCGTGAGAGGATCTCGTTGAGCGCAAAGGACAGACCATAGCGTAGGAATGCAAAGTGCGGTCTCCATCCGATGGACGAGACGAAGCTTTTCCAGCCATTGACTATGTCTGTGTTGAGGTACGTAGCTGGGTCGAAGCCGAGCAGTGTATCTTCTACTGTGCTTCTGAAAGGATCGTCTCTTCCGATGTTTTGACCCGGAGCGACGGCGGTATCTGACAGAAGCTCGACGTTGTAACTCGGCCTAACCGACGCCTTTGGGTACTGACGTTCCGGCAAGCTCGGTAGCGGAAGACACAGCGTGCACTCGACCGACTCGCTTCCACCCACCACACCATCCTTTCCATCATTGCTGCGCTTCACCGCTTCCCTGACTCTCAACTTGACTCCCTTCCTCGCCTTGACCACACTCGCCCACGCATTGTCGCCCGTCTCCCTCACCGCAGACGTCTCGTCGTCGTGCCGCGCAAGCACCGTCTCCTTCTCGCACAGTAGTGTCGGCGGCAGGGTGACCAGATTTGACTCGATCCGCCGGAGCAGGGCTGGTACGAGGTGTATTGGTAGCGTTCCGAGCAGAGACACTTGCGGTTGCTGTGCTGATGGGGAGGTCGATGCGGTGGATGTGGGTTTGGATGTGGAGGGTGCGGAGGAGTTGGAAGATGAAGCGGCGGCGTTGCTGCCAGCAGCATTGTTGGGCGGTCTTGATGTCGCTGTGGAAGCCATTGGAGGTATGCCTTGCTGGAACGAGGGTCGTCAGTGAAGGCTGAGGTTGGGAGATAGGGCCCCTTTGAGAAGGTGTGGAGAAGGTCGAGCGTCGAGAGGGGCCAATCGCAATTAGATAATCATGACAATCTCAGAGTCGTTAGCTTCAGATCTAACATAATTCGCTTTGCCATTTACCGTGTGGCCATGCAGCATGCTGCGATGCACAGTCCTGCAAGACGCAACCTGCAACTGCTGCTTTGCCGTGCTTTTGACGTTGTGAGCCATATCAGAAGAGCTGCACGATGGCCTCTCTCGCTATCATCCCTGTGAGGAGCAATACTTTCACATCTTGCGTTGCACTGACACGGCTATGCCATCCAATCCTTGCCGGTGAGGGCTGCGAAAGTTTCCGGATGATGGGCGACACGTTGAGCGTAGAGGCAGAAAAGAACACACGAGACGAGACCAGCTGACCACGTCGGCTCAAGGAGACTCCATCGCCGAGTCGGAGTTGCCACAAAGAGCGTCAGAGACAGCGAAAGGCGAAAAAGAGAATTCTGAGTGTTGGTTGATGTGTTGGTTCAGTGTTTTGAATTCGAGACGCGTTCAGAGCTGCACGTCGGTCGGTATTGAACTCACAACACACGGCGCAGCGCAGTGCAGAGCGACAACGGAAATGCATTCAAAATTCCCGAGTTGCAGAGCCAGAACGTCGATCGAGAACAACACAACACACGGCGGGGCAAACGGCGCTTCCAAGGCTGACAGCCGTCCAACACGGTCTCACTCGACCGACGCTCTCTGCGCTTTTGACCTTCCGCCTTGGGCTCCTCTACCGAGCTCATGTTGCTCTCGGACGCTTCTCTCGATTCGCTTCGTACGGCACTGGGTCTGTATGAAGCTTCTTTACCTGCCACTATCCGCATGAATGCATCATTGGATCTGCTACGTGCATGCTCTGTCCGTTTCGAGGTGCAAACGAACAAAATCAGAGCTATAGTATGAGAACGTGCTCTGTGACACATTGACGGGCCGAACCGCTTGTTCTGTCATCATTGCCGCCCTTTGGCCTGGCCTGGTGGACAAGGCCAGCTTCGATGCTTGCACTGCGCTTCAGAGACGTGAAGTTTCGAACGGTGGCTTGTGAGGGGTAAGCAGAGACCGCCTCCGAACCCATGCCTGTCGACGATCTCCGCCTCGACCTGCAGCCACAGCCGCCGAATTCATTCTCCTATTCCTCCAACCCTCCTCTTTCTTGTTCGTGTCTTACCCAAAACATCAACCCATTGCTCAACTCGTTCAGCTGCACCCGACCTTCTCCAGATCATTCTCCTGCTCCTGCCCTGCCTACGTCTGAGCTGCTCCGAGTTCAAATCCTCAAGCCAAGCCCTCGGTTCCTCAAGCTCGCTTCCGCCCAACTGAGACCCGCTTTACAGCTCAGATCTCACCCTGCGACTGACGGCACCACTGACTGCCACGATCACCAACCGCAACCGCCTACATTGCCCTTTCCCCACGCAAAGCTGTTCCGCTTAGCATCAGCATCAATCTCGTCCGTTCCGGCCAGCGATCCTCACTCCCGCGATCCTCACTCCCTCTGTCAACGTCGTCGTCGTCGTCGCCACCACCTACACCATTCAGCAATCGTCATCACTCATTCATCTTGTATCGACCCCCACATCACATAAGATTTCGCCGGCTACCATCAGATAGACGCAGTCTTTGTCATCACATTTTCTATACAACCCACTTTTACATCAAAGCCTCATTTGCAGAGATCTGCATCGTTCAGCTTGCGGCTTCATCTGCCATACGCCTCATCAGCTGCACGCACAAGCTCGACTACGACAAAGAGTAACAGCAACGACAAACACATCACCACGTGATCGCTTCCGACGAGCACCTTTTCGTGTAGGAATCAGTCAACCTTGCATTCAGCCATCATGCTCGACCGCGAGATCTAGGATCGCGCAAGTCTCATTCTGATAGCCAGTACGCATATTTGCTTTCCGACACCACACTCACTCAAGAAGCTGCTAGTTGCGGGCGATCTTTCATAGCATGGCAAGCGCCTCAACATCAGCTGCGGGCATGGAGGACCACAGCGTCTCTCGCAAGCCATCCAAGCTTATTGCTCGCTCCAGCACCTTGCATCGTTCACCGCACAGTCACAGCGGCTCGGGTGCAGGCCTCTGGCTCGCCAACAGCACAACACCGAGCCCGGACGTGTCAACTTTTGCCGAAGCATCCACAGCACACACCGAAGGGCCATCTGAACCACAATACAATCAGCCAGCATCATCTTCACAGCAGGGCAGGAAGGTCTACCACTTTTCGGCAGAGCTCGCGCGCGCCTCGTTCGGCGGACGGCCTCTGACTCTCGGAGGGACATCTACGGACTGCGATCCCATCTACATCAACAAGATGCCCGCAGCGTCATCAGATGATGCAGATGTCGACCTGGACCTGTCCTTCGACTATATTTCCCGCTTCGACCAGTCCTTGTCGTCCTCAGACCAGCAAGACTCGAGCGAAGTTGCGGTCGATTCGTCTCAGGAGCATGACACGATCCCTCCTCCCATCAGCCAATTCTCTCCTGACGACACACCAGAGTCGTTGCAAGCTCCGGGGAGCGACGCAGCGGATGCGCCAACAACGCCGATCAAGCTTGTCGTCCCAGAAGCGTCGTCCTCGTCAGGGTCGCCTATGTTTCGAACATCACCTTCTCCCAACAGCAAGGCGATACGGAGCATGCGAGCGAATGCCGACTGGGATAAGCGCAGGAAAGCACCACCTGCTCCGCTCGACTTGACACCAGGAGCGGAAGCGAAGCGACAACGTCAACTGGCGTTGCAACAGCTTCGACTTCAGCCAGAAGCCGAATCCGCAGCGCTGACTTTGCTCTCCATCGGCTCAATAAAGCCAGAGACGAAGCCAAGCCAAGAGCTTGTCGGCAAGAGCCTCTTTTCTCCCATCACACCTGCCACCGCTTCTGTGCCTTTGCCAAGCGAGCTCGCCTCTCCTTCCCACGCTTCGGACCAGCCGCTGCCAATGACACCACTCAGTGCGACAAGAAGAGGTGCAGCTATCAACCGTCTCCCACATCACAGCGGAAACAATCTCACTAGTCCCACACCTTCTCACATTGAAACCTCGAAATCGGCGGCAGTCCGAAGAGCAGCTTCCACCTCGACTGCGCGTGCCATGGACAAACAACAGAGTTCGGAGGCGCTCCGACGCACTCCCACGGCTGCGGCGCATTCCCCGTCGTACGCCTCGAGCGCAACACCGGTGCAATCCAAGCGTGCACGATCCCACTCCAATCGATCCTTCCGAGCGTCGGCGTCTCTCGCCTCTCTGGGACCTCCACCGTTCCCGCCTCCCAACGAACCACTGCCATCTCCTGCACTCAGTCCCTCTTTCCAGCAGGAGCACTCCGTGCCTTCGACTTCAGCTTATCACACCGCAAACGATGCCAATTCCACGGCGAGCAAAGCCGGCCGCACTCGACCGTCTGTCTCGTCGATCGACTTCAGTGAGGCCCCTCGATCGCTGAGATCCAGGACAACGCAGACCGGTCGAAGCAGCTTGGACAGCTTCCGCACCGCCAACTCAGATGGTATGACAGTAGCCAACAGCAATCACAGCTTTCACGACAACCGCCGATGGGCGTCGGAAGACAGTGCACAACCACCTCCATTGCCGCCCCTTCAGCGATACGAAGCATTCTTCCCCAGCCACACTCATTGGGGTGCGTCCCAGCCATCCACTGCTCTCTCGAACAACTCGCTGGGAGTAAGTGGCGTCAACACTTCTTCCACCCTGACCTCGGTGCCTATGACTTTCAGCAACACCGTAGGCTCGACGGCAACAACCGCAATGACGTGGAGCATGTCTGATCGCTCTACACCTTCAACCCATCATTCTCCCTTGACACCCTTCACGCCAGCGTTTTCCGACACGATGCCTGGCACTTCCGCGAACGGAAAGACACAGTTTGTCGCGGCTGTAGGAGCACCTTCATCCGGCGAGCTTCCCGTCTCCAGCGAGAATCAAAGCAGGACGGCCCTCCCATCGGGTATGACCTCACTCAGAGGAGCGGCTGCAGCGCTCAAAGAAGCATCAACGGCGGTGGAAGAAGAAGTTCGAGGCAACCGCAACACGGAACAATGGATCTTGACGCAACGTCAGCGGAAAGCTCTGCTCCAGCACGAGGAGCTCGCGTCGCATCAGCGACTGCTTGAAGCTGATCAGGATGCAGTGCGTCTGTCCATTCGTGCAGACGAGCGTGCTAGCCGAGCGAACCTGCCTCACGTTGAGCAAGACGCCGAGGTCGGAGCAAGATCCAGGCAGGACTCGAGGAGCACCGTCACCACCGACGACGAGCATCCAGGCGCCAAGGTGCGACAGACCATGGTCATCTCGACCGTGTCGACGCCAGACGAGAGTGTGGATGCGTTCAACTTTGTCACCGGCCAACCTTCTCTGATGCCTCCTGCTGGCACGAACATGGAGCGCGCCGCCTCGCACGACGCTTTGCGGCCATCCTCGACCAAGGCGGCAACTCCCATGACGCGCAACCGCAGCGGCACCGTAGGTCCATGGCCGCAGTCGCCGTTGCTGCTCGATGTCAACGTGCCCGTCCAAGCCAAGTCGCAGGTGCAGGGTTCGGCCGTCTCTCCGGCTCTGACAACGATCATCTACAGCAACTATTCGACGCCTCAGCTGGACGAATCTGTGGATGCCGAAGAAAGTGGCGATTCACAGCGAGCCCCAGCTGTCGCAGGTCTCGGCCTGGACTTGGACTATCCGTCTGCGAACGTCGTCAGCGATACTTCGCCAGATTATTTTGCTCCCGACGCGGTCAAAGGCTTTGCACCCATCACCACCGATCTGCTGCGCCAAGCGGCACGCTTTGGCGCTTCTCCTCATCTCTCGATTCAGATGTCGCCCGAGGCCGGCGCGATGCATCGTGTGCGGTCCAAGTCCAAAGAGGTCCTGCTCACACGTGAAAGCCGTCAGAATCTCAACCAAGGTCTGGGTTTTGACCTCGTAGGGGGTCAGGGCCCGAGTCCTCTGCTACCAAACGATTGCCGTTCACCACGAACCGCGAGCGGCAAAGAAACCGGTAGCAGCGGTCCAGGTGGGTTGGCTTCGCTCGTGAAAGGGTCCATGCAGAACGACGTGACAGTGCACCGTGCACAGGTCGCAAACGATCGACCACTTCTTCCTTCGCAGAGCATCGCCTCGTCCATCTCTGCTTTCGCTTACAATGCCACGCCTGTCCATCTGTCCTCTGGATCCGAGGCAGCACACCATCTCGGCGTGTCGACCGAGCAAAAGACTGGCAGCATCGGGTGGCGCCGCAACGCACGCCGGAGCCGTGAACCCAGCCCAGCTCAAGCTCTGGCCCTTGGAATGCGAGGCGACAAGCGCCATGCCAACGATGGCTCCGATGTCAAGTTTGTCAACATCAACCTCGATGATGGAGGACTCGAGACTGAGGTCATGCTTCGTCATGATGAGGCCGCCAAGAGCAGCGACGCCGCAAAGGCCGGACAGTGGGTCAGCAAGCTCTGGAGCTCCGTGACGTCCCCGCGACGTACCTCTTTCAATATCGGCGCTGCTCCGGGCGACCGTAGCGAGGACATCGAGCTGGCCAACAGCAGCACTGCAGACCAGAGCCACAAAAGCAAGTCGAGCGACCGGGCACCAGCTCCCGTTCCCAAGGAGGAGAGGAATGTGCGTCCGCTTTCTCTGGTGGAGAAGCGTCAGAGCAGTGGACGGTATCAGATCGAGAACGCGCGTCAGAGATTCCGCTCCCCAACTCCGGGCGAGGACGACGAAGCGGCAGAGAAGGATGCTCGTGCTGTGGCTCTACGTCTGCTCGCTGGCTCGCCTCGCATCCCTGCGCCGGTCGAAGAGGGAGTCGTCGCAGAAGCACAGCCGGAGAACAGCATGGATCGTGGTGACCTCTCGGCTGAAGAGCGCGAGAAGGAACGCATCGATGCGCTCAAGAAGCTACGTCGGATGAGTGCCATCGAACGCCAGCAGAAGCGCAGCTCGGGCATCGGCTACATCACGTCGAGCGCCCGTGCGCCGGAATCGCCTCGTTTACCGTACATCTCTGACAGGAGCAACGATGCCAGAAAGTCCCACGACCTGGACCCGTCAGCCCGCCACGGTGGCCTTTCGAGAGAAGCGAGCATCAGCAAGAAGCGAATGTCGATGACCGTATTCGGTGGCAAAGAACGCGCCCAAGCATCCGACGAGGTCCCGACGTCGGCACCGGCAGTAGGGGCTACGGAACGCGCGTGGCTCGACGCCATGCGCTCTCCACGGGTCGCAGAGAGTCCATCCGGCTTCACACCGCGGATGGCTTTCGAACCCCACGACTGGGGTGCAGCCTCCAGCTCGCAGCAACACCAGCACGTATACGGTGCCAATCAGGCAGCTGCCGGGCCATCGACCGCCAACCACATCCCGCTCATGCTCTCTGGCAGTGCTACTGCTCATCGACAAGCTTCATCGAAAGCTGCCAATCCGATTCAAGATCATGGTTTGACCGTATCCGAGCTCGACCGCGCACGCGACGAGATGCGTCGTCTCGCAGGCCAAGGTACGGCGTTCAGCGATGAGGAGCTGGCGCACGGTGGGATCGAGAGCTTCCACACTCCCATGCCCGACGCTCCCGACACCTGGGCCTACGATGCTGATCATTACGATCAGCGTCACCACGTTGAGGACCAAAGCATGACAGCTGAGCCCACCACTGAGCTCAACGACTTCGGCATCAGCCCTGAAAAGAAGGAAGCCAAGCTGCACCGCCGCACTCGAACAGCTCGATTTGCGGACGATGACTACCGTCATCATCAGTACGAGCAACACGCTGATGACCAGCCTACCGTTTCGATCTTCACACGAAGCCAACAGCACCGCCATCGCGCATCGGGCAGCTTTTCCGCTCATTTCAACTCGCATAACCAGCCTCCGTCGATGGAGCATCGAAGTCGATCGAAGCGTCGTGCAAGTCAGCACGCTGCTGCGAATGGTCATGGTCTATTCGGAACACCTGCCGCGTTGCTGGACGGCAACACGCCGAGCAAGAACATGTTCTGGGCCGGCTTCCTCGGCATGCCCTGGCTGTGGATGATCGGCGGCTGGTACCTTACCCCCGACGGTCAACTCCGGCATCCTTCTACGGACGATCCGCGTGTCCGAGGCAAATTAGACGTCTGGCAGCACGAGCCCAGCATGCAGAATCAAGGGTCAGCCAATTCCAGTCCCAACATCGGCTCGAATTCGACCACATTTGGCGGTTCGAGCTACGAGCAAGCTTGGGGAATGGGCCAAGGCGAAAGTGTTTCTGGTCTGGGCTTGAGCGGTATGCCTTCGACGATGTCGTATTCATATGCCGCTTCGTCAATCGGTACGACCGTCAGTGCACAGACGACCAACAGCGACCCGAACAGGCCGCCTCCGAGCAAAGCGCGCAAGAGCAAGACCCGAAGCTTTGGCACGCTGCTCGACACCAACCCTCAGGTCAGCTTCTACCAATCGCCCGTACGTGTTGTGCAAGAGCCGCAGCCGAGCTTCGGCAACGTCTGGCGCCATCCGCGCGGAATGGAGCCTTTGCTCGAGGCGGAGGAGCCTCGTCGGAGTCGAATGTTCGCCGGCTATCCTGGAGACGAATTCGACCACGGCTATGCGCCCTCGCCTGTGGTGTCTTCATCGGACGGGACTACGACAGCCGTCTCTGCAGCCGAGCCGATGCTCCAAACAGGACCGAGATCGAACGTGGGATACCAAGTGGCGATGGCAACCAAGACTAGCGTGGCGACGCCGTGGAAAGATCTGGAGAGGTACGTGCTGCTCAACCGGGTGGCAGCGATCTTGTCTGGAGTTCTGGTGTTTGCAGGATTCACGGGAGCGGTGTATGCGGTGGTGACAAATTTTTAAGACGCCTGCTACAGTGGCTGCGCACACAAGCAAGGAATGCCAGGCTGGCGAGCGAAGGTCAAAAGCTCGACAGAAGGATCAGAGGTAGGTACGAAAAGCTCGTTCAGATTCAACAACTACAGCAGCAGCAGCAGCAGATGCAGCAACGACAGCAAACGCAGCAGCCAGGCTTCACTTCAGCAGCAGACTTGATGGCTTCTCGACGACAACAGCAGAAGCTGCCTCTTGTCGAGGACGATCTTTTCAACGAAGACGATGATGGCGGGAAGGAGGCGAAACGAGGTTTGACTTCGTGGGACGCGGTGCGATGGCTGTCTGGCCACGTTGCGCCGGGAACTGCGGGGCAAAAGAGCAAGGTGCAGTCTCACGACTCACAGGCAGCCGTCAAGGAGGCGAATACACCAGCAAACGCGGGTAATGGCTCGGCATTGCTCGCTGGGGCAGCGGCTGCGCTTGCCGCCACCTCTGCTTCCAATTCCGCCATAGGTGGATTGCTCACCTCGCTTCTCAATCCTGCCTTCGGCGCCGTCTCCGACCCACACCAAGCACCACCCGCAAAAGGAGGCGAACAGGTCGCCCTGGCAACCGCCAACCATCTGATCTTCCTTCGAGCCATCTTCCGCATCATCTTTCGCGTCATCGTGCTTGTTCGCTTGTCGAGATTCCAGAACTCGGCAACGCCGATCTCTGCTCTCGTGTTGAACGAGCTTCTGCGCTGAAGAGTGGTCATGGAGCGGGGTTTTTGCTGAAGTCTTGCTGCTGCTGCTGGTTGAGTGTTGGATCTGATCTAGGTGGTCTTTTCGTACTGACTTTTGGTCTGCTTGGCGTCCGAACGTGTGCAGCGTCGCTGTACGAGATTACTTTTTTTATAGTAGAGGGAGGCCTACGCACGAAGCAGGCGTGCGAATCGTAAGGCTCTCCTTGTTCAATACCCCTTTTCCTTCTTGGATCACTCCGACCCTTATCCTTTATTTGAACGTTGTTTCTCTAATGATCAGCAATGGCACTGCAATGTATTCGCTCACGATGCTGTGTGTCGACGATGCCGGCTGCATGAAGAACGACGAGAGAGGTCAGAGTGGGCGTCGCTTGTGTCGTTCAGGGTCCAAGGCGATGTTGCGTTTCGAGAAACCGAGTTCCGGACGAAGCGCGCTTTTTGGTGGAGGTCCAACGCGAAGATCCTCTCTCTCTCTCTCTCCTTCCTTGCCTCATCCCTCCTCTTCACCCTCTGATGCCATCGACACTCGATCAACGCTAATCGACGATGAAGCCATCGATATTCGCAGACGCCGTGATTACCGCTTCGTCCACGTCGGACGGCCACTCCCTCGCACAGCTGTTCGCCATCGGTGGTCCCGTCGCAGCATCGGCGCTCCTCGAACTCGGCGATCCGCGACCCGCCCGGATCATCCCTTCGCTCCGGAAATGTTCCGGCTACCTCTCTGCTCCGTGGGAAGACATGTGTCTTCACCACCTTCTCTCGCTCTACAACTTCTCCATCGCGTCCTCTTTGACGTCTGCCTCCGCCGTGGATGCGGAAGGCAAAACTCGATCAGAGCGGCTCTCGGAAGCGTTCGACGAGTACAATTCGGTGGTGACGGCGTTTCTGAGGTATTTTTCGACGCTCACACCTGGAAGGTGGGCTCTACCGCTGCTGAGGATCCTCTGCTTGAATCTGAGGTGGTTGGCGGTTCAAGCGGATACCTCGAACCTTGAAAGTACGGCGGTTTCGACGGTCCGAACATCGAACCAGGCTAACAAGAGGTTGGAGGAGTGCGCACGTCAACTCAACAAAGCTTTCACAGCGTGCATCGCCGACCGCAACCCGGACATCAACGAATCGCGAAAGTGGGGTGTATATGAAGTCGTAGGGATGGTGTTCAAGACGTATTTCCGGTTGAAGAGCGTTTCGCTGTGTCGGAATATCTTGCGGGCGATCAATGCAGCCGTTCTGCCAGGGTTGGAGGAGTTTCCAAAGAGTCAACAGGTCACCTTCCGATACTACGTCGGAGTACTCGCTTTTCTCAACGAAGAGTACGATAGAGCAGAGGGGGAGCTGGAAGCTGCACTCAAGATGTGCATTCGAAGCGCTACCACCAACCAGACCTTGATCCTGGTGTACCTCATACCAGTCAAACTACTTCGTGGATCTCTACCCTCCCCCACACTGCTGGCCTCGCCACCCTGTCAACCGCTACACCCTTACTACTCACCCTTCATCACCGCCCTCCGCACCGGCAACGTCTCCCTCTTCGACACCACCCTCCTCGACCCGCGCATCCAACGCTTCCTCGTAAAACGCGGTACCTACATCGCCATCGAACGCGCCCGCGATCCAACCCTCCGAACCCTCCTCAAAAAAATTCACTCCTCTTTGCCGCAATCCTCAACCCGTCTCCCCCTATCCCACCTCCGCACAGCCACCTCTTCCCCCCTCATCAACCTCAAATACTCCCAGAAAGAACTCGAATGGCTCCTAGCTACCCTCGTCTTCAAAGGTTATGTCAAAGGCTACATCGCCCACGAAAGAGGCGTACTCGTGTTGAGCGCAAAAGATCCCTTTCCAAGACTCGCAAATGTACCCCTCACAACCACGTAGAAGCACCCTAGCAATTGCACATCCCCAAAACCCACACCATCAAACCGTCTGTGCTTCTTACGATTCTTTCTTCTCGTGCAGGCCTACGCCGTAGACGCCAGCTGCGCCTCAACCTCCCTCCACAACGTCCCCTGCCCGTGCCCGGCACCACTCTTTGCCTCGCCCACCACCCCGGCAAACTTCGGCGTCGCTCCCCCACCCACCACCCCCTCCAACTCCCTACTCACCACCACCAGCATCTTGTAGATGAACCGCTGCAACTCGGCCTGCTTCTCAATCTCCTGCTTGGTCGCCGTCTCCTTCAACTTGCTCCTCAACGTACCCCCCACCGGCTCGGCCAACTCCTCCAACCTACCCCCCAACACCGCCCTCACCCCCACCTCGCGCAGCTCGACCAGCTTGATCACCATCAGATAGCACAACGTCTTGATCCCATCGTCCGAATCCGACAGACCGGCGATCACGCGATCCAGATACTCGCCGAGGTTCAACCGCGACCACAGCGAGTCCAGCAGCTGGTACATGGTCTCGTACGCGTTCTTGCGCAGATCCAGCCCGTCGTCCGTGACGATCTGGAACGGTCCCATGGACACTTTTCGCAGCAGCTCGGTGCGCACGTGCGTCTCGGAGTACAGCAACGGCAGCAGCGTCGGAAGGTGATCGCGGATCAGGTAGGGTTTGTTGTGCGCGGCAGAGTTGAGCGCAAACGTCGCATTGCGCCTCACCTCGAGCTCGGCATCGCTCAGCAGAGCCAGGAAATCCACCAACACGGGCGCCAGCAGCTCGTCGTACGCCGCCGACGACTCGGTCGAAAGCGTAAACCGGATCGCCGCCAACACCGTCGCCCTCACCGACACCGACGGCGAACGCAGCCTCTCCTGCAACAGCGGCAGGAACTTGCCCGGCTCGCTCAGCGTCAGCCTCGCCAGACACTCTGCACCGATCGACCGCACACCCTCCTCCTTCGTCTCGCACGCCTCGAACAGCACCGGCCACACCTGCTCCGCCACGACCGCCAGCTGCTCACTCGACCCGTGCGTGATGAGCTCCTTGAGCGCGTGCAACGACAAGAATTTCTGGCTCGACGCCTTGTCGTCCGAAGGTGCGCGAACGTGCTGCTCGATCGCCGGCAGGAACACCGCCAGCGCTCCCACAGCCATGTTGCCCACGGCGAAAGCAGCGGCCATTTTGACCTCCTCCGAGTCGGCCGCGTAGAAGCGCAGAACGCGGTCGAGCAACCCGGCATGCGTGGAGAAGTCGTTGAACCGTCCCAGCTCGCCGAGCAAGAGCAGTGCAAAGTACACATCCGTATCCTTGGCGCTTCCGCTCTCAAGCGTCGCGGTGGCCTTGGAGGCAACATTGGCACTGGCCACCTCCGACACGGTGCAAACGGCTCCGATGCAGCGCGAAACCGTCGTATACAGATGCGTACCGCTGACAGAGCCCTTGGCGGCATCGAGCGCTGCAAGCAGCTCGTCAACCGTGTTGGGCGCTGAAGCCGGTTCAGCGCCGACGTACAGCCGCAAGAACTCCAGCAACGACTCCATCGCCGGGCCTTGTGCAATGGGCAGTCTGAGCACGGAGTAGATCTGCGGAAGCACCGACACACGCACCGACTCCCTCGTCGCCGGATCGTTGAGCAGAATCAGGTTGACGCTGCGCAGGATGTGCGGGAGGAGGTTCATGTCCATGTCCGTGTTGATTAACGGCTGCACTTCCGCCAAGATCGAGTTGGACGAAGCCGTATCCAGCCTCGTCGATGAGCGCGACAGAGCAGCCGCAAGACAGTCGAACGCCGCGAGCCGCAGCTGACGGTTGGACTTGCGCAAAAGCGTCGCGACTTCCGCGATCGAGCTCTGGAGGAATGCGTCGAATGCCGGTCCCGCGCAGACGGGAGAAGCGGCGATCTGAGCAATGACCTTGACCGTAACAAATCGCGTCACCTCGTTGGTCAGGCGAGCGGTGAGAAGGTCGAAGCACTCGCCGTGCTTTTCGGCGAGATCGTCACCGGCGTGAGCGAGCAAGACGCCGAGACAAGTAACACCACGCTCCTTGATCTCCTGGTCCGAATCGAGGCGATTGAGCCTGCTCACCGTAGCAGAGTAGATCTGCAGCAAATACGGCTTGTACTGACCAGGACGGGCGCCGTTCGCACCCGCAGCAGTCGCGCCCAGCGGCCGAAGCACGGAAACGAGCTGCGAGCATGTCAGAAACGCTTCGATGCAGCTCCGATGAAGCTTGTCCTCGATGGAAGCTGCAAGGATGGGCACGAGACCCGGCAGCTGGTCGTCGAAGCTCTTCGGAGCGTGTGTCAGGAACAGAACGCGGAAGAATCCCAGCACATCGGCCTTCAAGCTGGATCCTCCCGAAGCGGCCGACTCTGCGCCCTTGAGTGCCTTTTCAGTGTGTGCGAGAATGGAGCTGATGTGGGCTTCGAGACCTCCGTGCAGAACGACGACGAGTTCGCGCAGGACGACGAAGCTCTTGTGCCGTGTTGGGATGGACTTGGAGATGATCTCGCGGTTGAGGGCCTTGGCGATGGCGGGTACAAGAGCAAGGAGCTGGCTGAGCGGAGAGCCTTCGACACCATCAGCGTCGGCTTCGGTGCGTTTGCGCTTGAGCACGCCAGCAGCAGCGATGGCAGCAGCCTGGCTCGCGGACGAGGCCGAGCCGGAACCGATGACCTCGGTCGCTTGAGGACCGCCGGCGTAGAGCTGCATCTGCTTGAGCAGCGCGAGGAAGGTGTCGAGGATCTCGAGACGTACGCTTTCTTCACGTTCGGAAAAGCGCGCGACTAGCACCGGGGCCACGCTGCCGACATTCTGAGCCAGCAACTCGGGTCTACTGGTGAGCGCTGCGTTGAGCACCTTGGCTGATGCTCGTCGCACCTTCCAAGACATGTCGTCATCGTCGGAGTAATCGTCGTCGATAAGATCGTCATCGTCGTCATCTTGATCGCCGAAGTCGTCGTCGGCGTCGCGCATCTCTTCATCGTCGTCAAAGCCGGCATAATTGGGGTCATGTTTGATGAGGGTGACGGCAAGATCGATGGACGCATTCACGAAAGGAGTCACCTCAGCGGGACAGCGAAGAAGGATGAGCTCGATGGACTGGAGGCAAGTCTCGCGCAGCTCGTCGTCTTCGTGCTTGGCAGTCTGGATGACGGCGGGCATGAATTCGGGAAGGCGGCGACCAAGCCTTCGTGGACAGGTGCGTGCAAAGATGCCGATGAGCTGTACTGCCGTCTTGCGTGTGTCTACGGTGTTCTTCGGCGCGAGGTCGGAACTGAGCTGGACGGAGAGCTGTGTGAAAACATCGGAGGTGGCACACGAGCCGAGAGCGCCGAGGACGGCGAGGGCGCGCTTGCGAACGGCGGGACGTGAATGACGCATAGCAGGCACAACGGACTTTAGCAGGGCATTTTGAAGAGGCACGGCTGCGGTAACGGACGCCGCAAACTTGCTGATGAGCTCTGCAAGGATGTCGAGCGAGTCGATGAGCAGTTCTTGCGAGGCGGATGCGTCGGCCACATGATTGAGCAGCTTGGGTGCGAGCTTGTTGAGTGCGGTGCTGGCGTACGAGGAGCGGGTTGGCATCTGAGCGGTGACTGTCTTGAGTGCGAGGGCAGCAATGTCTCTAAGTTCGTCGTTGTTGGATGAGATGTAATCGATGAGCGTGTCAATGACGTGCTGCATATTCTTTTCGCGAAGACGGGGAACGAGGATGGCCAGGGCACGAACGACCATATTCTTGACTTCGGTGTTGGAGTCCTTCATGAGGGAGAGGACCTGACGGAGCGTGTTGTTTTCGGTGGTGTCGTCCATTTGGATATAGTTGTCCTTGGAGAGTTCTGTGATGAGGTCGTTGAGTGCCATGAAACGAAAGTCGGCGTCTTGCGACTTCATGCGCTCGAGAAGGGGCGCGATGCCCGTGTGAGCCCACGAGGACGCCATGTTGGACACGTGGTATCAAAGCCGACCTGAGAGATTTCGATCGTGAAGAGCGTCTTCTAAGGTGGTTGGCTGGTATGGGAGGGAAGGAGGGAGGGTGAGCGCAGATGGATTGATTGATCAGCCTTGTCTGCGCTGCGCAGTTCTCTCTTCTGTGGTGTGAATTCATGGAAAGTGGAGTTGCGAATCCAATCGGCTTGCTCCGTGCGTGTTGGTCTTCTTCCAGATCGTCACCCTCACGCGTAATCGGGCAGCATTTTGTTATAATGTCAAGCCGTACGGGCATGACATTCCGGGCAAATTCCGGACGTGTAGATCTGGATCCAGCATCGATGACCAAGTCTTATAACGACCACCCGGGCCCATCAGCATGCCGAAGCCACGGTCTGGCCTTCGATCGATCATGAGCTAACGACACCTTTCAATCTGACGTTAGAAGATAGTGTGGCAACACAGCGAACACAAGCCTTCTTTCGAGATGCAGGCAAGAGATATTCGTTGGTTCGAGTTGCGACGCTGTGTCATGTGAGGGTCTGCTCATGTTGGTCGAGAATCTGTCAATTTGCGCTGCAAACAGGCTCAAAAGGGCAATAGACGAGAGGTCCGGCATCTTTGAGCGGGAGTGTACGTCGTAGCGTCCGTGAATAGTATGATCGTACAAGTGCCAGACGGTTCTTCGTTCTTCATCGCCAATTGTCGTTCGAGTCAGCCTCCTCTCACACCATCCTCAACACAACATCAGTGACACTCAAGTCGGCATCTTCGAGTGACAGATCGTAAAAATTCATTTTTACCCATGAGAACAATCGAATCAGATCATGAAAAGAAGCATCAGCAGCGCTCGGATCTCCTTCTCCTCCCACTTCGGCCATTGATCTGCGCTCAGTACCTGAGGCGGAAATGCGGGTGGTCGGATCCCAGCAGGTAGATTTCATCTTCTGTCAGACCTTCGAGCCTCCAATCTCGCTTACCCGCGTCCCTCTGTTTATTCTCCCATCTCTGCCACGATACCAGCCCGACTCCAATCAATGCCATGGCGATACCTCCTGCCAAATTCAATCCGTTACCGGGCAAGAAGTTGGGAGCATACTTGTTCAAGTAGGTCCAGCAAGAGATCAGACCACCGATGTTTCCGAAGAACACGGTGATGGCGATTGCACCGGCACGTTCGCTGTCGTTGTTGGCGTTGACAGCTGCGTAGGCGGGGAGGAGCGCTCCTTGGGTGAACGCTCCCGAAGTGGCAAAGAACGAAGCGGCGTATCGAACGTAAAGGTTGGAAGAGCCTACGAACATGGCGTATCCGATGACCATGACGAGAGATCCGGCGATCGTAAAGACGGAGCGAATTCGGAATTTTGCGGAACAGTAGGCGAAAGCGAGCGTCGCGATCGCTCCCATCACATTGGGCGGCACCGTCAACAGCTGCTGATCGATCACAGAGTACCTTGGAGCTGGGAAGATTCCGCGAACTACTGTGGGAAGAAAGACAGCAGTTCCTTGCACCGCAATGTTGTCGAGCAAGAACATGGCCGCGCAGCAAAGCGAAGTGGTCGAAGTGATACCTTTCCAGAGCAACTTTTTGTGCGTCTTGTCGACGAGTTCCTTTTGACCCACCATTTCGGACTTGAGACGCGCCTGCAGGAACTTCTTCTCATCCTCGTTGAGCCAGCGAGCCGAGCTGATCGAGTCGGTGAGAGTAAAGTATCCGATGATGGCGACCACGATGGTGATCAGTCCTTCGATTAAGAAGATCATTCTCCACGATTTAATCGAGCCCATGTGAGGGATCTTGAGGATACCCGAGGCCAACAGACCCCCGAAAGCACCGGCAGAGGGGGCTGTGACGAGGTACAGTCCTAGACGGAACACCAGCTCGTCTTTTTTATACCATCGACTGAGGTAGAAGGCGATCGAAGGCAGCATTCCTGCCTCGAAGACACCCAGCATGAATCGAACCGCAATGGCGCCCGCGAAGTTGGTCACGAATGCATTCGCCAAGCTCAACAGTCCGAAGAGGAACGCCATGGCAGGTATCCACTTTCCAGGACCGAGGATTTTGGTAAGCGTCGTCGAAGGGATCTCGAAGGCTGCATAGGCGGCGTAGAAGGCGGTAAGGAGGATGTTGAAGTCGTACGAGCGAGGATTCATCCCTACGTCCTTTTCAAACCCTGCGATTCGAGCGTTACCGACGTTCGCTCTGTTGAAACACAAAACAGCGGTGTCAGCCTTCTGTCTCTAAAGGTTTGGGCAGATGTTGATGCTGCTGGAGATGGGGCAGATGTTGATACTGCCAGGTCATCTCCAGCAGCATCGATAGGTCGAATAGAGCTTACCGATCAACAAAACACAGGAGGTACAGAGCTGCTACGGTAGGAACGATCATCAAATCGACCTTCCGGATCAAAGCCTTCTCTCTTGCGGCGTCGTAGATCAAACTTTGGTCGGAAACGGGCGTGTCGCTGGCGTACAAAGGCGGCACAACTGCGCCGCCGGCTTGCTTGTTGTCCGAGCGCTTTTCTTCGTCGATGGAGGACGAGGAGGCATGCTCGAGGTCGCGCATGGCATCGATGACCGCCGTTGCCGATGTGGTGCTCGTCATCTCTGCGAAACGTCGACCAGGGGCTGTAGCTATTCGATTGTGAGGGCAGAACTGGCGTTGCTTGACCTATTCTTAGAAAGAGCGTAGAGGAAGATCGCCGGAGGAAGGACTGGGACAAGGGGTTTCGAGGTGAAGGTGGTGGAAGGGAAGGAAGAAGAGAGACGAAGGGCTGCAACGGATGAGGAGGCGGCGAGGACGAGGAGGGGGGGACCTTTTATGTAAATAAAAAGTCAGGAACAGAAACTCTGTCTTTTTGCTCAACGACACTGGCCCACGGAAATATCTCATTTGCCGGACTTGCTCCTCGGTAACACACAACCGCAATCCTTTCCGCTGAGATTGAGCAAAGTGTGGGGCCCTCAGGGAAATCAAAGCCTCAACGCTGTGCGATCTGAAAGGGAACTTACCCACGCAGCGCGCAAAGCACAACCTTGTGTGTGGGGAAGTGTAATTTTGTTCCAACGAGAAAAAATGGGCACTAAACCGGAGCTCGAAACATGGCATTCCATTGCTTGCAAAGCGGGGAGCGAGCTGCTGATTGGAGGATGGCGATCTTTGCGGGGCAGGATCAAAGGGGAGTTTCGCTGCACTGCGTGGTCGGAGTAGGCTGACGCTATGTGCCATCGAGACAGAAGCAGAGGTATAGGCGCTCTGACGGGGCAAACCGTGGTGCGACTCCGAAGGTTCGGGTTTGGCTGGCCTTGAAACCACGTTCAACAAGTCGACGAGTCCGGGAAAGGTGGAAGCGGAAATGGCGGGAAGCGCCCAAAAGAGTCCCAGTACGGAGTTCCATCTGGCGTCTCGACTGAGAACAACAGAACAACAATACAACCGGTCCCCCGCTCGACAAGCTTACGCTCACACGAATGGCTGAGCTTCTGGCGTACAATGAAACCAGAGACGGCGTCAACCATCGATTCTGCCTCTACGGGTTAGCGGCAAATTCACCGCGAGGCTTGCGTTCGCTTTCTCTATGATCACATGAAACTGTGCCACTGGTTGTCGAGCTGCTCTGAAACTCTTCGACGTCGCACACCCACCGGCACCACAAGACAAGTTGATGAATGATTCCAACCTGTGTTGGCCGGTTGCAACAATGATTCCAACCTGTCTTGGCCGGTTGCAACACGAGGGAATCGATCGAAAGAAAAAAATGCCAAGACATCTCGAAGTCCTGCATGCATAAATTGTCAACTGAAGTTCACTGCCTCGCTTCGACTACACTGTCCATGTGCTTCTCTGTGATTTCGGACAGCTGCCTCGCATCTCGACCGCTCATCGGCTTTTTTGCTGACATCTCGGCGTAGGACGAGTGTGACGGATCCTTTTCCGCGCGCCCTTTTTTGCCACGCGACACAACCGACTGCAGCGCTTGTCGCTTCCACGCGAGCCAACCATCCTCGACTCGATTGTCATTCCTTACCGCTGCTGAAAAGTCAGACTTGGAGAAAGATACTCAGTACTAGACTGCCAAGAACCACCAGAATGCGGAAAGCACGGACGCAAGGGTTTTTTTCCCTCAACTGCACGGTTTCACCAATGTCGATGTCCGGTCTGCACCCCGCAATCTCATCCAGCTGCCTAAAAAGTGCGGGGTTGCCAGCGCAACCTATGTGGTGCTACCAATACAAAAAACCGCGGAGCACCCTTCGATCTACAGTAGTCTTTTCACCTGGTCATCTAGAGCAGGATCGGCGACAGCCGGCAATGACGGCAACGTCGTTCCGAGCAGCGTGTTCCTGAGTTCCATTCCTTCGTCAAGTGTCTTGCGAGATTAGGTGATGCTGGAACAGGATAACTTTCTCCGCGCAGCGATTGGTTTTACCGCCTTCATGTCTCTCGGACTTGCCCCGCAGACTCACATCCCGTAATTTCACTTCCGACATCCGCGACTTCCACTAGCTCACCGAACCAGCGCCGCTCATGACTCACCGCGACACCTTGGGCGGCTGCAAAGCGGTCAAACATGTCACGCGTAGATGCGCGTCCTTCTTGCTCTGTTCAGGCCCACGCGCTTGGTGAATGACATATCACCGGCTCGTTTGTTCGTTCGTTTCCGAGGACATACGCATCGTGCCTGGCTATTGAATCGTGACGTCGTCTTCAGCGTCCTTGTAGTTCGACTGCAGCGACACAACGCTGCTCGACGCCAAAAGTCCCACATCGCGAGACGACGCGTTGGAATCCACCAGAGACCTCTGTCGTAGACCCGTCGCGGCATCCACCTTGCCACTTGGACCGTTAGTATCGACTGCCGAGGACGCTGCCTCCTTGCCCGGCTGGTGCTTGTTCTCTTCCCTGGCTTGCTCCACAGCCTCCTCTTTCGCCGTCCGAGTGGGTGCAGGATCGCCATCTCCGCCTAGCAACCATGCTACCACAAGACCTTGCTCCACGGCCTCGAGGGAGCTTCCCTCCTCTTCCACCAATGATGGCTTGAGCTCTACAGTCCTGGTATTTGACTCAGGCTCAGCAGCGCGTCCGTTTAGCTGAGCAGGTATATCTGTCGCGTCGGCTGCCGTGACTGTGCCTACTGCACCGTCTGCTGCTATTTCCGTGGCGGTTGCGTGTGTCGAAGCAGTGTCTGGCTTTCCCTTTTCCGTTGTTGCAGGACTGTCGATAGCGTCGCCATTGGGACGATCCGAAGATGGCGAGAATGAGCGCCCATCCGAGTGCATGGCTTTCTGCACCAGAGCACGACATTCATCGACACTGTGACAGGTGCGCATCGCCCTCTCCAGCTCAGCAAGCACCTGGATTGTCTCGAGACTCGTGCTGTTGCGACGCGACGCATGCATCGAGGCGGGTCCTGCGCCAAATGACCTTCTTCGCACCAACACCTGCGAGCCAGACGCACCGACAGGTCCTGACCATGCAGTAGGTGCATTGTTGCCTCGCGCTGTGGCGGCGGCAGCTCCCTCTTCGGTCGTGGCCGTCATGGGAGACACACCAACCGCGCCTCCAATTCCGCCAGCAGAATGGTGACCAGCATCAGAAGAGGACGTACCGGCCTGACCTCGCACAGGGAGGACGCCGTGTCCGTTAGAGCTTGTATATCCGACGCTTCGGCGCCGATCGGAAGAAGGCGTGCCATTGCGTTCGATCACCGTGTTTGCACTCGCCGAATTGCGTTTGTACCCCCATGGCACTTTGCGACTGATCAGTTCATCTGGAGTTTTGATGGATTTGGACGTTGTCGACGCATCGTCTGCCTGGAGATCGTCCTGACCCGCGACCTCAGCGGCGCCCGGGGTCTGGCTGCCGTAGCTCGTGGATCTCGACGCATTGCTTGCACTACGGGACGCAGCAACTGCCCCGGCTCCCGCCGCGCCAGCAGCCGCGGCCATTCCTACGCCTAAACCGATTAAAGCGCTGTTAGAGCCTGCGCGCCCCGTATCGGAAACAGTGACGTCCGGTTTCGGCTTCGTATCCGACGCCACGTCAGCAGTCGCTGCAGGGTGTTCCGAAGTAGACGTAGACGAGCGCGATGCTGCATTGTTGCGGGTGAAGGTTGGTTCGTTGGCCGACGTAAGCGAACGCGTTTGGTCGAGCGAATTGGTGGTGCTGCTGGTGATGTAGGTGTCTTGCGATCCCTCCAAACTCGCCTTGGTGTCGGTGTGCTGGTGGACGCGATACGCTGTTTGAACGGGCGAGGAGGGTGTGCCGTGGCCGGAGCTGCTGGCCGATCTTCGGCCAAACAGGGTGCGAACACGGTCGCCCATCGCAGACTTTTTCGGAGCGCCGTCCGTCAAGGAAGATGTGTCGGAGCTGATGTTGCCGAACCTCTCTGAGGTAGCGGATGGCGGCGTGGACTTGAAGAGATCGACGAGATCCTTGTGCGTCGAAGAAGTGCGCTCCGCTTCATCGTTGCGTGGCTGCAGTCGCGGCGTGCCGCGTCGGAACGTCAAGGACTGCGGCGGTGGAGTAGGAGGCGGAACGCTTGCCTTCGAGATATCTTCTTCGACAACCTCGCCGGACCGCAAGGCGTGCTGGCCGGTGAAGGCGGAAGAGGGGCCTCGGTACGACGAAGGCGGAGGAGCCGCTGCTTTGCGTTCAGGCCGCAGTGATGATGGCAGCGACGCGCGTGTGCTTGGTTGTGTCGAACCGACATCCGACGTCGTCGCGCTGCCTGCGGATGCCCTTTCAACGGCACGTCCAGCGCCGGAAGGCAGCGCCTCGCCGCTTGCCGACGTCTGTGAGGCCTGCGATGCGAGCGTTGCGGAAGAAGCATCTCTGTGCCCGCCGGGCGTACCAGCACGTCGTCCAAGAGATCCGGGATCAACGTCTTGACTCTTTTTGGCGACCTCGATGGTGTGGAGACGATTGGGTGTGAGCGAGACCTTCATGGTCTGACTGGAAAGCATGAGCGCCTCAAAGTCGTCGTCTGCGTCCAATGCTGATTCCGCTGGATCGGAGCCGTTGGCGTTGTGATTTGTCGGCAGGACTGGGCGGGTAGGTGCCGAGTCGGACGTACCTTGCTTGAAGCTGTTGCGGCGCTTGATACCTCCGAACACACCCGACCAACTGCGCTCCGAACTTTGGCGGCGTCCGATGCTGCCGGAACCGCCTGGGTTGCTGGTGCTGAGCGAAGGACGTGCTGGTTTCTGTGCAGTCGAGGAGACGGTGGCGCTATCTTCCGAGGCGTGATTGGCGAGAGAGGACACGGTGCGAAGCGTGGACATGCTGCCACGCATTGAGTCAGCGTTGCTCAAGCTGCTGGAGGCTGCATGGCCATGACGGGAGGACGACGACGTGGACGCGTTGCTGTTGGTGGGCACTGGCGGCACCTGCACGGAAGCACGCTTCGAGGAGAAGAGGGAAGGTCCAGCGGCCTCGTCAAAGTCGCGCTCGTCGGGGACGTGCCAGGGCTTGACGACCCTGGCATCGGATCGAGAGCCGCGTCCGGCGCCGTTACGAGACTCGAGGACGCCGATGCGGCGTGCCAGCTCTTGTCTGATCGTCAATTTGTTGAAGAGAGGGTTCAGCTGTTCGTCTTCGGTGATGGCAGCACGGAGATCGTACAGGCTGGCTTCGTCGGAGTTGTCGCGCTCGATGACCCGAGCTACGTTTTGCAGGATGTGACTGGCGACGAACTCGAGCAGCGCAGACACGTAGATGGCAGCAACAGGCGTGACAGTGGCTACGGGACGTCCGTCGCTGCTCATGATGTTCTGATCCTTGGTGGCATTCTCGTCCTTCGAGTCGCTGAGAGTCGAGTAGTACTGGCAACGTGACCGGAGGGCTTTGTAGGCGCTTTGAAAGGGGAAGCCATCAGTGCCGTCGAGTCGCGAGGTGGACATGAGACCGAGGGGCACTTTGGCGCCCTCTGCACGCTTGCCGTCGACGTAGCTTCGGAGCTCGAGCTCGGCCTCGAGGACGGCATCCTTGGCGAGCAGGTTGTTTGCAAAGATCCTGAGCATGCCGTCAGACTTGATGCGGTCGGTGGCCAAGCTTTTGGCGGAAGTGAGGATCGTGAGGAGGAGTTCGTCCAGCAGTCCATTCAGAACGAGGAGCGTCTCTGCTTGAATCCGGGTCGGCCGATTCTCCGAAATGAGCGTGTTGGCAGATCGTGCACTGACGAAGGCAGGAACATTGTTCAGCGACATTGCGCTGTCGTTCAATGACATGGCGGATATGACTGCCGTTCGTGTTGCAGACTCGCCGCTCGGTATGCCGAATAGTGCCGACCCTGGTTTATGCCAGGGTGCAGACGAGGATCTCAGCAAAGCGCCTGGATGAAAGCTGGCGGCGACGAGCTGGAGCAAACGAGGCCGACAAGATGATGCCAGGATTGATGGTCCTCACTTTCGCCACGGTAGTCCGCGACGATGACCAAGACGCTGACGAAAGTGGGGCGGATGGATGAGTCGTTGCAGAATCAACAATGCGCCATCCTTGGCGTGGCTTGCGAGATGAAAGGGCGGAAATGGGTCGTTGTGACTGCAGTCGAAGATCTCTCCTGCAGACTTTCAGGGGTGAAGCCGCGACTTATGAAGCTGCGACTTATGAAGGGAGCGAAACGACAAAGCTGTGTTGGAATGACGACGAAGTCCTAAGTTATCGACGTAGGAAGTTCCGATACGTTGCGCTGCGATGTACCGCCGTCGGGCGAGCCGAGACCAGCGATCGAGGACAAGTTGCAACGTCGGAGATTTCCGACGGTAACGTTGTCGCAGAGATGGAGCAGAGTGAAGAGGTGTGACTGGCGACTGTGCAAACGAAGGATATGCGTGACAGAGATTCTTGTCGTTCTTTCTCAGTACCGTGTATGGTTGGCCGCCGTTGTTGCCGAATCGCCAGTGTGCTGAAGCGGATGCTTCGCCGTGGACTGCAAGACGACGACGCAATGGTGTGAGACCGGAAGGCAGCGACGAGAAGATCGAGCGCCCTTCTCTTCATCCATGGAAAGGAGCTAAGCCATGGAAAGGAGCTAAGTCAAGTCAAAGCGAAATGTGCTTAGTTAGCCAGAGCGACGATCAAGCCAGGGTTCAAATTGGAGGTTCAAGGCGCCTAACTCTGCGGCAAGGCGGAAAGCTCGAGCACACACACGCACACGCCTTTAGCGTAGAAAATACATTCTCGGCTTGATGGGAATTGCAGCGCCGCGAGTGTCTCCTGAAAAAGGGCGATGGGACCAAGCGAGTGGTTCGAGTAGTGAGTTGAAGACTGTCTCGGATAGGTTGTAGCAACGCAATCGAGGCATTGCAAGAGCACGACTGCCTCTGAAGCACGGCGAAGGAATGGTCCGAAGTGTCCTCTCGGCAGAAGCGGAGCGACCAAAGCGGCCCTTGTCACACGCATGCCCACATGCACGCATGCAAGTGGCCGCCACCAAGAACAAGCTCTGGCCACGAGCCCAACTGCAGACGGACACACAAGCGCGGGCTCGGAGAGTTACGAGCAAACACACACCACTCAGCAGCAAAGCTAAAATTCCAAAAATTCCGAAGGGAAGTACAGCTGACCACCTCTACCAGAAGCGGCACGGCACAGCTCGCCAGTCGACACAATGAGTACCTGAAAAGGTGAAAGAGGCATTTCCTAGACGAAGCGTTAAAATACGGCTCGCACAGGTCTTGTCTCTGACAGTCTGCTCTCTGTCTTAGCAGACCGCCCAGTCTGGACGAAAAAGAGCATTGCTCATGCAGACTCTTGCAGCTGGAAGCAGCCTTCCGACACGGCTCCAATCGGATCTTCCGCAATCGCGTTTTCGTGATTCGGCTGCAATGTGTTAGACCGATAGAGACGACAGATATTGGTCACGCTGACTAATTCAAATTTCCGCCGCCTCGCGTGCAGGGTGCAGGCAGTGAAGGAAAAAAAAATGTGGATGCGAGGCAGGAAGAAAGCTTCCTCGCGGTCTTGTGGAAATTTTTGGGTCTCAGGGAAACCATCAACTTTTCAACACTAAGCATCTCGCTTCCCACGCTGCTAAACACTTGTCACCGTCTATCTACACACCGTCTCTTGATCTCACCTCGGACGAAGACAAGTTGCTGAACAGTGACGAGCAACACCGTAGATAAAACAGCTGAGCTCAACGCACCGCAGCAGGTGACCGTCCCGTTCAAAGATCACCTCCGCGACCTCCGTCTGGTCAGCAGCAGCGGCAGACCCGACTTTGAGCATCGCCGACCTCGGCGTCCCCGACCAACATGGCTTCCGCATCGGTAATGCCCGAGCTTTCGCAACCTTCGACGTTGCTTACTCATCCAACCCTCGCTGCTGCCGACTTGGCTCGCAATGCCACCTTGCCAGCAACAGGCTTCTCCACCACCAAGACCTCCACCATCTCGGTCGGCTCAGCCTACAAGCTCTCCCCCGATGCCAGATCGCTGCGTCGACTGAAAGGCACGCTGCCTCTCCTCGTCGCCGGCAACGCGCTCAACCTCATCAACCCACAGTCGCAGACTCCCATCCAAAGTTTCAGCCTTTCGTCGGCAGAGATCGCCTCATGCGCCCCTCTGACGCTTCTGCGCTCGATCGGCTCCGGACGTTCGATCCGAACCACCTTCATCGGCATCGAGTCGCACACTCGAGCCAAGTCGGGTCGCGCTGCGATTACCGCGACGCATCAGCTGTGGGCCTATGTCGAGCACCTTTCAGCAAAGGGCAAGGAGAGCGCCGAGGTCGAAGTCAAGAAGGAATCGCTCTCCGTCTCCAAGCCCATCCGCCTCATTCATGCCCTCGGCGACGGCCGTCTGGTTCTCACTCATTCGGACGACAGCCTCACTCTGGTCTCTAGCTCGCCTCTTACGTTCGACGACGAGGTGTCTATCCAAGCAGAGGCCACTTCATTGCAGGTAATGGACACCGTGGAAGCCTCGCAACATCAGACCACCGAGCGATGCCACTTCTTCGTCAACCTGCTCGACCCTGCTTCTGCCAAGGGTCTCATTGCTGGCAACTCGAGAATTGAGGAGGCAGCACTATTAGGGTTGCGCCTTGCCGTCACATCGGACACCAAATCATCGAACACCTCCACCAACAATGACGATGACGCCAGCAAGAAGAAGAAGCGTTCCAAGCGTTCCAAGAAGGTCTCCAACGAAGGCGACGACGACGAATCGCAAGCTGCGGACGCCTCGCTTCCTCAGGCACAAGCGCCGACCGGCTCGCTCACCTTGGAGCTCACTGCCTTTGTGAAGAGTTTCGATGGGGCTTCCGAGTCGTCCATCGCAATCGTCAGGCTCGGCAATGCTCAGGTACCCGGCATCTCCACTGCGAGGCACGTCGTCGACGTCCAGATGCATCCAGGCGGCCGTCTCGCGATCTTTGGTTTTGATGGGCAGCTCACCTCGACCACCTTGACAACGTCGGCGAATGGCGAGCCGCGTCTCACCCATGCAAGCGCCAGCTACCTGGATGCTTTAGCTCATGCCAGCAGCTCCCGTCCTTCCTCGTCTTCGACCGCCTCCCCGTCATGCCTGCTGCTCCTCAGCCGTGACCATGCACTCGTCGTAGGCGTCACTCGCGCTACGCCAGCCACAGCCGACAAGGAGCGCGTTGTGGCGCTCATTGTCGATCTCGAGCTCAACGCTGTACTCAAGCAGATCGACTGGGCAGTTCCTTTCGTTCCAGCTTCAAGCGCTGCTGCCTCCTCTTCTGGCCTGCTCCAACGAATGACGACCGTCTCGGCGTCACGCATCGCAGGCTCAACGAGCGTCATTACCATGGGACCGCCCACCGTATCCACGCGCACCTCGAGCTCGTCCGAGAAAGCCGAAGCATTGGCACAGCTTCACCAGCGCAGGGTTTGCGTCCTCTCTGTACCGTTCGCCGTGCCAGAGATGAGTGTGCTTCGTGACGCCCTCGGCAAGGGCGAGCTCACGGCTCGATGGATCCAGACTGCTGACGACATGGTCGCAGAAGTCGGAACCGGAAGCGCGGCATCGGATGCGGGCCGAGCAGCCCTTTTGGAACAGATCGGGACCATCTCACAGAGCAGCGACAAGCCTCTCAGCAAAGACGCCAAGATCAACACGGCCCTTTCCAGCTGGATCGACGTCGCTACCGAAGACGGACGCATGCTCGAAACGCTGACCGCCCACGATTCCGACAGCTCTTTCTACAGCCAACTGCTCGACCTGCTCCTGCCCGCTCCGTCCTCACGCAGCAGCAAGAGCAATGGTGCTGCTGCTGCGGCTTCCTTCTTGCCACGAGCTGCTCTGCTCGCTTTGCTCAACCATCCCCTTGTGCATCCATCGATCTTTGCGACGCTGAAACCTTCCGCCGCGACAGCAGCACCTGCACGCATCGTCTCGCTGCAGGCCAACGGATCTGGTCTCACCGAGTTCTGGGCGAGACTGGGAGCCTGGAACGACGCGCAGTTGACGCGAGCAGCTCTCAAGCGCATGCCCGACGTTGGCGAAGACACGTTTGCGTCTCTGTTGCTCGCGGCGATGCGTGGGCTGCTTCAGAGTCGAAGATCGGGCGAAACGGTGAGCGCGAAAGCGACTCGACCCTACATGGCACTGCTAGCGGAGTTGGTGCAGCTCCGGATCTCTAGAGCAGCACTGCGAAGCGCTCTCAAGACGCAACTGCGTGACGACGTGGATCAGGTCATGGCACTCCTGCAGCTCTGCAACGCGTGGCTGACCTTGACCATCCAAAAGCCGCTGACGGAATCCGGTGGCAGCGAAAAGATGAGCCAGAGCGACTCGGCCCGGTCGGGCAAAGCGCAAGTTCCCGACGCAGATTCGGTGATGGCATTGGCCAACGACGTCCTCGACACGTTCTTCCCGCTCTTGCTCGCGACACCACGCTCTCACGCAACGGTGCAGTCGCTCTCATCGACGATCTCGCGCTACCTGCAGCTCATGTCGACGTTGCGTCTGCTCAACGCGCCTCTCTCGGCGTTCGCCAAGCTGCAGCAGGAGAACAGTCTGCTCGCATCTTCTGAAGCGGTTGGCAGGACTCCCAAGACCGGCAGTGGCGGCACCACGTTATCGGCGAGCGGTGCGGTGGCATCGGCGGGTAACGCCAAGGTGGAGGTGAGCAGCAAGGCGGATGCTGCAGCGCGCGCCGAGATGGGAGGAGGATTGGGGATCAAGCTGGGCACGCAAGGTGAAGCCAAGACGCGTCGACTGCAGTTGTTCGAGCAGAGCATGCTGGTGGGAGCGTACAGCTTTGAGCGTCTGGAGATTTGACGGCCGCGCAAGCAAAGCGCTGTCGATCGATGGGCAGACAGGACATCAGGCACACAGGTGAAGCTCATGCATGTAACTCAAGGACAGTCCATGAGTTGCTGTACCATCAATTGCGAACGATGGCATAAAACAACAAGGTGGCCCGATAATCCAAGAATGTGCTGTGAGCGTGGCCGCCTTCTCAGTCACGGATCGGCGATGGTGGTCTTGAGAGACACGATCTGTAACGGTGTGGGGAAGGCTCTGGCTTGGAGCGAGCGTACTCGCTTTTCCACTTTGGAGCGCACGTGTCTTCTAGATGGATCGTTGATTGGGTCAACGGATGAGGGGGACAGCGGAGCAGCGCCCGTCGTGTGAGCTTGGTAAAAGATGACGACGAGAGCCAAGACTTTCTGCCAAGACTTTTTATGGAAGGAAAATAATCATTTCGATAAAACAGTAATTTTGAGACAGCGGACGGCGGAGCGAGCACAGCCTCGATTCGAGAGAAGCTTTCTTACGAACAAACACCTTAGCTCAAAATTGATGGACGGGCTTTGCGAGAAATCCACGCGAGCACACCGAGGTGACTGACGATTGATCAAATGGCTTGCTCCTCGACCTTTTTGAACGCTTCTTTCACCACCACGAAGGCAGTATGTAGGGCAAATGAGAACACGCAAGCTTCATATGACGATTGTGAGCGATGAATGTTGATGAACATCCGGGTTGAATTGCTCACAAAGGTAGGTGAAGGAGCATGTTGAGATTGATGGATGGCTGGAGCGAGCTAGGTTTGGAGGACCAAGACTCGCACGTGGGCATTGAGCATAAAGTGACCCTCGAGAGAGGACGCAGTGGCGGCCATTGCTTTCGTACCAAGGCATCTGTCTGATTCCAAAGACGAAGAGGTTACGATATCTGGGGAGGCGGTGGCACTAGAATCGCTAGCTGGAGCAAGTTCTTGGCATGCATACGTAGAGAAATAATTTCATGCATCGAGAATCTTCCGACTAGAAACCATTTCACTCAAGGCAGCAGCACAGCACAGCACAGCCCGAGGCTAGCCCAAAATTGGTTCCCAAACTGCACTACGCTGTAGATGCTGGGGCACATCTCTCTCTCTCCTCCCACCTGTTCGGTCAAGCTGTCTCCGGAGCGATACCAAAGGCTTGGCCTGCAAGTCGGGAAATTTCTCTTGGTTTCGCGTTGTTCAAGTTTGCCTGGAGAGCGAGCTGCCATGTGAGAAAGAGACAGCGGTGACGCCGTTTCTTTGTACCTTTGGACCAAATGCAGACTCCGCCCTTCTTGACGGCTTGGCATCCATGCATGCATCCGACCCTTGGACTCAGGGCAAACCTGGCACCGCCTCGCCTAGCTTCGTCTACGCCCCATGACTACCGTTCCAGCCCTATCGTGTTGGTTTGTTGCGTGTCACTGCCTGGATCTGCGGTTCGTTCACTTGGTTGCTGCTTGCTCCACCTTGCCTGAGTTCCACTGTTGCACGTTCCTCCGTCTCGGTTTCTCATTTCCGCCCACTCGCGCGCAGCCAACCATCCCGTCCATCCAACCAACACTTTTTCCTCTTAGCTTTCCTGGCTCACTCCGCATTGTCCTTTCAGCCTCCAGTCCGCCTCTACGCCTCGGTCGTCTGTGACTTCCGCCTGCTCCTTTCTGCCTTCTTGAATTCAGCCGAGTATATAGTACACACCGACTCGGCCACTTGCATCGATTCCGTCTTCTCTTCCCTTGGACCCATTCCGACTGCTTCCTCTTCTCCCCTCACATTGCCACCCCGGTCATCGTGCGGAAACCATCAATCACGCCCCGTCTTCTTCGTCACCTCGGAACATGCAACACTGAATTCTTCGCTGTCCCTCAACATTCACAAGCTCTTCAGAGCCTCCTCTGGACCGCATCGGCCAAAGCTGATCCTAGCATAGGTCCTATCGCATTCCCCGACCCTACACTCTCTTTCGCTCCGACCTGCTTCACTCTTAATACACAGTGAGAATGTCGGCCAGCATCGAGAAGCAGCCCGACTCACCCGGCGCTGCTACCGCCACCGAAGCCGCCGAAACCAAGCCCGGCTTCTTTGGTGGAATCAAGCAGTCGCTCAAGGGCGTCACCAGGTCTGGTCGTCGAGAGGCGCAGGCAAAGGCCCTGGCAGCCGAGCTTGAGCGTCAGCGCAATGTCGATCCCCGTCCCTTCCCCTTGCGTCCCATCGAGCTCGCCGATCTGCTCGACCCTAAGAGCGTAGACAAGCTCCGCGAAATGGGCGGTGTCAAGGGCGTCCTCGCCTCTCTTGGCACAGACGAGCACCGCGGTCTCGACCTCGGCGGAACAAAGACCATCGAGGCCGGCGCCGGTGCTCACGACATCGAGAGCGCTCCCGCTACCACCGACTTGGCAAAGGCCCGCGACGCCAACTTCGTCGACGCTTCCGAGGAGGACCGCGTCCGTGTCTACGGTAACAACGTCCTCCCAGAACGCAAGTCCAACAGCCTTCTCCTGCTCATGTGGCTCGCTCTTCAGGACAAGATCCTCATCTTGCTCTGTGTCGCTGCCGTCGTCTCGCTCGCCCTTGGTATCTACACCAGCACGCTCCCTTCCGAGGAGATCGCCTGTGTCGTCGATGGCGTTGAAACCCTCTGCAAAGTCGCCCACCTTGACTGGGTCGAGGGTCTTGCCATTCTCATTGCCATCATTATCGTCGATCTCGTCGGTTCCGTCAACGACTACCAGAAGGAACGCCAGTTCAAGAAGCTCAACGCCAAAAAGGAACAGCGCGACGTCAAGGTTTTGCGTCAAGGAAAGCCCGCTCTCATGTCTGTCTACGACGTCGTCGTCGGTGACATCCTCCATCTCGAGCCTGGTGAGATTGTACCCTGCGACGGCATCTTCCTCCGTGGTCACAACGTCAAGTGCGACGAGTCGGGCGCTACCGGTGAATCCGACATGATCCGCAAGGTCACCTACGACGAATGCATCGCCGATCTCGACGAAGCTCGCCGCAACAACGAGAAGCCCAAGAACCGCGACTGCTTCCTCATCTCCGGTTCCAAGGTGCTCGAAGGTGTCGGCCAGTACGTAGTCATCGCTGTCGGCCCTACCAGCTTCAACGGCAAGCTCATGCTCTCGCTCCGCAGCGACGCTGAGGACACTCCCCTCCAGTCCAAGCTCAACCGTCTCGCCGATCTTATCGCTTGGCTCGGTTCCACCTCCGGTATCGTTCTCTTCACCGCTCTCATGATCCGCTTCTTCGTCCACCTCGCACAGGAACCCGGCCGCTCCTCCAACGACAAGGCGCAGGATTTCATCGACATCCTCATCATCGCCGTCACCGTCGTTGTCGTCGCCGTGCCCGAAGGTCTGCCTCTTGCCGTCACGCTCGCTCTTGCTTTCGCCACCAAGCGAATGACCAACATGAACCTGCTGGTGCGTCTCCTCGGCGCCTGTGAGACCATGGCCAACGCCAGTGTCGTCTGCACCGACAAGACTGGTACCCTGACTCAAAACGAGATGAGCGTCGTTGCGGGCAGCATCGGTGTCAACTTCAAGTTTGCCGACCGCCTCGAGGCCAACCGTAAGCGTGTCGAGACCGAGCACGATGCCGCCTCATCCACCCAGACTCGCATCGTCGAGCAGGCCGAGCTCAACAGCTCGATCAGCACGCCGCTCCAGAGACTCCTCAACGACAGCATCGCCATCAACTCGACCGCCTTCGAAGAGGCCGAGCAGGACGACGCCGACAAGGACGCCGCCGCCAACACTGCTGTCGCCGTCAAGAAGCACGGTCTTTCCGCTCTGTTCAGGTCCAAGAAGGCGTCCGCCACCGCCGAGAAGAAGAAGGAGGGCGGATTCGTCGGCTCCAAGACCGAGACTGCCCTGCTCAAGATGGCCAAGGAGCTCAAGTGGGAGGACTACCGCGCATCGCGAGAGCGTGCCGAGGTGGTGCAGATGATTCCCTTCAGCTCGGAACGCAAGGCCATGGGTGTTGTCGTCAAGCGCCCCGAAGGTGGATTCCGTATCTACCTCAAGGGTGCCAGTGAAGTCCTTACACGTCTCTGCACCCGTCACGTCGAAGTTGCCGAGACCGACACGGACTGCATCCAGATCGAGGAGCTCGACGATGCCAAGCTCGAAAAGGTCAACTCCACTATCACCGGATTCGCCAACCAGACTCTCCGAACTCTCGCGCTTGTTTACCGTGATCTCGAATCGTTCCCGCCCAAGGACGCCAACCGTGACGAGAACGGTGACGTCGAGTACGCCTCGCTTGCTCAGGATCTCACCTTGGTCGCTATCGCCGCGATCGAGGACCCTCTTCGACCGGGTGTCACTGACGCCGTCGAGGCCTGCCGTCGTGCAGGTGTTCAGGTCAAGATGTGCACTGGTGACAACGTCCTCACTGCCAAATCGATCGCAACCCAGTGTGGTATCTACACACCCGGAGGTATCGTCATGGAGGGACCCGTCTTCCGCAAACTCAACCGCGCCGACATGCTCGAAGTGGTTCCCAGACTGCAGGTGCTGGCTCGATCGTCGCCCGAAGACAAGAAGATCCTCGTCGAATCGCTCAAGAGTCTCGGCGAGGTGGTCGGTGTCACTGGTGACGGTACCAATGACGGTCCTGCGCTCAAGACGGCCAACGTCGGATTCTCGATGGGCATCGCCGGTACCGAAGTAGCCAAGGAAGCCTCGGACATCATTCTCATGGATGACAACTTTGCCTCGATCGTCAGCGCCATCATGTGGGGACGCTGTGTCAACGATGCCGTGCGCAAGTTCCTGCAGTTCCAGCTTTCGGTCAACATCTCTGCCGTCGTGGTCACATTTGTCACCGCCGTCGCCTCCTCGGAGGGCACCTCGGCGCTCAAGGCTGTACAGCTGCTTTGGATCAACCTGATCATGGACACGCTCGCTGCTCTGGCTCTGGCCACTGATCCAGCTACACCGGATCTGTTGGACCGAAAGCCGGACCGTCGTTCTGCTCCGCTGATCTCGACCAACATGTGGAAGATGATCGTTGGACAGTCGATCTTCCAGACTGCCGTGATCCTGGTGCTCAACTTTGCGGGCAAGAGCATTCTGAACCTGGGAGCGGGTAGCGACACGGAGCTCTCGGCGATCGTGTTCAACACTTTCGTATGGTGTCAGCTGTTCAACCAGGTCAACTCGCGTTCGCTCACTCAGAAGCTCAACATCTTCAGCAATCTGCACAAGAACCCTTGGTTCCTGGGCATCCTGGCTCTCGAGATTGGCTTCCAAGTGCTCATCATGTTCGTCGGCGGTGCAGCATTCTCTGTGACTCGTCTCACTGGACGTGATTGGGCGGTTTCGATCGTGATCGGTTTCGTCTCGTGGCCTTTGGCTGTTTTGATCCGACTGATCCCTACGCAGCCGATCGAGGACTTCCTGATCAAGAACAGGATCATGTCGGACCCGAACGCGCTCCCTGCGCCCGTTTCCGAGTCCGGCTCGGACGACGGCAAGGCTGCGCGTGCACGAACCTTCTCGGAGTGGCTCCCGGCAGTTGGACAGGTGGGCGAGCAGCTCAACTCGTTCCGCAGCATCCGCGGTGGTCGCATCAGCGCCAGTCCGCGACTCTACCAGTCGCGCGAACGTCAGCTCAAGTCGGCCAACTTCCACCACCAGAGCGTGCTCGCCATGGTGCCCGGATTTGTCGTCGCCAGCATCGGCGGCAACTGGCGCTCGGCTCCCTCTGACACCTCGAGCGATGGCAAGGACAAGAGCAAGTCCGCTAAATCGCAACCCCAGCAGCAAGCGTCCAACGAACCCACCGTAGACTCTGCGACGCTCTTCAAGGACGGTAAGCTCACCTTCCACCCCGACACGCGCGAGGACGACGATCTCCTCCGAAAGTTCAAGTCCGGCTTTTGAGCAATATATACCCCTTGTAACGAACACAAAGCTTTGTAAATACACGCTACCACTCTCTCATTCCACATCACACAACGGTGTTTGTAAATAGGCTTTCCGCGATCTCTCTTCTCTCTTGCATGCCCTTCAGGTAGCGCGGGTGAACAACCCCCACACCTCTGTAAATAGTGTACCTGTATTGATAAACATTGTTACCTCGTGCTTCGATTCGTGCGTTTGTGCTTTCTGTGAGATCAAGTGTACACGCTTCAACCTCTATTCACACCAGAACGAACTTTAAGAGAAGAGTTTCAGCTTTCTCTCGCGCTGTCTCTTGCATGCTCTCTCGTTTTTGAGGTGGTAGCGGATGAGCAACTTCACACCTTTGTAGACAGTGTACCTGTACAGGCCAATTCATTATTACACATGTGTTCGAGTTGCGAATTCTGTGATAAGGCGGGTTAGGGCGGGTTCGGCCTGTGAGAGTGACCTGCATGGGTGTGTTGACATGCATCTCGTCTAACAGATCCTGTGTGCTCGGTTTCATGTGTACTCGCCACCCAGTCCTAGTAGTTGATCTCGATTTCCACCAAAGAAGTGCGTTGGTACACACCAAGTAAGTGAGCTTTCTGGCTCCGACTCAACCTTGGGGAAGGAAAGAATGGGTGTGTCTGCATGCTTCCAATACGGAGCCAGTCGAGCGGAGACTCGCCATCGTATGGGTTGGGAGCCCCCTGAGTCGAGGAGGATGGTCCGTCGACTAGGGGCTCACTTTCCTCAGCGTCGGGACCGGAGATGCGCCCGACTCATTCGATCAGGTTGCGGCCGAATCCACTCCCAGCCCACGATGTTGTCTCACTGACCCGCGCGACTCAGTCGGTGAGACGACGGTGTGCGCCCAAATACTCCCTGTTATGCATGACGATGCGGTGATGAGGATTGGGGATTTTCCACGTGGCTGCAGTGCGAGCTGAGCACGGACTCGCAACCTAAATTCTTTGGCGGTACGTCGATCGCGTTCCTTCCTGTTTCTCCACATTTTTGTGCTTTCTTCTTTCGACCCTGCTTGCTCCTCACCATCATAGCCTTGCCCTCAAGAGTCGGTACTCTGCTGCTGCAAGGATCTCAAAATGCCGTCCACTTCGGCACTCAACCCCGCTCCCTCGCTCGCCGACCTCCAACGCGGCGGCGCACAACCACCCCCTCTACCACCCTCCACAACACCTCAACACCCAGCATTCGGTCAATCTCTCCGTCGTCGTCGTCGATCCTCCCACTCATCTCATGACTCGCACGACTCGCATGGATCGCACGAATCGCACTCTTCGCACTCATCCTATGCAGCTCGGCATCCGGACCGGGTTCCGCAGAAAGCCGCCTCGCCCAACAAGGCATTCCTCAGCGTGCTTGGGTTGCTCGGCTTGATACTGGCGTACACGCTCATCGGCGCGTGGCTGTTCATCAAGGGGTTCCTGCTGACGAGGCACGAGCTGGACGGGTGGAACGAGTGCGCGAAGCCAGCAGAGGCGGGATGGACGCTGCCGAGGCCTCCGGAGCGGCTCGATGATGAGGCGGTGTTGAGCTGGGCGGATACGGTGTTGGATGCGGAGAAGGGGGAGGGGGAATGCAGGATGGTGGCGGGGAAGAGGAAGGCGGTGGTGTTGGTGATCGATGCGCTGCGGTACGACTTTATCGCCCCGACGCCCATGGAAGGGGGAAGCGTTTGGGAGCCGAATCCGTACTATCACAACATTCTAACGCTCCCAGCAGAGTTGACTGCGAAACACGGCATCCCAGCGTTCGCCGACAGACCAGGCCCAACCTCGTTCCTGGCTCATTTCGCCGCAGATCCACCCACCACGACCCTGCAACGCCTCAAGGGGCTCACCACAGGCACGCTGCCGACGTTCGTCGAAGCAGGTGCCAACTTTGGCTCCGCCGGCACCGGTGTTGGTCAGGTCAACGAAGACAACTGGATCTCCCAATTCAGGCGATCCATTCTCAACTCTTCTTCTGTCAGCTCCAGCGCTGCCGGACTGGTGTTCGCAGGCGACGACACGTGGAGCACCGTCTTCCCGAACCTTTTCGACGCCGACAAGACGTGGAGCTACGACTCGTTCAACGTCGAAGACCTCGACACGGTGGATCGCGGTGTCGAGGCCAAGCTAATGCCTTTTCTCCAGCAGAATCATCCGGAGCGCGTGGCAGGGGTGCACGATTCGTGGCGTCTGCTCGTGGGGCACACGTTGGGGGTGGATCATGTTGGGCATCGATACGGTGCGGGACATCCGAAGATGAAGGTCAAGCTGGAGGAGATGCAGGATTTGCTGAGGAATGTTACAGAAGCGGTGGATGAGGAGACGTTGGTGGTGGTTATGGGCGATCACGGGATGGACGAGAGGGGGGACCACGGCGGGGATGCAGAGCTGGAAGTAGGAGCGGGCATCTGGATCTACTCCAAAGGCGGATTCGGTCACACCGGTCGCCGAAGGGATCTGCGACAAGACCCAGCAGAGTACGTGTCGACACCAGAGGTCGAATCCATCCTACCGAGTCGCATCCCATTCAGCTCCCTCCCCTCTCCCCCTTACCCGAGCACCGGCCACCGCACCATCCCGCAGATCGACCTCGTCCCCACCATCTCCGTCCTCCTCGGTCTACCCATCCCGTACAATAACCTCGGCAGCATCATCCCGGACCTCTTCGCCCACCCGGACACCCTGCTGAGAGCGTTGCGAATCACCTCGAGACAGATGCGCGAGTACCTGAGTGCGTACTCGCGGCGATCGCCGGATCTCGCCGCGTTCCAGCCGGAGTTCGATCGACGTTGGTTGGAAGCGGTCAGGGCGGATGCGGATCTGGCGCGGCTGCTGTATTCCAAAAGCGGCGCGGAAGAGGTAGAGGAGGCGTGGAGGGCGGCGGCGAGGGGATACCATGCGTTCAACAGGGTGAGCTTGGTGAGGGCGAGGGAGGTGTGGGCGCAGTTTGATGCGGTGCGGATCGTGGTAGGGTTGGTGGTGATGGTGTTGGGGTTGGGTGTGGCGTGGGTGGTGCGGTGTGGTGCGATGAGGGGGTTGGTGGGCGTGCTGCCTGCTGTTGCCGAAGAGGAAGAAGATGGAGAAGGGCAGCAGGACGAGGTGGTGAGGAGGAGTAGGACGACGGAAGAGCTTTATGCGGTGGTGTGGAGGTGCGTTGCTCGTTCGACGCTCGTCGGGGCGGGTGTGGGAGCGGCGGTGCATGGAACAACGTTCTTGCCTCTCCCGCTGGTTCTGACGTCGATCCTCAAACCGCTGACCCTCGTCGATACTGTTCTGACAGGCGCAAGCGTGGCCTCCTCCCTCTCGCTAGTCCTCCGACACCTTCCATCCACTCTCGCATATTCAGCCCAACGCCGCCTCCTCCGCCATCTCGGGTGGTTCATCGTCATCATCTCATTCTTGCCTGTCCCGCTGGCCCTCACGGGTATGATCAGATCGCCGACTCTCTCCGACGCCGTTCTGACATGCGCAAGCGTCGTCTTTTCTATCCCGCTACTCTTCCGAGCCCTTCCATCCACCCCGCAACGACCTGCGTCTCAAGCCAACGACAACGACAACGCCATCCCATCCACCACTCGCCTCCTCAACTCCCTCGGCTGGGTTGTTGTGCTCATCCACACCGCGCTGTTTGCCTCCAACTCGCTGCTGGTATTCGAAGACCGATTCGTGCTGCTCACGCTCGCCTCGCTCCTGCTCATCCGCGGTCTTCTACTCGTCGGATCCTCCCCCACCACTCGACTCAGACTCCGCCACATCTTCCTCACGCTTCTCTCGCTCATCCTCGTGCGTCTCGCCGCCATTCCCCGCGTCTGCAGGGAAGAACAAGCCCCGCACTGCACAAACACGTTCTTCGCCTCCTCCTCTTCCACTGGATCCGCTCTCAACTCGCCCTACATCATCGCTCTAGCGTACATCATCGCATACCTGCTGCCGGATGTTGTGGGTAGAGTGTTGGCGCAGAACAAGAGCTTTGTCGGGATCGCACCGGGATTCTTCCGGTGGGTGGTGAGGCCGACGCTGATGATCGGTGCGGGCCAGTGGGCGTTGGACTACGCGGTACCCTTGGACTCGGTGCAGGCTTCGGGTTGGGGTGGCACGTTGGAGTGGTTGAAGTACGGGATGGTCAAGGTGGACTTGGTGTGGATCGCGGTGGCGGTGGTGTTCTGGGTGTTTGCACCGCTGTGTTTGGAGATCCGCAGGGAAACCACTCAAGCCGGGGAGGGAGGTGAGGAGGGGAAGCAGCAGCAGAAGGTGACGATCTTGGGGTTCGCCAATAGCTTCGGTAGCAGCTTGACGTTGATGCTGGGAGTAGGGGTGAGTTTGATCTGGTTGACGACGCAGCCTAGTGGACAGGTGGGGTTGGGGTTGGGCGTGGTGGTGGGGATGGTGTGCGTCGAGATGGGGGATGCGGAGAGGGATGTGGTTGTGTTGTTCCGTCAGAAGAAGGCTGCGGACGAGACCGCGCAGACGACACCCTCTTCGCCGATCCACTTGAGCTCGACGGAGATCGTTGCGTACACGCTCCTCTCCCAGCTGCTCTTCTTCTCGACGGGTCACCAAGCCACCTTCGCCTCGATCCAATGGCGCACCGCGTTCCTCACCTCCCCCACCCTAACCTACCCGCTCTCCCCTCTCCTCGTCCTACTCAACTCCTTCGGCACCACCCTCCTCCTCCCTTCGCTCCTCACCGCCCTCTCCGTCCTCTGGAACACCGCACCGCTCCCGCGCGGAAGCAACCGACGCATGTCGACCCCACAGCAGCTGCTCTCCGCACTGGCGACACTGGCGCTGATCAACGGCATCGTGCTGGTGGGCACGGCAGGGTTGAGCGGCCTGGTGTTCAGGAGGCATCTGATGTTGTTCAAGGTGTGGACGCCGAGGGTGCTCGTGGCGGTGGTGAACGGGGTGGGTGGGCAGGTGGTGGCGGTGGCGGTGACGACGGCGGTCTGGCAGGTGGCGAATAAGGTGGGCAGCGTGTTTGGGAGCGAATTCGCATAAGTTGTTTCGAGGGCGGAAAGGGACATGGATTGCTCAATGGAAGGACGAGCAGTCGCTTCCCGTGACCACACTCTCTCACACTCTTTACCGTCACACACAATCCACACTGAGATCCCCCCTTTCGGGCGTTTGAAAAAAGGAATGACATTCTGCAGAAGTACTTCTGATATGAAAAGTGTACAAGCCCATGATTCGCGGCGCGCCCTCGGCTGTATCAATGCTGCTGAACCCTCGACTCCTCATACGCGTCCAAGACCTTTTGTGCGCTACCCCCGTTCTGACCCGCATACGTTGCGCTTTCGCTCGTCGCGCTCGTGGGTTGCATTTGATGGTCGCCCCAGCCCGCGTTACCTCCTGCGGTGGTGGAAGGGTAATCGTATCCGCCGGTGACGACGTTGTCCAGACGTTCGCTCCTCCAATTCAACCAAGCCAGTACGGTCACAGCTACTGCAATGGGGATAGCGATGAGGGCCATGTAAAACGCTGGTCCGGGCATGGACTTTGGGTTGTCAGCGACCCTGTTCATCTGACGCTGAACGTACACGAACAGGGCGATATCGATCGCAAACGCAATCAACGCCAACAAGGCCGCCACACCGTTCACCACCACCGCCGTTGCCCTGATGACCTGCTTCGGGATCGCCAGCCCAACCAATCCGATCAGTGCGGCGACAAACGCGACGACGTGAACTGCCAACCCGCGCGTCCAGGAGGATCCGATGGTGATGCTGTCCCTAGCAGCAGTGCTGGTGTTGTTCGGGTTGATGCCGAACGTAGCGCTGTAACCGTGCGAGTGTTTGAAGCAGGCAAAGTTCGAAGTGCCGTTGAGCGAGGAGCAGTAACCCCAAGTACCGAACTTCAGACCGCCAATCGGTCGTTCTCGATTGGTACCGTTGGTGAGATCGACAATTCCATCCAGTCGACTGGATCGGACGAAATCGAACGGCGTAGAATCGGACAGCGTCGTGGGCGTGGAAATGGTGACGAGCACGAGCAGGATCACCGAAATCGCCGAGAGCGTGAGTGCTGGGATGAGGTATTTCTTCGTCATGTCGAAAACGAGTGCGGATATTGATGATGATCGTGGTAGGGGTAGAGATAGAAACAAGCCGCACTCTCAAAGTCACACATTGCAGCCAAACCCCTTACTCTCTCCTCTCCCAGCCATCTCTGTCAAAGAACCTTTCTTACTGCTAGCCAAAGCGCTGCAGATCATTGCCCAAAAATCCACACTCTGTTGCTGCACGTCTACTTTGTGCAGTGTGTCGGAGAGCCAAAAATTTCAGCGAACAACAACAAACACGGGGCTTCACACCACGCACGGTTCGCAGCGGCTACACCAACGCCAAGCTTCTCGTGTGTTTTTGCTCTTGCACACGCGCAGCCGTTTATCAAGCGAGACAGGCGAGGATGGCTAAAAATAGGTCGTTTTCGGGCAAAAAGAACCTTTCTTTCGCATTTCTCGGTTGCATTTCACCACGGTTTCATGCGGGAAAAATCGGGGCCATCGGGGGTGACATCGATCCGTAGGACGATCATATGGCCGAGGCGGGAGTTGGTTGAGAGCATTGTTGTCGACACTCGAAGGCATCTGCTCCAAATGGGTCCAACACTGGCCATTCGGGTGTTCACATGGTATCGTGAGTTGAGAAAGCACACCCAAAATCCACAGACGTATCTCCTTTCGGCAACATCAAGCCCTTGAATTCTGGCACTACACCCTGCTCCTCTCCTTCAAATTCTAACCGCAGCATTCGCCCTGTTCACAGTAGCCACCTTATGCTGTTCCTCCTTCTTGACCACCGCACTGCTGCCACCCTCCACAACCGCCAGAAATTCCGCCGCCAACCTCCTCTCCAACTCCCGATCCGGTCTCTTCTTGCTCGCCTCGATGATCCACGTCAACGCTTTGCGCATGCTCTGTCTCGGCGTCAACGCCACAGGAACCTGCAGACTCTTTCCACCTTGCTTCTTGCTCTGCATCTTGACCAGCGGTGCGGCTTTCTGAATCGCCTCGTGGATCAACGGGAGCGGGTTCGAGTTGGTAGCCGAGGCGATGTGGTGGAGGGTGCGGGTGGCGAAGCGTTGAGCTTGGGCCTTCTTGCCGTCCTTCATGAGCAGGTTGGTGAGGAATTCCAACGTAGGATCCGATCGAGGTGGGAGCGTGGAGGGGGAGTAGATCGGACCGGAGGACGAGTCGTGGATGGCCGAGAGCGGTGTGGAAGGTGTCGTGATGCTCGTCGAAGACGTTCCTGCAGAGAGAGAAGTGTCGGTGTTGGAACCAGCGACGTCTCGGGCTAGGTTGTCGAGAACTCCCATGGCAGAGTTGATCGCATCCCGTTGCGTCTTTCCCCCCACACTCTGCGCAATTTCGACACCGAGGTTTTCCTCCTTGCTATGGACCGACGAAGAAGTCTGACCGACAGACCCGGGCCCTACTGCGGACCGAGGTCGATGATCGCGTGCCGGAGAGGCATTGTTCTTGTTATCCGCAATCCACACACCAGAAGAAGTGGAAAACGTCGAGCAGACCACCTTGGACGGTCCTGCCACCGCCCATCGTGACGCCGCTACCGTTCGAGTGAGCAAAGACGCCATCGTTATGCGGAAGAAAGCAGTGAGAATGCAGAGCGGCGCAAAGAAAGAGGTCGGGGGTCGATAGCGATCTCGGTTGAAGTGAGGGTGTCGAGCGATGTATGAGCTTGAAGTGATGACGATGTGTCAATGCGACGATGCTCAAGGGAAAGAAAGGGTCGAGAAGAACGGTGACGAGAAAAAAGTCACAATTCCCACCAAAAGGGTTGCTCGGGCACGTGATGCCAGCCAAAAAGGAAATCGGTTGAATCGGATATTTCGAATCGGGACCAATCGACGGCAAGGACTAACATTACAGCGATACACATACAACATCAGCAAAACAAGCAGAGGCACAAGGGGCAAAATCAACCTCAAGCGTACTTTAGGGAAAAAGCTATCGAGCATTCCCGTAAAGACAGCTTCAAAGCTTGCGGCGCTTGCTACCAGGTAGAATGGCAGTGCGTGGTCGCGTCTTTGGCTTCGTGTCGGAATTATGAGCTGGGTTATGGCTGGCATCTGGTACGGTGTTCGCCGCAGAAGAGCTGGGTAAAGATTCGTTGCGCTCTGCTGCTTCCGACTGCGTTGGCTCCTCGCTCTTCCTCGTGTTCCCATCTGGTGCGCCCTCCTTAGCATCGTCCTGAGCGCGACGACCCTGCTTACTGGAACGCAAAACCTTGATCCGATCGCGGACGCTCTTATCCGAAAGCTGCACCCCAAGCTTCCCCGATACATAGCTCGCAACATCCGCAAACGTCTGACCATCCTTCGCCCTCCAGCCATCATCAACGCATTCACGCACCAACGCGTCCATCTCGGCGGTCCACCTGACCTTCTTCTTGCCTTCAATCAGGTCTGCGATCTGTTCATCGGTAGCATCCGGACCAGCTTGAGCAACAATCTGCCTGAGGCGGCGTAGCCAGCGCTCGCGCGCCTGAGTCGAAGTGCGACCGGGAATGCGAGCCGATACAGCGGCCCAGTTGTCTTGTCCAACGTCACGAATCGCATGGATCAGGCCGAGATCTTCTTGACGCGACCACAAGCCGGTGGCAAGCGCTGGATCGATCGTGTTGCGAAAGCGTCGATAGAGCAGTTGCGCATCTCGTCCCACTTTGCCCAGCAACGAGGCTTCGCGAGGATTTCGTACATCGGTCGTTGATTTTGAGTCTGATCCGGGCACGAAGGAGGATATGGAGAGGTTGGTACCGGTGGAAGAGTGCAGCGCCATGAATCGCCAGGCGCCTCGAAAAAGCGAAAAGAGCTCCTTGACGTTGTCGTCCTCTGCCGGCGTCATGTCGGGCTGGTCGCGCTGTACTATGGCAGTGCAGTAAGCGACGAAACATGCATGCGCAGTGCGACCGGTGCCAAGCTCTTGAGCAACAGTTTGCCAGGGCACGGGAGCTGGCGTTGCGGTGCGTGCGTAAGCTGCCATTGAACCGGAAGCTTCCGTCGTTTCCGTCGAGCTTTGAGCGCCTTCTGTACGTGCTCGTGCGAGGTAAGCGGCCAGGAAAGGTGTGGCGATCCGGATGAGATCGTCAACCTCGTGCTGCTCCCAGGCAGCGGTGTTGATGCTGGGTCGAAGCACACCGTACCAGCGGGTCTTGACTTCCTCCATGGTGCGTGTAGGTATTCGAGCAGCAATAGCGTGCCAATCGAGTCCTTTGTTTGCGCTTGATACCAGACTCGAAGAGGTTGAAGCAAGTGCTGCGTTGCTGTCTTCAGCGTCTATCTGCTCGGCGAAGTGAAGCGCCGAAACCTCGTCCAGCTTTGCAGCCTCGGCCAGCGGATCACCCGTGAAGCTAGGGTCCATACTCAAAGCAATGGTGTGCGCTTTGAGAGCGACGGCCTTGACAGCTGAACGCAGTTGAGCGTCTTCGAAATCGAGCCACAGCCTCGAGCCTAGCGCATTGTCGTACTCGGCGCGTTCGATCGACTGTAAGCGTAGCAACGGGATCTGCTGGATCATGGACGCTCGGAAGGGACACATAGCAGCCGCATCCTGTGCTTTTTTGCAGGTTCGAATGACCTCGAGGGACTGGTCCTCGGCATCGACGACGTCGGCTATGTCGAGCGAGTGGAGGATAGCTTTGAGTTCGTCGCGCGTCTTCGATAGAAAGTGTAGCGAGCTCTGGAGCGAGCGCTCGTGCTTGACATTACGTTTGCGTGCTGTAGATAGGTACTTGTTGTGCTGTAAAAGGGTAGCGAGCTCGCGTCGGTCTGCGTTGATGGATGCTAGCGTTGCGTCGAGCTGTGCGTACGAGAGTGGGCGAGCGCTTTCAGCTACGGACGGCGATGATGGAGGTGGTGAAGATGACCCATGGGCGGCGACATCATCCGAGCCATTCGAATCTGACTCGAGATTCGAATAGTCATCCTCGGCGCTGATGATTGAGCCAGCGTCGCCAGCAAGTAGACTTGACGAGGATGTACTGGCCTCGGCTTGCTGTATCAGTTGACGAAGAACTACGTGTGGGTCCGGCGATGGCTCGGTCCTCTGACCGTCCATGTTGGCAGCGACGGATGAGCGCGGCAGCTCATCTCCAGTAGAGACGCTTGCGTGAGGTTGTCCGGCCGTCTGGCAGCGGTGATCGTTGATGGTGTGACGGAAGAAAGAGTTGCTGTTGCGTCCGTGACAACTCGAAATGGACCCTGAAATCTGAGCTGCAGCTTCTTCCGGTTTGGCTCTAACACTTCAAGATCGGAATTGCCGTTCCGCTGCGCGTGGCGGGTGCAGCTGAGAACGCTAAGACGCACAGACGTGTGAGAGTGTGACTTGTGCGAAGATGTGCACGAGAGTCGGCTGCAAGGAGTCAACAAAGTGAAATGCAACTCTGTTTGTCCTCCCTACTGTCCCTCGATCTGCTGCTGGCACACTTGCTCGCTCTCGTTCATCTCGCCTTGCTTCTTCTCATCATCATCACGACCATCGACCCCACCGCGCATCCCGTCAGGTACTAGGTGTTTGCGCGACCTCTCCCGACCAACGGTCTTGTACAATCAAGAGGTGTAAAGCAGCTCCTGTACATCTCCTCGGTGTACACGCACCACTGCTTGCATACATCCCCAGCTCGATACGATGCCGCTTCTAGACCCGCGCGAGGTTCTGCGGCGGCGTGGCGTACCCATTCCCGCTGCTGCCTCCTTCCACGTCCCAGGCCTTCCCGATCTACATGCCGAGTCTTCCTCGTCGACTTCTCTGGCACATCCTCTCCAGATGTCAGCAGGCTACCTGCCAGCTCGACCAATAGCAGCTGACGGACAGCCTAGCGACAATGCCCATCTCTTCTTTCTACTCCTTCGAGCACGTCATGTTCCAGCCAAGCGCAAACTCATCATCTGGTTCAACGGAGGTCCCGGCTGCTCCTCCTTCGACGGTGCCATGATGGAAGTAGGCGCCTGGAGGATGGACGGCAAAGGCGGCCTGGTCTGGGTCCAGGACGGCGCAAGCTGGAACGAGTACGCCGACATCCTCTTCCTCGATCAGCCAGTAGGCACCGGCTTCAGCTACGTCAACACAAACTCCTACACCAAATCTCTGCCTCAAGCAGCCGACGAAGTCGTCCACTTCCTCGAGCAGTTTATCCAAGTATACCCCGAGTACTCACGCGATGTCGAGCTCAAGTATGGAACTCAGGGCAGCGGCGTCGATGTCTTCTTGGCTGGAGAAAGCTTTGCAGGCCAGTACATTCCGTATACCGCCAAAGCCATTCTTAAGGCAGCCAACCCGCCGGTCTCGCTCAAAGGCATTGCTATCGGAAACGGCTTCATCGATCCAAAGAGTCAATATGGATCCGAGCTTGAGACCATGGTGCAGAAGAACATTTGGACCACAGCATCCGACGACTATAAGCGCGTCGCCAAACTCGTCAAACTCTGCCACGACGAACTCGACAAGGGCAACTACCGAGAGACCGCCAAGTGCGACATGATCATGCAAACCATCGTCGCCAGCACCACCGCCAAACAGCCCGGCGCATCCGACTACACCTGCATCAATATCTATGACGTGCGTCTCAGCGACAAGTCGCCTGCGTGCGGTATGAATTGGCCTACCACCCTCTCGGCCATGTATGACTACCTTCGACGTCAAGACGTACGTAAAGCGCTGCACGTCGACGAGCACCACAAACCCGAGGCATGGATCGAATGCAACAGCAATGTGGGCTCGGCAATGCGATCCGACGTCACATCCCCGCCGTCGGTCCAGCTGCTACCTGAACTTCTCGAGAGCGGAGTCAAAGTGTTGCTGTTCGCCGGTGAAGAAGACCTCATCTGCAACGCCATCGGTGTGCAGCGTGCGGCCGACAATCTCGAATGGGGAGGAAGCAAAGGTTTCAACGACAAGCAGCCAGCCAAGGACTGGTACGTCAACGGCACTCACGCCGGCACATGGCGCACCGCCCGCAACTTGACCTACGTCGGCATCAAGGGTGCCAGTCACATGGTCGGTGTCGATAAGCCCATCGAAAGTCACGATATGATGGTTCGCTTCATGGGCGTCGACTTTATGAAGGTGGCCGGCCCCAACGCCCTCATCCCGTCGCGGGTGGGCGACGAGCCAGATCGAGTCCTCATCGTCGGTGGCGGCGGAGGCGTCGCCGAGATCGGCAAGGACGGATCTCGCGTCATCCCTGGATCAGGCAAGACAGAGGAACAGGTGGCAGAAGAGGCCAGGTGGAGGGCCTACTACGACGCTGGCTCGTTTGCGCTCATGGTTCTGCTGATTGCGGTAGGCGTAGGAACATGGTTGTTGCTGCGTGCAAGAAAGCGACGTCGATCCGATAGGAACAGGATCGGCAGAGGAGGCGCACTGCGACTCGCGACGCCGACCGAATTCGGCTCTTCCAACGAAAACGCCGGCAACGGCGACAGCGGAGACAACCACGAGCTCGAGCGTCTCGTAGGCGGCAAGCACACCGACGACGACGATGACGATGTCGAGGAGCAGATCTTCAACGTCGGAGACGAAGATCTGAGTGACAGCAATGGCGAGACCACTCCGTCTGGTGTCGACAAAGATCGTCGAAACGGTCCACAGCGTTAGCAACAAGCCACAGCCTTTTCAGCACAATACAATCGTTTTGCGGATGCATGCTTCAATTTTACTTTGGATACGAGATCACCTTTGTGCATGATCGTACCGCATGCGGTACATCTCCCTGGCGTCGATGAGCAGATTGAGATCCACCGACTGCAACAGCATGACCTGCCGTTCATCGGGCACCTCGGCGACGACGTTCAAGAACGGAGCGCAGATCCTACTTCTTCCCAGCCCTACCAGCGGGACCTCCAGATCCTCATCGCTGACACCCTCATCGTGCTGACGCTCCAACGCATTCCTCACCTCTTCGATCCTTCCCGCATCCAACTTTGGACCGGATACATTGCACATGACCAGCACAGCCTCCAGCTCGACCGCTCTCGCCAAACACAGCGTATCCAACATCTGCGCTTCACCGACACCGTTCCACAACAAGGCCTTTGCACCGCCGTCGGAAGCGTACCAGCACGTGGGGGCGAAGATGACGTCGGGACCGGGTGCCTGACCGGTTCTATCCAGGTCCGAAACCTGATCCGCCGCGTACGGTGGAGAGATCATCTGGTAGAACCGCGAGTACCAGGCGAGGTCCCAGCAGATGGCCATGGCTGCACGCAGACGCGTGCCTCGTTTTGTCTCGATGACGAACGTGGATGAAGGACCGGCATGCTGCTCGGGATGGGTTTGGTGTTGCGAATGAAGAAGAGTTTTACGTTCGGGGTGCCAGAGGTTCTGCTTTGTGTAGCGGTGCAACACTTGACCTCGACGAGAGATGTAGTAGGATGTGTTGAAGAGTTGGTCCTCGTGATCCTGCTCCTCGTCTGCTTCAGTCGAAACTTTGTGTTTCTTCTTGGGTCGGTGAGGGATTTTATCGTGCTGATCGACAGCATCTGTTGTTGGCTGCTCGAGTTGGGAGACAGGATGATCAGCCAGGATCTGTGCATGTGGTTGCGTGCCCAACTCTACCACCGTTCCAGCGACGATATCAATGTCGTACTTTTGCGCAACCTGAATGATGATTTCGATCCACGCTTTTTCGCCTCCTTCCGCTTCGCTCGCGCTGGGCCCTTGTTTGTCCATTTCGCTGCTTCCTTCCTGCTGAGCACGAACAGCTTGTTGACGTTGTGCTTCCCTCACGCGTCTCCAAAGATCATGCGTAGCACCGCTCAAAAAGTACTCTGGGAATACAACGACGTCCGCTCCCTTCTCCGCTGCTGCTGAAGCCCACAACTCCAGCTTTTCCAAACCAGCTTTCGTCTCGTCATCTGCATCAGCGTGCAAACCGGATTCGTCCGGAAGCACTTGAGCTATAGCAATATGGATGAGCGCATCCTTCGTCTCGCCCGAAGGTTGCGACGCAAACGGACGCGGAGTGAGAAGCGATCCTGCGTGTGGATGTGTAGAAGAGAAGTTGCCGAGGAACGAAATGTCGCTGCTGGAAGACATTTTGTCGAAACCGGATAGATGCGAGCTGGTGGTGATGGCAGAAGAAGGAGAAGCGGAGAATTGGTCCGACCGCACGCAAACCGGCGGCTAAATTGTCGGCTGATCCTTTTCGTATGCACAGTCAGCTTTTTTGTGATTCCGATAGCCGGAACAGGGCTGCAACGGCGCGTTACGCGTGGTCAGACAGACCTGCATACGAAGTTCGATTCGCTCTAGCGTTTCATGATCGTAAGACCAGCCCGAACGCCTTTCGCACGCACAGTTTCACAAAAGTAATGCATCCCGGACTCCTAACCGACGTGTGCAAGGCGATTCCTTGATGTGTTCTGAAAGCGCCAGCAGTCTTGACGGGTGGTGTGAGGTAGGATACAGAATCTGAACAGCGAGCGAGGTTTTGAAACGTCCAACTCATCAGTCCATTTAATCGCTTAAGTCTCACAGACCGCCGGTCGCTTACAAGACCACAGAAGACGGCTCTTGCCTCCATCTCTGTCCCACTCCCGGCAGGACCGACGTTGGTAGATCGAAGGTCATGTGGCTCTTCAATGACGATTTTGCTGTTTTGAATGCTTCTTTTTTTGGATCCCGCTCTCGCTCTCAAGCCTCCACAAAACGCAATCCAGGGTCGGCAAGAAGGGTGCCGATGGGATTCAAAGAAAAGCGGAAAACAGAGTGTGACCGTGCGTTGGCTGGCTCTGGCTGTAAAAAGGGGACAGAAAATCCAAAAAATCGAGGCTTGCCAGTCAGTCAAAGAGCGTTGAGAGACTTTCAGATGCGATCCCGGTTCGCTTACGCTTCTCAAGTCAGTCGAGCACGTTTCACCGATCGGAGAGTGAGGAACAAGGTGGACCCTCGTCAAGCCTCTTGATGCTCTGACCTCATCTTCATTCGACCCTGTCGAGCCAGCCTCTCCTTCGTACATTCTCCTCTGGATTCACCGTCTCATCCCCAACGCAACGGATCCTTGGGACGTCGACTTCAGCAACAGCTCACACCAACAAATTCGGGCCCTTTCCAACGCACCTCGACTGCCAAACAACAATTCATTCTCGGGCTCGACTGAGCTGCATTCGGTCCTTGGACCTGTTGACATCGCAGGCCTTGCGTGTTCCTTCCTTCGCTTGTGGGCGACGCTCTCGCCAGCCAGGGCCATCAACGATCAGCATCGGAAACGCGCCACGTTGCGGATGCCGAGCTAATTGCGCTCTGAAGCATCGCTCTATCCAGCGACAATCTTCACTGACACGCCAGGGGCAGACACCAATCCTCGAGAACTAGGCCAACTCCTACGCCCCCCTCTCACACGCCGTTCACCAACACTCCCGTTCGCCTACCTAGCCTGCTTTGCAACTCGTCGTCACCATGCAGTACGTCGGCAAATTCGTCTCCACGGTGTACAACACCATCACACCCAACATCAACCCTGCCACGCTCTCCGGTGCCATCGACGTTATCGTCGTCGAACGCACCGTCGAAACCACCTCCTCCGTCGAGTGCGACTCCCACGGCAACCCGCTGCCCCCATCCGAATGCGGTAAACTACCCGAACACCAACGCCGGTACACCACCGTCAAGAGCCAGACCACTGAGCTCGCCAGCACACCCTTTCACGTTCGGTTCGGCAAGATGAGCGTGTTGAGACCGGCGGAGAGGAAGGTGACGTTGCATCTAAATGGGTCGACGGATCCGCTGCCGTTTGCGATGAAGGTGGGCGAATCGGGCGAGGCGTTCTTCGTGCTGGAGATCGATGAGGATGATGAGGAAGGGGGGAGGATTCCGGATGAGCTGGTGACGAGTCCGATTCTGAGCGCCACTACGAGTCCCATTGCGGGGCCGGAGGATGGGGAGCATGGTGCGGGACAGGGTGGAGAAGCAGCCGAGGTGGAACCGTTGGAGCTCGGAGAAGCCGAACACCTTCCACCCGCGTCGCTCGATTCAACAGACTCCGATCGGAACTCGACCGAGAAGCTCAAGCAGAACAAGCAGCCCGGTCAGCCCGACGATCAGGGCGATCTCAACGTCCCCTCCGACTCGACCAAGACCGGTTCCGGCTCCGCAGCTGGCTCCGACTCGATGCTCAACAAGGTCGGTTCCGCCGCATCCAAAGCGAGCGGTGTTCTCGGCGCCGTCATCGGCAGCGGTGGCACCGTCAATCCTCGTCTGGACAAAACCGCCGAGACGGCGCAACGTTCCGACAAGACGGACAATATGACCGGTGCTCCCGTCGACCAAGACCGGCAGGATGCGCACCACTACGAACCCGAACAGGGCGGTCCCCAGGGCAAAAAGCGGCAGGAGGAACAGGAGGATGCCGTGGAATCGTCGACGTTCGTTCAACCTGCGAACGAGACCGAGAGGCTGGAGCGCGAGTTGCAGCAGAAAGCCATGGAGGTGGTAGAGGACGAGGCGAGGAGCGATGCCGACGGCGAGAGCGTCAGGAGCATCGATTCGGCCGAAGAGGCGTACCCTGCGCCGTTCGGGGCTAGTGCCAAGGGCTCGAGCAAGAGCAAGACGAAATCCGTCGCTTCGATCCATCACTCCGAGTACCTGGGTGGCATGCGGCTCAATCCAGTTCCGATCGGAGATGGAGCCAGGACCATCGACCCGGCTATGACGGACGCCAGCACGCACAGGCATATATACGAACAGCGACAGAGGAAGCGATCTGCAGAGGGAAAGGCGGATGACCAGAATGAGCACAATGAGACTGGTGGCGATGACGATGATGGGGAGGACACTGCTGTGGACGATGAGGATGACGCGGATGGGGAGGTTGTGGGTGCGGTCAAGGTGAAGCAGAGGAAGGAGGATTTGCAGTACATGCTGGATATGGACGGATACAAGATGACGCAGGATGGAGAGGATCTGGCGTATCAGGAGGGACATCGGTTTGCGGACGAGATGCCTCTCAGTAGGCGTCATGGTGGGAAAGGACGTCATGGGCATCCCGACTTGCTCAACGGTTCGGGCCATCAGCACAAGGTTTCGCTTCCCGGCACGTCTACCGCGTCGATGCGACGTGGGTCTGGATCTCGAACGCACAGGCCGAGCTTCTCGGTCGAGTATCGGAACCAACGGACTTCTCTGTCGCAGAGCAGGGAACGAGAGGCTCGGCGCGAGAGTCTGGACGATACGGCGGCTGCCAATCTGTCGAAGTTCGAGTCACAGTACGGCGTGCCTCATCTGGGTGGGGGGCAGAGCGCGCATCAGGACGAGCTGGAGCTGTCGCGCGATCTGGCACGGCTGGCGAGGATGAACCGGGCTGCGGAGCACGGTGCGGATCCACGGGCGAGGGGCCGTCGTCAGCCGAAAGGTCCGGAGTCGCTGCGCAGGTATTCGTCGCTGTCGGGTCGGAACAAGCAGGGGAAGGGAAGGAGGGAGAACGCGGGCAAGAAGGCTCGACACGTGCACGAGTTTTCGCTCTCGGACACCGAGGCGGAGGTGCCGAATGCAAAGTCGACCTCGGCGCACGGATCGATCGAGAACTCGACGGAGGCGTTGAGGGCGGAGTATGGCGTTTCGGATGTGGTCAAGAGTTTGAGGGATCTACGGTTGCCGAGTGAAGAGGCGCCGGCGTATCTGGATGACGCGAGCGCGAGTCACTTGGGGCTGTCGGGGAACAGTCGTTGGCAGTGGTCGGATCCGGTGGCTGATTCATCGGCTTCCACGCCGACCGGTCAGCCGAGGCGACACACGAGGTTTGCCAGCAGCGACGGCGTCCCCGTGCGGCCCTCTGATGCATCTGCGCTCGAAGCGCTACGTCGTCACACCGCCGAGGGAGAGGTCTCTGGAAAACTGACGAGTTCCGACTCCGAACCGTACACCTTCCTGCTGCAGCTGGAGGACTCTTCGCATTCGTTCGAGCTGAGTCTCTGCTACGGGGATTCGTTCGGGCAGGATGAGGAGGCGGACGAGTATGCGTTTTTGGAGAACCGTGTTTCGTTCGAGAGGTTCGCGCACGACCAGGACGTAGTGAACGACGAGAGGCTGGTGATCAGGTACCACGACCGGTTCTTGACGTGGGAGAATGCGAGTGCGGTGTTGGCGACGCTGTCGTTGTATAGGAGGACGCTAGCGGGGAACGGCGGTGAGGCGACGAACTTGGATGATGACGGGGAGGACGATGAGAAGGTTTCGAAGAGCTACTGGTCGAGGTGGTTCAAGAGGAGTAGTAAGAGTATCCCGGATTTGAAGCAGGTGGCGGATGCGGAGGTGGGCGAGGACGGAGAGAAGAGCAAGGATGGTGGGGAGGCAGTGCTAAGGGGTCAGGAGAATCTGCCTCACAGGTCGAATACGGACTCGGCGCTGTTGGGAGCGGGAAAGGCTGACGTCGAAAGCCTCGGAAAGCAAGGTGCAAAGCCTTCTGCAGCTGCAGCTGCGCACAGAGTGGGCAAGACGTACGCCAAGACGCTTCGTCTCACTTCGGACCAGCTCAAATCGCTCAACCTCCGCAAAGGCTCCAACAGCATCACCTTCTCCGTCACCTCTTCCTACTCTGGCGTCGCCACGTGCTCGGCACGCATCTTTGTATGGGAGTCGAACCACAAGATCGTCGTCTCGGACATCGACGGCACCATCACAAAGTCGGATGCGCTCGGACACGTGTTCACCATGATCGGACGCGACTGGACGCACATCGGCGTGGCGAAGCTGTACACGGATATCGCGCGGAACGGGTATCGCATCATGTACCTGACTTCGAGGGCGATCGGTCAGGCTGATTCGACGAGGGACTATCTGAAGGGGATCAGGCAGAACGGGTATCAGTTGCCGGATGGCCCGGTGATCATGTCTCCGGACAGGTTGATCGCGAGCCTGCATAGGGAGGTGATTTTGAGGAAGCCGGAGGTGTTCAAGATGGCGTGTTTGAGGGATATTGCGAGGTTGTTCGGGGCGGATCCGAGGACGGCGAGTTCGCAGCCGGGTGGCGATTTGACGGGGGTGGATGAGGACGTGTTGGAGAAGGCGCAGAAGGGGGCGGGTGCGGATGATAGTCCCGCAGCTGGCGCTGCTACTGCGAGTGCGTCTGCGTCTGCATCTGCCACGCCGACCGAGTCGACGTTTGCCGATTCCGTGCTAGACGGTGCACCGCCTACGGACGTCAGCAGCATCAGATCCGGCAACCTCAGCCCTACTCCCTCCTCCGCCTCCCTCCCCACACTCGCGTCCATCCCACCACTCGACCCGCAACCCGGCGTCAAGAAGGAGGAGCACCCCACCCCGTTCTACGCCGGCTTCGGCAACCGAATCACCGACGCGCTCTCCTACCGCAGCGTCAACATCCCCTCCTCGCGCATCTTCACCATCGACACCAATGGCGAGGTCAAGATGGAGCTGCTCGAACTGGCGGGCTACAAATCGTCGTACATCCACATGACGGATCTGGTGGACCAGATGTTCCCGCCCATCACGGCCAAGGAGGAGAAGGAGCCGAGGAAGCCCGAGTACAACGACTTCAACTACTGGCGTCCCGCGATCGTGGATATCGAGCTGCCGGATGATGAGGAGCTGCTGGGGACGCCGCCGGTGAGTCCTGCGTTGTCGGCTAGGAGTGGGAGGAGTTTGAGGAGCGTCAGGAGTGTTACTTCTGACACTACCGCGGGAGGAGGAGGTGGGGAGAAGATGGAGGATAAGCCGGGGAGACTGTCTAGATTTGGATTGGGTTCACTAGGGCTGTCTAGGAAGGGATCGCAATCGGGACGTCCGGAGCACGCCAACACCATCGGTCCCGGTATCACCGGCGAAGAGCTCGACCGAAAAACACGAGCCATCTCGGCAGAACCAGCGCTGGAAACCGCTGGAATGACTTCCTCCACCAGCGGATCCAGCTGGACCGCTCCCTGGAGACGTAGAGCCGCAAGCCCCGATACCGAGTACGCCCAGCGCGCCACTTCTCCCCTCGTAGGTCCGGTGATCACAGCCGAACCCGAGATGGAGAGCGAAGACGAGCGCGAGTTCTACGACTCCGAGGGCGCCGACGATAATGACGACGTGAGTAGTTTCGGTGGTAGTCGAAGTCGGTTGAATAGCTTCGATGCGGGAGAAGCGGAAGGGCAGGAGGGAGTGCCGGGGAAGAGCCAGAGGAAGGTGCTGCAGAGACTGGCGAGTGGTAGAAGTAGGTTGAGCGAGGACGACGTCGAAGCGTACGACGAGGATGAGGGGGAGGACGAGGAGATGGACGACGAGCTGTTGGAGACCGGCGAGATTCGATTCGAGTGGAAGGGTTAGAAGGGGGAGTCGTTGATGATGTGAACGCCGGATGTTTGCTTTTCTCAAGTGTGAACATTAAATGGATCTTTCAAGGAAAGCAGACTTTGCTCGCTTGTAGTGAGCAACTCACAAAGCCTGAGCGCAGCTGACTGTGTCAGTGTCCGAACCGCAAGTTCGATCAAAACGCGAATGCTTTACACAACCCACTTGCCCATCCAGTGTGAGTCCTGGGCGACATGCTTGCTCAACCGCTCACGAGTCGACACAACTTCAAAGGTGCTGTGTTCTATAGGGTGACAGTAGTAATTGAAGGTGACGTGATGACTTGTAAGCGTGCCAGTGTTAGATAGGAGTACATATGTTTGCGGGACAGACCTGATCCAGGGCATGCAGTGTGCGACGGGATAGAGAAGGGTGCGTGTGCTTGTGTCGGTCTGCGCGGCGATGCTGTCAGCTTCACGAATGATACGCGAACTGATCTGCGTCTTCCTCCCTCGAGACTTCCGCTGAACTCTCCGCCTCGTCTCCCATGGCGATATCCTCTGTCTGCCTCGTTCTTCTCCTCTTCCTCCTGTCGAGCCGCTCCAACACCTTTCCCTCTGCCTGTTGCGGTGTGTGTGCAGCACTAGGTCCACCGGACGCTGCAGCTCTCTCTGCCCATACCACAGCCTTCTTGCCTCTCCCACCTGCACCTCTCTTGGCAGCAGGTGAAGAGTTCTCGTCGTGTCCCTCGCCGTCGTCGTCTGTCCACGCGTCCGCATCTTCCGCCGCAACACCGTCTGGCAAAATTTCGTCCTGTTCATCGTCCTGCCGCCTCTCGATCTCTACTACTCGATCGGCTCGACCTGCTCGCAGACCTTTCAATTTTTGTAGTCGGCGTTTGGAAGTGGCTGGATTCGAGGTCTTGACCACCGGCGCGTCCAATCGCAATGGTCTCGATTTGATCGGGGACGAGGCGGACGTGGCTGCTGCAGCTGCGTTGAAAGAGGAGGGATACGATAGGGGAGCGGAGAAGTTGAAAGAGCTGGATGCGAAGTTGGTCGAAGACGGGAAGCGAGACGAAGTTGAGTTGTGCGGTACGCGGTGAAGTGCTCTTCGTTCTGAGTTAGCGTCGTCTTGACTGCGATGCGAGCTGGCGGAAAGATCGTGGAAGGCATTGCGCGATCGCTTGTTGCTCTGCCTTGGCGAATCTGTCGGTGTCTGCGCTTGTCTCGCTGCACCCTGGCTGGGAGATCGTAGAAAGCTCGGGCCTGCACCTTGTTGCTGCTGCTGCGGCTGCTGCTGCCGTTGATCCATCTGAACCTCTTCCGGCTCATCCTCAGCATCCGCGGCCTCGATCGCCTCGATCCTTCTCTGCAGATATCCTTTGAGCCAATCTCGATCCTTTTCCCATAGTTCTAGTACGTGCGCGAGGGCATGCGCGTATCCCTTCTCATAGCTCGACTTTGTTGCTGCAACGCCCTGTCGGTAAAGAGTGGTGAGACCCAACGCGGAGGAGCGGAAGAATGCGTTGAGTTCGTCTTCAGCTGCTCGAAGATGCGCTGTACGTCGCTGACTAGAGGCCTCCTCCTCGCGCAAGCTGGTGCGTAGATTGGAGAGATCCATGTCGGGCGGATGCGGCACGTCCGAGGATAGCGGACTGCTCGATCTCGGGCGTGGTGGATAGGTTATTGGCTGGTGAGAGACTGTGTATGCAGCCACCAACCGCCGAGCGTGATTGTCTAGCGCAGCGAGATGACGTGTGCTCTAGTCGCGAGCGTGAGGTGCTGCAAGGTGCGCTCTGCCTCTGAGCAGAGCCAGTTGTGGTGATGGTAAACGTGATGATATCCAAAGGCTTTGTTGCTTGAGCGGGTGATGGCTAAGTTTATTGGCAAAACAGAAAAGTCAAAAGAAATTATCGTGGAAAACAAAAATGGACCCAAAAAATTCAAAGCGAAAGCAATTTGTGTTGATTGGCCGCACGCAGCGCTCTCTTGCCTTTTCCGCACCCAACGCTTGTCTCGCTTTCGCTTTGGCCCCCGAGCACCTCGCCTTTCGTGAGATCACAGTGTGCTGCCGTGCTTTATTGAGTCACTTTTTCCTCCACATTCTTTTCCCACGGAGTGACTGAACACCATCATCTTTGACTAAATCACAGTCCACGCTGGCAATCACCAATCACAGCCGACCGACCGACGGGGCCTTCGAGTCCTGGAGCAGAGTGCGAGACAGAACATTGCCTGCTTCTCAGGGCCATCAGTTCATCCATTTGGTTTTCACTGTGGGACTAACACACACGATCGAAACAGGCGTTCGGTGCGGTGGCTGAGAATCATAGTTAGGGTATGAAATACATTCGGCTCTGATCCACATCACCTCGCTGCAGTGCCATTGGGAGCAGTCGGGACAGGAGGCAGGCCGCCAGCTCCATCGTCTTCCTCATCCTCATCATCGTCCCGTGCAGCAAGAGCCGCTGCAATCTTCATAGCTTCGGCCTCGTTGCCGTAATGCTGGTTCCTCTTGGCAGCGAATGCGGCGTGCTTGGCTTGCGTCTCTGGATCCGCATCCTCTTCTTCCACCTCGCCGTCGTCAGCCTCGTCGAGGTCCATGTCGTGTGCCTGCTGTCGGACGTCGCTCCTCTGGTCGTCGGCGACAGCTGCGGTAGCGGATCGCGAGCTCGATCGTCGCGAAGAGGGACTCTTGGGTGGAAGCGAGAACGAAGGCGAGCGCGATGTGGATCTCGCCGAGGCAGGTCTGGTCTGGACGTCAGAGGCCGGATCGCCTGCTTTCGCCAAGTCGGCGGCGTCGAGTCCGACGGCCAGACCGAGACCCTCGCCCGGCGCTCGTCCCGAATTGGCAGATGTGTTTGCTGCGAGCTGATCGGCAGCCGAACCGCGACGACTTCCTCCTGACGAGCTCGCACTCGGCGCAGCGCCGTCGAGGTCGAACATTTCGTCGTCTCCTACCGGGTTGAGCGACGTTCCGTGGACAAACGGCGTCTTGGGCTCGTCGATCTTCATTCGAGCCTCTTGCTGTTCTCGCTCGATCTCGTGGAGCGTCAAGTTGGTCTCGTCCCATTGCAGTCTGTTGGCGGCTTCTTCGTCCTGACTCAGTGCTTCGCCTTGAGATGGTCTGCGTTCGGCCGCATTCTTAAGGATACCTCTGGGCTTGGGAGCTGCAGCCGAAGGAGGCGGCGAGTGTCGTGGGCTCGACATGGTTGGTGTGATGTTGCTTACGTACTTTCGATAAACGCTGTCCTATCGATGTCGTGGGATTCGAAGGAGTTTCTTTCGGACCGTTCGAGAGTAACAGAGAGCGATTTGCAGGTCGTGATTGACAAGGTCAAGGGAGAGAAACAACAAAGTGGCTGAACTGTTAGCCGCACTCAGTGCAGTGGATGACAGCTTGGCCCGTGGGTCATTTCAGGCAACGAAAGCGACTCAGCAGCAACGCAACCGCCGAAATGAAACACGACTCACTCACAATTGGGTGTGCAGCCACACACAGTCTCAGAGCTGGACCAGCTGCTCAGTCGATCCAATTTAGGACACAGCCAGCAAGGCAGTCAACTTGGATAAATAAAATAATTGAGATTTTAGCTTATACAGGTGATCTGTCAACATCGGCAGCCCCGATATAGCGATGAAGCGGTGGTGTTACTTTGCCAAATGAGCGACACGCACTTTACGTGTTTCAGAGTGAAAGGTGTTACTCTCGTCCAATAGTCTTGATCCGCACCTCTTCCATCATCTCCTTGTCCTCTGTAGCCCTGATTCATCGTGGCAACTTCGATCATTCGCTCGGCTTGTCCGGTATGAGCGTACTCGTTTCTCCGGCTCGGCCGCAAGCAAGCAGCTCATCTGCCGCTGCACTCGGCTCCTCCACAGACTCCTCCATCAGGCCTGGAGCCATATTGCACAACGATGCATCGCAGCAAACCCAATCACAGCAACACGACTTGTGGTCTAGCATCCTCAACAGCGTCAAGAGCTCCAAGGCCATCTCGACCAAGAACGTCGTCCTCCTCGGCGAGCCCAAATCCGGCAAGACCTCGCTACTCTCTGCGCTCGCTTCCACTTCGCCGCACGGTCTTGTCAGCGGCACGTCATCTTTCTCATCCACAACGCCCGCGCAAACCGCAGCTTCAACGGCATCGACAACCTCGAAGCTCACCACGACAGCCGAAGATCTAGGTCTGGCGTATGCCTACTTCGATGTCGGCGATGAAAAGGACGGGGACGAGATCGTCGCTCGCGTTGGCGCCTATACCCTGCACTCGTCAGAGCCCGCCTACACCTCGCTCCTGCCGTTTGCATTCCCCGAACCCAACTCCAGCTCGAGCGAACGCGAAACTTCCGGTATCATGGCATCGCTCGCCTCGGCCACTATGTCGTCTTCTGCTGCCATCACTGCCAGCTCGAACAGCGGCACCTTTTCGACCAAGCCTTCCATCGATTCGCTCAGAGATTCCGTTGTCGTCATCGTGCTCGACTGGGAACAGCCATGGACCTTTTTGGAACAGCTGCGCAACTGGCTCAGCATTCTCAACGAGCTCGTGGATGTGGCTGCCGACGGTGCGGTTACGGCACAACAAGACCGCGATGCAAAGTGGAGTTCGACTCGCGCTGCGTTGGACGAGATGAAGGAGCAGCTCGAGGCGTACATTAGGGCATATGTCGAGCCCTCCCAGAAGGTCTCCGAGTCGAGCGCCACGCCCACTCCAGTCAATCAAACAAACGGCTCCTCAGCAGCGCAGAAACCCTCGGCCAGCTCAGACGCATTCGCAACCCCCGTCACCACCGTCAGCGGGCTGCTCGACGCAGCAGACGCCAGCCCTCTTGCCGAAGGCACCCTCACCGACAACCTCGGCATCCCCATCGTCGTTGTCTGCACCAAATCCGACGCCATTCCCCGTCTCGAGCGCGACAAGCAGTTCAAAGAGGAACAGTTCGACTACATCCAACAGGTGCTCCGAATCGTCTGCATGAGGTACGGCGCCGCTCTCTTCTACACTTCGTCGATGCGTGCTCAGTCGATCGATATTCTGCGAGGTTATCTGTTGCACAGGTTGTTTACGCCGATGCAGGCTCAAGCTGATGGCAGCGGTGGAGCAGGGGCGGTGTTTGGGTTCGCGTATAGGGCTTCGACAACAGATCGCGATACGTTGCTTGTTCCGGCGGGCTGGGATAGTTGGGGGAAAATCAGGGCGTTGAGGGAGACGTTTGATTGTGCGGGGATGGCGAAGGGGTGGGAGAATGATTGTGAGATCGAGCGATTGAGGCGGACGCGGAAACTCGCGAGGACGAAAGAGGTGGATGAGGAGTTGGAGAAGGAGATGAGGATGGAAGGCGGGGATGGGGAGGAGGTGCAGTCGGCGATGAAGCTGTACGAGGACATCGTGTCGGATTGGGAGGCGGTGGTGGGAGGGAAGGATGTGGGGAGCAAGGTGAGGGTTCCGGATGAACAGGCGTTTTTCGGTGCACACCATGCGACGTTGCAGAAGGATCCCGATGCCAGGTCTAGGTTCAGCAAGAGGGCGGTGGTGGGTCCGATGACGGGTTCGAGCGCGGGGTTGCCGAGTGTGGAAAAGCTGATGGAGAGGGAGGCGAGGTCGGACGGTCCAGCAGCGGGTCAGGTTGAAGCTCCGAGATCAAGACCGGATGTGTCGAGGAGGGAATCGACTTCGGCTGCCGCTGCTGCTGCCGTTGCTGCAATGACGGGTGGTGGCGCACAGGGAGGTAGTCGTCCGACCAGTCCTGCGGTGGGCTCGGGTGCCACGTCGCCAGGTGCACCAAAGCAGAGCGAGGTCCTGCACAGCTTCTTCCAGTCGCTGTTGAAGGATAAGGCGGGAGGTGGAGTGGGGAGTCCCAAGGTGGACAGGAAGCGGGAAACGGGCAGGAGGGCGGATGCGAAGTAGGTGAAATTAGACGGTCAACAATAAACATTGGGGATAAAGATTGCAACGATGGATGTGTGTGTGCGGGGTATCTTGCATTGCGAGTGATGAGATTGTCTACAAGTCCTTCTTGCTCTCTTCGGCGGCCGGCATCTGCTGAACCTCCTTGCTGCTAGCTGGTAGCTTCGCCAGCTCTTTCATGAACCTACGCATCGTCGTCGCTCAAAACAAGTCAGCCACGTGTGTCCTTGCTCAAAACTTGCAACAAGTCTGACCCTACTTACCAGTTGACACTCATCCACAGTCCGACGGCCATGGTGAGCAGTGCGATGACATGCGGGTTGTAGTTGGTAAGAAAGACGAGGATGGTGAGGACGAGAAAGAGACCGTAGAAGGAGAAGTTCATGATCTTTTGTGCGACGGTGTTGTATTCAGGAGTAAAGATCGAGGAGAACAGAGCCTCCCAGAATGGAGGGGGAGAGACATTCTGAGATGAAGTGGGGTCTAACTGCGTCGATGTTGATGTGGTTGATGGCGACATCTTTGTTGCTGGATGGTGAGGGTAGAGGACGGGAGGAAAGTCGAGTTGATCGTGTGTGCGTGTTCTTCTTGGATCGATGCGGAATCGGAAGTCGGCGCAGAAGGAGAATTCAGGGTCCAATTCTGGAAACACCATCCTCGCTCAACCTTTGACTTTTTCTCTTGCTTTCTAACAACACTGCATCTGCGCAGGTCCACGATGCTCGCATCGACATCAACAGCATCGACCGCACTCCTCTGCTCACCTACCACTGAAGGTCTGAAGCACCTCTACCGAACTATCCTGCAGCAAGCGCGTCTGCTGTCCGTCACCCTGAACGATCCGGTGCTCTACACATCGCACCGTTTCTTGGCTCGTAAAAATCTCGAACCTCTCCTTTCATCCGGAACTCTTCCGCTCGAGCAACAACCGCAATGGCCACCTTCTACAGCCTTCAAGAAGCTCCGTCGATCGCAAACACATCGACGTCACCTAGCAGATGCAAACTTCGGCTGGCCACACAGCGTCCACCGTGCACTATCCCTTGCCTACGCTCGTTCCGGGAAGCTTCGCCGTGATGTGCTCACCGATCTCACCGCTCAGTCCGCCTCCGCGTTTCAGGGAAAGAAGAGGGTGGTCTCTTCTCCCATACTGCGATCCTTGCTCACCAGTCAAGGCAGCATGAACGGTGCAACGGTCAAGAATCGCGAGCATCTGACGGGAAGACCTCCACCTCCTTTCCTGCCTGCCATGGATGATCCACTAGTCAAGTACTTTGGGAAAGCAGTGAGCAGGAAGAGGGTAGAAAATGCAAGGGGCAAGTTCTTGAAGACATATTTGAGGAAGGTGCGGGTTCCGGTAGATGTGATAGTGGCAGGTGGTGGTGAAGGCACAGAGGAGGGGTTGTGGAAGTGGTTGGAGGAAAAAGCCAGACCGCCTGCTGGACAGACCACCCTTTCACGCAACAGTGTAGGGAGAGACAGAGCGAAGAGTGCCGATCAGCCATTTCACCATACTGCCAGGCTCAAAGTCGACACCTACCGATCAAACTTCAACACCTCTGCACATCGCAGTCGCGGGCTTCGAGTCCACGGCTGGGCGTCTCACCCAGTAGATTTCTCTCATCCACGCAAGCTACGTCGACTCTACGCGGATCTGCTCGACGAAACACCGCTGCTTTTCGTCGAGTCTTCCCTGCCTCAGTCGCAGCCTTCAACGGCGTTGGAGCCAAGCAAGAACGACCCATTGGGAATTCGAGCCAAGCTGAGCCAAACGACGAAGCCGACCGGAGGAAACGAGGTGAAGTTCAAGGTGGTCAGATCGAGATATTCTGTCGGGCCAAAGATGCGCGGTGTTGATGTCATGCCCAGAAGGATCAGTGGTGAGGTTGGTGCGGTAGGGGAGATAGACAACGTCAAGGAGCGGTTACATGCTTCGGAGATTGCGTTCTTGACCAGACAGGGTTTGCTGTAGGAAGAACTCTGAGATTGAAGCGACTGGCTCTGCTTAGAGTGGTCCATAGAGTGCACTTGCAAGCTCAAGGATGGCGACGAGCTAGTCTGTGTGCTTCTTTGCAATCGTTCATCGTCACTTGGCCGACATAGCGATCCCTACTTACTGAACCGATAGATCGGGGGGCAATCGACAATCGCCGATGTCAGTTGTATCGAACGTCTTGCACTTTCACCTATCGCCCTTCCCCGCAGCCATTACTCCTTCCGACCCCTCGCAGCTCTGCGATCCCCCACATTGCACCGTCACCGCGGTCAATACCGCTCCAGACTTGCAGTGCAGAGGAATGCGGTGATTCCGAGAGGCGTTCTGTGCAGTATGATCAGCGGGATCTGAATTTCATGTAGCCAAAACCTGGCTCCACCGCTGCTGCTTCGTTCATGCGGAGAGAAGGCGAGAAATGCGAGGCTTCCTAATTGCCAGCTCGGCTTGAACTCGGAGAAATGCGCAGGAATTGTCGAACAAACCGCTGTGTTGGATCTGCCTTCCGTTGGCAACTTTGCAGCTGCATATTTGTGTGCGTCGGCAGCATCGTACACTGTAATTGCGAGCTTTGCATGTTCGGCTTCTGAGCCGCCCCGAATGCCGTCGCCGAGCTGCGATATGCCTGTATTGAGGGCCACCTCCAATCTGGACGCATCTCGGAAGCAAAGGCCACGCAGCTGCTTCCTCGCCACGACTCTGGCAACGACACGACAGCCTTGTCCACAGCTTTACGCGGCTACAGATGTGCCCTGCTAGAGTCTCTTTCGCGCTTCAAGTTCGGTGCGGAGCGCAGCTGCTGCTGCTGCATGGCCGGATAAAGCTGGTTGCAAGTGTTGCGATGCTAGTGTGGTGTACTCCGCGGTCGAGACTTGCTGCACCGCCTTGGTACTCGCGCCGACCAACATGCCGTTTGTTCTCTTGTTCGTCGTAATTGCGACGCCGGCATCACCGAGGCAATCGAGCATTCTGTCTCAAAGGCGACATGGCGAGGTCTATTCACTCAACGCTGCACTCGTGTGAACTTCAGTAGTCGCTGCAAGGGAGTCCCCGATACCACGTATTTACTCCGCTATATGCACCTTCGGAATCGAGCCACCAAACTGTTTTTTTTGATTCGGGACGGTTGTTCCGAATTTGCATCTAGGGTCTGGACTTTATATCCAGTAAGCCGAAGAAAAATGCAGCCAGTCAATCGCTCGTTCCGATCGGAAGGTGCAGCCTCGACCGACCTTGGCAACGCGCGGAACTGAATAAGGTGTTTGGCCCTTCTTTTCCCTTTGGACAGTCAACTCAAAGTCTGGTTCGGTCTGGCCCGCCAGCGGCTGGAAAACAGGGGCGAGTGTCGCCGAACTTGTGGAGTACAGTTGGCGATCGCAACGGTTTCTCGGTCGAGGTCGAAGAATGCAACCTGTAAGGATCGACAACGACGACAACGAGAGGCGCGTGGCGGTCGAATGCAGGCACTGCAGCGACACGATCGTTTGTCTGACTCACGTCCCCGCACCCGTTGGCTAGACGCGCGTGGCCGTAGCTTCAAAAACGGCGTGCAGATTCACAAAGGGGTTGAAGGGCTCGTCAAGATCGGTCTTGCAAGTTCGTCGTTGCGCGATGGCTGAGGGGCGGATGAGACCGAGGATTTGTGCCTCAGTCAGCAGCTCTCGGATTATTTCTGACACGTCGATCTTGACCCGAACATCGCCTGTCGAAGAGCAATTTTCTAGAAATCGTGCGATCGCGGCGAACTCGGCAGATGTTTCCAAAACAGAAAATGATTAAGGATTCAAAAAAAATACCACTTTCTGCAGCAACCCCATCGCTAGGGAAATTAGAGTAGGAACAGCATCTGAGCAGTCTTCTTTTCTTTTCTTTTCTTTTCTTTTCTTTTCCTAGATCCAGGAAACGTCACCTCCGATCCTCGCTCGCTTCCACAATCTAGCTTGCTTCGACCAGCACGTCGGGCTCAACACAATGAGAGCATCGATTCTGAGTTGGTGAGATCTCGCCTCATTGTCATTCACACAGCTCTTCGATCTTGTTGAACTTTCGCTGGTTGAGATCAGAGCTGTCGCTTCGAGACCTCCCTCATCGAAAGAAGCATCTTGGGAGATTTCCGACAATAGAAGCGGTGGGCGGAGAGGAGCATCGCATCGCATCGCCCTTTCGCCCCCACGATCATCATCATCATCTCGCGATTGTCGCAACGTGGGCTACGAACGTTAGCACACACAGACGACGGCGAAGAGAGGCGTAGAGGGGTGTCCGCGGAATCTGCCCTGTGAGACACAATCTGGTTCCTAGTCCTTGTGATGCATGATTCATGCTTGCATCAAAGTGCATGCTCATCCAAAGGGAACGAATCAGGGATGCTGCTGCTCATGCAGCCGATCAAAGCATGCACACACAAGCGCGGAACAATGTACGGACTCGATCCGAGCGTCGTTACTCGACCGCCGTACCTTTGCGCGCCTAGCCATCGTGGGTCGACGAGTCACCGCTGTCAATGCCCAGAGACATCGGCGTAGGCGTTTCCGGATGGGGGAGAAGGTGTCTATTGAAGCGTGTCGGTCAGTCTTGCGCGCGATGTGCTCAATATCAATCATCACAGCCCACGCCCGCTCTGTACAAGGCGGCGGTCTCCGAGACGGAGCAGCCGATGAGGAGCGTGGTGGTGATGATGGTGATGATGACGATGATGATGCAGAGTCGAGATTCTTGGTTGGTTTTTTTTTTTTTCATTCTGATTTGTTTTTCAAAAAGACACTCTCTGGCCGCCATGCCGAACGCCGTTCATCGGAACCAGTGCTGCATCACGAATCCTTGACATCCACCTTCTGCCCCATGACCACGCACTTTGCGGAACGTTCGCCTATCTAGCGCTCATATGCTTGTCAGAGACGGCTCAAAAAGAGATCACACACGAAGTGCTGTAGTGCGGATGACAATGTAGAACAATCTGAACGACTCGATTTAAGCGCAACGACAGTACGGAATCGGTGCTCATCGTCTCACCGATGTGTGCGCGCAGCGAACATCATGGATCCAGGTGGATCCAGGTTGTTTCTAAAACAAAGCCAGCTTCCAGCCATCGCCCACCACAGTCGTCATCATCATCGATCCTGGCTGTCACCTTTCTGCATGCAGAGTTTGGACTTTTCGGATCGTCGTCACCACCGACTTTGCCGTCGCCAAATGAGACAGGCAGTGCATTTCAGTACAACACGGTATTGTGCCCTGATCGTAACAGAGCCTTTTTCACGCTGTGCTGCTTGGCTCCTCCCACTCTTCGCAAATCGTGCTTCCGTCGATGGGCCCAGATCGCTGAGGCTGCCTGTCTCGTGGTTGCTACACGCGGCCGTATCACAGCGCAGAGTCCTTCTCTGCAATCACGACCGCATGCTTGTGAACTTGATCCGACTCAATTCCGACTGCTGCTAAATGGAGAGAGCGTGAGACGGATTGGACCGGCCAAAAGGGACTCAGGCCCCCTTGGAAGACCAAACAAAATCAGACTCGGGCGATGAATAAGTAAATTTGGGTGACGTTGATGGCAAAACACAAATCGCTCGCCTCGCCAAGTGCTATACCCAGAAATAGCTAAGCGCGTTTCTGCAACGCCATGCCGCGCTGCAGATGAGTCTACTGCATTGTCCCGCCTGATCTTCGACTGCAGGAAGCCATCAAAAATCGAGACCCAGCCGAACCATAGCGATCGCTTCACACAGAGAGGAAATAAAGCTCACCAGTCACGAGGTGCCGTTGCTGCGCAGCGATCGAAGGAACCTGAGACGCTATCGCCGCTTCACACCGTTCCCTGACGATGCTCTCCGAGATCGAGAAACGACCTGCGATGGTGCTTCACGCTTGTCTTTCTCCCAAGGCAGTACTCAATCTTGTTGTGGGCGTTCCGCAGCGCTGCATTGACTGGTCTCGGCCTCGTTGCCTGCCTTGTTCTGTTGACTCATATCCAGAGCGTGGCGTCAGAATCACAGCGATTAGCTCTGTTGGAGTGCGCGCTGCAGAAGTGCAGAGCTGTCGCATGCCGCACCCTCACAGAGTCGCATCGTAGCACAGCCTCTTGAGGGGTGATACCCATCCTGGTCACGTCGCTGCTGCCGTGCCGAGTCTGACGGGCCGATGTCGGCCTTGTCTGTTATTGCCCCCATACACGGTGGCCAACCTTGTTCCCATCCTCGCATCCTCGCCACCATCACGTCTTCTCTCGACCATCACAATCCCACCCGCTCGATCATCTGTGCTCCGTACATACACGTTACACTTGCACCGTTGCTCGCCACGACCCGATCTAGATCGATACTGCTCTACCGTGTCGATCTGATTCCGGCTGGCACCAGCGGTCTTCCTTCCATCGACCCCTTATAGTTTCCCTGCGGCTAGCGCGGCCGAGCTTTGAATCTCAGAACAGCACCTCATCATGTCTATCGGCCCCATCGGCTCGTCCGAGCCTTTGGGCTCTCCTGCCTCGTCATCATCGTCGGCCGTTCCGTTCGAGCCGTACCAGTCGGCCGCTTTCCAGCCTATGCGCACGAGAATGCAGTCTCTTTCCACGGCCTCACGACACGCCTCTGCCACGGCGTTCGACGCTCGATTAACTCTGTCAGCGGCGGAGCGATTCCGCAGACAAGGCTCGACTACGCCCTCGCCTCCGATCAGCGAGTCGAGTTCCCGTGTCTATACGTCCTCCAGGCCCGAGACTCCCTTGTCGCAGGCATCCGATTCGAGCGCAGGCAGCTGCGCTGACGTCGACCACCCTTCCACGCGATACGCCACAGTGTCGCCGACCTTCTCACATCTCGCGACGCCAATGAGGCCAAGTCTCGCATCCAAGAGACTGCTTTCCGACGGCGACGTGATTCCGCCTCGACCCATCAAGAAAAGTAGACTGGCTGCTCGACGCCGCTCGTTGCACACGCCCAGCTCGGCATTGAGCGGCTCGATCGTCACCTCGTGGCGCAGTGCTCGCGAGCAGTCACGCCGGCGCCAGATGGTCCAACGCGACGCTAAGCGTCAGACTGCAGCAGCTTCGACAGGCAACGGATCGCTCAGCTCGACGTCCGCTTCGACCCAGCCACTCCGTACCCAGTTTGAGCTGCTCCCCGAACTTCGACTCCTGTCAGCCACCCGCACCGCCCCCATTGCATGGTCGCCCTTGGCCGACTCGACTGCCTTCGAGCCGCATATGGTCGAGAGCCACGACGAGCTAGCTGGCGAACGCGCGCCCGAAAGATTGCGCTTCTGGCCCATCGTCGACCGTCAGCTGGACCACACCAGCGCCCGTATGCTCTCGCTCTCCAACCCCGAAATGGACGCACACCAGCCTATGGCTCCTATGCTTCAAGCCATTTTCGAGGCTCATCACCCAGTGTCGCCCAAGTCCAGTCTGCCCTTGCCTCGCTGCGACATGCTCGTCTTCCCAGCCTATACGCAGCCTATTGGCTCGTCGGATGAAGATCTCTCTCCGGCGACACCGGACGCACCGATTCAGCGTGGAACGTGTCCGTCGCCACGTTGCGTCTCTCGTTGGGCACGACACGTGGTCGCCACCGAGTCGCAACGCCAGGCAAGCATTGCGCTCACTCCATCTGCCACCCTCTCTGCCGTTGTCGACTTTACCCGCGGCCAAGCGGGCGACAGAAAGCACGGGCGACAAGCTTTCGAGACCACCCGGTCTCCTCCACGCAACGCTCACGGCCAGCTTATCTATTCGCCTCCCAGTCCACACCGTGACGCCGCGCATTGTGCTCGACCCGACCTCGCCGCCCATGCACCCCTTCGCATCGCACCTCGTCGACACGCCGGAGCCGCTGCTGCCGCTTCGGTTGTCGACCATCGAAGCAAGGACTACTTCGGTCGCTGGGAGACGTATGTCTGTAATTACGGCAAGGAGTCGACCTTCTAGATTCGGCTCTGCTTCCCGGCTTCCCTTCTCTGTCCTTGCCTGTCCATCTTGCTGTCCCCATCGCAACTGTAATCACTCCCATCGCATCAAGCACCTAGACCTTATACCACGTCTTCATTCCATCTCGCTGTAACACCATCCACCGCACCGACAGTATTTATTTGTAATCATCAATGTCTCTCGAACATAAAAGCTCCCGATCGAAGGAGCCGCGCTCTGAGTGAGTGAATGTCGGATTCGTGTCACGGGGCAGCAAAAAGTCTTTTTCGACGATTTGTCTGAGAAGCGTCTAGGTCTACATGCAACAACAACGCAACGGAAAAAGGTGAGGGTCTTCGTTCTAGCCATGTAAGAAAGCGCGATCCCGTCGTGATGCAAGCGTTCTACAGTCCAAATCGAGCTACGAAAGCCTGGATCAACTCGATCCCCTTCTTGTGAGCATCCATAGTTGGGGTTCTGACGATGATGACAGCATGACTGTTCAAAACATCTTCAAAGTGGACGAGGTGTTTCTTGACGTGGGGTAGAAGAGATGGGTTGTTGAGGTTGGAGATGATGCGAAGCTGGGTTGGTAGGAGTGGATGTTCGTCTTTGGACGGGGTGAAGGTGTCGAGGGTGGGGAAGTGGGTAGGGGTGTTGGGTTTGGGTGTGTAGCGTGCGTTGTCGATCGGGGTCGATGTTGAAGAAGAGGAGGAGGTGGGGTTGTTTTGGATGTAGTCTTCGCCGACTTCTCGGAGTGTTTCTTCCGCTTCTGCTTCGACGGCGGAGAGGAAGGCGGACACTCGTTTGCGTTCCAACTCCCCACGCACAGCTTTGTCCAGCTTGAGAGACTTAGACATCTTCTTTGTAGAACTCTTCTTGCCATTCACCTTCTTCAAAGAGTCGTCCTCCTCCTCTCGGCCATCAGCTTCCCTCGTCAATAGCCCATTCTCCATCGCCCACATCCGCTCAAACTCCTCCACCCTCCTATTCGAAACCTTGCTATCCGAATGCAGCTTGTGCACCACCAACCCCAACATCACCGGCAAGAGCACCGGCAGAGCCACCAACGCCAGGTAGTTCAGCGGAAACTTGAACGGAAAACGTTGTGGATTGAGCATCCATGGAAGATTCTTTGTCGAAAGTCTTGCTGCTATTTTGCTCCAGAATGATCGCTCATCCTTTTTGGGTGTAGCTGATGTGGTGAAGGATGCGAGCAGAGGTGGATGGGTTGTATCGCGAACGAGTTGGATTCGATCGGGGAGAAGGAAGGGATCGTGGGGCTCAAAGCAAGCTGTACGGTAGCTTACGGTGAGATCGGATAAGGCGTTTGCGTAGATGTCGATGCGCGAGAAGAGTCGCATGGCGGTGATGAAGTTGAAGCGCGGGTCGGAAAGCGCTTCTACCAAACAGAGACCACTGTCCGTAGTGGTCTCGTCAGGGTGAAGCGTTTCTTCGGTCGAATTGGTCGAGGACGCAGTAGGAGGAACCCATCCCCTGTCGGCCAGGTAGAGCTGCTTCCCGCTTCTTCCGAGGTTCGAGCTTCCCACGGAGGCTGCGACTTTGCTGAACATGGAACCGGTCACAGTCACTCCGAGATGTGGTGTTGCGATGGTACTCATGCTAGCCGGTACCGGTCTCGATTTGAACGGCAAGGCCTTCCTAACCTCATCACCATTCCTCTTCTGCCTCTTCTCCCCCTCTCCTCTCCCAAAGAACCCATCTGCATACATCACTCCCGCAGCATACCTGATCACCAACCCGCCCAAACTGTACCCTATCAAACTGATCCTCCCCACCTTTCCATCCTCATCCTCCTTCTCGATCCTCTCCACCTCCGCATAGATGTCCTTGACCAGTCGTTCCCCGCACCAGTCGATCCCATCGTAGGTGTGATCGCCGGAGTTGACTTCGGAGTTGAGTACGACCATACGGATGTCGGTTCGAGTCGCGTTGGGGTGGTCCGAGGCGAGGGCGGAGATGGTGGATGCGGATTCAGGTGGGGTGAGTGGCGAAGAGGGGGAGACGAGGCCGCCGTGGAACTTGGCGAGCGTGGTGGCCAGGAAGGAGGTGTTGGAGGGGGAGCCCCAGAGGCCGTGGTGGATGACGACGAGGTGGACGGGTGCTGATGGCATCGTGAAGTCGGGGCAAGGGAGGTCTAGGAGATGGGGCGGGAGGGGGCACTGGTCGGGATGTCACGATGGTGAGATGATGGTCGATGTAGAGATTGGGATGAAGATACGACCAGGGTCGTTCCAGATCAGGCTCGGGGTGGACGTGAACGATGGTAGGACGACGTATCGAGAGTGGAGAACATAACTCTTCGGGTAAGCTATCTTGACAGGAGGCCGCGCACGTTGACGGTTTGTTAATGTATCATGCAACCACGGGCAACGCATCCCAATTCCCGCGGCAATTCATTTCCACAGCGCTTATCTCTAGTCAGGATGCATATTGTCTTTCCGCGGAGCGGCGGCAACCTCTCCCCTTCCTCTCTCGGTCGCCATCTACAAAGGTGCGTAGGTGTGTCTGTGCTCACAACACCATCTCAGTTGTGCTCTGTCTCCCGCTCAGTGTGACAAAGTAAGTCTGTGAGATGCACGCCTATCTAATTGTGCTCTGTCTCCCGCTCAGTGTGACAAAGTAGGTCTGTGAGATGCACGTCTATCTAATTGTGTCTATTGTGATTGTTCTACAGCACATTTCCGCTCAGCTACTTGCCACTCTTGTGATGACGTCCGATCTCGTCCCTCGCAGCATCCGACTGAGCCTGTCTTACAATCTGCAAGAACAGACTCTCCAACGACACCGGGCTGATCTGATAGCCCACCACCCCAGCCTCCTCCCTCTCCGCCTTGGCCGCTTCCAACCTCGCGAACAGCCCCGCTACACTGTCGCCTCCATCCAGAGGAATCTCGAACCTGGCGCTCGCTTCGTCCGACGTCGTCGCCGTCGGGAACAGTTGCGTTACGAACCTCTCCACCCTGCTATACGCTTCTTTGGAACCACGATGGTGCTGTGCGATGTCGAGCTGCAATTCGTAGCTCGGATGCGACCTGCGCAGGTTCCCGATCGTATCGATGGCGAGGATGCGCGAAGCCTGGATGGCGACACGCGATGCTAGAGCAGCAGCTTCTTCCATGCTGTGAGAGGTGATGAGAGTAGCTCTTCCTTTGCCTGCTCGACGCAGCGTCTGCCAGAGACCGCGCTTGGTCCACGAATCGACGCCGGACGAAAGTTCGTCGAGCAACAGAACAGACGGATTGCCGAGAAGAGCGATGGCGAGGGAAAGCTTGCGCATGTTGCCTCCGGATAGAGCCCCCGCACGACGATCCGCATACTGGGTCAGGTTGGTAAGGTGCATGACTGCGGAGACGTTTTCCTTGCGCTGCGACGAGGGGACACCCTTGATGCGAGCGTAGGTGCGGAGGTGTTGTTGCACCGTCAGTAGAGGATCGAGGCCGTCGAATTGCGGAACCGAGGCGATATGAGATCGCGCCAGGGTTCGTTGCTGTGCTACACCGATGCCTGCGATCGTGACACTGCCTGCGTCGGGTGTCAGCTCGCCACGGATGAGCGCGTGCGTGGTCGTCTTGCCTCCACCGTTGATACCGAGCAATGCGACCGTCTCTTCCCTCCGCACACCGAGCGAAACGTCGTCCACCGCGAGCAGCTTTCCATACGACTTGTCGAGGTGCTTGGCTTGCAGCACGTCGTCGCAATCCATTGAGTCTAGGCGGATTGCTTCTTCTCGAACTCCCTGTCCTGACGGCTGCACCTTTGACTCTTCGCCGGCAACACCTTCCGACACGCTGGCACGCCCCCTTCGGCGGCGCAGCAAGAAGCCGAGAGACGAAGGCAAGAGCGGATAGCCCGAATCGTGCGCCACCAAGATCGCGAAGCAGACCAACGCCCACACTATCGTGTAGATGATCGGTGCGCCCAGCAAATCGATCGCTGCAATCCCACCGCTCTTGTATCCTCCTCTTCCATCGCAGAGCAGGTTGAACAGGTTGACGCTGACGAATCCTGCTCTGGTCATGCTGACGCTCGGTGCAAGGATCGCCTCTACGTAGTACGCCGCATCCAACGCTCCCGCCAACCCATTGCCGACGTAGTACGTCACTGTAAGCATGGTCGTAGCAAAGTAGATCAGGAACGCCAGCACGTTCCACGCAGCAACGATGGCAAACGCCGCCAACTGGTTTGGCGCGAATAACGAGACGACAAAGCTCTGCAACGTCGACGATACGCCGTGCAGGAAGAGGACCACCCAGAAGACGCCTTCGCCTGCGAATTGGTCCGAGGCAAATGCATATACGACCGCAACGGGCACTGTGCTGATGATGATCACGGGTAGCTCGGCGAGCAGGTGACCGAGCCAGAGCGGGACGGCACGCATACCATTGGTGAGAGCCATAGCTTTGACGCGGTTGTTGCGCTCTGCAGACGGGTACAAGGCTGCGAACGCAGGCCAGACGGCTTGAACCAAGCCAAATACAACAGCCCACTTGAGTGCCGAGCCGAGACCGTTGCCCAGGGAAAGATTGCTGAGTGGCCGATACAAGGATGTGATGGTCGGCGCGCCAGCGGTACCAGCGTTGGCACCACGCAGACTGGCGAGCCCAGCGTTGCTGACAAGGTTGAGCGCTGCGATTGGAATCAGAGGACCGTCATCAGCAAGGTACGAGAACTGCGTTCTTCCACCAGTTGTGTTGCCCGGCAACGCAATACCTCCTGCACCTCGCTGATCGCTATCCCAGAGCCTCGTTATCGACGCGTTGTACTGATCCAAAGCAACTCGATCAAAGGCGATCGCGCTGAGGTTGAAGCCATTGCCAAACTCCAGCTGGGCATTGGCCTCCGGAGCAGCATACAGAAGCTCGGTGGTGAATCTTGCACCGTTCCAAAAGTTGGCACTGGAGAAGAGCTCGCGATCTGTAAAGCCTCGACTGCAAGATGGATCGCGGTCAGAGAAAAACGCGAGCGGAACTACAGACCCGACGACTGCGACGAGAATGGCAAAGATAGCAGGAAGGAAGATCCTGCGATACAGCACCAGACGCTTGAGTAACTGTGCCAATGTGAGAGCAAAGACGCTCGCAACAGCACCGTCGGACAGCTGAGATTGATCGTGGTGATGACCGACGTTTCCTTCCATCTCGTCGACCTCCTCCTGCTTGCCGTTTGAACGAGCGTGCGCCGAGTTGAGCGAGAGAAAGACGCTCTCAAGCGAAGGCCCGGCAACGTCGTAGCTTTCAATGCCGAGGCTGGCTTTGTGATCCTCGATCGCTTCCAAGGCTCTGGCTACTTGCGACTGGTTATCAGCAGGGACCAAGAACGAGTCCTGGCTTGGCTCAAGTGCCGCGATCTGCTTGCTTCCCGGGCAAACCTCTTCGAGAATCGGCAAGACGCCGCGTCCAGCAGGAGAGACGTGAATGCTGCTTCCCTGTCCGTATCGCATCTTCAGCTCGATCGGCGTGCCCTGACAAAGCTTTTTGCCCGGTGCCGCCAAGATGACGATGTGGTCTCCCAGCAGATCCGCCTCGTCGAGGAAGTGACTCGTCAACAAGATAGATCGCCTCCCCCTCTCATTGAGCAGAATCTTCCAGATAGCACGTCTAGACAAGGGATCCAAGCCGGACGTAGCCTCGTCGAACATGAGGAACGTCGATTGGCCCACCAATGCAGCCGCAGTTTGCAAACGTCGCTTCTGACCACCTGACAACTGTGTAGGTCTCGCTTTGAGCTTGTGCGATAGTTCACAGCGGTCGAGCAGATCGCTGGCATCTTCTCTGGTGCCGCGACGGTGCTTGATGGCGCGGAAGAGCTCGACGTGTTGGAGGCAGTTGAGTTGGTTGAAGAGAACATCTTTCTGAGGGCAAACGCCAATGAGGCCAGGCGGAGCGGCGCCACGTTCGAAGCCGTCGATGTAGACCTCGCCAGAAGTCTTGCGGATCGTGCCGCCGACAACGCCGATCGTGGTCGACTTGCCGGAACCGTTCGAGCCTAGCAGACAGGTGATGCTGCCGCGCGACACTTCGAGGTCCAGATTGTCGACCGCGAGACTGCTGTCCTTCTTGCCATACTTCTTGGTCAGGTTCTTGATCGACAGTGCCGGTGTTGTCCCGTCAATCGAAGCCGCCTTCTCAGAATACAGGTTCTGCGTCGACTTGGAAGAGCGACGTCGGAAGAGCCATCGAAAGAAGGGTTCGGCGAAGAAGAGCTTGCGTTCCAGCAAGATAGTGAGCACAGGGAAGACGAATATGCCGATGATCTGGACAACGATCTGGCCCAAGATCGAGGGACCTCTGTTGATGCCGTCGTGCGATCCGGTCACATCAGCAGCCAATCCTTCATGTTCGTACGCGGAGATGGCGATGAACTCGTAGACAAACGACGCTGGAGGGAAGAGAAGACCGATCACGATGCCACCTCCCTCTCCGATGCGCTTCGTGATGAGAGCCACGATGGCCATCAAGATGGCCAGCGCCGTGGTGATGATGCTTGAGACGTTTGCGCGTGCGAAGAAGGTGGCGACAAAGAGCGACCAGCTGGCCATGGCCAAACCAGGAAGGACGTGGGCAAAGATGCCGAGCGCTTTGTTGCTCGTTGTCCACAGCGTCGCTGACAGAGTGCCTCCCATGACAAACCAAGCGGGGAGATAGGAAGCACCAGGACCACAGAGCCAAGAGAGGAGACGCGGGAGCTGTGCGCATCCCATGGTGGTCAACAAAGCGGTCATGCCCGATCCGCGTTCTTCGCTGACAGAAGAGGGGAGGTGCCAGACGACACCAAGCATGCCGATGAAGAAGGCGAGCACGGTGAGCTGATCGACACCGCCAAGGAAGCCCCTACGCTGGCTTTCGGATTGTTCGGCATTCGTTTGTTGCGAATAGGGCTGTTCCAAAGGCGGCTGGGCGTAGAAGGAGGCAGGTGCGCCGTTGAGTTGCAGGATAGCGGAGTCGACTGCAAACTGCATGGGGAAAGTCCTGGTCTCGGCATCACCGCTGTTCGTGCTGACCTTGACACGGTTCAAGCCAGGATCTTGTCTGAGAGTGTAGGTGACGCTGCCCTCGGCGGTGATGTCGGTGAAGGCGATGGCGCCGAAGCAAGAGCTGAGACCATTGAACGCCTGCGGACAGGCGAGACCTAGCTCTTGATTGTTGTTGACCTGTTTGACTAGCGATCGTTGGCCTGGCTGCAGACTGTCGAGAACAACGTCGACGATCTGCTGCGCTGAAAATCTGGACCCGGTGGTCGAGTTGCGCTCGTCCAGCCAGAAGAATGGTCTGCCATTGAGACTCTCGGAAAGGGAGCGAACCTGCACAGGCTGTCCCAAGCCTAGGTCGTTTGTGGTGTTGAAGAAGTTCTTCGCCTCGCCCAAGAAGATGTAGTATGCGATGGGTACGATCAAGCATCTCATGAGGTTGATGAACCAGTACGAACGCAACACGATCCAATTCTTCTTCGTGAGTGCGAGAAATTGATTGCGCCGGATGGCGAACGCAGACAGCTCGGCGTCGCCTAGGTTCGACTCGACACGCTGGACGGAAGGAGACGGAGAAGAAGCCGAGCCATGCTCGTCCTTGCTGGTGGTCGCCATGTCCGGAGTTGCCGCGTTGGTGTGCGCTCTGGATGGTGTCGAGTCTGATGTAGCTGCGGCATCATGGCGATAACGATCCGAGGCAGCCATCGTGACGCTGCCGAAAGATGTGACAATGCAGCGGGACGGATCGAGCTCGTCGGATCTTCCGAGGCAATGTGCGGGGCTTCTGTTTAAGGTGAGTGTCGGGTCATACGTTGCATCATGGTGGGAGCCAAGGTGATAGGCGGATCGAAGAAGCGGAAAGCGCCGTGTGGTCACAGAGGAATCATATCAGTCGGAAGCAAACCGAAGGTCATCAGCTCCAGTGCCTCGTATCGGAACGAGCGAAGGTAGGAACCACAAAGTCCATGGCAATATCGGAACCCGCGAGAAAAGCTGACGAGATACACACCCAGGGTGTTGACTGATACAGGGTCTTGGCAACAAATCTTGGCCGTGCAATTGCCGGAATTCGGTTGCTGCCGCTCCACCTGGATTGTATACTACACACGAAAGCGGCGTTCTGCAGGCGGCCAGGTACGGCGAAAGCGCAGCACCGGCAAAGGAACATCTCTGAGTGATTTTGTCCTGATCCAACGAAAATCATGTGGTGTTGATTGCAATTCGTCGCTCCGAAGCGCCTTTTTTTTCCGTAAAAATCAGCGGTGCTTGTTTTGCTTGCCGTCCACCTGCTGCACTATCTTACGCCAAAGGACTAACACAGGGAGAAACCGGATCGCCCGACCTCCGACAAGCTTCTTCTTGTGACCTGCTCTGATTGAGAAGGAAGAGAGAGGAGAGTTGTGTGGCTCGCCTTTGCGAGTATTTCTCGCCTTCTTGGCGCAAGCTGACATCGGTGAGCACAGTGGGCTGATTGATGCATGCTGTGTATGCCATGCCGGCTTTGCATTTCGAGAGAAGAAAATTCCGCGGACCATCAGGCTCGGAATTCTTGCCTCAATTCCAGCCTCGCAGAAGTTCTCCGCCAATCATTAGCTTCAAGCTTTGCGCCATCTGACAGGCAAAGTTGTGCTGACCGCAGCCTTCAAGGCAAGTCAAGGTCCCCTTGGAGCCATGGTTGCAATTGTACAGTGTGCAATAACAGCTGTGGGAGCCTCAGAGCGTGCAGCGTCGGCGTCTAGCCGACATCGGTTCCTCCTCTGTCGGGTATCCCGCTTCCGTCTTCGGTATTGTAAGCTGCGAGGTCGGTTCCGTCAAAAGCTGGATCGCTGCTCAAGATGCGCAGACGGCTGAAGTTGCGTCGCGGTCGATGTTGTCTGTCATCTCATCTACTCATACATTCTTTTATTGGGCTTCTTGACCGAGCCAAATCGCTCACTGGGCGTCGACGTAAGTGACGCTATGGAGACGCTGGTGAAAGCAGCAGTGGTAACATCGATTCCGTTTGAGCATGCTCCTACTGCCACAAGAGTCACAGAACTGACACGATCATCGATATGCTGCCCTTCGTATCGATGTGGGCGACAGATCGTCCTCAGCGGCAGGCTGGCGCCGCCCCTCGTCGGCGTCGAAAGCAGAGACAACCTCGAGCGAGATGTCACGATGTTCCTCCAATCCCTTCGACACTTTCCCCAACAGCCTCTCCCTGTTCCTGTCGTTGTGTATCGAAACTTTTTCGTTGTTGTAGCGCAGCAGCGGAGCGGTGAGTCGCTCTCGAATTCTGAGCAAGAACTTTGGACAGTAGTGAAGCTGACATTGGCCGTCTTTCGAACTGCAGAGGAGCGCTCGATCGATGCTTGCCACACCATCGATATCGCGCGCAGATTCATCGAGACATGCTCCGATTGCAATCTTCGTGCGCTGGATTGCGATTTGATCGAGCCTTCCGGCTTCTGCCGAGGTCCGTTTGAGCTGACCAAGAGATGGATCTCTTTGCTGCTCGTGCTTCACTGCAGCGAAGCTGATGTGTGCGAAGAGATCGACAACCTTGCGCATCTTCTCCTCGACAGTCTTCAAGGAGCAGCTGAAGCTGTCCAGCATGGCTCGGTGCAGCAAGTCTCCGTTCTCGGACTGCTGGGTATCTTGTTCGACACTTGGGCAGAACTTGGCTGGCAAGTGATGGAGACCAGGACGGATCTCGTTGGATCCGCGGTACGACTCCTCGTAGACATCGTCTGGCGGGATCAAGGACACGTCAAGATCGCGATCGGGTTGTTGGAGCGGATCGACGCTCGGGATGGATTGTTTGCGTCGAGCGTTGCGGCTGATGTCGCTTCGTCCATACTTTCTCGGTTGACGCAGGAGGCAGGCGATCCCCGCAACCCAGTTCGCAGCCAGGGTGCGGGACAGCTCGTGTCGATCGTTGGATTTTTTCACATCTGTCTCGACATGATGCTCGCTATCTCGTATGCGCATGCGACCTCGTACATTCGCAACTACTTTCTCGAGTCATTGTCGCCGCTGATGAGCCTGATGCTCGAGCGAACCATCGAAAATCCTCGAGAAGATCGTGTTGCAGAGCTCGACATGGTCTCGACCGAGCTCTACGACCTGTGCGACCAGGCGCTGCGACGCCAGCGCGTCTAGCTTCTTTGTCCACGTAGCCAAAGTACAGCGTTCCGAATCAAGTGTACATCGACTCGTCGTCGGGCCATCCTGCCTGTGCTAGCGAAGTGTGAGGCGCTGAGTGACCTGGTACCAGTGCGTCTTGCTGCACTTCGACCTTGACGACGTACTCTCCTGGTATCATGACCATTCCAACATGGCGACTCGATGTGCGACCCTCGTGTGTGAGTCTCGTCTCGTCCGTGTTGGCCAGGATGATGTTCTTGCCGGAGTCGACGCAGACAAAGGTGCCGCTAAAGGCTCGACCGTCCGGGATGTGGACGATGCTGGTCCGGCCGACGAAATTGGCTTCGATCGTTGCAGCCGCCTGGAGAGATGCTTCCTCTGAGGTGCCGCCCATCTCGACGAAGGCGGAGCGGATCGAGCCACGTCGTTGATGCGAGCTACTGAGACGACGGTAAATGAGCTACATGCAGAGAGTGGACAGTCGAACCGAGACAAAGGGTCCTCTGGAAGAAATACGGTGGAGCTTCCGTGCGGATAGAGAGCGAGATGAATTTGCGGGTTCCGCACCCTGCTCTCCTAAGCGCCCACGAGACGCGTGTCTGCACCGGAACCACCGGTAAAACCGGCAAAATTAACGTCCCGAATCGCCTCTCCACAGCCGAGCCCAGCTTGTGCGACCCCCTCGGTGGCAAGCATGAGGTGTTTGCGAACCGCCCCTGCCACGACAGACAGTGCGTGCTCCCTCTCAAAGACGAGACCTGCGCTTCTGCTACCTCGCAAGTTGGTTTTCGCTTTCCCCGCATTTTGACGCTCTGTCAAATAAGACGATTTCCTCGCCACTTTCGTCCCGCCTTTCCTCCTCACACCATACCTCTACAGACGCAATCATGGCATCTCCTCAACAGATCAAGACACCTCTGACCGAGGCTTTCGGCATCAAGCACCCAATCATGCTTGCCGGCATGTAAGTTGTCCACTTTTCTAAAATCGGTGTGCGGGTTTAGCGCGACTTTTGACACAAGATTTTTTCCCCCTCGTCGCGATCGACACAAACTTCTTCGCCATCGTACAGGAATGTCGCTGCTGGTCCTGAACTCGCTGCGGCCGTCACAAACGCAGGCGGGATCGGCATTATCGGTGGCGTTGGATATACGCCAAAAGTGCTGCGCCGTCAGGTAGAAGAGCTGAAAGAACACTTGAAGGACAAGAACGCTCCGTTCGGCGTCGACTTGCTTTTGCCCAAGGTAGGAGGTTCCGCTCGAAAGACAAACACCGATTACACCAACGGACAGCTTCCTGAACTCATCGATATCATCATTGAGTCCGGAGCCAAGCTGTTTGTCTCGGCTGTCGGTGTCCCTCCCGTCGAGGTGGTCAAGAAGCTTCACGATGCCAAGATCCTCGTGGCTGGTATCATCGGCCACCCCAAGCACGCACCCAAGGTGATCGAAGCTGGCGTCGACATGGTCATCTTCCAAGGTGGCGAGGGTGGTGGACACACTGGCGATGTTCCTCTGTCAATCCTTGCTCCTCGTGTCGTCGATCTTTGCCGCGGACACAAGTCACCTCTCACCGGTAAGCCTATCATCACCGTCGCTGCTGGTGGTATCTTCAACGGACGAGGTCTCGCTGCCTCGCTCGCCTACGGCGCTGATGGTGTTTGGGTCGGTACACGATTCGTCGCCTCTGTCGAGTCTGGCGCTCCCAAGGCACACAAGGAGGCCGTGCTCAAGTCGACCCACGAGACCGACATCCGCACCATCATCTTCACCGGTCGTCCACTGCGTGTCTTCAAGACCCCGTACATCATGGACTGGGAATCGCGTCCGGACGACATCAAGAAGCTCACGGACAAGGGAACCATCCCTGTCTACCACGATCTCGACAACGACGACGAGGAAGGCACAAAGGAGGCGGGAGCCAGGCAGAGGTTCTTGCTCGGAAAGTGCGCTTCCGTCATCAGCGACATCAAGCCTGCTAAGGAGATCGTAGACGAGATGGTCAACGAGGCCGTCGCCGTGCTCAGGAACGGTAGTCAGCTGCTTGTCGGTGGCGGTGCTCGTCTCTAGAACTTGGCGGTCGACACCGTGAAAGGAATCGCTCCACGAAGGATGACATGCTGTTACCATTCGCTGTTTCGCTCTCAATTACGATCATCTCCTTGAGGAAAATTTTATCTTTGTGTGATGTCTGTCTTTGCGTGCCTCGTACGTGCGGTGTATCGTGGAAATGTTCAGGCTGCACGCTCTGTTGTGTCTAGGCGCAAGGACGATCGAAGACACACTCAGCAGTCGCAAAGAGCACCGCTCATGCATAGAAACAGGCTACTCGACGTGTCGGGAGAAAGAAACGGCACTCGGAAAGATATTGCTCGGCTCTGTCAGCACAAACATGGCATGCGATTTGGTGAGACGTTCTTTGTGTTGTCATTGAGAGAGAGGGGCACTACATTGATACGATCGATGATCGCTCGGAGCGAGATCTCGGAGTTAAGGGCGCTTGCTTTGGCTCTTGTCAGAAGTCACGCCGAAGATCGTCGTGAAATCGCCACCTCGAAAGTTGAGCAGCTTGTGCATGTCGTTCAGGAAAGCGTCTTTGATTGCAGACAATGCCAACTCCTTCTCTTGGTGCTCGATATGGGTATTGCTGGAGTCGAGGTAGTAGTCGGTCAAGAACTCGAGGTATTTTCCTTTGACTGCGGCTACGAACTCCTTGTCAGCGATTTGGGGTTCACGTCCCTCGCAAAAGGTGAAGGGGTAGCGCGGGTCCAGCTCTTGTCTCTCGCCATCACCGATGGACAATCTGCGGCGCTTCTTCGACGGAGGGCTCTGTGCATTGGCAAGGTCTGCTCGTATCTGCGGGATCGAAGCGCGTGCTGTCGAGGCAAGAGGAGCTACGACGACCTGATTCTGGTCGGGAGCAACAGGTACAGCGGCGGCTGCGGTTTGCTGAGTAAAAGGCGACGCAAATTTGATAGGTCGACGAGTCGAGGCGAGCGGCGCCGAGGTCGATTGGGCAGGAGGTACACTTGCTGACAAGGACGGAGGAGATAGCTCGAGTCCGGTTGGTTGCTCGCTGGCAGCTTGTGCCGAGGACGGAGGCGATCGCCAGAACTCAGGGCGGCAGAAGGTCTTGCGGATATTCCAGGGCACCGTCATGTACTGCTCGGCTGGTACCTTGTCGTGTCTTGGGTGACCAAATACGTCCAGCTTGCCGTATGCAATGCACGCAGCCTCGAGCTTGCTCTGGAAGTTACGCGCCTCGGAGTACTTTCTGATGCGATACGTGTCGAGCCACTCTTTATGCTCGCAGGTCGGGGACGTGCGTTTGTTGACGACGCATGGAGTGCACTTGATGTGGAAAGAGTTGGCATCGGCGAACAAGCGCTTCTGCTGGGGAGAGGTTTCCTCACAATTGCCGCACGGGAGCAGATGGTCCTGCATCACCTCGTCGCGCATAGCCTTTTGACTCTGTAGCCTCTTGAATGCGCTTGTCTCTTTGCTGTTGGACGTATCCTTACTCTGACTCCTGCCCTTGCCCTTACTCTTACGCTTTCCTTTGCGCTTACCTTTGACATAATCTCTGATCTGGCCTCGGCTCGATGCCACAGGAGTCTCCTCTTCTTCGTACTCGCTACCTTCGCTATCCTCTCCAGAAGATTGTTCTTCAGATGTCTCCTCCTTCAATCTTACCACCCCGGCAGCAGCTGTAGCGGCCCTGCTGGGCCGAATGCTTTCGGCTTCGAAAGCACTGGCCCTCATTATCGATTCAAACGGTCTGCCAAAGGAGGGAGGTAGTGGTGGCTAACTGAGGGTCGACGCGGTCGGGGTCAGATCGATATAGGCAAAACACTAAGGGCGGGGAGATTCGCCTTTTCAATGATTGCTGACGAAACGGAGAAGGTACGTCTGAAACCAGACGGTGCTCAATATATATCTGTTCCGCTCTCCAGCTGTTGTTCCTTCGAGCTAGCGGCTGAGCACATCTCGATGGCCAACCAACGGCGCGCTGCTTGATCAGTGTATTGATAGATCGGTCTGGACATGCGAGGTGCGCAGCGAACGTCACATGTCGACATGTGAACAACATTCTGTAGTATGGCTAAAGTCGATGGAATCCGTCACCGGAAGGCTGTGTCAAACTCGCAATCTGATTTGCGAATGGCAAAGGTGAGTCACAGTGCCTCGCCGTCCAGTGCTCGTGGGAATACTTCATTGACACGGATGGCGAGCTTGATTATAGTTTATGAATGCGATTCTGTCCAGCGCTGCGATACGATACAGTACCACTTTTCCAGCCTGATAATGCAGACGCCGAGCGCAACAAGCTCGTCGAACTTATCGAGCCGCGAATGCGAAACTCGATTGAGCTTTGCTCGAAGTCGTCCCACAGGCTCCCGCCCGCACTCGGAACTCACGTCTGATCGCGGTCACATTCGAAGAGCGATATGAAACATCGCCCGTGGTCCAGTGGAACGTGTTTCTGGGCCGCATCCGATTCATCGGATGGGATGAGAGCCGTCGTCGAATGCTGACGTTTCGCTCACCCATGTCGACAGTCTGTTGTGGTTCGCATATTCTCGAAAAGTGTTATGCCGCCAAACTCTAAAGCGCTCGTTTGCGGAAAAATTCCGATTTCTCCACACGAGCATGGTTCTTTAGGTTTGAGCTGCATGCTCCAAAACTTTTTCTTTCCGCACCTTGATCCATCACATCTCCGCAACCGTCGATCCTTTCTCTCGCTCTTCACCTCTTACGCCGATAGAACCAACGCTGCGCAGCGCTCTACAGAAATCATGGTCCGTTCATACCCAAACATCGTCATCACAGGTACACCTGGAACGGGCAAATCCACCCACTCCTCCCTCCTCGTCTCCACCTACTCCCCACCTTCCTCCGGGTCCTCCTCCTCCTCGCATCCTCTTCGTCAGATCGATGTCGGAATGCTCGTGAAAAAGGAAGGTTTCTACACCGAGTATCTCGAAGAATGGCAGAGTTACGAGGTGAACGAAGATCAACTCTTGGACCACCTCGAACCGTTGACAGGCACAAAGGCACCGGAACCGTTGGATTCGGACGAATTCGATCAGCAGGATCTCGAGCGCGCAAAGAGCCTGGGCGAGGATGCGGAGGAGAGAGGCGGCTTGGTGTTGGATTGGCATACCTGCGATGTTTGGCCGGAGAGATGGGTCGATCTGGTGGTGGTGTTGCGGTGCGACCATGGTGTGCTCTGGCAGAGGTTGGAGAAACGGTAAGTAAACAAACGATATACGACTCGGTCAGAAGACGACTGTACTGACAAGCATCTTCATCCCTTCATCTGATGCTCGATGACAGAGGGTACACGCTCAAAAAGATTCAGGAGAACAACGAGGCCGAAATCATGGGCGTAGTCGCAGACGACGCTCGCTCATCCTACCCAGCGGAAGCCGTCGTCGAACTGCAGAGCCAAGAATCCGGAGACGTAGAGGAAAACGTAGAGAGGATCATCCAGTGGATTCACGCTTGGAGACAGGCTCGTGGATTGGAGTGAAATCCTTCGCGGCACATGTACATTTTCCGACACACAACCGGATCCAATACACTCTCTCGTCCCCTTTTGACGCACCAAGGATTCCGCCACGGCTGAAACTGAAAGCGAAGTTCATCTCCGATGATCGTCTGTGAACGACCACAGCACGTCGTTCCATATCCGCGCACACACACGCTCACACACGGCAAGCAAACAGACAAATGACTTTGACATTCACCAAAGGCCCCCGCGACCGCAGTTCCAGCTCTCGACGAAGCCAGCAAGTTCAACCCATGCGCGGCGTCTACTCGTTGATGTTCTGAGCCTGGAGACGCGTCTCCAAGTTCCTCAAGCTCTCCTCCTTTGCGAGCAGCTCCTGCCTCTTCTCCTGAATCTCGCGCTGGACGCGCAGCTCGATCTCCTTGAGCTTGTCCTCCTCGCGCTTGAGCTGTTCCTCCTTGAGCCTGACCGACTGGTTGGCGAGCTCCTCGCCGGGGATCGACGTGTCAGCGTAGTCGCTGTGTACGGTTCGCGAGAGCTTCTCGGTACGGTAGTTTTCGTAAAGGAAGTCGTGCGTGATCTCCTTGAGGTCGGTGAGATGTGTGTTGAGCAGGGCGGATCGGAGACGTGCAAAGTCCGAGTGCTTGGGATTGTCCACCTCGACGATGCCCCAGGGGTACTTTCGTGCGCGGACTGGTTCGCCGTTGACCACCACGTCCTCCTCGGAGCCGACGATGGCGAAGGGCATGAGTCCACGCAGTTCAGAGTTGTCGGCGATGGTCTCCTCGTCATCCTCCTCGACGTCGTAGGGGAAGTTGTAGACGGGGATGCCGTAGTGCTCAATGTCCTCCATGATGCGCTTCTTGAACTCTTGCTTCTCGTTGAGCGTCATAGAGTCTGCCTTGCCGATGACGGGGATGACGTTGACGCGAGGCGAGAGTCTGCGCATGAGCTCAATGTCGATCTCACGCAGCGAGTGGCCGGTGGGTGTGATGAAATAGAGCAGGGCGTGGACACGGTTGTCGCGGAAACGAGGGTTACGCTTGATTCGCGACTCCTCGGCCAGAATGTCATCGTACTGTCGTTCAAGGAAGCCAACGATCTCGGAGAAGCTGCAGTGTCGGTGAAGGGGAATGAGTAGGAGTGTCAGTATCTCGGAGAGCATTTCATGGAGACGGTACCAGAGAGAAACTCACGCATATTCGTTGTCAATGTTGTCGCCGAATCCAGGAGTGTCGACGATGGTGAGGCCAATGCGCATACCGTCCTCCTCGAGCTCTACATGCACGGGCTTGATGCGGATGCCCTCTTCGATGTGAGCCGTCTCGGGGTTGTCGCTGACCTTGTGGCCGATGACTTCTGAATCGCACAAGGTGTTGACAAAGGTGGTCTTTCCTGTACCTGAAGCGCCGACGACCATGAGGCAGAAGGAGACACCCTTCTTGGCCGCACGTCGACGTGCAGCCATGCTAGAGTTGATGACGGACGACATGCTGACGAGATCCTCTTTAGCGCAATAGAAGCTAGACTAGGTTTTTGTGGCAGCGAGCGAGCGTTTGGTGCCGCAGGTATGGACGAAAGCGGATGCCGCAGTGGTGAAGACGCGCTAGTCCGGATGCGACAAAGGATCGTGCCGGAATGGATCTGCAGCGCGCGGGATGCGATAGCGTGGTGAGGGTTGAGATGACGAGGATGATGGTGACAGCACTGCAGCAAGGATGATTGAAACGTTGTCAGTGCGCTATTCTCATCAAGTTCCCTCGTGCATGCGTGCGGGTGAGCCGCCAAAAGGCTGTCTCAGTGTTGAAGCAGAGAGGAGCAGACGGAGAGCGTTTCCGCGCACGAGCATTCTTCTTCTCGCTAAGCCACGCCCAAATCCAGAGACTTGAGTGCGACACGCACACGCAAGCCGCTCCTCGCATACGCTTTTGTAGCTCGAATTCAAACAGACACTTGAAAGCAGCGCTTCCTTCGCGACGACACGTATTCAAAATTTGTATCTTCCAAGCGCCGTTCAAGGGTTCTGACTGTAGCAAATCTGTTCCGATGTCAGAACATACAGCTCAACATCCTAAAGAAATGCCACACAAGCTCATTCTCATCTTGAAGACACTTCATTCCGTTGGATGCGCATGGTGTTCCAGCCTGACCTCTTCGTAGCAGCACTACAGACTGCACGCATCATCAGGACGAAGCTCTACAGTCCAATACACCGGCTCGTCGTTCTCCACCTCCACCGAACCTTGCTCGTCCGCCAGATGGTTCGACGTCGACAAGAACCCGCCCAGCGTGGTCGAGTCTCGTTCCAGATTCCATTCCAATCCCTTTGTCGACACTGTGGCACCGCTGTTCCCTACACCAAGAGGCAGTATGCCGCACGTCTTTCCCATCACGTGCCGTGACATCTTGAGATTGTGCTTGCCCTTGGGCAGCAGCCAGGCTACACTCCCGTCTCCGATGGCAAACGTTCGTTGACGCTTGTTCAATCGATTGCCTCTCTCGTTGACTCCGTCAGGATCCGTGACGCTACCCAGCTCCTCAGTCCCGGGCGCCAGCTGCCAGAGCACATGAAGCGTGTGTACGCTCTGGTCCAGCCGTCCCGCGAGACCCCCAAAGATGATGAGTGTGTGCTCCTCGCCATCCCCCAAAGCTTCCTCTTGATCTTCCACTTCCTGGATCGTCTTTTGCAGGTCCGTGGCGTACTGCGATGGACGTACGTGTACATCAACCCCCTTGGACTCAAAGAAACGCTGCGTGTCTGGTCGAATCGAGTCGAGATCGCCAACGATAGCGTTCGGCAGCGGCACTGAGGCCTGTCCATCCTGTTCCTCGAATGCTGATGCGCCGAAGCAATCCACCAGACGATTCGCTGCGCCGTCCGCACACAGTCGAAGCGATGCCGAGCTCCACAGGCGTCGAAAGTGTCCGATCTGACCCGGGTCGATTGGCGAGTTGAGCAACACCATCGCGTAGCGCGGCACACGATCCCGCGACGATGCCAACAGAAAAGGGGAGGGATCCCACGCGGTTTCGTCAAAGGTGCTGTCGGAGCTTTGCTGGTTGTGTTTCCTCTTGAGGCCGTTGCTTGCGTCGATCGCTGGTCCCTGCTCCCATGGTCTGGCAAAGGCACTCGTGTCGCCCACCACCCTCGATCCATCGTCCTCAGGTCGCGGAGGCACTTCGAAATGGAAGCCGTCAAACGCCGAATACGTTTCGAGCTGCGCCTCCCTGCCGACAGCTTGTTGCCAGGCGCGATAGGCCTGCACCTCGAACTCCTTCATGATCAATGCTTTTCGCTCTGGATCTCCCAGTTGTCGATCTCGAGGTGCTTGCTGGCTCTCGTCTTGCACCGGAGCTGATTCCACCCGAGTACCTCTTGTGTCAAGCAGATAGTGGGGTGGGCTCGGGAACTTTGTCGAAAAGTGATTCAGAATCAACCGCTTGGCGTTCACCAGTGCAGCAAACTGGCCTGCCACTTGAGGAACAGAGTGTCCGCGCGATTTCGCTTTCGCTGCCACTTCCTCCAACGAGTCAGGCCTGCCGTTCTTGTTGAGATGCGCTGGAAGTGCAATATTGGTACTCTCGTGAACTAGGACGTCGGAATCGTAGGCAAGTGCCGGCAATCCATAGCCAGCTCGAAGTTGCGCCTCTGAAAATCCGCCGGTCCCATCGCTGGTATCGCCCATGACGGTCACCTTTCGTCCGGGCAAGCTGAGCGCAGGTGGATCGAGAATCGTTCCATCTGGTAGCTGCACTTGCTGACGTTTGGTGGTGAGTCTGGAAAGAAGCGAGAGGGGGTGTCGAATGCCTTGCTGTTCCTGTAGAGCGGCAGCGTTGCGTTGGATTGCCTCTGTGACGCTAGGATCGAGCGGCTTTGCTCTTGGCTCCTCTTCGAATACGTAGGCAAGTGTTGGACATCGGTGCGAGATGGGAGCAGCGCTGATTCGCACTGCCGGTCCATGGCCTGGTGTCTTGAGCGACAGGAAGTTGGGCCAGCTGAATGAACGCAGATCCATGGTCAGATCTCGTCCAGCGCTGGATTCGCCGTCGTGTAGCGGTATTTTGGGTATCACGCGCTCGGGTTGATCGCTGAGCGCATGAGGTGAGCCGTTTGGAATTTGATCCTGCGAGGGCCACACGAACTCGTGCACGACGTACTTGCCACTCAGCTGCGAGTAGCACAGGGAGAGCGTGGTTCTTACCAAGGCGCGCAGTCCGGGTGGCCCGTAGATCTCGACGCGCGGTGTCGAGCTTTCGGGTGCGGAAGAAGCGCCTGTGGGACCCATCATAGACATGAGCAGGGGAACGAGACCAAGGACGTGGTCGGCGTGGAGGTGCGTAATGAGAATCGTCCTGAGGTTGGCAAGGCGTTCATCGACGCCTACGTATCTGGAGCGGAATTGACGCTGAGTCCCTTCGCCGCAGTCGACCATGACAGTGTGATTGTCGAGCTTGAAGAGCAGAGAAGAGTAGTTCCTGGTCGAGTTGGGCATGGACGAAGTGCCCAGGAACTTGATCGACATTCGTGGGGCCGCCATGGCTGCTCGTTCGCTCAGCCGGTGTGTCCACCTCGAGGGCACCGGTAGATATAGTGTCTCTCAGCTCGAGCGGCTGGCCTGGTCGAATCGCGAGGGCACCAATGTGCTCCAGAGAAAGAGCTTGCGATGGAGCTGTGATTGCGGTTCAAGATGACGAGATGAAAAGAAGATACAGTATTCATGCCGAAATGCGTCACAAAACGTCGCAAATCTTGAAAATGGCCGATATTCGATTGAAGAGTTGCAAAACGCGCGCTTATCCGTCGACCGGCATTAGATGCAGGAACAGACACCGTTCTCATCGTCTGGCCATCTCGAGGTGTATATCGGACTGTGAAGCCGCATAAGCGTAACCTTGTTGGTCGACGGGATCGACGACAATTCCAACAAAATGTTCCTTTTATGACGAGGGACAGCGAGGAGCGCGGAGGGTAAATTTTACGAAGAGGCAAGGCCGGATACAAGTACAAATACAATAGAGGTATCAAGGTGAGTAGCTGACAAGAGAGAGGGCCGGAACAGAGAGCGACGAGAGGTGACAAGAGAGTGCAGGGCTTGATCGACAGGATGCGATGCTCTGATTGACTCAATCACCTCCACGACGGGCGGCGTCACGCGCTTCGAGACGCTCCTTCTCGACCTGTGCACGCAATGCAGCGCGCATCTTCTTGACAAAGGTGTAGAACTTGCGCGTAGAGTTGAGCTCTTGGAGCAACGACTCTTGGAGGCTGGCGTCGAGCTTGGGCGAGACCGAAGTGACCTTGTACTTGCTGCTGCTGACGTCGATGGTAAAGTGGCATTCTTTGGACCAGTCGTCGGCGTTCATGAGGTTGAAGGTGAACTTGAGCTGATCGCCCACTTTGGTTGGTACGACCGAGCAGCCGGTCTTTGCCTCGAGCAGACGCAGCTCTGGACCGTTCTTGTCGATCTGCTGCTTGAGCTTGTGCCTCTGCGATTCTTTGGCCTGCTTTTTGCTTTCGAGATTCTGTTTGAGCTCTGTGATCTCGGCCTGCAGCTCGTTGCAGCGTTGTGTGACCGAGGCCTTCTGCGCCTGGAGTGTCTGTTGCCTGGCGCGGAGGTTGGCGTCCTGCTCGCGCTCCTTGGCGATGGTGTCCCAGAGCTCACCTTGACTGGCTTTGGCGTCCTCGATCTCGCGGTCGAGCGTTCTGAGCTGATTGCGGTGTTCCATTCTGTTTGCATCAAATTCGGCCTTGTCATCGTGGATGTTGGAGATGGCATTCTCGGTGTAGGCACGGAAGCGTGTGGAGAAGGTCTTGACTGCGGAAACGATGCTAGAAAAGTCAAAAACAGCGTTGTTGTCGAGATCGGCGTACACTTTGCGCATCTCAGCATTGGAGGGAGTCGCTGTGCCGAATGGCCTTCGCGGTGTCGCGAGGACTGAAGGATGTGGTGCGGTCGCCATGTTGTTCTGCGAAGAGAAGATTCGTGGTCTATCAGGATGGGTGGACCGGGATAGAACCAGTACAAAGTAGGAAGGGTCGCCGTAGGTCCGGGAGCGCACGATGCTTGGAAAGTGATCTCGGCGTGATGTTGCAGTGGATGGTGACGATGCGATGATGTCGAGATGATGGTGGTCGGGACCGATACTGCGAGTGACACAGTCGATGTTCAACGCTCTAGTCACACACTCTGAAAAAGTGTTGATTTCAGCGCGTGGCGCCTCTCAACAGCTTCTCGTCGCAAGGGTCCTTGGAAATTGTCACTTAAGGCCCTTCTGCACGTGACCGCGTCGCGCATCCGTTTGGAAAGTAACACTTTTCTCTCTCCTCGACTCGCTGATTAATACTGCCTCGGATCGGATGATCGAGTCTTTGTGATGGCATATGCGCTCGGTCAAGCACGCACTGAGACAACCATGGCAAGATATATTGTGCCGTACATGTGTCCCTACACGATAGCCATGAGCTCAGGAATCATGAGGTTGGGTTGTCGTGTACAGAAGATTCAAATCATTTAACACACGAATTATCCGATGAGAAAGTGTTTGCGCGCGCTTGCGGTTTGTCGTGTTGGTCCGGCTGTGTTGCTTTGGCAGTTCGCGACATGTAATCTGCTGCACGTTCAGCTGCAGCTGCAGCTGTTGGCGACAGATCCCTTTGGACGTCGCTCGGTCAGCTGCGGTGTTGTGTTACGACTTTCTACTCGACAGCCTTTTCCATCTCGATTGACGCTGTCCTCTTGCCCATCATCGCCGTCTTCCTACCCCGTCATCGCCATCCTTCATTTCACCGCTCATGTCGACAATCGCAGCTATGGACGCGAGCACCTCGGCGGCTTCGCCCCTCACCCCTTCCAAGAAGGAAAACAGCTACTCGCACCACTCGGCCATCAACGAACACATCAAGCCTCCCAAAAACCACGAGCTCTCGCGCATCAACGAGTCCTCCAACGATTCGCAGCCCGATCCGAAGGGCAGCTACAGGAGCTGGAGACGAGGAGAAGGCCTCCAGCCCTGGGAGAACGACATCGTCCGCAGCACCGAGGTCCAACGCAAAGCCAATGTAGCTCAGCTCTACTTCCTCAACTACTACTTTGACAACCTTCGGTACATCGCCGACCGCAAGGCTAGATATGCACGCTTCCAAGACTCTACACGCGCTCGCGGTTTGTTGCCAGACACCCAGGATGCAGACCCCTCGCCCGAATACCTCAAGGAGCGCAGCTCCTACTTTGGTCGTGAACGCGTCTTGCTTCGAAAGAGGAGGACCAAGCTGCGCGTCAACCAGTTCCACATCATCACCCAGGTAGGCGCAGGTGGCTACGGTGAGGTCTTCCTCGCTCGTAAGCGTGACACGGGCGAGATCTGTGCACTCAAGCGACTCAAGAAGCGCATCCTGGTCAAGATGGACGAGGTGCGCCACGTTCTCACAGAGAGGGACATTCTCACCGCCACAAAGACGCCCTGGTTGGTGCGTCTGCTCTACGCTTTCCAAGATCCCGACCACGTCTTCCTCGCCATGGAGTACGTTCCAGGTGGAGACTTCCGCACGCTCCTCTGCAACAACGGCGCTCTCAAGGAGGAGTATGCTCGATTCTACATGGCCGAGATGATCGTCTCTGTCAATGAGCTCCACCGCCTCGGCTACATCCACCGCGACCTCAAACCCGAAAACTTCCTCGTCGATTCGAGCGGTCACGTCAAGCTCACCGACTTTGGCCTCGCCTCGGGTGCGCTCAGCCCGGGCAAGATCGAGTCTATGAAGGCAAAACTCGACGCAGTCAAAGACACCGACTTTGTCTATCGTACGCCCGCCGAACGCGGATCCATGTACAAAAAGATGATCCAGCACACCCAGCACCGCGCCAACTCGATCGTGGGCAGCCCAGATTACATTGCACCCGAGATGCTTCGCGGACGCCAGTACAGCTTCGGCGTCGACTACTGGAGTCTCGGATGCATCTTGTACGAGTTCTTGTGCGGCTTCCCGCCCTTCAGCGGGAGCAACCCGGACGAGACGTTCGCCAACCTCAAGAACTGGCAAAAGGTGCTGCAGCGTCCTGTCTACGACACGCCCGAAAACATGCAGTTCAACTTGAGCGATGTAGCGTGGGACGCCATCACCAAGCTCGTCGACACGCCCGAACGCCGATACAGCAGCCTCGAGCCTGTGCAAGCGCACCCCTTCTTCCGTTCGCTAGACTTGAACCGTCTGCGTGAGCTCAAGGCACCGTTCATCCCCGAGCTCGAGAACGAGGAGGACACGGGCTACTTTGACAATTTTGAGGACCCTGCCGACATGGCGCGCTACAAGGATGTCCACGAGAAGCAGAAGAACGTCGAGGCGGTAAGCGAGAACGGCTCGGGCGCCGGAGGTCGCGCTCTCTGGGTTGGCTTTACCTTTGGCAAGAACCACCTCGGCGCGAATGGCAAGCCTCTCTTCCCGGCGTCGACGTCCAAGGACGCTTCCGACGCGTTCGCCACCATGTTTTAGATGCTGCACTACGGCACCTCGTAGCAGGCACCTGCTCGAGCCATGCCTTCACGGACAGTACCTCTTTGGACCTCACGATGCCTCTATCACTCTCTTTCTGCACGCTCGCTGTTTCTCTCGCTATACCCATCAGCAGCGCTGCATGCAGGTCTTGTCTTGCTTGCCTTTAACCTGTAGCGGCGCCATTCTGACATGCCTGTCCATCTCAATATCATTTGTCCCTCTTTTGCTGCGCTCCCGTTGTCGGCGAGGCTTTTCCCAATCACTCGTGAGCCTGGTATCTGGAACCTTTGCGCTGCTTCACGCGAACCCGAGTATTGACTGGATTCGGACGAAATGACCTCTAGGCGGATGCTCCGATATGGAGCTGAGGCGCAGCGGCAAATGCTGTCTTCTCCGGATCTTGCACAAAGAGCGTGTGAACATCGCATCTAGCCATCAAACGACAGAGCGCGTGCCGCGATCCGAATCGGCTTGGACCCTTTGCACGCGAAGAAAAGCGTTGCTCTCGAGTGTGACTCTGGATTTTTCGGCAGAATATCCGAGCGGCCATCATCTCAAAAGTGATTTCAACGTCTCGTGGACCCTTTCCTCTCCTTTCATCACCCTAAGACCGAATGCAGTTGACTTGCCAATTCCACTTCCCTCTCGCAGCAGCGGCTTCGGCTCGATTCCGCTTGCTACATCTCATCAACAGCCCTTTCCGCACCCTCTTCGGTCGTCACAGCCACACGATCACTATCAGTACTCCTCTTTGCGCTCGTTGATCGCAGCTGCATTGCTCAACCATCGACTGCGGATCATCTCCGACCACCTGACCTCGATCGCAAGCCGTCACGCGTTAACCCTCTCGACATCCGCCGTCCCACGCCTTGACACACAGCGATTCAAATCCGTCCACCGCGCCCTTCGCCTTGCTCCCGTCATCGACGGCCACACACACACATTCACACACATGTCGAATTCGGTGCGGCGCTATCGTGCATCGGCGCTCCGGTAGGCCAGCAGGCTAGTCATCAGTGGTCATGCCGTTGAGGCGGCGTGATTCCGCTCAGGCAAGCGGCTCTCGCTCTCAGCAACGCAAGTCGAAGTCACGTCGCTCAGAGGAAGCGCGCTCCGACACCGCAAGCCCTTCTTACTCTACTCCGTCCCCGTCTTATCCGCACACCAACGGATCCGCATCCACTTCGGATCATGCACGTCGTGCTAAGCTCGGCGATTTGTTCTCGTTCCGCAACGCCAGCAGGAGCGTCAAAGCAGCTCAGCTCTGCATCGAGCTGCTCGACAGCAGCGATGAGGAGGCAGCCCCATACATCACCGCCCTGTCACACCAGCGAAAAGACGAACCAGACCTGGATGACGTCGTCACTCCCGAACTTCCTCCCGCTGATGAGTTCGCGCCGCCACTTCCGAGCTCACCCTCCGACACGTTCGCAACGCCAGAGCCGCCACCAACAGACGTCATCGTACAAGCAGAGGTGGACATTGCTTCCGAAAAACAGCTCGATCTGGACGGTGAACGCGAGCCTAGTCCTCCGATAGAGTCGCCGCCAGATCCGCTGGCCAACCAGCGTCCGTTATTCGATCCCAAGGAGCTCGAGATGCAGCCTCTCTACGACGAGCTCAAAGTACTCCTCGAGACCGAGCAGATCAGCGATGCAGACGACGACGACGAAGATTACGAACAGCGTCGTCTCCGCAAGTTGCGTGCCAACGACGCACTCCTTGCCCAGCTTGGCCTGGCTGGAGCGAATAGCTTCTCGGTTCCTGTAGAGGAGGCAGACGCGGGCTCTGACCATGCGCAGGATCAAGACGACGGCCAATCTCCGGTACCTCAGCGTGAGACTCCAGCTCGTGGCCGAGGCCGACCTGCAAAGCGTGGTCGCTCCAACTCGGCGCGCCCTTCCGATCCCGCGCTCGAGACGCGCACACCGAAGAGGAAGAAGTATCCTCCCAAAGTCAAGTTTGCAGACGACGGTACCACCAAATCTGCGCCGCCAAAAGGACAAATCTTCACCGTCGCCTTTGTCGAGATATCGTCGCTGCGCAACCGAGCGAGGAACGATTACGTATTCATTCGTGATGTGCCTGACATTCGACCAGAAGATCTGGTCTCGTGGAGTGAAGACGAGGACGAGCAAGAAGACGACGCCGATGCAGAGGATGAGATCGAGGCAGATTTGGTGGACCAGAAGGAGCCCCGCAAGGGGAAGCGTGCCCGGCAACCCGACGTGCTCCCGGACGGCACCATCCTGTCGTCTTGCCACCAATGCAGACGCAAGACGTCTAATCTCAAGATGCATTGCAGCAGGGTAGGATGTACGCTCATGTTCTGCCAACGCTGCATCACTATTCGTTACGACGACGTAGTTTTCAATCCTTCCGCTCTAAACTTCGTCTGCCCAAAGTGTCTTGGCTTTTGCAATTGCTCAATCTGTCTCAGGCGTTCAGGTCTCGGCGACTTGGTTCACCAGACCCGAGATAGGTTGGCCTTCTCTCGAGGACGACAAAAGCACGCAACACAACACGGACCTGACGGCGAAGAAGTTAACGCCGGCGACAATGGCGCAGACAAGGCCGCGTTCGCAAACGAAGGGGAGACAAAACTCAAGAAACGCAGATCGTACACTGAGACGGTCAAGAACAAGTCTTCCGACAGTGACTCGCTCGTTCACGGTCCGTCAAAGCGTCGCGGAAGGCCGCCCAAGAAGCGAGAGGCAGGTCTTGCCTTTGTACCGGTCAAGATCGAGCTGGACTTGTCCGATGAAGTTGCCGAAGGAGAAGTTTTCAGTCCGCTGGAGGAGTACGTCCTTGGCAGGTTACATGTGGCTCGACGCATCCTCAAATTGATGGCAGGCAAGCAACCCGTCACAAAGAAGGCTTCTTCCTCAGACGTTATCACATCGAGGTCAAAGCTTATCGTGAAGCTCAGGGCTCGACCGCTTGCTTTGGCCGCAGGGAGGACATTCACGGTGGCCGAAAGCACCGAAGACCAGAAGCTGGCTGATAGCTCCCAAGGGACTTTGGCTCACCCGGTACAGAAGAGCACAAAGACACCGAACTACCACGATGCGGAGAAAGACGTCTGGGTGCGCAGCGCCGCCGATTACAGCGCATCAGAGTCCCAGAACGGCTCGGCAGACGACGATGAGGAGGACATGCTCGACGCGGACGAGACAGTATTTGAAGAAGGTCGCACTCAAACCTTCGCAGCATCGCTTCTACAAAGTCAGGATCCGAATAGCTCAACAACCAGCAGAAGGAGCTCGCCCCTGACCAGCTTGGACGAACTCGATGACTCGTCTGACGTGTCTTCTCAATTCGACAACGCGGCCAACGACGTCTCCCGCGAGGCCGACGATTCCGGTGAGGAGCCCGACACGTCGACACAAGCATCTGCAGAAGTTCCCTTTTCTTCATCCTCGCTCGGCATGCCGCAGCACATGCAACAGCTCGCTCTTGCTGTATTGGATGACCACGGCGAGTCCGACAAAGTGATGCAGGCAGGTGTTGTGCGACTTCAAGACTCGTTGGTGTTTCCATCTGTCTCTGGCCCGGAAGTCGGGCATTTGGGTGGTTCGCTCAACACGCAATCAGGCGCAGCTACGCCGCGATCGTTCAGAGACGTCGCATGTGCGGATCTCGACGACGCATAAATCAAGCACAGTTTCGATTCATCGATGCACTCGAGGCCACCGGACTCACCAATCTTGCGTCCTCTTTCCAAGCGGCAATGCCTTGGCCGCAGCGACTGAGACAATGGCTCAAGCACGAGCAATCTGTATAAAGTATCAATTGTAACAGCATTATTTTGTACCAGGTAGAATGGTGTTTGATTCCATCCGTTGTGATTTGAGTTGAGTTAGGGTGTATGCGCGGGTCTGGTTGGTGCGATACCGACCGAAGCTCGGAGCTAGATGAAGCGTGAGTTCAGCGAGCTACTTGGCGAAGGGGTGGCTCACTTGAAGCCGAGGAACGACTTGAGGGGCTCCCAGCCGAGGTTCAACTGTTGAAAAAGGGAAAGAACATGTCGAAAAAAAGGGAGGATTGTCAGCAATTGGATCAATTTGTAGCGGGAAATGCGGGCGAGACGTACGTTGTAAAGACCGGCGCCGACGGTGACAGCGAGGGTGACGATGGCGCCGATGGGACGACCGATAGCGGCCGCGTTTTCTGCCTGGATGCCGATGTTGGCGTGGGCGACACGGGCGGCGAAGAGGGTGGTGTAGGCGGCGTGGACGAGCGAAGTGGGGGCACCGTTGAGTTCAGCGAGGAAGATGAGGAAGAAGGCAAAGGGAGCCGACTCGGCAAAGTTGCCGTGAGCACGGACGGCACGCTGAAGCTTGGCGACCTCGGCGGGGGTGTTGACCTTCTTGTCGCCGGGACCGTGGACCTTGTCGGCATCGCCGGCGCCAAGGTAGACGTTGGTGTTGATTCGGTTGACGATGACGTTGGCCGAGAGGTAGGAGTAGTAGCCGGCAAAGAGGGCCGAGTGTGCCAGAGAGGCCTGCATAGGTCGATGGAATGGTTGCGCGGGAGAATGTCAGCTGATGAGGGTCGCCAGATGGGAGAGGCGGATGGCACGAAATCGAAACTTACAGGGCTGAGAACGAAGAGAGGCATAGTGGATTTAGTTGGATGTGTGTTGACAGTGATGGTATCAGGGTGAGTTTGTTGTGGTGATGGTAGACTGCAAAGGTTTGAGGAAGGATTGCGGATGGAGTGGACGATTCCGATTTTGTGAGAGTCAGCCTAGACTGCTCTAACTGTACGACGATGATGCCATCAACTTGAGCATTCCTGCCTTGTTTCCTTTGCGCGGTCAAACGTTAGAGTGGAGGCTGCTCTGCCAAAAATGCACGTGCCATCAGGGCTGCGCTAGCTCACACGCACGGTACAGAGACAGGGCGAGTCGATGCCAGAAAGGGGTCTTAAATCTCAGCGCGCCACGCGAGACGCCAGCAGCACAGCCAGTCAAGATATTTGCTGCTCGGCTTCGACTTGGCTTGCTGAGCCCATTGAGCGACACCGCGGCCCGAAGTTGAAATTCTGGCTGCAGCCAAGAATGCAGTCTCAGGCATGGCTGTGCGCTTTCCCAGAGCATGTTGAAGCGCTGCAAGTGTGACTTTGAAATAGAGATTAAGTTGTTGCATACTGCACCGCACACGCACACCTTCGCTACCGTGCCTTTGGCGGATACTCGTCTCCTCGTCATCAACCTCGCGTCCACCACCACCATCACCTCCCTGGCCATCATCGACACGCACAGCCAAACAACACCATGTCTGCACAGAACGACAGCCGCTATGACCCTTACATTCCTTCGGGAAACGCTAGCTCCGACCCTTCCGGCGGCGGTGCCAACTTTTCCAACAACAAGACGGCTCGCATCCACTCGGAGATCGACAACACCATCTCGATCATGCGCGACAACATCAACAAGGGTGGGTTAGCTCCAAATTGATTCGTTCAGGCACGCATCGCGGTATCGTTGCTGACTTGAAATCTTTGCCTTGACATTCGCTCAAACGCTAAATCTGGACACCCACAGTCAACGAGCGTGGCGAGAACCTCAACAGCCTTCAGGACAAGACTGGTACGTATACATCACACGGGATCATCCGCATGCGCCAACCTGATTGCGGGGCGATAAACATATGACGGAGCGCGCCGTATTGATCATCTCGCTCTGCTCGCTCTGCAATACTCTACTTGCTTCATTGTCCTTCGTACAGATAACCTCGCCGTCTCCGCCCAAGGCTTCCGACGAGGCGCCAACCGTGTCCGCAAACAGATGTGGTGGAAGGACATGAAGATGCGAAGTAAGTTTTTTCCTCAAGCATCAAGCGACCTCCGACGTGCAACGCTTGCTAACAAACGATCTGCTCTATTCCGCTAATGCCACCGATCCCGAACCTGGATTGCATCGTAACAGTCATCATCGCAAGTAAGTATGCTCCGTACAGTCTGCGGATTTGCAGACTGAAGGCTTCCATGGTCGAGGACTGGCGCTGACCTACGATTTAAATCGTTCCTCTATGATCCTATCATCTTTCGGCTCTTTCTCAACAGTCGGCATCGTCATCCTCCTCTGCGTCATCATCAGTGAGTATGATTCGTTGCAGCTTTCGGCCCTGCAGAAGCTGTTTGCGCGATAGGAAGTGGCAGATTCGGACACTTTTACTGACCTCGCGAGCTCCCAATCTCTTTTACACTCTGCAGTCCCCATCGTCGTCAAGCACTGATTGTGTCCCGACCTTCGATCTACAATCGGTCTCGACGACGCTGTCTCCTCTCTTTGTATGCTGTTTGCTCTTGTACAATACCCTTCATAACGACAACATTTTCTCGCAAAGCACGTCTGCAGCATTGCTTCCAGCAAGCGAACGTAGCTGTGAGACATCGAGTGACATTGCGAGCGTGGGTCCCCTCGCCTTTCCTGATTCCTCCGCGCATTGCGAGCGTTGTCAGTCACATCCTCGTGATGGTAAGATCTCTGTGTCTGAAACGGTTCAAGTCAGCTTCGCACAGGCGGCGCAAGACGATCTCTGTGCGTGAGAATCACTCGGTGCGTCTAGAACATGCAACGTTGTGTCCACATTGCGACCAAGGTTCCGCTCCGAATCCCGATTCCAATTGCAACAAACTCGATTGGGCGCAGCACAGCAGCATTTGGATTTTCCTTCCGATTACGCGATGCAGCAGCTGATCCGAAATGTGAATCGTCCCATCCACGTCTCTTGCAGCTTTTCTTCCAAAAGTCACACCATTCATAAGCACCACCATCCACGTCACCCCTTGCCCACATTCCAAGACCACCCGAGCTCAATCTCTTTCCGGACAGCTAATCGAAGTCGCAACATCCTTCGCTCTCGTTAGCGATATTCCCACCAGCGACTAGGTTTCCTTCGCCCCTCAACATGATCTCCGGACCGTCAAGAACCATGCTGGCGGCGTCGAGCAGAACAAGGCTTGCAGACGCTGTCGTCACAGCCAAGCTCGCCAGGTCCGCACCCTTGCAGCGTACGCTCGCCACCGTCGCCAAGAACCAGAGCAAGCCACCCACCGGTGTGCTGCTCATGAACATGGGAGGTCCCTCCACATCCACCACAGAGGAAGTGGGTGATTTTCTCTCGCGCCTCTTTCACGATCGAGAGCTCATCCAGCTTCCCTTCCAGTCCCGACTCGCTCCGCTCATCGCACGTAGGAGGACACCCAAGATCGTGGACCAGTATGAAAAGATTGGTGGCGGATCGCCCATCTTGCGTTGGACCAGGACGCAGGGCCAGGCCATGACCGAGTTACTCGATCAGCTTCACCCAGAGACCGCCCCCCACAAGGTCTACGTCGCCTTCCGATACGCACGACCTTTGACCGAAGAGGCGCTCGACGAGATGGCCGAGGACGGCGTTACGCGTGCCGTTGGTTTCACTCAGTACCCTCAGTACAGCTGCAGTACCACCGGTAGCAACCTCAACGAGCTCTACCGCGAGATCCAGAGGCGTAAGGAGCGCGGCGCACCGGAAGCCAACATTTCTTGGTCGCTCATTGACCGTTGGCCAACCCACCCTCTGCTCGTAGAGGCGTTCACCAACCGTATCCAAGCCGTACTCGACACGTATCCGGAGGAGAAGCGCAACAAGGTTCCCATCATGTTCAGCGCCCACTCGCTTCCCATGCAAATTGTTTCGGGTCGAGGAGACCCATACCCAGCGGAAGTCGCAGCCACCGTGGCTGCCGTCATGACGCGCTTGAAGTGGAGCAACCCTTACCGACTTACATGGCAGTCGCAGGTAGGCCCCGCCGCTTGGCTCGGGCCGCAGACGAGCGACACCATCAAGGGCTGGGCCAAGCAGGGCCACAAGGACGCCATTGTCGTTCCGATCGCCTTCACCAGCGACCACATCGAGACGCTTTACGAGATCGACATTGAACTGCAGGAGGAGGCCGAGGAGCACGGCATCACGCTCAAGCGTGCCGAATCGCTCAACGACGAGCCCACCTTTATCCGGGCAATGGCAGAGATCTGCGCTTCGCATCTCTCGGCAGTGGAGGGCACACCAAGCAGGATCGCCGACGAGAAGCGTGGAGAGGATGTTTGGAGCCAAGGCTTTACCAGCAAGCAGATGCTGCTCCGATGTCCCGGTTGCGTCAACTCGGTGTGCGGCGAGCAGAAGGCTTTCTTCGGCCGTACCTCGCAGTAAAAGATGGAGCTCGGCCTAATTAAAAGTCGCAACATTGCACCGAAACCATCGCAGACCTTTGCACTCTTTAATTGTCTATCCTGGAAACCCCCTGACCGTTGATTGCTGCGAAGAATGTGCGGAGTGAGACATGCTTAGACTGTGTCATCGTCGTAGACGAATCGGCTGTCTTTGGGCGAGAGAGGTGCGCGTTTGACATAAGCGTCGTTGTCTGGCGGCCTCTGAAGCTGCTTGCAGCTGGCGAGCATGCTTTGCAAAGTGAGCAATACTGAGCTGATTGTGAGTACAGGCGACCATTCGTTGCCCAGGATGGAGGCGCAGATGTGACCGTTGCTGTAGACGTGTGGATGCTGTTGTCACCGGTTGGATTGAGGAAATGATCGAGTCAGCATGACACGTGAACGGCAAGGAACAGCCAGGCAGCTGACCCGTTAAGAGCGAAAGACTTACGATGGGCGCCTGGAAGCCGTCTGTGACCAGGAAGACGACTTCGGGACTCTCCATGGGATAGGAGTCGGAGAAGCGAAAGCGAAGGCCAAACTTTTGGTCTCGGTAGAGGCTTTCACCAAGCACCTGTATAGAGAATTGCCATTCCTGCAGATCGTCGGCCTTGATGATTTCGCATCCTTCCGGTGCGCCCTTGACTCTGATCTCTGAACTGTTGGTGTATCGAGGGGGATGGTGAGTCAAATGAGCTTCTGAGCCCTGTGAGAAGTACGTGCGGTTGAGAGACTTACAGCTCCTTCTGGAGACGCTTGGTAGCGATTCTCATCTCTGCAACTTCCGTAGACTTCAGGCAACTGCGTGAGCGCTCCGACGACGGCTCGATAGGCGGACAGATGAAGACAGAGCACGAGTTGCGCCGATGAGTGAACTAAGGATGAGCATTTGTGGGGAAGTGTCGAATGTAGATCTCCGACTGAGCCTTTCGATACGCAGCTCTCTCGCTCTTTCCCTCTTGTCACATTTCACACGCGCTGTTTGAATGAATCTCGAGTGGAGGGTGCAACTAGTCGATCGGGATCGATCGGCTCTTCCGCTCCACTTTTCTTGTTCCCACAGCCGAGCGCAACGCTTGAAGGGTCCTCCTTGCAAAGTCACAAAGCTCATCTTTCTTCGTCACGCTCTCCGTCGCCAACAATTCTGCATCCCACCATTCTGTCGGCACCTCCGTTTCAACGCAGAGCGCTTAGTCACGATCCGCTATAGCTGCAGAGCACAGCTCATCTCGTGACGGCTCTACTTGCCGCTCTCACGCTTTGACTGCGGAACCAGCATCACCACGCGCTTGCTTTGTCAGGATTGATCGCCTGCTGTGCTTCTTCGCGCGGAACGCACGGCATCTTTCGCCATCATGCCCGAGCCATCAGGTAGTCTCCCGCTCGGCGGCTTCATCGCCATCAACCACGCAGGCATTCCCGTGGGCTCGGACTCTCACGGCATGGATCTATCTCATGGCGCTGGAAGCCTCGATATGCTCGACTCTCTCCTCGGTCGTTCGCTTGACTCCCATCTTCCTCCATCACGCCGTCCTAAAGTAGCAGAGTCGCGCAAGAAGGAGCTCGATGCGAGCGAAAAGGCGCTGGCAAAGATCTACGAGTCGTTCGAATTCGATCCCCTTTGGTCCAAGCTCAGCGACGTGCTGTCACGTATGAAGAACGACCCCGGTGCGGCTCAAATACTTCTACCTTTGATCGAGAGCATGATGGTCATTTCTCAGAACATCACCAACACAGATACCGAGTCCCCGAGCGCTCCTGGCGAGGTCCGACCACCACATAGCCGTTCTTCCACTCAGGGCGGTCCCAAGTCACCACGACAAGTCATGGAGGACAACTTCTTCGCCTTTACAGAGAAGCATCGCAAGATCCTCAACATTATGGTACGCCAGAACCCTTCCCTCATGTCCGGATCCTTCGCCTTGCTTGTCCGCAACCCAAAGGTGCTCGATTTCGACAATAAGAAGAACTACTTCACCCAGCAGCTCCACAAAGGTCGACGCGATCACTATACCCCCCTTTCCTTGTCTGTTCGAAGGAATTCCGTCTTCGAGGACAGCTTCCGCTACTTTTCTAGGAAGACGGGCCCCGAGGTCAAGCACGGCAAGCTCAACGTCCGCTTCAACAACGAAGAGGGTATCGACGCTGGCGGTGTCACGAGGGAGTGGTTCCAGGTCTTAGCCAGAGCCATGTTCAATCCAGACTATGCGCTCTTCCAGCCCTGCGCCGCCGATCGCACCACGTACCAACCCAATCGCATGTCCTACGTCAACCCAGACCATCTCTCCTTCTTCAAGTTCGTCGGACGCATCATTGGTAAAGCCATCTACGACGGTCGACTCCTCGACGCCTATTTCACACGCAGCTTCTACAAGCACATCCTGGGCAAGCCGGTCGACTACCGTGATCTGGAGTCCATCGACCCAGAATACTTCAAGAGTCTCGAATGGATGCTCAACAACGACATCACAGATATCCTCGACCTCACCTTCAGCGTCGACGACGAAGAATTCGGTGAGACAAAAGTCATCGATCTCAAGCCCAACGGGAATACCATCGCAGTCACCGAGGCCAACAAGCAAGAGTACGTGCGTCTCGTCACTGAACAGAGGCTCACAAAATCCATTAAATCGCAGATAGACGCCTTCCTTGGCGGCTTCAACGAGATCATCCCTTCCGACCTTATCCGCATCTTTTCCGAGCAGGAGCTCGAGCTTCTTATCTCGGGTCTCCCAGACATCGATGTCGATGCCTGGAAGAACAACACAGAGCTGCACGGTTACAGCTCTGGCGACGCCGTCATTCAGTGGTGGTGGCGTGCCGTCCGATCCTTCGATCAGACCGAGAAGGCTAAGCTACTACAGTTTATCACCGGCACCAGCAAAGTGCCGCTCGAGGGCTTCGCCCACCTCCAAGGTGTGCAGGGAACACAGAGGTTCAACATTCACAAGGCTTACGGAGCCGATCGATTGCCAGCAGCGCATACATGCTTCAATCAGCTCGACCTGCCCCAGTACGAATCGTACGAAAAGCTGCGATCTTCGCTCTTGCTGGCCATGACCGAAGGCGGAGAAGGTTTCGGCTTCGCCTAGACGATGCAGACGCCGGGGAGTGCGCATGCCTCACTTTTCAGCGTCGACCTTGTCGCAGAATCGGATCAGCGAACGCATGATCGAGATCGCTCCGGATCTGTAGCCTCCTCTGAACATGAGCAAATCTATCAAAGCCACAACATGCAGATCAAGACACACAAGACTGTGTCAGAGCAATTCGTGTCTGTGATCGTTAAGGACCCTGAGGCTTGCACACTTACGGTTCAGGCTGTGGAAAACGTGAACAGGAAAAGGGCGTCAGTCAGCACGAGTTTCGGAATCCCACGTGTCGCCATGCGAATGCAAGCTGAAGAATTCAGAACTCACTGGTGGTAGAGCTCGTAGAGTCGCAGCCTTTCGTTGTAGTACGGCTCTGTTCGGGGAATGACCTCGTGATAGGCGTCAAAGAAGTCCTGTGTGAAGCCTCCAAACATGTTCATGATTCCGAGTCTGTATCCCGCCCAAACGTCAGTTCCGGCAAAAGCAGTTCCCACGTTTGCATCACAGCGACTCACTCGGCTTCGTTGTGACCGTAGTAGCTCGATCTGCGGTGAGGTGGGGAGTAGTGTGCGGTAGTTAGCGTCATTCGGAGGAAGTCGGCCCGAAAAGCAAGAGTTGATAGGCTTACGGACTGCACAGCACGGAGAAGAGAATGACAGGGTCAGCGAGGCAATTCAAGCGCAAAAGCCAGGTCTCTGGCTTCTGAACCCGCAACTCACTCAAATATGGCTGGCTCGCCAGAATCGACGACTGTACCCGCATTGCCGGACCTGTACAGATTCAGCTCCGTAAAAGGTCAGAAGCACAATTGAAACCTAGGTGACCGGGCTTCTGTTCGGAAACTAACCACAAGTCTCCGTGCAAGATGCTCGGCTTGACCTTCCCTTCCAGCGGCGCTAGGAGGACTGGATATACTCTGTGCGAGGGGCCAACATCCGCGGTCAGTCCTTTCAGCGAGTTGCATTGTCGTCAGAAGAAGGTGTCAGGTTGTGCACGCACTTGCTTCGCATCTGTTCTTCCAGGTCCTTTAGCTCGGCGTCGTTCTGCTCGGCATTGATTCGTCTCACCAGGTCACCAATTCTTTGGTCCGCCCAGAACTTCGGCCAAGATATGTTCCAGCTGTTGTCTTGCCTCTGCGAGACAAGAGACATCGGTTGAGTCAGCTACGTCATACCATGAAGCAGCCTGGTTCGTCATGTTGTCGTGCAATAGACTCACCGTCACCCCGCAGTAGGTGGCTACCCCAAAGCCGAAGCGACCTTCCTGGTTGATGCCCTTCTTGTGCATTTCGGCCAGCCTGCTTCCCAGTCTCTTTTGCCCGGCCTTGTTGATCGACGACTTCAGCTCCAGATAGTCGGTGATCAGGTAGGCTCGCCCGTCGGCGGCCTTTCCCGATGCGTGCACTTCTGGTGTCAGCCTGACCTCCGCACCACCGTCGTCGTCGCTACTCAGGGCTGAGCCCATCGCTTTCAGGCTTTCCGCTTCTCCAAGGGTCTGCTCGACCGCATCATCGATCTTGGCGAACAGTTTTCGTCCACTTGGCTGTGCTGCCACGCAAGAAGCGCCCCGTGATATGAACTGGCTCCCGAGATGAGAGCACTCGCCACGTAAGATCGACTCGAGAGTCTTGTCGAGAGCCATGGTCGAACAACGTCCACAGTCGTGAGTTACCTTAGCGGGGCCTTGTGTAGCTAACTGAGAGATCGAGATGTGAGAGTGTAAGTCTCCTCGCAGCACATCGATGATGAATCATTCGTGAGAAGCAAGCGGAGGTTTTGCGCGGGTTGTGCTCCGTGCTTTCAGGGTCCAAGCCTCCACATCGAGCCGAGCATTTTAACAAATTGGCTTCTTTGCAAGTCACAAAAAAACACTCGACAAATATGTTGGCTAAACATTGCTCTGACATGTCATAGTTTTGCTTATTTTGTCGATTTTGCCGCCTTCTTGATTTTGCTCTCACATTACTGTCTTCAGTCGTAAGTTTATGCCAGGGTTTCATGAATTGAAATACGTTGATTCGGTCAGTTTTTCATGCCGTCGACGGAACAGCGCGGAACAAGAATGCACCTCAAAGCGAAAAGCACCGATGAAACCCTGAGATTTCGCTACGTTCCAAGGGCAGGCCCATGTGGAATGGGTCTGTATCAATATGGCCTGGATGTAGTTGCTGAAGGTCGCAGGTAATATTTGAAGAAAAGTTTGAAAAGGCTTCAGAAGAATTCAATGTCGAGATAAGTGACGGGCCGAAAAGACAAGAATTTGTCTAGCTAGATAAGTCTGAGTGATATCGTGATTTTTTTCGTCTCATTCTGACACTTGCTGCTTTCAACTTGAATTTTATTGAGATTCTTTCTAGCTCTTTCGTGTTCGATGTGCTTGACATCCGGTTTTTTCATCTTCAGGTCGGTCAAAAAAAGTTTTTTGAACAAATCAGATGCTCGACTAGTCATGGGATCGAATCTCTCAACATTCAGGCGAGAATTAGTTTTGTAGTCATTCTTTCGCACCTGTATGAATTTTGAATTGTCAAAAAGACCGCTGCTGGCAAGAGTGGGAGTTTGCGAAACAGGCCTAAGCAAACCTATAATGATTTGGACCTACAGGCAATCACAGCAACGCGAACAGCCGCTGCGCGATCTTGTCGCAACATTGTGTAATGAACTCATGGACGACAAATTCCACCATGACGTAAAAAAGGGTCCAGACGCAACTCGCCAATTGTTTGTGTTCAATCTATGTCCTCGCGCTCAGCACGCAGAAAGCATCGGCCAAATCTGACGCGTTATCGATCGTTTGGGACGATTGAGTGTAAGGATTGCATCATTACTTTCGTCTTTTATCGAGACAATACTTCCTTTGGACAGTCTTTGCGTACCGACGAGAGCTGAAATTGTGTGATGGGTTTACGGCGCCCCAAGACGCCAAAGACGACTCGGATGATCGCCATCGTAGTGGTCAGTGGCTGTCAACGTTTGCTCAAGGCTTTGCAGCAAGGAACGACAGGACATACCCTCAAAGATGAGGATAGATAACTTCGACATGGGGGGACCTTGAGCACAGAGGCAGCTAAGTGGTAAAACAAACTCGACCTAGTCCGGTGCAGAGGCGGGACACGAATCGAGCAAGACACATTGCAGCTGAGGTTGCTCACGGGATGAGAGGCAGCTCACAGGTCATGATCGCGGGCACAGCCGGCAAGCACATAAGTCATGTTCCAGGTGTAGCGATTGTATTCCATCAGCAAAGTACACAGGTGGCGATCGCGAATGATCCGTTGAATCCATGACTGAGAAGACCTCAGGAGAGCGGCTGCGGAAGGAAGGTCAGACCAGCTCATCTTGGACTTGGCTAGGGCGAAAGGGCCATCGGAAAGCTCTCTTGACCTTGGACAAATTGCGACTTTGCTCTGCATCGCCTTCTTGATCTTCGAAGCTGTGTAGGCCAGTATGCTCGGCGCTGCTGCTACGATCGAGAGGCAAGAAGCCGCTGCTCGCGTTGAAGTGGGGCAACGAGTCGGCACTGGCATTGGCGCCACCTGATGCCCATTGCATCTTCTGGCGGCTGCCGCTGCGAAGGTCGGACTGCCAGACATCGAAAGCAGACCAAGATCGCCGGCCATCCTCTTCGGTTGCAACGCTGGGCTGGAAAGCCTGCTTGATGGCCTCAAAATTGGAAGCATTTTGCAGAGAGGGGTTGCCGATGGCCTGCGTGCCATGAGGCATCATCTCTCGGACGTCGACAGCCGACGCAGCGTTGGCGCGACGGAAGGCATTGCGCAAGACACTGGTGCCGAGATTGTCGTACGCATCGGCGTGAGCATTTGGCATCTTGTTGTGCGCGAGGGTGGGGTCTGCGTCGAAAGGACTCGACATGTACGGCTGTGCTGCGAGGGCACGTTCCTCCATGCGAGCCAAGCTATCTACGAGCGGATCGGGGGTGGAAGCCAGATGTGCATACATAGCCTCGTTGCCTGCCAAGTTGTTGTACTCCATGACAGGGTTCCACATGTAGGGCGAAGCATCCATTCTGTCCTGTTCTCGGTGATCCGCCTCCTGAGCATTGCGATGAATCATCTTTTCGAGCTGCAATTGATCCTGAGCAGCTTGCACATCTTTGCGGAGACCATCCATCTCGCTTCGCAACCTGTCAGCCTTCTCTTTGGCCTGAGAGATGAGACTTGAGATCTCTGCGGAGCGCTGTTGACGCTTTTCGGTCTGCAAAGCCTTCTGTGAACTGATCGCAGCTCGACGTTTGTGAAGCATGTCAGCCTTGTCCTTTCTCTGCTGGATACTAGCCTGTTTGAGGGCACGAACAGCATTTGCGGTCTTGAGCCGCCTTTCTGCCTCACGTCGGGTGCTCTCGACCTGCCTCTTGCTGTCGTCCAATGCTTTGGTCCTGGATTTGACGTCGAAACGAACCTTCTCCTCCTCCTTCTTCTTCAAGCGAGCCTCTTCCAAGTCTGCTTCGAGGGCTTCGCATGTGCGAGCCGAAGCGCTCTTGACCAGAGAGAGCTGCGCTTGAAGGTCGAGGATATCGGTTTGAGATCTCGAGACCAAGGCGGTGAGACTGAGGCAGTCTTGAGAGTCGGCTTCGGAGAGAGTCTCCTTCGGCACGGTTGCTGTCGAGGGTAATTGCGGGGGAGCAGCGACGCGGGCGGTGGACTCAACAGTGGATGATCGGCGGGAGAGGGCAAGGTTGGCGCCTTCGTGTGGACTGATGTGAGAGGCTTGGATGGAGCTGCGGCGAGACTGCGGGTCAGGGTCTATCGAACGCATCTCAAGGACGCCCCATTCTGGGGCATCAGTGATGTTCTCTTCGAGCTCTAGCCGGCCGTTTTTGAGCTGTCGAGGCTGGTTGGACGGAGGCGCTGCAGGAAGGTCTGGAATGGCGTACCCGAGGACCCACCATTTGCCAAAGGCGCCAATGAAGAGAGAGGTACAATCAACAGTGCCGTCTGATTTGCAAGAAGCGCGATGAGTGGATGTTGTGTGCTGTGTAGGAGTTCGATGTTGATTGTCGAGGGTGCTGCTGCGTGCGGGAGTGCTTTGGGAGATGGTGACAATGGAAAGCAGGCCGAGGTCCTTGCGATGAAAGGGTGGCGTGCGGACCGAGAGTGCCACCTTTGCTCCAAAAGTGAGCGCAAAAGGACCCGTGGAATACGATGACGTAGAGAGCAGCGAAGAGAAGGCATTGGGGTCGGATTTGCGTGCCGCAGTGGACTCGGAAGTCGAGGCGCTGGCCGCAGCGTCGGTGTCGGGCAGCTGCGATTCGGCAGCATCTTGATCGTGATTCAGCAGGCGAAGACGCTCGCGAAAGACGAGGTCGGTAAGGAAGGGTCTGAAGGAAGCGTCGTCAGGATTGGTCCAGAATGCGAAGAGAAGGACGATGCCGATGAGGGTCCAAGCCCAGAGGAGCGCCTGAATATCGTCGAGCTGCAGCATGGATCTGAGGATGGATACGGGAGTGATGGGAAGCGGAGCATCCCTGTGTCGATGGAAGAGCGATTGAAACGCATTGGAAGGTGTGAGGTTGATGCTGGGATCTACAGCGGGGACATGGTGATGGCGGTCCAAGAGGAAGCCGAAGCCTCCACGCACGACGTCGCTCACGCCCATTTCAAGTGAGGGTAGGCGTCAAAGCGACGTGACGCTTGAACTGAGCATGTAGACGCGCAGGAAAGCAGCGGGTGCTGAGTCGTCGCGGAGAGTGATCGGTTCGGAGAATCGAGTGTGATGTGTTGGGAGGCGATGTCGGCCTGCGATCGAGTTTTGCGGTACAGGTCCGAGTGCTGCAATTGGTACAGTCACCGAGACCTGTGTGCTGAAGGAGTCAGCAGCGGCGCAAGAGTGCGAAGGGCTGCTCTATATCGGAGGCAAGGTTGAGGAGACAAGGGAAGCAACCAACTAAGCAAGCATCCGACGATAGTTCCATCAAAGTTGGTCTAACGTTTTGATGCGGAAAAAACGATCCGCTGTCAAGCCACTTTAACTTGTGACTGACTCCCTCATTCGGAAAGGCCGAGGCAGGCCAAATTTCCAAAATGAAATACTGCAGCACACTCTTCTGAGCTATCGGCGCAAAAAGATCGCTCAATTTCGCCCGTCTGCCTCTGAGCTTCCGCGATTCTGTATGTTAACTCTTCTGGTTGCAGGTCCGTGGAATTTGGAAGAAATTTGCATCGGGGCACAGCCGACTGTTCTCAATCACGATTGCAGAAGGCAGCCTCGCGCGTCGGATTCATGGAATGAATAGCCGTGTGGATCGCTTGGGCACGAGAGCAGAGCAGAGTGGGTGGTGGGCGCGTAAAAAGGCGCGAGTGTGCCAGAAAGCTGAAACTGGCTAAAGGTGGCAGAAGTATTTGAAGACGACGCGTTTTGGAAATTGCCCCTTCCCTTCCAATTTGTCGCTTCGTCGCTTCTCCCGTTCTTCTCGTCGACCCTTGTTTCTGCCAGAGCCGGCCAGTCACGTCGACTACCAAAATTGCGCACCTCGCCGCATCCGCTCAGCAGCTCAAACGCACCGACCTCGCTTGATTCGTAGCCATCTTTCCTTCCGACTTCCATCCGTCACAACCACCCATTGATCCATCCATCCATTGACCCATCCATCGCAACCGTGCCCTAGTCGCTGATTGCCACTGATTCCCTTCGACGGTTCAACATTGCCTTCGCTTCTACACGGCACCCCGTCGCTCCTTCCATTCTCTCAACCCGTCATGTCCGACGCTCATCTTTTCGCCGCACCCGTCGGCGCTCCGGTCAACGGTCACTCCTCTGGGTCAGAATCCTCTGCCGCCGCCCCCGCTCCGAAAGTGGAGGTTGACCACGACGCGGCACCAAGCTTCCACTCGTCTTTGCCCGGGACCCGGCCCGAGTCGAACGATGCGCCCCTCGTACCACCCACGGCAGAGCCCATCTCCAGCGTCGGCATCCAGCCCGCCTCTCTCATCTCGGAAGCACAAGCTCAGTCCCAACACGTCGTCTCTTCGCAGCAGTCCCTTCCGCCAAAGTCAGAATCCACCTCCGATCACGCTTCCGAGCAAAACAGATCTTACGACGGCCCCATGGAACTGACGGCTGCCCAGCTAAAGTTTGCTCAGAGCACGCTCAAGTCGCTCAAGAGCCGACGCGAAGCCATCGCCTTCCTTGCTCCCGTCAACCCAGTCGCACTAGGCATTCCACAGTATCCGCAGATCATCACCAAACCGATGGACTTTGGCACCATCGACATCAAGTTGGCCCTCACCGCGCTCGTCCTCAAGCCCAACTCCAAGCCGGGAGACAAGGCCAAATCAGCACCAGAATGGGGTCTCGATCCATCCAGGGATGTCTATCGCCGCATGGTTGATTTCGAAACCGACGTTCGTCAGGTCTTTTTCAACTGCGCCACCTTCAACGGGCCCGACAGCCCTTACACCCAAAACGCACGCGTTCTCGAGGCCGCTTTTGACAAGTACATGAAGGACGTACCTGCCGCTACGTCTCCACTGGCCCAAGCTTCCGATCCTGCCGCTGCACGCGCCCGTCGTCCATCCAACCCCGTTCCGACTATCCGCCGCTCTTCGTCCGATGTTGGCGGTCGCCCGAAGAGGGAGATCCACCCTCCGCCTCCCAAGGATCTGCCATGGGCCAACGAGCCTCAGAGCGCTTCTTCCTCCGAGATGCGCAAGGCCGCGCGCCGCAAGGTGGCAAAGAAGGCTGGCAGTCTCTCGGCACGCGAGCAGGCCCACTACGCAAAAGTGGCTCAGGACGAGCTGCGATTCTGCACCAGGATCATCGACGATCTCCTCAAGCCTACCTTCTCCAACGTTGCCTGGGTCTTCTACGATCTGCCCACCATGGACTTCGACTGGGCGCCCGCATACTTTCAGATGATCAAGAAGCCGATCGCTCTGCGCGATGTCCAGAAGAACATCAGATCGGGCGAGTACGCGGATGCGCAGGAGTTCGATGCAGACATGCAGTTGCTCTTCCAGAATTGCTTCACCTTCAACCCGCCCGGCTCGGATGTCCACAATATGGGCGAGCAGCTCAAGTCGGTGTACGAGGACAAGATGTCACGCAAGCCCGCACCGGCTCCTTTGCCAGATTACGAAGAGAGCGACGTCGACGAAGACGAGGATGCCGAGGACGACGACGACGAGGTGGATCCAGCTCTGCAGGCTGCGCTGCAGGAGCAGATCTCGCAGCTCTCAGCCACGCTAGCCATGCTCGAGGGCGCCAAGAACCAGAACGCGGGCCTCATCGCCAACACAAAGACGATGCTTGCGTCGTTGCAGGAGAGCTACGCCAGCTCCGGTGCCTCCAAGAAGAGCAAGAGCAAGGCCTCCGGCACAAAGAGAAAGTCGTCCGAAAGCGGCGGAGCTTCCAAGAAGAAGAGCAAGGCAAAGGCAGCTGGCAGCCCGTCTGCGGCGGCCGCCGAGTACGTGCCGGCCAAGAAGACCAAGACGGCTGCGGCGCCCAAGAAGAAGCCCACACCGAGCAGCAAGAAGGCGAGCTCGAGCCGCAGAGACGACAACAGCGACGAAGATATCCGCAACGTCACGTACGAGCAGAAGGAGGAGCTGGCTGCCAAGATCACCGAGCTGTCGGAGGAGCGTCTGGACGGTGCGATCCGCATCATCAACGAAGACAAGCCGCCGAACCAGAACGACGAGGAGGAGATCGAGCTGGACATTGACGAGCTGTCTCCGAGGACGCTGTACAAGCTGTACAAGTACGTGGTGCGTCCCAAGAAGCCAGCGCCGGTGGCCAACAAGAACTCCAAGTCGGCGCCGCTCGACGGTCGAAAACGTGGCACGGGAGGCATCAAGAAGAAGAACCTGGACGAAGGGGAGGAGGCAGAAAGGATCGCACGTCTGCAGCAGCAGCTGGAGCAGTTTGGCAACCCGGACGCTGTCGGATCGGGTGGAGGTGCGGGAGGACACGACGATCTGGTGCATTCGGAAAGCTCTTCGGACGAGAGCGGATCCGACTCGGATTCGGACTGAAGCGAAGATCGTTGTGGCCCTGGTTGCACAATTCGGTCCAAGAAGGGCCCGAGCCGAGGCTAGGGCCAGGTTGCGGCACTGTGTCGGTGGCGCTCTGCGCTCATGTACTTTTAGCACACTAGACAAGAGATGCTCAGAAATGATTGGCAACTGCCACTTTGCATCCATTCTTCAGGCTTGCGATGTGAGTTGCTATGATCCGACTGGCTGGCTGCTCTCTGAGGCGTGCCGTGCGATGGTGACGAGTGAGAGCCTAAGGCACTGAGGGATGGTTGTTTGGACGGATCTAACAAAAGCGATACAAATCCATTGCTGTTGAGATGGAAGAGCGCGCTCGCTTAGCAAAGTGCAAAATTAAACTCCGCCGTTTTGCAAAGCTCACTGCGCTGCACTGCACTTGACTGATTGGCTTGCGGCGCCGCATCCTGTCACTCGAGCCGAATTTTTGGTGTTTGCCCCGTCTCACTTGACCTGCTTCAGCGTGCAGCAACATCATCGCTGTTCGCAAATATATATTTAAAAAAAAGGAAAAATTGCGCCCCGCTCTGGACTGCATCGCGAAAGGCATCATCAAGGCACAGAGAGGGGCGGTCGGCTGTCTCATGCGCCGTCTCGAAAAATGGTGTGAAAGTCGCAAGGTAGCAAGCAGCACTAGGAGAGAGGCGCAACCGATGCAGACTCGCTTATGCACGCCCTCGCTGAAGTGCAGTTTGCCTTGCCCATCTCAGACTCTTCGTTCTAAGGTGCTTGTTAGAGTTCTCGTGAGCGACGAGCACGATACAAGGTACCATTACATGTCCAAGCAAGCAACAAAACAAAAGGTCGAGAAAGGTGCAAGGAAGCGAAACAATGAGAGGAGAGGAGGTTTGAGCGGCTGCTACCGTGTGTTGAGGCAAGGTTGCTGCGTCACGAAATTAGACGGCCGACGACGGTCGATCCAATGCAACCAATCCAGTCGCATTGAGGACGGAAGGGCGGCGGATGGACTGAGCCAAAAAGAAAATCGGGGGATTTTCCCCGCATGTTTGGGTTGCAGCGGTTGCAGCCGTCGCTTGATTGATTTGCACAAACGCCGCCGCGGCCGCTGCTGCTGCTGCTGGTGTGCCTGGAAGACCAAGTGAAGCTCTTGCCTACTGCATTTTCTCATGTGCTTTTTTTGCTCAGGCTCCCATGCCGCAAAAACGCCAAATTCGGCGGGGCTTGAGCTGTTTGTAGGAGCGCAGGTCGCAAAGCACATGTCAGAATCGCACACTTGCTTGATGGCCGCTCTGCCGCTTGGAGAGATTCGTGCGTCTTGGAAGCTGACCTTCATCCTCATCCTCATCCCCGTCCTCCCTTGTTCATCCACAACCCTCAACCTCACCCTCATCATCCTCGACCGCGTCTCCTAGATCCTTTATCGTTCTGACGTGTTCGAGCCAGGGACCTGCTTGTTGCACAGCACGGTGGCCGCTCCATACCGTTCGACTTTGCCTTTCACCACCATCCACTCCATCCTCCTAAAAAGTCGAGCTTCCCACTCAACCGCACAGATTCCACACCCACTTGCCGACCATCCGCCAACATGTCCGGCTTCATCGATTACAGCAAGCGCCGTCGCGGTGCCCCCGATGACGCCTCAGACACCAGCAGAGGCGCACCCGCACACGCCGACGCCGCAGATTCGCTTCGTGAGCCAGAGTCTCACCGAGACCTCGAGACGGAAACCGAAACAGATGCTGCTCCGCCTCGTCGCTCCTTGAATCCTCGACGCTCCGAAGCAGAAGAAGGTCCCTTTGAGGATGCCTCCGACGACTTTGACGGTCAACCTACCAAGCCCTCTCGTCCTCCTCGTGTCGAGGTCATGAGGGATCCTGGTGCCCGCGGAGACTACCCTCACCGCGACGAAAGGCCCTTTTTCGATCCCACCTTTGGCAACTACCAGTCAGAAGCTCCGCTCGAGATGCCCTTCTTCGACCATGTCGTCGCCGATTACGGCAACTACGGAGCTTTCCAACGCTTGCGACTCAACTTCCGTCAGGCCCTCTCTTTCCTCGCCAGCACCACCGCTCTCGGTTCTGTCCTCTTCGTCGCCTACTTTGCCTACTTCAATCCTTTCAAAAAGTCTCCTCCCAAGGCAAAGGCGGATCGAGAATACGAGCGCAGGATCACTGGCGAACGCGGTTCAGGCCGTCCTGCTTACTACGCCGAGTTTTGGGGGTACCAGTGCGACGAGCACGAGATCGTCACCGAGGGTGGCTGGATCCTCAAAGCCCACCGCATCTCTGATCCCCGTCGTCCCGGCGGCGTCGGCTATCCCGTCGTCCTTCAGCACGGTATCCTCTGTAATTCGTCCCACTTTGTCGTCAACGAAGAGCGCTCCATGGCCTTCTGGCTCGTCGACCAGGGCTTCGATGTATGGATCACCAACATTCGCTCCAACTTCAAGGCTGGTCACACCGAATACGTTCGCTCCGATCCTCGCTTCTGGGCTTGGGGTCTCAAAGAACTCGCTTTCGATCTGCGCGACGTCGTTGACTACATCACCGCTGCTTCCGGCTACCCACAACTCGCTTACGTAGGTCACTCTCAGGGTGCTGGCTCCATGTACCTTGCCCTTAGTCCAGGTATCTGCCCCGAGATCGCCAACAAGCTTAGCTGCTTCGTCGCCCTCGGCCCCTCCGTTTACGCTGGCTCCGTCCTGCGAAGATTCCCCTTCTCCCTCATGCGTCAGTTCCGCTCTCGAAAGTGGTGGGGTCTCATCTTTGGTGTGCGCGAATTCATGCCCGCCATCGGCATCGCTCAAGAGTTCCTTCCCACCTTCTGGTTCGGTCACATCGCCTACGTGATTTTCGCCTTCCTCTTTGGTTTCCACGACCACAACTGGGTCTCTCGTCAGAAGCCAAAGTTTTTCCGCACCGTGCCCGTGCCGACCTCTTCCGAACTTCTCTACTGGTACATGTCCGGCTTCTCCCACCGTGGTTGCATCTTTGACCCACGCATCACCGAGCCTTGGTTCCCCAGAAACTTCCCTCCCCACTCGATTTTTTATGGAGACATCGACTACCTCGTGCTCGGCAAGCCTCTGGTACAGCGCATCCAGCGCCACGAGACCAATGTCGAGATGATCCACACGGTCGAGCTCCAAAACTACGAGCATCTCGACATGATTTTCGGTGTCGACGCTTTCCGAACCGTCTTCCCCGGCATCAAGGACACCATCTTGCAGACCATGGACCCCGAGGACATGGCTCCCGAGATGTCGGAGCGAGGTGGGCGATACTAATTCTTCCCATTTTTGGTCGTGACCCCTGCTCCCCAGCTATTCTTCGCTACGGTCTCTTCTCGCACACTCTTTTGCTTTGCCTTCTTCCACGTGTCCACTCACGCTCTCTCGTTTATACTCTTGTTGCCATCCTTGCTCATAGCGACACAGCTTCACAATTTTCTGTAATCTCTACGTTTGAACTGTTCCTGCCCATCGTCGTTCCTAGGAGTCGATTGTCTTGTGCCTTTGCTCATGCTTCTCCCAGTCCAACTATGCCGCTCACTGGATCCGGAGCAGTGGTGTGTCGCTGAATTTGATCCGAGTGATGGGGCCCTTTTGCTCAACAGTAACAACTCTGGGGAGCACGGACAATGAGGTCTCTTGCCAGTCTCACGTTTCACAAGCAAGTACATGACCATCACTACATTGGTAGGCCAACATAATTTGCATTCCACTGAGCAATATTGGACGCTGGACATGCGTGAGGAATCTAAGCATAGAACTCAGCATCTCCGACCTTGTAGCTGGTGCTGTTGGGCAAGATCGATACGGGTACAGCGCATTCCACCGTCTCGAGCTTTGTCTCTACCGCACAACCGAGTTGAGCGAGTACCTTCGCGACTGGAGCACCATGCGCGGTGGCTGATCCAGCCAAGCTGTCCAGCGCTCTCACGCCAACATGGTAGCGTGCAAATCCATCGGACGAAGTCGGCAACAGATGCGGAGGAGGTAGAAGCCTATTCTGGCGCTTCTCATCGTCCTCCGATGACACCTCGGCATCAGCTGGACCCTTGATGGCGGATACGGTGAGGAAGGACAAACGAACCAACCAATTAAGCTTGACCCCGCTCGTCACGAATTCGGGCGAGGCACCGCTCGGAATGCAGAGGCTGAAACTGGCTCTACCCTTGTCGAGGACGCTCTCGTGATGCTCGGCATGGACGATCTTTGTTGCGCGCTGCAGTCGACCCGGAGGCAGCGTGGCAATGCTGGGTTGCACCTCTTCGAACGTTTCGAGTGTGGCGCTCATGCGCGCGATACGTGCGAGCGATTGCTGGTTGTTGATGTTGATGACGCCAGTGATGGTCTCTCCGAGTCGATAGCGAGATCTGACGAGCGTGAGGACGGCGGCTACTTTGCCGTCTTTGGAAATGTCGTACGTGACTTTGCTGGATGTTCGTGCCAATGCTTCTACAGCCGCTTTGCAGGAGCTGCTAGCCTGACTCATCGATGTCACGCTCGAGAAGCCGATCTCGGGCAGAGGAGAAGACGCGCCGTCAGACGCCTTGCTGATGAGCAGCTGCTTGGTGTAGTCCTGCAAGTCTTTCCTCTGAATCTGCGGGCCTGTGTTGATTGCCCCCTTCACCCTGGATCGGTCATTTTGCGTAACAGACTTAGAAGCCTCCCCTTCCTGACCCACAACAGTGACCGAAGCCTCCTCCTTGGTGAGAATGACAGGGTTCATGAGGTCGAAGAAGGGGCGAAAGCCGGATGCACCAACATGATTGTAGACGCGAATGGGTATGGAGATGAGTCGACTCGTTTGCGCACGAGTCGAGGCGGCGGAAGGGTTTGACCTGTTTGTCCCAAGAGTGAGAATGTATTTGAGCCGGATGGCTTTGCCGTGATAAGAAGGAGGTACATCGACTGGCAAAGGAAGCCTGAACTGGAAAGTCTTGCTCTCTCCCGGCAGAAGGTTGAGGTCGACGGCAACGATGCTGGGCGGCGTGGAGAAAGTGGGGATGCTTCGACTCTGGAGGGTGCGATCCTGAGCATCTTGAAGGGTGGAGCCGGAGCGACGATGCAGTTGTGAGCGCGAAGCAAAGGGGCTGCGCAAGTAGCTGCTCCAACTGGAAGGAGCTGGTTGACCATCAGATGTCTGCCCGAGATCGCCACCGCCGAGAATTCTGGGAGTGCCAGGCAGAGAGTGCGGAGAAGCATTGGCTCCTGTCAAGTCACCATAGGCAAGTCTCCGTCTAAGATTCTCAAAGTCGCTGGGTTTGATGAGACTCTCGTCGATCTCTATTGTGCCTGCGATCTGGGCAAAGGACCACAAAATCTTTTCGGAGCCTGAAACCAGGAGGTCAGGGGGCGGATAGATGGGACTGTGACTTGGTGTTCTGGAAACTGAGGCGCGACGCTTCGACTGGGACCAATCTGTGATGGACTCTCGAAAGACGCTCTCCATGGAGTCGTTGCGTCCCGCAGCGTAAAAGCTTGAAGTGGCATTGTGCTCGTTTTGGGATGTGATCCAGGCGTTGGGAGTGGCGGAGGTGGGCGAGGGAGCTGGTGATGGCGAGTCGAGCTCGAAAGCTTCTGTGAGATCCTCTGCTTGTACTTGCGCGACGGATTTCTTGCGCGAATGAGAATGATGTGGCGAAATAGGAGCGGAGGGTGTTCTCTTGTTAGCCAAGCCAGGAAGGGAGGAGACTCTTGAAGGAGGATTGGGTGAGAAGCGATCTGATTCAGTGCGAGCAGGGGCGGGCGATGGCTTGTTGGAGGTGGATTCTGGGCGAGAAGGATAGCCGAGACCAAGATCGGATCTGTTGCGTGGAGTCGGGAAGGAAGTGGACTTGGTGGATCGATGCGCGGGTTTGGAGCTGGCGAGGGTGCTGGAGACGGACCACGGGTGTACGGAGGAAGAGGTTGAGCCGGAGGGCAAGCTCTTGCCGATCAAATTTTTGCGATCGGGGAGAACATCGCCATTGAGTTGCCGAAGGAGCTTGTTTGATCGTGCTGAACCTGACGAGGCTGCTGTAGCAGATTGAGATTGGTCATGATCTCGACCCAAGGCTCTCACATCGACGCTGCGTGACTTGGAATGCGTGGGTATGGAGGAGACGACGCGGCGTGCTCCTAGCTTGTCATCCGGAGAAGGTCGGTGGGGCGAGTCAAATGCAGCTGCCGTGGACTTGATGGGGGTCGAGGGCGCCCATTCCGACTGTTGGAGCGGCTGTGTATGAGGTACGCGTGGATTCGTGTTTGTGAAGGTGATGTGGCAGACAAAGTCTTCTCCGGCAAAGAAGGAGGATTGCAAAGGACGGATGGAGACCTTGAGCGAAGAGTGGTGCCGGCCCACGTCTCCGGACATGGTGTGCGATCGATGCTACCACGAGTGGTGCGGGTATATGTTGAGTATGCTGGTGGAAGGGCTTCAAGATGCATTCTCAGAGGATTGAATGGATTGCATTCAGGGTCTCCGAGCCTCACGCACTCGCACAAGCCAGCGTCCGGTTTTCTGTTCGCAGTGTCATTTGACGTCAATGTAACACTTTTGAAAATCGATCAAGCAACGCGCTCTCGAGACGCGTACAGAGCAGTGTACCGCCCTGACTAATTTTGCTGATCATTTTCTCCACTTTGAGATCATCCGTGACGGTGTGACAGGTGCGAGTGCGAAAGCGAGTCGCAAGCGCAAGACACTCACAGCGCCGCGACTGAGCAGCGAGAAGAGGGCGTCATTGTGCTACTCTGCATGCTGTGCAACGTGACATTCTTGCTTCTCGCCCACCTCGACCCTCTCTCTTGATCCCACTTCTTTGGAAACCACTCTCACGGCCCTGGAAGAGCTGGTGCACGGGACACGCATCGCGAGCACAACCCACACGCTTCATTTCACTATGCCGCCCAAAAAATCCGCGACGCTCCTCCCAAAGGGCCAGGCGTCGCTCTCCAACTTCTTTGGCGGCAAGGGCGCCGGTTCAAGTCCAGCCTCATCTCAGGACAGACCCACCACCACCACAACCATGAAGAGCTCGCCATCTGCCACGTCCTCCAAGTACTTTGCATCAAAACCCGACACCTCCTCATCCCGCCGCTCTGCCACCGCAACCAAAGCAGATCCAATGATCATCGACGACTCGGACGACGACAGCCTCGATTTGAAGCCCGCTTCCCGGTCGAAGCCAAAAGCAAATGCAGCCAGCTCCACGCGCACAACGCCTACCAAGACGCCGACCAAGCGCAAAGCAGAAAACCATTCCGACGACGACGATTTCGTGGATACTCGAAAGTCTAGACGTGGCGACCATGACGACGACGACGACGACGACGACGACTTTGCTCCAGCACCCAAGAGACCTGCAACTACTACGTCCAGAGCCAAAGCCAGTGCTGCTTCACACCCGCCTCGTCGCGCCGCAGCCAATGCCAAGTCCATCAAGATCGATGATTCCGACGACGACGACGACCGAGATGACTTTGTCGAGCCAAAGAAGTCCGCTTCCAACGGCAGCGCCAAGAAGGCGTCTCCTGCAAAGCCAGCTCCAGCTAAGAAGGCGGCCAAGCAGGATGACGACTTTGAACCCGCAGACACCGCCCCGGCAGCCGACAAGAAACCCAACTGGAGGGAAATGGCTGCTCGTCGTGCTGCCGGCCCAGCCAATCCTGGCTCCAAGGAGATTCCTCAGGGCCAACCCAACTGTCTTGCCGGCCTCACTCTAGTCTTCACCGGGGAGCTCGAGTCCATCAGTCGTGACGAAGCTTCCGACCTCGCAAAACGATACGGTGCACGCATCACCGGCGCTCCCTCCTCCAAGACCTCGTACGTCATCGTCGGAGAGGGTGCCGGCCCCAAAAAGCTCGAGTCGATCAAGAAGAACAAGATCGAGACGCTCAACGAGGACCAATTCCTCGAGCTCATCCGTACACGCGGTGCTGGCCAGCTCGACGAAAAGACAAAACAAAAGATCAAGGCCGAAGAGGAAAAGATCAAAGAGGTCGCCAAGAGCATGGGTCTGCCCAAGGATGCCAACATCAAGCCCGCCGATCTCTCCAACATGCTCTGGACCACCAAGTATGCTCCGACTCAGATGAAGGACCTCGTAGGCAACAAGGCTGCCGTTGATAAGCTGGCTGGTTGGCTCAAAGCTTGGCCCGCTTCGTACCGCTCCAACTTCAAGAAGCCCGGCCCGCTCGGCATGAACGTCTATCGTGCTGTTCTCATCTCGGGTCCACCCGGTATCGGCAAGACCACTTCGGCGCACCTCGTCGCCAAGATGGAAGGCTATTCGCCGCTCGAGTTCAACGCCAGCGACGCACGAAGCAAAAAGCTCATTGAGGGCATGCTTCAGGATACCATCAATAACAAATCGCTCGACAGCTGGTACAGCACCGTCACAAGCTCCGCGTCCTCGTCCACCGATCTGCCTCGCATCCACGAGCGCACCGTTTTGATCATGGACGAAGTCGACGGCATGTCCGGCGGCGATCGCGGTGGTGTAGGTGCCATCAACGCGCTCATCAAAAAGACAAAGGTACCCATCATCTGCATCTGCAACGACCGACGCAACCAAAAGATGCGCCCCTTCGAGCACACCACCTTCAACCTCACCTTCCGTAAACCCGATGCCAACCAGGTCAAATCGCGCATGCTGTCGATCGCCTTCAAGGAGAAGCTCAAGATCCCCGGCGAAGTCATGGCCCAACTCATCGAGGCTGCGCAGAGTGACATTCGATCGGTGATCAACATGCTCAGCACGTGGAAGCTTTCCAACGACACTATGGATTTCGACGAGTCCAAAGCGCTGGGGGCCGAGAACGCCAAAACGGGACTCTCTACGCCGTTTTCGCTGTACAGCGATCTGTCGGCTCCGGGCATGTTTAACGCGAACTCGAAGAAGACGCTGAACGACAAGGCGGATTTGTACTTTCAGGATCATTCCTTCGTGCCGCTCATGGTTGCCGAGAACTATGTCAAGGCTAGGCCGGTGTTGGCGTCCAAGGAGGTGGGCGGCAAGCAGCAGTTGAAGCACCTGGAGTTGCTGAGGAGGGCGTCGGAGAGTATTTCGGACGGAGATCTGGTGGATCGTATGATCCACGGAGGCGAGCAGCATTGGAGTCTGATGCCGTTGCATGCGATCGCGTCCTCCGTTCGGCCGTGTTCTTTTATTTACGGAGGCACGGAAGGCGGCTTCCCGAGCTTCCCGGCGTGGCTGGGGCAGAACAGCAAGCAGCAGAGGCTGACGAGGGCGGTGGTGGATCTGCAGGCCAAGATGCGGTTGGTGTGCAGTGGATCTCGCAACGATCTGCGGCAGCACTATCTGCCGAGCATGTGGGGGATGTTGATCCGGCCGTTGGTGGAGAAGGGCGGGGATGGGGTGGAGGAGGTGATTGGGTTGATGGACGAATACTATTTGGGGGTGGAGGATAGAGAGGTGATTTTGGAACTGGGGTTGGAGCCGAACAACGCCGATGTCTGGGCGAAAAAGGTTCCTAGCGCGGTCAAGAGTGGGTTTACGAGGAAGTACAATGCGGCGAGTCACCCGATCGCGTTCAACAAGGCGGATGTCGGGGTAGCGAAGGTGAAAGTGGCCAAGGGCGAGGTGCCGGATTTGGAGGATGTGGTGGAGGAAGAGGAGGAGGTGGCGGCGGATGAGGAGGAGGACAACAACAAGGAGGATGGCGATGATTTGAGCAAGGATAAGCTGGTCAAGAAGCCCAAGGCGGGGGCAGCAAAGGGGAAGGGCAAGGCGGCGGTGGGTGGTAAGAAGAAGTGAATGCGGAGGAGAGACGACGTGTTGGCCCTCTTTGAAGGTGATGAATGACGATATTGTTTTTCGATTTGAACATGTGTGTTGTTGATGGTGGATTGTGATGAGAGGGCAGCGGCTAGTCAGTCGAGCAAGCCACAGATCTTGGCAAAAAGGCCGATCGTACCGGACGAAAGCAAATTGAACGATTGCAAGAGAGTAAGCGAGAGCAAGACAGCGAGGGGAAGGGGCGACGATGAGAAGCAGCATGTTGTATACGACATGTAATAAGATCTACAGCAAGGATCGCGCGTGCCGGATTTCTACAGACAACTGGTCCCAAAGTGACAAGATGAAATTCAGTGCTCTCCAGGCTTGCGTCTCTTGACTCGGAGCAAACATACTTACTGTTTTTAAGCAGACAGAACGAGTGCATATCAAATACAAGGTTTGGATGTGGGCGGATGCAACAATGTTCTGAACAAGCAGGAATCCGGAGGTCACAAGGAAAGCAATTTGGCGCACGGCGCGCAACACGCCACATACAGTATCGACGCACGAGGGATGCTGTTTCCCAGATCAGACAACATGGGACGATTGCAAGATGAAAGCACAAGGATAAACAGAACAAAAAGCGATGAGAAAGCAAGCATCCATGTGCTGTACAAGAAGGACACGTGACGATGGAGCAAAGGAAACAAGGTGAGCCCAAGCAGTGGTCACCCGGCATTCACAAAAGAGTCTCAGCAAGCGATATCCATCCATGCGTTGAAGCAGCGCGGCACAGAAATTACACACACACACACGACAGACCCAAGAGAAGCTGTTTCCAAGCAGACAACATGGACGATTGCAAGATGAAAGCACGATGAATCAACCAGACAGCAATGAGAGAGAAATCGTACCAGAGAATACGAAAATCGGCTGAGCACAGAAGTTGCACACAGATCGACACTCAAGGTATGCTAATTTCCAACGAGGATAGAAACGAACAATTGCAGTGAAAACACAGGAGAACGAGAGAAACAGCAGGCATGCATGTACAAGAGAACGGAAACAGAGCAAAAGCCAAAGGTGCAAAGAGGTGAGCAGAAAAGTTACTGGGTGCGAGAGCATGCGAACGAAAGTCTGGATGAGCGGGTGCAGAAGTGCGGGAGCGGATACGAGAAGCAATGAAGGGGGATGCAAGAGAGGGGACGCAAAAGAAAGGATGTGGGGCATGTAAGAGTTGCAGAACAAGATCCGGGGTGATGGTGTTGAAGAAAGGTGCGCGTGAACAAACGGAGTGTCTATATAGTTGGGAAGGACGTGTTGAAGAGTCTTGGAGGTTATAGCAGAGTCGATGACCGACGATGGGTGAAGAATGTCCTCCAGCTTTCCACTTGCAAAATCACTCCTCCTCCCTAACCTCGACCAGCTGAAACTCCACCAGCCCATCCCTCCTGGCCGTCTCGGCCACGGCCAACCTGCCAAACGCCACCAATTCCGGCATTCCACTGGATAGAGTCGGCCACGCCTTGACCACGCAACCCTCTTCCCTGCCAACATCAATCTGCCTGGCCTGGATCTCGTCCTGCTCGGTGATACGCTTCCACAATCTGGGACAATCGCTCCTCAAGCGTTTCGTCAACAGATCGCTCGCCTGCACCGCCAACCTGTCGCTCCGCTCCAGATCCTCCATCTGTCTCTTCAACATGCCGCCCACCTCTTGCATCTCGATCGCTTTGTCCTGCACCTTGCTCAGCAGCAACTCGGAATCATGCCTGTGCAGCTTCCTCAGCACGGCAGCCTCGACCAACCTACACACCGCCAAGAGCACGTCCTTCCCCGCCAGCCCTTTCACCGCATTGGAGGTGTACCTGAGCAAGCCGAATAGACTGGACCAGTTCTTGGCGATGCACCGGCCACACTCGGCATCGTCCAGCCAAAAAGATTGACAGAACAAGAGCACCGAGTCGAGCTGCTGGCAGGCGGAAAGCAGGCATGGGATCGGGTGAGTGTCGGAGAGGTGTTTGAGGTGTCTTGCTGCGTCGCGGTATCGGACGGCTAGGGAGGAAGGTCGTTTACGCTTGGGCGAGGACGGTGGACTAGGCAGTTGCCAACTAGAGTCCGCTGGGAGTGAGATCAGCAGCGTTTGTCGACGCAGGATCTCTTCTCGGGATAGCATCTTTGGCGCCCTCGGTTTGACGAGCATGCCGTTCCACGTGTTGACCTCCAACAGGCTCCCGCCCTTGGCGCCACCAGCAACATGTCCTACACTACTACCGTTGACCAGCAGGTCCGGTGGTGTGCGTAGACTGCTTGCACTGCTGGAAGCGCTGCCGCATGAAGCGGGCGACGGATGTGACGAGCTAGAGTAGTATGGCGATGGAGAAGGGGACGGTTGATGACGATGATGTGACGTTTTGTAGGATGTAGATGAGGAGGAGGAAGCTGACGAAGAAGAAGGTTTGGAGTGACGGTTTGGGACGCGAGAGCTGGAAGCCGACGCGGGAGGAATGCACTGAATGGGCGGAGCAGGTAGGGGATGACGAAGGTTTATTGGCGGTGCGGAAAGGGAGGGTGAGCGTGATGGCGGCATCGATGTGCGCGATGGACGAGTGGTCATCTTGCGGCAGTGGCGGTTGTCATATGGAGCGAAGAAATGATCAATCTAGATGCGAAAGGTAGATAACGGGAGATACGAGCAGAGGAGAACAGATGCGAGCGGATACGTGGTGCTGATGTACGAATAGATGCAAAAGAAGCGTTGACTTGAAAGTGAGTCGAGAGAGGTTGCGTGCAAGATGCTTTGTTCAACGACGGAAGACCTTGTGTTCGATCGTGACCGCGTCGAGGAGTCGTAAGTTGTCGGTCGAGAAGGTGTCGTCGACGTCGTCTGTTCCGGCTCCAAGTGGGGGCGTCGTAGACGGCGGCGGCGCAATGAAACGTTTTGCAGCGACAACCGGCGATGTCTCTTTCTGCAGTGCTTCGCTGTGTAAGGCCCTTCTACTGTTTCGCTGCTGACCGAACCGACGGTCGATACGATGCAAGCTGCCGTCTCGATGTAGCAGCTCAAGTGGTGGTGGACGGAGGATCGCTTCTTCGAGGGTGTTGAATCGGAACTACGCCGACCTGTGCTTCACACGAAAGGCGGAGCTTCAGGCGCACAGTAGTAGCCTTTTACAGAATCAACTCAGAGTGAGCCCACATCACACACACACACAGGTTTTGACTTCTCGGCTAAGTTAAATCAGACGTTACAGATCGCTGCAGGGCCACCACAAGAATCGGATAGAGCGCCGAACAGCCAAAAAAGCGAAATTGTGTGCAACTCTGAAACACAACCCGCGCGGAACACGGGCAACACCCGAACCGGGCTTGTGCGGGTAACAGGTACAGGCACGGCTGGGCTACCAAGCAGCCAAGGCGCGGGATTCTCCCACCCGACAACTGCGACACGCCCGGCTTTACGCACACCCACACACCCACACACAACATTTCTTTCGTCTTGTGTCGGTTTCCCGCGGTGTGATGACAGCGGGAAGGAGAAGTGGATTCTTGTGTAGCTACAACCCGTGATACAACTTTTACCAGTTGGAGTGCGGTGCTATGGTTCGGGTGGACAACGGCCCGCGCAGGTGGTTGGGTTCACAAGTCCACCTTCACACCAAACCTCCCCCACACACACAGCTTTACCACCCTCTCTGCACCGCAACCCACTCTCTTTCTTCTGTCAAACACACACAGACACACACGAAAACACTCCGATTCGAAGAATGTTGACAGCAAGAAATATGACTTTTGCTGCTGTTTTTTTTTGGTAAGGGTCGTTGATGGAATGCCGATAAAGTTCAGGCGCTGTGTGTGATGATGCATGCACGTTGGGCCCCTTGCATGATGATGGCCGCATAACCTATGTGCCCGTCCAGCAGGACTTTCTTCTCTCTCCGATCCGATCGCACACTATCAACCACATCGTGCCGATCTCAGGAACCCCCTCCACTCATCTTCTTCTGCATCAGCCAGCCTACTTCCTCTCGACACCACGTAGCAGCGACATCATTGCAAGTCGACAAACCCGTTCTATACTCAACCACTCCCGTTCCAATCCCTCACAGACCCTCACGTCGGCACACGAGTTTCAACCCATCTCTTCTCTGTTCAAGCCGCGCCAAAAATCCACCCCGAAAAATGCAACACCATAAATTCCCCCTCATCCTCCTCCAATCTCCTTCATTCTACACACACCACACCTCTTTAGGAAACATATAATAAACAACGGCGTCTTTCCACCGTATCGAACCTTCATGAATGTGTGAGAATTGTACAGATGTGTGTGCGTGTGTTTGTGTATATAGTCGAAAAAGAGTCGTATCGCTGATCAGGTCATCAGTAGCTTCCATATCCAGCACCGTTGGCTCCTCCACCTCCCCCACCACTCGCACTACCACCGAAACCTCCCGCGGGGGAAGCACCTCGTCCACCAGGCTGCATACCCATCGGCGGAGGCAGACCACCACCGAACCCACCCGCATATCCGCCTGCCTGTCCAAAGTTCGGCGGAGGCAGGTTGTGAGCACCACCACCACCTGCAGAACCGTGTCGACCTGCACCCGGTCCACCGTACATCTGGTGCTGCTGATGCTGATGATGACCCATATGAGCTGGTGGCGCATGATGCATGTGATGGTGAGGAGGAGGAGGCCCATACGCGTTCATACCCATGTATCCACCACCCCTTCCACCTCTGTCTCCACCGCCACCACCACCGCCAGCCATAGCCGCCATAGCATGCAGCTGCTGCTGGTGGGCAGCGTGGAGCACCGAATACGGCACCCCGTTCGGCGGTCCCAGATCCAGATTGTCGCGCTGCAGCTTGCTCTGGATCCGCTTGCCGTACGGCGTGTTGCGGATCACCGGCAGGATGGGTCGGATGCACTCCACCAGTCGCATCCGCTGCACCGGATCCGCATAATCCAAGCTGGTCTGCACCACGTAGTTGGCAAACGAATCGCGCAGCAGCTTCTCCAGCCGCGTGCGGTTGAGCAGCTCCTCGATCAGCTGCTTGCGCACGCCAGGCTCCGAGACGCGGATGCACTTTTCGATCACGTTGCTGCTAAACTTTTGCACCGAAAGCAGGCACACGTTGCCCACAAACTGGCGCACCACCGCATCCGTGAACCGCGGGATGCTCAGGTCCAGCACGTACTGCACCACATAATTTCCGAACGCGTCCTGAACCAACGTCAGCGCATTGTACGTGATCTCGGCCACCAGCTGCACGCGCTGCGCCTCAGATGCGTGGTCGATGCATCGCTGAAGCACGCAGCAACCGTGTCGGTGCGTCGCCACCTCGACGCAGTGCGCGGCCACGGCGTTGTAGATAAACTGATTGTCCTCGGCTCCAAGCCTGTTGAGACACTTCTGCACCACATGGTTGCCGTTGAGATCCTTGATGAGCGTCACCACATTCATCGAGAGCGCCACGATGATCGAGTGGATCTGACGCGGCGTAGAGAGGAAATCGATCATCTTTTGCACCGCGCGCGTACCGTGCATGTTGAGCGAGATGGTGACCAGCTCCGACGCCACGAGCTCCACGATGAGGTTCCGCTGCTCGTCGGTGCAGTACTCGAGCATCTTTTGGCACAAGTAGTTGCCGAACGGATCCGTCATGAGCTCGGCAAAGTGGGTAAACGTTTCGGAAAAGATCATGTCGCGGTGCGCAGGGTTGCTCTCCTCGAGCTTCTTCTGAAGGAAGCGACAGCCGTGCTGGTCCTTGCACAGCGCAAAGATGTCTCCCTGCAGGTCTTCGAGCTGCGTGGTAGCGTCCAGCTCGCCTTTGCGCGCATGCTTGACGAGGGCGGGGCCGCCTCCGCCGAGCTTGGCATTTTCGTCGGCACCCACCATGCCCATCGAGTACTTGTCGGTGGGGAAGAGCGAGCCTGGCACGTTGGCACCGGCGGTCGGGTTGAAGGCATCGTAGTAGCCGGACGAGGGTCGACTTCCGCGGCGTGCCTCGACGGCGCCAGCATCAAAGTTGCTGGGCGAGTAGGTCCCGAAACGGCTGGGACTCTCGCTGCCGGACGAAGCGCTCGAAAAGGCGCCAAGGTTGAAGCTGGGGAAAGCGGCTCCTCCCGCCCCACCGGCGGCGGCGGCGGCGGCGGCGGCAGCAGCAGCAGCGGCCATGTTCTGGTTCTTGAGGTTAGCGGTGGCGGCAGGGATCGAGACGGCGGTGTTGACAAAGCGCGAGCCACCTCCCGAACGCCCGACATCGCCACTGAGCCCACCGAGGCCAGGCGAAGGCGAGGCAGGGCCGCTGGGCTGTCGAGATACGACGCCGGCAAAAGTGGTAGCACCGATCGCAGGCGACGATCGGCCAGTCTGCGAGAGACGCGGCGAGGGTGAAGGCAGAGGGAAAGCGCTGGGCTGACGTCCGACACTGCTGCCGAAGGAGGCGGCCATGTTGGGCGTGCCAGGCCCAGGGGGAGGCGACTTGCCCGCGACCGAGCCACGCAAGGATGATGCAGAGGTATCGGCGGCGTCGCCAGCCGCATCGGTGGTGGTGGTGCTGTTGGCGTTGGCACCGCCGAATTTGGGCCAGTCAGCATCACGAGAGGCATTCTGGGCTTCGGCATCGCGGCGGACGAGGACGGGGAACTGGTCGTCGTTTGCCTTGAGGTTGTACTTCTTGACGAAAGCAGAATCTTCGTTGTCCAGCTCGTCGTCAAAGAGAAACTGCTCATTGAAGACGGGCGTTAAGTTTTCGCCCTTTTCGTTGGCACCGACTTTGGCTGCGATGGACATGGCACCGACGGCCGAGGCGAGCTCGTCTGCCGAGCGCTTAGGTTGAGAGGATTGTTCGTTGGGCGGCGTGGCGGGCGCAGAGGCAGCGGCGGTATTGGAGGAAGAACGCTGGGAGAGGAGAGTCTGCTCTTCTTCGCGCTGCTGCTTCTCCAAGAGGGCCATCTGCTGCTCGAAAGCCTTTTGGTGCATGGCGCGCTGCTTTTCGTGCTCCAACCTCTTTCGTTCGATGCGAGCCTGTATGTCGGCTTCCGAGGCGTCGTCGGCGTCGGCTGGTTTGTGAACAGGCGAGTGGGACGACGAGGTGACGGCAGTCTCGGAGCCCGACGGTGGCACGATTGAATGGGCAGACTCGGAGAGCGAGACGGAACCTGGATTGGACTCGACGGCAGTGGTGGCGCTGGTGTCGGGACCGGAGCTAGCCTGTTCTTGAGACGACATGATGAGCAGCGCAGCTATGCTCTGCAGCGCCTAAAAATGGTAGGGCGCCGGTAGGAGAAGCTGTTTCTGAGAAGGAGCGGGGAACGAAGTGCGAGCTTGACCGAATCGATTGGATGGTCAGGAGATCGCGACTTGTTGGTGTCTGCTGAGGTGTCGATCGGTTGGAAGAGGATCGTCTAATGCTTGTCGTGATGAGCTTGTTTGTGCTGCAAAGGTGGTGTTACAAGATTGTACAAGGTATGCAAAGAGACGAGACTGGAGAGCGTGACGGGTGAAGGAGATGTGCAGAGCAACGTCAGCATTGCGTGGGCTTTTGAGAGCCGAATCGGAACAAAGCATGACGGGAGGAAGACTTACAATGCGATGGTTATACTGGTGATCAGATGCAGAGGTCCATGCGCGAGAAGTGATGCAATCGGAAGTAGAGCTGCTGGTGGTGTACAGCTTGGCCGATGGTCGACGCAGGAAGGTATGAGCGCAAGAAGTGACGATGACGATGATGATGAAGTAGTGGTACAGTGGTGTATGATCGGAGAAAGATGCGCGAGACCAGATTGATTGGTTCGTCGGAGCAGCAACTTGTATGCTAGGACGAAGGAGGTTGTTGGTAGGGTGCAACGTAAACTCGGCTTCCACAGTATCTCTTCCGAATCCTGATTGAGAATGAGGAAAGGGAGGAAGGGATAAGTATCGGACAGAGCTTGCTACTAGGTTGCAAGAGAGAGAGAGAGAGGAGCGATGGGGAGAGGAGAGAAGAGAGGGAAAGGAAGGGCGAGATGATGGTTGTGGTTGTACGTTGGTGGAGGAGGAAGAGTCACTCGAAACGCACTTGCAAATTGACAGCCACACGCCGGCACACTTGCAAGCCAGGCACAGACCCGCCGCCAATCGGCCCATCGACCGAGTGACAGGGACACACACACACACACACACACACACGTTCACACCAAAATTTGTGTGCGACTGACTGACTGAGCGACCGCAGCTCGAAACCCTTTTTTTTCGCTTTTCTTTCTCACTTTCCAAAGTCACACTTTCGATTGATTTCAAAAGAAAAGCAAAGCAACACTCTTTGAGGCACATCTTCTCATCACCCCGTGCCCTTTCCCACGATGATCCACACACGCACGCTCGCACGCACACCTTGCCACTGCGGAGGACTCGACCCTGATGCGTCGTCACACCGTTCGTTCGGCTATGGCGATCCACTCAGCAGACTCCAAGCGGCGAGAGCAACACCTGGCTTCGCGTGTTGTAATAATAGCTTCCACTCGACTCGTCCGGGTCAAAATCGGCGAAATTCGCGGTGCAATCGATGTTTGTAACACTCTTGTGTCGAGCTTGATCACATCGACCCAACCGAAAGAGGTTAGTCAGTGCCTGTGCCTGTGAACATGCGCATCGCGGTGGGTTCGTTGTTTGCACGTCCCCACACAATGTATCGCACGCGGACTACTCGATGTGAAAGCGCACGAAAAGGTCGACACTACATGGACCGCTTTGCTCAAGATTTGTGCAAGATCACTCGTTTCGCTTGCAGAAACGTGCAGCAGACATTTTCGACAGCTTTAACATCACTTGAAACCGAACATTTCCTTCGACACGTTCTTCTTGCCGGCAGCTGATCGCGATTTTGTAGAATGGTGCATCGGCGCGATTTGGATCTTACGCTCTGTCAAGGGGGTTGCTGTACTCTCAACACGGTATATCCTATCACTCTCAACACGGTACTATACAATCAGTTCCATACAGACTAACGTGAAACAGACATTACATGCGAGCCTGTGACATTTGGTTCACTTTGTCACCTCGTCGTCAAACTGCTTGTAGCGAGTCGGATAGCCGAGCAACCAACCACCGATGATGCGACCAAACACAATGTTGATCGTCCTTCCGATAGGCCACAGCAATCCGAACGAACGCAGTAGACCGGAGAAGGGAAGAGGTGGTACGAGGATCACATCGGCATCGTCGAGGAAGCGGAGCATCTGGAACGGATTGGGTCCCTTTCCTGCCATGGTACGCGAGCTGAGGTAGCCGTAAAAGTTGTGCACAAAGTCTTCGTCGAAACTGCCATCGTACAAGAGACACATCAAGCGCAGAACAAGGTCAGCACATCAGAAGAGGACACAAGCAAAGCTCAGAAAAGTCGTGACTTACCCAGGGTTAGGACCGCCACGAACGGTGATGTGAACATGCAAATCCTTGCCGCTCTCCGGATCAGACCAAAAGGTATGCGGTCGATAGGGTGGGATGTTGACCTTCTCCCCCGCCTGCAGCTTGCCCTGCTTACCATCGATGAGGTAGCACAGCGTGCCTTGCTTGACGTCGAACGTCTCGGCTTGGTAGAGGTGAATGTGGTAAGGTGGCGTAGCAGTGCTGTTCCTGCCTACGCCCGAGTGTGGATCCTTGGCACGAAAAATCTGACCAGAGGTGAACGAGTCCTTGGTTTCCGAGACAAAGTAGGTCTTGAGCGCCCCATCGAAAAAGTGCCACGTGCCGTCCGAATCGACTTTGGGTCGTACCACTGCCATGGTCGTGCGAGCTGGCCGGTGGAGATCGTTGAGATGTGTCTTGTCGTTGTAAGTGCGATGGGATGGGAAGGTGCGACTAGTATCCGCCTTTTGAGGAAGCCGTTGACGTAGGACGAAGGACGGTCGCAGAGAAAGAGGGGGCAAGTATGAGGATTGCGAGGGAAGCGCCAAGAAGGGGTCAGACTAATAAAGGGTCTCTCGCTCGCTATTGCCGCTCTCGTCGTGACCATTCGAGACGGCTTGCTAGAAGAAAGTCAGACACTCCGCGGCTGGCGTGCACAAGCGCAATCATGCATCAGAAGCGAAGCTAGAGCGGCATTGGCCCGTGCCAGAGACATGATACCAGAACCACTTTTTTTTGGTTTTATTTTCATCTTTCGTGCTTCTGGTGCTGTATAGACAGCCATCTCATCCTGAACAGCTGTCAGCCGCTCCATTGTTCTTAGTTGCGCCGAGGAGGTCGATTTATCTTGGCGACCAACGACATGCCACACAGCAGGTCCATTTTGCAACCTCTAGCCAAGGTCGGCTCTGTACCGGCTCGCCTTGGGGAGTGCGGCGACCTCTCGCGACGGACACAGCAACCAGTGTGGCGAGCCGCATCTGCTGATGGGACTGTGTAGGCGCCGTTGACAGCCATGTTTGACAGGATGTACACCCGAGATGACGGACTGTGCCGACAGATTGTGTGCAGTCAACAGCCTTCGAGAGCGCGAGCGGATAAGATCCCGTAGAGCGCTATCGGCTGTGTCCGCGGACCGGATCCTGTCCACGCGTTTTTTCACCGATTACGCTGCTCGCCATCCTCCTTGACTGTCTGCCTCTCTGGCTCACCTTGCTCGCTTATCTCGAGCAGCGACAACCCCCACCGTCACTTGATCACCGGTCGACGTCCGCCCGGCATGATGGCAGTGCTCGTGCCTTATCTACTTTCCAAAAGTCACACAAGCGTCGATGCTGCATGATGAAAGCAGACAGCCCACATGTGACCTTGTGTTCAGCCAGCAGAGAGTCGCAGGGCACAAGTCCCACGTAGGTTACGCCGAGAGCGATTCTCCTGGCTCAGCATCAAGGTACCACATACTGACTCTGAGCCAGAACGGTGCTCGAGTGAGCTCATTTAGAGGAACGAAGAGCTCGACCGAGGTGTTCCGACACGGCACCGCAGCAACCGGCTCCGGAAGGCACAAGAGATGGAATGAAGCCACGATGATTGACAACAAGCTCGACATGAACAGAACCTCGGTGCTTGGAAGCTCAGGCTCAAGCTCACAGCTGATCAACGTGTTGTGATGCAGGCGGACGTCGAATTCATCATCAGCTCTACAAGGGAACGAGAGAAACGGCAGTGCTGCTATTGGCTAGTCTGAGCAATCTGCTTTCCCCGCACTCGTTGTCGCTTGCAGCACGGCCATCTGGGCCAGACGAGCGGGCGACAAGGAAAGCTAAATCGGAAAATCCAAGGGTCCTTGCTTCTTCCTGCATGAAACGCGCCAAACACACTGCTCCACTGCCTTGCGTCGGGAAACAAGCTATCAGCGCCAAAGAAGCATGCCAACTGATAAGCAAGCGAAACCGTGCCGCGACAGCTCTTTCTTGTGTTGCAGCAGCGCAGCACAGCACGACCAAACTCGGTGTCGGTGTGCTTTGCTTTCATATCGCTCTCGAGGCGAACGTCGGATCTCGTGGCCGGCAGAGTGCGCGGACTCTGCACGAACCTCGCTCTTTCTTCCATCACCGCTCAGGTGAATTGCCGAGGACAGCGACCTTGGTTCAATATACCTGGCTCACTCCCAACTCGACTCTCGACACCTTCGACCTCGCTTCTTGTCCGCCCACCACCTCACCGCACCTCGCTCCTTGGCGTGTCTCCTCTGCTCACTTTCCCGGTCCGGACGCCAAAGCCTTTCTATATAGCCGCCGCTCCATCTTGCTCCGGCCTTCACCCTTTTGCTCCCTCCCAAGCTTGTGCTCGAAACTTTGACAGCACCTCGATCGACTAGACAATCGCTCCCTCGTATCCTTTCCTTCTTCTGCTCCGTCTCGCTCCACCATGAAGGTCGCCATCGTAGGAGCTGGCTTTGCCGGCATCTCCACCGCCAAGTACCTCAAGCAGTACGGCCACGATGTCACCGTCTTTGAAGCCTGCGACGACCTCGGCGGCGTCTGGTCCAAATCCCGTCGCTACCCCGGTCTCGCCACTCAGAACTCCAAGGAGACCTACAGCCTCTCGGACATGAACATGCCTCGTCACTACCCTACCTGGCCCGCCGCCCAGCAGGTGCAGGACTACCTCGACGCCTACACCGACAAGCACGATCTGCGTCCGCTCATGCAGTTCGGCACCCGCGTCGAACGCGCCGATCCCATACAAGACGGTTGGGAGATCACCACCAAGAAAGGCGCTTCAACGCAAACGCATCGTTTCCAACACCTCGTCGTCGCCACCGGTACATTCTCGCGCGGCAAGATTCCGGATTACAAGGGGCAGGACGAGTTCAAAGCGGCAGGCGGTCACATTTGTCACTCTTCCGACCTCGGCTTGGATCCGCAAACCATCGCGGGCAAGGACGTCATCGTCGTAGGCTACGGAAAGAGCTCCTGCGATGTCGCCAACGCCGTCTCTGCCAATGCCAAGAGCACAACGCTGGTGGCACGTCGTTTGATCTGGAAGTTGCCTCGCATGATCCGTGGCATTCCGTACCAGTATCTGCTCCTCACGCGTCTCGGCGAATCCCTGTTCGAGTACATCACACCGTCCGCTTTCGAGAGATGGTTCAACTCCGGTTCCGGTCGATTCATCCGCAACGGGATGCTCAACTCTCTCCAGTGGGTCGTTACCGGACAGCTCAAACTCGCCCATCTCGGTCTCGTACCCGAAGGTCCGTTCGAAGAAATCGCACGTAGCACCATCTCTCTCTCCACCGAAGGACTCTACAAGAACATCGAAGCAGGCAAGGTTTCAGTCCGAAGAGACGCTGAGATTGAGCTTCTCACTACATCCGATTCGGGTAAACCCGTTGCTGTTCTCAAAGACGGTTCGGAGGTACCCTGCGATCTGGTAGTGTGCGCAACGGGGTTCCACCAGGACGTACCTTTCCTCCCCGTCAACATCCAGAAGAAATTCCTCGATGAAAACGACAACTTCCTGCTGCACAAACACATCCTTCCCATCGGCGTACCCAACCTCACGTTCAACGGCTACAACTCCTCCCTCTTCTGTCCTACTTCTTCGGAAGCTGCTGCGCTGTGGATCTCCGCCCACCTCGCTGGCTTAACGCATCTACCACCAGAAGACGAAATGCTGGAAGAAGCAAAGTTCAAATTGGCATGGTTGGATGCAAGAAGCAACGGAAAACACGCCCACGGAACAAACCTCGTCCCCTTCAGCCTCCACAGCATCGACGATACCCTCACCGATATCGACCTCCACCTCTCGACCTGGTCGACCATTCGTCAGTGGTTGCTACCCGTGAGACCGAGCGATTACGCTACCCTGGGGGCACAGCTCGGTAGCAGAATCGATGCAGCAGCGCAGAAGCAAAAAAGTTAAAAGAACTAACGATGTACACTCTTGCTAGGTGCACTTAAGCCGATCAAATGTTCTCTGATCCACTTGCGTCTGACTTCCGGTGCGTGTTTGAACGCTTTGAACCTCGCATCTTGACGAAGCACTGCTTCGATCTCCGCTAAATCGACTTTCCGTGCCATTTCCACCAACGACACCTCCCCATCTTCCTCTCCCTCCTCTCCTTCTTCTTTCTCGTGATCTGCAGTGGTTTGGGAGCAAGACTTTCGCAGTCTACCCCAAAAGTCAACGAATGAGCTTTCGTGGAGCATCTGTTTGAACTCCTTTTCCGCTGTGGATTGTCGTTGTGCATTCCACGCCTCGAACGCTGTGCGAAGTTTGGAAGCATCTTGACGATATATGTTCAGGCCGGGGGAGGAAAGGTCTGGATCCTCCCGTGTGCGCGAGAGGATGTCGTCCGGGTGCGTGTCGAGCGAGGGAGCGTAGCGAGCGAATATGCGACCGAGTTTGGAGGATTCGTGATCGAGCAATCGGGAACGATGTTCGGAGAACAACTGGCGTTTGTCCGAATCCGTCAGGGAGGGATGCGAGAACCGCGGGTCGGGGGTTATGAGGGGGAGGGATGAATCGTAGTCGAGGTGCGGAGAGGGGATGGCGTCGAGGAGCAGTTGGCGGAAGGAGAGGAGCGAGTCGGCGCGCGAGGCGGAGAGGTAGGCGGAGCGGTTGACGCGCGAGAGACGGGAGCGTTCGAGCGAGACGGCGGTCTGGCGGGCGGAGAGGGCGCTTTCGAGCGCGAGTTGTTTGGCCCTTGCTTTCGCTTCCTTGTCGTCTTGCGCTGGAGTGGACGTATCTGGGTGAGGTTGAGCCGATTGAGATGGACGCACCTCGCCCTTGGCCCACTCGCGGAACAGCTCGAACCTCCTGGTCGAGCTTCCCACCGCATCATACCTCTCATCCTCGACCAACCCGGGCGTTCTTTTCGCCTGCATCCACACCTCCATCACCCCATCCTTCTCCGCTCCAGCAGCCGCCACCTTACCCCGATAGTTTCCAGGCACCTTGTCCGACAGCAACTCCAAAAACCCTCGCTCCGCCTTCTTTGCCGCCAACCTCTTGGCTTCGCCCAACTCGACCAGATGCGTCTTGAACAGCTTCTCCCTGTCCGCATCCGCTCTCCCGTAACGAGTGTAGCGAGGATCGCGAGAGAATTTTGAGCTGAAATCGGCGAATCTTGTTCGTGTGGACGTGACTTGTTGCTTGAGCAGGGTGCGGAAGGACGATTCTGCAGAGGTGGAGAATGGGTTCGAGTTCGCAGAGGAGGAAAAGGAGGGCAAGTTTGATTTGTCAGACGAGGCAGCTTTGGAGGCGCGCTTCTCTCGGATGCGAAGCTTGCACCATTCGTTGAATACGTCTTCGCGGGCGGAGATGGGGAGGGAGAGGAAGGTCGGGTGGGTGGAGAAGAGCGGCAGCGAGTGGTCGTAGGGTGCCATGGGATTGATCGGATGGGAGGTGTTGAGGGAGGTGAGGTGGGCGAGGAAGGCGAGCTTTTGATCTTCGAGGGTTGTGGAAGGTGCGACGATGTCGGCTACGGCGGATGGCAGGGACGTGCCTTCTGCTTCTGCTTCTGCCTCAGCTTCTGCTGCCATCTGTTCGGCAATCTGTCGTTGCCACTCTTGGTCGTCGTCGTCGTCGTCGTCGTGGTTCTCGGGTGCTTCGACGGTGCTCTGCTGGGTGCCGTCTGCGTGGGCTCCAGCGATACTCGTAGTGCTATCATCCCTTAGACCAACGAGTCCCCCCTCCTGGTCATCATCCTCCTCGTCCTCGATCTCCTCTTCCCCTTCCTCGTCCTCTTCCCCTTCCTCCTCCTCACCGTCCTCATCCTCACCATCTGGTCGCGCCCTCTTACTTGCATCGAATTCAGTAATCGGCACACCTTCCTCCAACTTCCTCTTCCTCTCCCTTTTCTCCCTCTTCACTCTCTCCCTCTCCGCCCTCTCCTCGTCGTCCCTTTGCTTCCTCAATCTTTCCTCCTTCTCCCTCTCCTCCTCCTCGACCTTCTTCAAGGCGCTCGCCACTTCCTGCGGTGGTAGCCATTCACTTGTCTTCGTGTCCGGATGAAAATAAAACACATTATCCTTGTTCGTCGTCACCTTGAACCACCCAGAGGTGTTTGGCACGAGCGTCTTCGAGACTGGCTTTTCGCGTTTCGGCGGTTTGGGTCTGGGAAGGGTGTAGGTGCTGACGCCGGACGTGGAGTCGTGGTAGTAGGCCCGACCGGCTGGGCTGATGTGAGAGGTCCAGCCGGGTGGCAGGGGTGCCGTTGAGGGCCCGGCGGGGTTGCTGTCACCCATCTGCGCAAACGTGATGAGCTTGAATGGATGAAGGATGTTGCACAGGAGTTCGACGGGAAAGTGTCGAGAAGAAGGTCGAAGTGTCGGGATTCGGTCACAACTTTTTCTAGAGACGCGGTTAAGAAAGATGAAAATCCTCCACACGAAAGCGTGATGGTTGCGGAGGTGCATATTTGATAGTTCACCATCACTACCATCCCCAAGCTACGTTGGCGATCGGAGAGGGCAGTGTCAAGATGGCGACGATCGGTCCCCAGCTTCCTGCGAGCGCGCCGAGACGCTCCAGATCTGGATCAGACTCCGAGTCTTCTCGCTCATCGTTCGCCTCTTCCTCCTCATCGCGGTCTGCCTCACCATCCAGATCTGACGCTTCTTCCCGACAGCAACCACGATGCGCCGTCGCCGGACCTCACTTGCCCTCCAACTTCACCCGCTCTCGGACCAGATCACCATCAGCCGCGCCTTCAGAGACCGTCTCATCAGATGACGAAGCCGGGCCATCCGTCGGTCCAACACTCCCCACCCACGCTTCCTCCTCGCAGAACAACGGCCTCAGCGAAGGCGCCAGACTCTTCCTAGAGCGAGAAGCGCGCAAGCAAGCAGCAGAAGACGAGGCGAAGCTGGCGGCGGAGAAAGCCGCCAACTCTCGACCCGAATGGATGCTGCTTCCACCTTCGCTGTCGAATGCGTCGTCGTTGCAGGCGGTGGCAGGAGATCCGCTGAATCTCAAGTCACGAGGATTTGCACAGACTACACCGAGGGTGTCTGCCCGCGGAGGCGGTGCGGCTGCGGAGGATGCTGATACGAGCGTCTGGACGGAGACGCCAGAGGAGAGGTTGAAGAGGATGCAGGACGAGGTTTCGGGTGTCAAGGGCAAGACTGCAACGGGCTTGAGCGACAAGGAGAGGTTGAAGAGGGAGAGGCAGACGAGGAGGGATCGAGATATTGCCAAAGCAGTCGCGGATGGGAGGAGCGGGAAGAAGAGTTTAGTTGAAGAGCATAATGAGAGGAGGAGGCGGGAGTTGAGGGACAAACGGGAGGATGACGCACGAGAAGAGAGGAGAAGGGAGAAGCGGAGAAAGCGAGATGACGACGACGACAGAGGAGAGAAAGGAGCTTCTCGACACAGCCGCAATGACGACCGAGACCGTCGGCGGCGTCACCGATCGCGATCAAGGTCGAGGTCGAGGTCGCCAGATGCGCGTCACAAAGCCAAAGATCGACACGAACGAGGACATCGCCATCGGAGTTCCCGACAAGACGATCCACACCGTTCTCACGGGAGCTCACGCCACAAACGTTCGGATGCTTCCGACGACGAAGAAGAACAACGGCGACGGGAAAGGAGAAAGCGAAAAGACCCGCACCGGTCTCGCGACAAGGATCGAGACGGGCGAAAGGAGAGCGATCGAGACCGTGAGAAGGAGCGCAAGAGCCACAAGTCACGCAAGCAGAGGGAGGAGGAAGACGTTCGTTCTGGCAAAGCGGCAGCTCCGATGATCTGGGATCGCGATGCAGCACTCAGTGTCGGAGGAAGACTGATGGACGAGGCTAAGCGAGGAAAGATGATGGCCGACGCCAATTCTCTAGGTGACCGGTTTGGCAGTGGTTCTCGACGGTTTTTGTAGTCTCCAACATCGCAGTCAGACATAGCAGCGGCTGGCTAGTGACCATCGATATCAGATTCTGAAAGTCAGAGTGTGGGCGATGCGTACCGACCATGTCCAGGTGGAACAGCCCTACAGCTGTCGAAGATGCCACTTCCTGGCAAAATGCCATCAATCAGAGCGCATCATCAGTAAAAGCTCTTTACGCGTGCGTCTTGAGAACGCTTCCCCTTTATCTTCAATTATGAGGACAGCCTTTCAAGATGACTGCTCTTATGCGTCTCCACACAGAACTCAGCCTTTTTTCTTCCGAAAAGACGCGCTGGGCAGGCCGCTTTCCTGCGAGACCAACACCTGCTTGTTGGGTCAGCGCGTCTCTGACCATTTTTCGCACTTTCTGCAACGCGAGCAGAGCGTGCAGCGAAGGCGCACTCTTGCCTTTTGCTGCAGGCGGCTCGAGCTTTGGATTAGCCTCTTGACACTTCACTCTTGCCATCTTGCCACTGATGAAACGTGTCTCTCTCCCTCTCTACCGCTCATCGCCATCTCATCTATATCAGCGACGCCGACAAAGGCATCTGCAGCTCCCTTTCTTTATCCATACTGGTATACCGTCGTGAAGCACGCCAGGCATGGTCGACAACCCCTCCACCTGAAGCAACATTCCAGCAACGACCGCTATCGCTCCTCTTCTACGATAACCACCCATCACAGCACCTGAACTTTGCACACCAACTCAAGCAAGCCGGCCATGCGGCTGTGAACTCGCAGACATGACCCTCAAGTCTCGACGCTCATCTGTGCTTCCATCCTCATCCTCCTTGCTTCGAGCTTCACAGGATCAGGACTTTGACCCTTTCTCTTCACAGCACTCATCGCAGCGTCGCTTACGAGACGCTACAGGCTCAGTCTCTCGTCCCTCTGCATCCTCATCGTCGCAGATACGCCCACCTCGTAGAGCGCTTGCGGAAGAGACCAACTCGCAGCCTACCGCCGCCATGAAGCGTTCCAGATCGCAGGCGGAGCTGTCCCAGCGCCGAGGGCTCAAGAGATCTCCTTCCGCATCGGCGGAGTTCCCCTCGCCTTCTCCCGCGCAACCGACACCTAGCACCAGCAACGGCCGAGCCAACGGTGTCAATGGTGCGTCGAACGGTCCGCGTCGTTCCGAACGCGATGTGTCCGGATCTCCTTCCAAGCGCAGACGTGCCACCGCAGCAGATTCAGCAACGGTCAATGGTATGTCACCGCGTCGTAGACGCTTCACAACGCGTATGCTTGGCTCGGACGACGAAGACGAAGATGATCAAGCAGCAGCAGACGATACGGAGCTGATGGATGCTCCTCCTGAGAGTCTCGTCCCTGCCGACTCGGAGCCCGCCACAGGTGCGGAACAAGACATCCGCAAACGACGCTCTCCAGACAACTACCTTCCTGGATCCATTCGTCGCATCGCTCTCTCCAACTTCCTCACGTACGACTTGGTCGAGTTCCGCGTCGGTCCCTACCTCAATCTCATCTGCGGTCCCAATGGTACCGGCAAGAGCAGTATCGCCTGCGCCATTGCTCTGGGCCTCGGAGGCCACCCGAGTCTGCTCGGTCGTGCCTCGAACCTCGGCTCGTTCGTCAAGCGTGGCGAAACAGATGGCTGGATCGAGATCGAGCTGCAGGCGTGGCCCGGCTCTTCCAACCCCGTGGTTCGACGTACCATCACCACCTCGAGCAACAAAAGCGATTGGTACGTCGACGGTCGCAGCACCACAAAGACTGACGTCCTCGCCATGGTCTCCGAGTTCAACATCGACGTCGCCAACCTATGTTCTTTTTTGCCGCAAGACAAAGTGCACGAGTTTGCAAAGATGACCGATGCGAAGCGTCTCGTCGAGACCGAAAAGGCGGTCGGCGGAGCAAGGCTGGTTCGATGGCACGACAAGCTGACCGAGCACGGCAAAGCGGCAGCTGAGATCGCGAGCCGTCTCAAGGCGAGGCAAGAGGAGAAGGCGCATCTCGAGCAACGCAATCAGGCGCTGCAGGTCGACGTGCAGCGTTTCGAGGAGCGGCAGGAGATTGAGCGGCGTATCGAGAGGTTGGAGGTCATGATCGCCATGGCTGATTACAACCGAACCAAGCGTAGCGTCACCGAGCTGCTCGAGGATCGCGAGAGGAAGCGTCAAGATCTCATCGACGCCAGAAATCAGAGCGAACCCATCCAGCAGAAGCGCAAGGACCTCGACGACAAGACGGCGAAGCTCGGACTCGAGCTCAAGCGGCTCGAAAGCGTCTACGTCAGCGACGAGAGGAAGCGCCGGCAGCTGGTCACTCAGGTCGAAGATGCTGGGAAAGAGATCGAGGCAAAGTTGACCGAGGTCGGAACGCTGACGCGCAAGGATCAAGATCGTGCACGACGAGTGCTGGAATTGCGGAAAGAGATCGCGGACCGATCCGCACAGCTCGGGCCCGAGCCTGGTGTGCAAGACACGGCCGAGATCGAGGCCGACATGCGCAGCAAGAGGGACAAGCTCGGCGACTGCCATACGCGACGCGGCGACATCAAACGCCAGATCCAGGACGTCAACTTCGAGAGCCAGAATCTCGACAAGGGCCTGCACACGTATCGCCAGCAGCTGGCGCAGCTCGACAACGTACCGCAGCAGCGGCTCGAGAAGATCCGCGCTGCGGACGAAAACGTCTACAAAGCCGTCGTTTGGCTGCGCGAAAACCAACACAAGTTCCGCAAGACGGTGCACGAACCCGTGCTGCTCGAGATCTCGCTCAAGGACCAGCGCTACGCTGCCGCTGTCGAGTCGTGCATTCCGTTTGCGGTGCAGAAGTCTTTCGTGTGCCAGACGCGAGAGGACTACGATCTGTTCACGAGCGAGCTGATCGACCGGATGAAGCTGCGCATCACAGTCGCCGAGGTGGAGGGCATCACGCTCGATAGCATGAAGCCGGACGTGCCGCGCGAAGAGCTGGCGAACCTCGGGTTCGAAGCGTACATTATCGACATGATTGAAGGACCTCACGATGTGTTGGTGCACCTGTGCCGGCAGTCTCACCTGCACCGATTGCCGGTGACTCTGAATCCGAATGTGGATGTGGAGAGGATCGAGCAATCCGAGCGATTCAGGAGGTTTATCGCTGGTGGCGAGAATTTCACCATCAACGTCTCTCGCTACGGCAACGATGCTCGGCAGACGGTTTCGAGGCGGATCGTACAGCCGAGGAGTCTGGTCAACTCGGTCGACCGAGAAAGGCAACGATCGCTTTCGACGCAGATCCAACAGCTCACGGACCAGAAAAAGGTGCTCGAGGGCAAGACGCTCCAGCTGCTCAAAGAGGACAAATCGATCCAGACGGAGATCGGCAAGCTCGAGCAGCAGATCGACGACCTGAAGTCGGCGAAACGCGACTGCGTCGGAGCGCAGCGTTCGTGGGAGCGGGAATCCGCGTTGATCGAGAACCGACGTCGCGAGCTGCGGGATAAAGAACGCGAGCCGTCTGCGGAGGAGAAGCGAGCGCGGTTGATGAAGGAGATCCGCAAGATGGCGACGCGCCGCGCACAGAGGACGGAGGATCTGTGTGCGCAGACGGTGCAGATGAGCAAGGTGGCGGATCGGAAGCACGTTGCTTCGCTGAGCAAGTGGCAGTGGGATGCGACGGCGAGTGGGTTGGACAATAGGATCCGGGATCTGCAGGAGACGGAGCGCGAGGTGGCGGCGGTGTTTGAGCAGGCGGTCGCGGCGCACGGGCGGGCGAGGAGGGAGGCGCAGGAGCTGAGGGTCCAGGTGCAGAGGTTGATCGACGAGGCGGGGGATCTGTTGGCCGGGCTGGATCCGGAGGACCAGGCGTTGGAGGACGTGGATCGGTTGAATGCCGAGTTGCGCGCGGAGCAGAGCAAGCTCGAGCTGGCCGAGGGGGTGAGGCCCGAGGTGATCGATCAGTACCGCGATCGGCAGAAGGAGATTGCGGGGTTGACGGGGGATATTTCGGACCTGGTGGAGTTGCAGAGCAAGACGAACGAGAGGATCGCCACGATACGCGGCAAGTGGGAGCCGATGGTGCGCAGGTTGGTGGGGGATGTTTCGCGCGCCTTTTCTCGAGCGTTTGACGATATGGGTTTGGCGGGGGAGCTGAGGATCGTGGAGGATGAGGATTATGAGAAGTGGAAGTTGGAGATCATGGTCAAGTTTCGCAACAAGGAGGAGCTGGCGCCGCTGTCGGCGCAGCACCAGTCGGGGGGTGAGAGGACGTTGTCGACGATCATGTATGTCATGTCGTTGTTGCAGCTGAGTCGATCGCCGTTTACGTTGGTGGATGAGATCAATCAGGGGATGGATGGGACGGCGGAGAGGGTGACGCACAACCATATTGTCGGGTTGACGTGTAGGGGGGAAGCGAGCCAGTACTTTTTGATCACGCCGAAGCTGTTGCCGGATTTGGCGGTGAGAGAGAGGATGAAGGTGTTGCTGGTGTGCAATGGGGCGTACGGGGTGGGGGGGTTGGATTTGGGGAGGGTGATGGAGAGGAAGAGGGGGGGAGCGGGGTGGGGTGCGGTGACGAGGAGGGTGATGGAGGGGGTTTCGTGAATAACTTAGTGAGGCAATAAAAGTTGTTTATGCTTGTCATTGAGGACGATGATGAGGTGTGTGGAAGAGATGGTGATGGGTGTCGACAGAGGTTGCCGGGGTGTGCACGTGTGGTGTCAGCGTCCGTACAGTTTCGCTGATGCCAGAGAATGGATGATGCATTGCTCGCTGTTCCTGCACACGCTACGAATCAACACCGCACTTCGAAAACCAGAACTCAGCACTCGCACATCCACAGAACAGCAGCACGACATGCTGCAGAGACAAGAACTAGAGTTTTAAGGGGGGTATAGAAAGCAATATGCAGTTGGATGCGATAAGAGTGATATTGGAAATACAGTAGTTGTTTTGTTGCAGTTGGATGCGGGATAGCTGAGACAACGGAGGAAATGCAGTTGGATGCGGAAATGTGTAAGTAGGCACAGTTGGATGCGCTGAGTTTTTTACGGGAAAGGGTTTTGCGGTTGGACCTAGTTGCTTTTGGGCGAGTGAATGCGGAGACGTTGAGGTTTGGAAGAGATGGACGAGTGGTAGTTTGGACGGATTGCGACGTATTGGGTTTTGAACATGGCGAGGGTGCAGGTTGGGGGATGCGTTGGCGTGTTCTAGTCGAGGAAGTAACGGTCGAAGGAAGAGCGGTGCAGTTGGGATGCGTTCTGCTCCTTTACGTTCCGACGAGAACTGGAGATGCGGGTTGGTAGCCCGGATGCTGTACATCTTACCACCTAGTCACATCCTCCACCTCGCCAAACACGCTTTCCTTCACCTCGTCCGCTTTCCCTTGTACGACCTCCGACCTCTGCCTCGCATAAATCTCCCCCAACGTGCTCCTCAAAAACTTCCCTACCCCGTCATTGATCTGTTCGAACTCCAACAGGAACCCGTCGTGTCCATCTGTGCTCTTGACGCTCACGAACTCGCTGCCCTCCACGAGCTTGTGGATGAGCACCTGTTCGGGTGGGGCGAACAGGCCGTCGCTCTCGATACTCACGACCAACACGCGCGGTGCAGTGGGTACGCTCGAAGAGAGTCGAGACAGAACGCTGACCAACGCCTGATCTTCTTCCTCAGGAGAGGAAAGGGAGGGAAAACGAGCACGGGCCACGTCGTGGGAATCCATCTTGCGCGTAAGGTGGATGTAGCAGTTGGCGTCGAATCGGTTGACAAACTTGTCGCCCTGGTAGCGGAGGTAGGACTGGGCGGAGAAGATGGTCGGGGCGGTGGAGGGGGAGAATGGTTCGATGAGGCGAGAGGTAGGTGGGGGGAGGGTGATGACTTCGTCGGAGAGTTCGGTGGGTGGATGCGGGGTGGGGGGTACGGGTGGAGTGGTTGCGGTCGGTGAGAGTGAAGGTCCGTTGGATCTGGTGGTGTTTGAAGGAAAGTATCCGCTGCTGGAAGGAGCGTTCCCGTTAGAGGTGGGTGAAGAGTTGCTTCCATAAGGTCTGACGCGCGGGGAGAGGTTTCCTTCGTTGTGCGCTGCAGCGGCGTCTTCTGCGAGAGAGGTTCGTCGGTGATGATCCTGCTGTTTGGACGCTTCCTCTTCTGATTTTGCCGGCAGGCCAGCTGCAGCGGCAGAACCGCCACCTTTGAGCGCTTTGCCAACTCTGCGACCGAAGCGAGACTCGAAACTGTCTCTGCTGCGGTAGGTGAGCAGCGCAGCCATCCTGGCAGCACTGAGACCGTTGCGCGGTGGTTCGGTGGGATGGTAGTAGCCGTGATTGAAGGCGGGGTCGGAGTAGATGGATTGACGTTGAGCTTCGGCCCACGAGATGCACCACGCCGAGTGTCTTGCCGAGGTGGCTAGTGGTACGAGGGCTTGGATGTATCGCTGTTTCGAGTCGGCTTTTCCTGGCCATCTGGTGGGGAATACCAAGGGCCATTCTAGGACTGCCATTCCACCCATGCTGCCGCCTACGACAGCTGCGACGCTTTCCACGCCCAGATACTCCAATACCAACTTTTGAATTCTAACGTCATCCCTCACCGTGGTCGCGGGAAACTCTGGGCCCCACCACCCCTCGCCCTTCCACTTTGCCTTTTCCGCCTTTACCTCCTGCAACTTTCCCTCCCTCACGGCCTCGGCCCAGTCGGTCTCCCCTCCAGCCTGCGTACAACTGCTGGCACTTCCATACGGACTGCCCAACACATTGCAGCACACGACAAAGAACCTCGAGTAATCAAACACCTTGTCCACACCCAACAGCGGGCCCCACCAGTCTTCGACGTCGGCACTGCCCGTCAGCGCGTGACACACGACGAGAGCGTTGTCTTTCGTGTCTGGAGAGAGGGAGCCCCATGTCTTGAATGCGACGGGGACGTTGTGGAGGGTGACGCCGGATTCGAGGGTGAAGCGAGGGAAGAGGAGGTAGCGTTGTCGACCGGCGAGGAGGATGGATTGGGGAGAGGTGGGGCCTGGGATCTCGACGGGTGGCGGAAGGAGGTGATCGTTCTCGGCCATGATGGAAAGGAGCATGAGTGTAGATGGAAGGTGAGAGTGAGGAGAGAAAGATTGGAAGAACGTGGACGCCGACCGACCGACCGACCGACCGACCGGCTACACAAATTTAGAGTGACTCAATCACTGCCGGAGAAAAAAGTCTGTGCGTTGAGGAATCGCTTTTATCGGCGATGCAATTGCGTGAGAAGTGAGAAGCGTACATTGTTAGATTTGACGACGTCGGCTCCCACGTTTTTCGGAATGCGACCGCCCAATTCTGTGTGTTTGTGCGGCTGCCGTTGTGGATGCGGGACACTCACTGATCTGCAACGGTTCACGCCAACACTCTGTTCCGCTCAACGCTCTGCATTCCCACTCCTTGTCCCTCGTTCCGTCCAAACCACCATCTCGTCCAACCATCCATCCGCACTCTCAAAATGTCGCATCCAATCCCCCCATCATCACCCACACTATCCACCACCTCCTCCACAGCCTCGACCACCGCCACCGTCATCGACACCTCTCCCAACCCCAAATCCATCGCGAACCTCTGGAAACAGCTCAAGTACCTCTCCATCGGACTCGTCCTCATGCTCTACTTCCAGGTACCGCAGCACATCTCGGATGCGCTTTCACTAGGTGTGCTGTCGTCGAGTTCGGCCAAGCTGGCGGCGTTGTCGTTGGCGTTGTTGGCGGGGACGGTGTTGATGTTCACCTACGTGATACTGTTGCCGGCGAGAGGCTTTGCGGTGAATTATGTAGAGTGGAGGAGGGATGAGAGATTGGGAAGTGCGATTCCGGTGTTGACAGGGTGTATCATTGTCGGATGGACGGTGTTGTTGATCACGTTGAGTCCCGTAGGCGCACCAGCTCCTCCCGCGGTAGGCGTCAAACAACGTCTCGCCCAAGCAGCCAAGTACACAGGCGTAGATCTCGCTTCCATCCCACACAACCTCTGGACAAGCGAGAAGAGTTGGGACATCCTCTCCTCCAAATCCAGCAGCAAACAGACCGCCGAAAGTCTGCAAAAGTACCTCGCCCAGCTGTCCACCAGAGCCGACGAGTGGAGCGCGCAGAACATCAAGGTCATCGGCTGGACAGGCGCCGTCCTGGGCAGCATAGGAACCTACCTCACCGTGTTCGGCGGTGTAGGCTTGATCGGCTTCATCGCTCCCGACAGACGCACCAAGCACAAAACATTCTAACTGCTAATGCTGTAAAAAACATGATTCGCATGAATTCCATTACTTCGTACAATTACACCATGTGATGAGCTAGCTATAACTTAGGCTCTTCCACCACCGATCGTCACAATCTGCCCTTTCTCCTCCTCCCGTCCTCCACCCCTCGACCTGCTCTGGAAGCTCCTCACGATCCTCTTCCCCACCTTGAGCCCGAAACTATCCTCGACCCTCTCGCCCATCGCTCGTCTCCTCCTCCGCTTCATCCTCTGCCTGAACTGTCGCTCTACAAACTGGAAGATCAGCGCATCGATCGCACCCTGAGCAAAGATGAGCCAGCGACTGAGACTGTGCAGCGCATCGTGCGATCGTCGCACACTAGCCCCTGGGTCGGCCAAGTCGACGCTGAGACGCGCGATACTGATGCTGAACAGCAAACAGTACGCCGCAGGGTAGAGTAGAAGGAGGAGGGAAGCTTGACGGTTGAGCGTCGATCCGATTGCGTCGACGCCATTTTCGTCCGCTGAGGAGGTGGAGGAGGTGCCGGTGGTGATACCGTCCGCGTTGGCGGTGCGATGACGCGAGTGGTGAGGATGCTTCGATTCGCCAGCGGTGACGTTCATCCCCCAGTTCCAGTCATCCCCGAGCTGCTGCTCGAAGGCTTCCTTGCTCGGCATTTCCACCATCACTTCTCCGGGAAGAATCTGCACCGCGCTGGACCTCCTCTCTCCCGCAAACCCACCGCCGCCGCCTCGACGCGCTCGAGCCATATCGTCCTCCCCCATGGCGAGAATGTCCGCCAAGCGCGGATACGCGCGAGCGCCCGACGCCGGCACCGCCTTGTGTCGCAGGTGCTCGATGGGCGGAGAGATCATTTCAAAGTCGCCCGTGTCCTTTCGCGGACGCATGTGCGACGACGGTTCCTCCACATCGCCCGTTGAGCTGTCCGAGGTGTCGCTGGGAGCAGAGTGGTAGCGCGAGTCTCCGGCGGATGCACGTCGCTGCGCCGCTCCACCGAGCCTAGGCGTGGCTGTCGCACCAACATCGACGCTCGAAGCCGCTTCGGCTGTGAACGGTCTCTTCGCCGCCAGAGTCGGGGAAGATCTCGGTGCAAAGGATGCGTTGAGCGGTGCTGCAGAGCCACGCGTCGACATGGTGGCTGCACCGCCCGTGCCGGCGTACGACGAATCCGACGGCGAGGGCGCACTGAGGCTCGAACTGTCGTAGGTGCGCGACGCATTCGCTTTTTCAATGTCCAGATCGCTCGGCAGCGTACGACGTGGCGCCATCGAGTAGTTGGCATCCAGCAGACCGTACGTCGCAGGCTGCGGCGATGCGTCGGTCTGCTTCATGCTGTACGTCAACAGACCCGACAGCCCAGGATCCACGCCATCATCACCCGAGCCCTTGCCACGCGTCGCTCCCGACTCGAGGTTAGCCATCTCGACGCTGCTCTCCTTCTCGCCGAGCGAAGACGAACGTCGGCGGGTGGCCGCGTTGGGGTCGTCCTTGTTGAGCACGGGAGTAATGACGCGACTGCCCGAGGAAGTCTTTCTGCTATGAGCAGCAGCCGACGAGGCGCCCGAGGGAGAGTGAGTCTTGACCGTGGGACTCGCATCGTCAGCAGACGCACCGAGCGTGTCGTTGAAACCCATGGATGTGGTCAAGTTGTGATCATGTTGCGACATGCGTCGGAGCGTGTCGCCAGGCTTGGATTGAACGGCAGCCTGGGACCTGTGACGGCTCTGTCCTTGGCTAAGCGAGTTGGATGTGTGTGCCTTCTTGAAGAGGTTGGTCCTTCGAAGGAAGAAGAAGAGGTGGGTGTAGAGGCAGAGAATGACGATGAACACGATGGCTCGCGGCACAAACTGGAAGATACTCGAAAAGTAGAAACCAGTGGTGAGAGCGCAGTAGCCGCCTCGGAAACCGAAGCCGCCGAAACCAAAGGGGATGGCATCGATGACAAAGGAGATGACCCAGAAGGAGGGCCAGAGCCACTGTACGCGCCTCTCGACGGTCAAGGTGAAGGAGGACAAGGGATGAACCAAGATCATGTAGGTGACGATGGCGATGGACAAGTTCCAGAGGTGCTGCGAGAAGATGGAGCTGATTAGGATATATCCTAGAAAGGTGCAGGCGCCGTCTTCGCGCACCAGGTTGATTTTTGCGATGAGGCAGGCGGTGGTGATGATGATGGCGATGGACGTGACGAGGTCGCTGGTGGCGAGGCCGAGGATGAGGACGTGGCGGAGTTTGCGGCTCTTCTTGTTGAAGATGTAGGGCAGGATGATGGCAAGAGCGCCGACAAAGGAGACGCAGCAGATGGCCATGTCGATGTTGTTGCCGACGGTGCCGACGCTCTCGCGTTGGAAAGTGTCGGTGGTGTTTGTGTCGTTGTTGATGCGCACGGAAGGATCCTGGATGTGGGATTGCCACCATGGGTGGACTTGGTAGAGAGAGTCCGCACTCATCGTGGCTGTGCGGGTCTCGTCGGGAGACGCGAAAGCAGGAAGTGGCGAAGGAGGAGGAGGAGTGGGCAGTTGTCAAGTCTAGACGAAGGATTGTGAACGAGTGCTACAAAGGGCAACGCTGCTGCTGCTGCTGCATTGGCCGTGTGACTTGGTTGGCCGATGGAAAGGAAAAGGAAATCACGGAAAAGGCCGTGTGATGGGTAGCGCCATCTATTGGGAGGCTGATGTATGTGGATGCGTGGATCAAGAAGACCGTAGGAAGCGAGCTGGCAGAACCGGTGGCACCAAAGAGAAGGAGCGCTAGGTGGCGGTGTTAAATGGTGATGGTGATAGTGGCAGTCACAGTGGCGGCGGAGGGTCGGATGCACACTGGGGTTGGGGAGATCGTCTTCGTCGGTGTCGTCGTGTCAGACGATGTCTACGACGTCGAAGCAGCGGATGGTATAGGTCGATGATGATGACGAGAAAGAGGGAAACGGAGCAATGGTAGCACAGAGGAGGCGAACACCGGCGACGGCGGCGACCGACAGCACCCGCTCAGGCACACCGACACTCATTCCCAAACGCAGCAGCACAGCGCGACTGAGAGAAAAAGCGCAGACGGCGAGAAAGCAGCCAAACAATTGGAAACCGCCAAATCACCGGACACCGACAGTCAGCAAGGCACTACACCACTGTCCCAAAAATCACACCCTCGGTCTCGGCGGCTGGAACGCGACAGCAGCAGCGACATTGAACGGGAAAAAAAAAAGAAAATCAACAAGAACAATGTGATGGCGGATATACGCAAATTAAGGCACGACAGCACTATTCCTCACTCTCTCTCACTCTCTCTTCCTCCCACTCTCTCCCACTCTTTCTTTCTCTTTCGCTGTCACTCGGCTTGACTGTGTAAATTGGCTTTGGGATGGATCTTGTCATGTCAACCTAGAATTCACACACCGCCCACAGCTTTCATGGGCCTTGTCGCTTGTCTGTCGTCCACTGCATCCCGCCGCTATTATTCGTATTATTGCTGCCTACCAAATCGGAATCCGATCGGTACATAGGCTTGCCTACAAAGTGGCGCACCTCCCCATCACATGGTCCCATCTGCATCCCTCGCTCCAACTCCCTTCAGCAAGATCATATCGCATATCCTTGCCGGATCGATGGTTTGCTTCCTTTGATGGCTTTCATTGCCTATACCATCGCCGCACAGCGGCTGAGCATGCAAGCATCTCCTTCATCATGGGGATGGCAGCGCGCCATCAGCAGGTGAACGCGTGTCAAGATGCAGGTACATGTTTTTTTTCTTTTTAGAAAAAAATGGGATTTTTGATTGGCACTCTCTGCTGCGCTTGTGCAGATGTTGAATTGAGCGGCGCGTGTGCCTGGCGCTCTCTCTGCGGTTGTTTCACTACCAAACGCCGCTCCTGCATTTCTGTCTTGTTTGCCGCCCTCCCATCAACACAGCTGCCTGAGCAAGGTTTGAGCATCATCATCCTTTGCCGCTGTCGACCTTTGCGTTCTAAACCCATGTCAAGTTGATTCTTACGTATTCAACCGAGACAACCAGACAAAACAGAAGACTCGACGTCGTTGATGGGGAAGGGCAGTTCGGGTGAAAAACTGGTTTGCGGTCACGAGAGAGCCGATGTCGGTCAGCACGGCTGCATGAAGTGTGTGCGCGTGTGTGTGTTGGAAATTGAACCTCTATCCCCGCCGGCTGGTCGCTGTCGATCAGAAATTCAGTGTAGCGTCTAGACCCTCCTCTCCTCCCGCTCTACCATCCACTCTCCAGAGATCAATCTGTCTGTCAACACTTGATAACACATCCGAAGGAGCCCTTGATTCCCGAGGTGAACCATTCGTCGATAGGCAGAGTGAACTTAGAGTGGTCTTAGCTGAGGGCAACTTGCTGTGACTGCTAGCCTAGACCGGTGTGTGTTCGGAGCGGAGTTTGTGTCTTTTTTTGCTAGCGACTGCGTAGTCGACTTGAAAAAATGCCAAAAAAAATGAATCAATTTGTGCGTTTAATGATCGTCAGGGTGAAAAAAGAATTGAGTTCTACACTGTGTCTCCCATCCGGAGTGATGACTATGGGAATTAATTGGCGATCCGCACAACCAACGAGCACGGGTGTCATGAAGAAACAGTCCGTGAGAATCGACAAGAGAGCCATCCATCCGACAACGTCGAGACCTACCGAAATTAGACGGAGCTGGCTTGTCGTGCTGCGAGGACACAACCCAGTGCATACACCGGCATGCATCATTGCCCACGTCAAAAAGAAAAGCCATCCGCCACCCACGCAACAACTTGCATCCTCTCCTTGTTCCACCCTTCGAATCACCTGTTCTACTTGCCGTCCGACTTGTATCCAAAACCTCAAAAGGGTCATACAAGCATGACAGACAGACCTGACTTTTGGCCGGAACGTGTTCTTACCTCGTCGCCTCCGACAACAGAGAGACTGCTCCTTGCATGTGTGGTTGATCGTCTTACTCTCTCTCTCTCGTCTCTCTGATTTGCTGGTGGAGCGAATTTGAAAAAGCGTGGGAAAAAGACTCCCGCACGTGGCGCACGACAGCGAGAGGGTGCCGAACATTTTCGCGCGTACACAAAGATGGCCCGGCCCGGATTGTGAACCCCCCCCCCCCCCCCCCC